GCAATTGATCTGAGCCCCATGTCCCAGAGGTTGAGGCCACCTTCATCCCAATGGAAGCTGGCGCGGTCCAGTGCCATCGTGTTGATGAAGCTGGAGCCGTAGGCGGTGGCCTTGGGGGCTGAGATGAACCATTTGGTGAGGTTATCGATCTTCTTGATCTGCCACTTGGTCGGTGAGTCCAGATAGAAGTGGTACATCAGAGGGGGGAGGGCGTAAGACTTGATAGCTGCAACCTTAGACCGCAGTGTGGTGCTTTCAGACTTGAAGAGCGAGAGTCTGCCGCGGAGGGAGCTGATGAGAGTCTTGAACTTGGAGTAGATGCCCTGCTTGGTGAAGTTGACGCCCAAGTACCTTTCAGGTTCGGTGGCCACTGGGTAGGGGAGTTCAGACGTTGGTGCATCGCCCAGGACAATGTGGACAGACTTGTCGACATTGATGGCTGACGAGGTGGCTTTGCAGAAGACCTTGAACCATTCAATCACTCTCAAGAGTTCCTCGAGTGACCTGGTGAGCGCTGCAGTGTCGTCGGCAAACTGGAGAAGCTTGACCTTCTTGCGGACGGTCGAGACTTTCTTGCCGTCGACTAATGTGTCGAGGGGCGGTGACACAGGCCGTAGAACTGACCAGTGAGTCCATCTGGGCCATAATATATATAAGTTAGTCGAGTTTTCAAACAAATAAAAAAAATTCCAAGTTCAAAAAAGGATTTATCAAGAATGGGAATCGAACCCATGACCCAAACCGTGTTAAGGTTTTGTGATAACCAACTACACCATCCTGACCACAAGATGAAAAACTGTTTTTTCAACTGTTTTCTAACGAAAATTACGCAAGTTCCTTTTTTTTTTCTTTTTTCAAATAGTTTATGCGTAATAATTGTCAACAATTTTTTTTAATCTTTTTAAGACTAATGGCTGAGGAAAAGAGTCTCTTAAAAATAAAAAGAAAATAATTTAATCCTTGTATCTATCTCTAATCAAACACATTCCAGCAGGACATTTCTCGGTAATTGTCACTGATTGGTATCCATTGATTGGTCTCTTCAGAGTACTCCAAGTTTTTACCAAGGCCAAGAAGTAATCGAATCTTTCCACCATCATAAAACAACTTGTTAAAAGATGCGTTGATTGTTGAAGTGAGTACATCAACTTTTTTGTTTGATATTGATACTTTGAAGAATCCTTTCGTCGAGTGAACATAGATTATGTCCTTTTTGTCAAAGCAGCAAGATAACATTTTACCAATCGCCAGTTGAGAGACCAGAGTAGAGCATTTACAAGAGTCCACATTAAATACAATAATTGTACCAAGATTTTCGTCATTGACACCATCGTTTCCATCTTTTGTTGAGGAAATTATATACAAGTTATGATCCAATGGGGAATAGAATACATTGGAGGAGGCAATTGGTGATGACAGATCACCAAAATACCCAATACTCCTCTCTTCAATGTTAAAGCGACGAAAGTTTTGTATGGCAAGCTTTCAGATATTCCTCCAACTATATATATGTACTTCTGTCCATCAAAGCAAGTGGATACACAACGGCAATTAAAATGAATAATTATGTCGTTTTGCCATTCCATAGTGGACAGTTGGAACCGAGCATAAGTGTTGGGATGCTCCTTGCCTCCAAACACATAGATGCTTCCACAGGCATAGACAACGGCGTATCCTATCTCAGATCGACCTTTGAACCCTTTGATAAAGGTGCAAGTGGCACTTCCTGGATTGAATATAGTGCAACTGAGAAGTATTGATTATAGTAGTCGTGAGCTTCAATTTCATTGATCATCTCCTTGATTGCTGTCTTTATGTCTACTCTCTTTTGTTCCACCCAAACATGGCGAGGTCCCTCTTGAGGAAGGGCCTCTGACAACTTGCCCAACTATAGACAATGTTGGAGTGAGAACAAGAAATCATGATCAGTAATCCTACTCAAGTTATATGTGTATGTGTCCCAAGCCCTGTTTGAGTTTGAGATTGAGTTTACATATGTGATCACTTGGTCCATTGACGTTGACGAGTCTATTGCTGAGATTAGTTCATCCATTTCCTGTTCACGCTGATGACAGTCTCTGTTTTGAGCCCTCGTGTGCAAAGCTTGGACAGGAAGATTGGGACTGGTCAATGCTTTGATAGAATTTGCTTCCTCAATGGCATAGTAGATGGCGCCAACCATATTCGACTTTCGTTTTAAAATGGGGGAGGTGAGTCTCTGCTCCTCAGCGATTAGCAGTTCATGTAGTTGTCGGAACATTTCAATAATGTTGCTACACGACTCGGTTGTCACCTTGTATGATCTGGCCAAGTACTTGATACTGTTCCAAAGTTTGTCCACTTTTGGCTTGAATCGATCATACTTATTCTGGGCTGCCCATTGATGACCTGGCACACTTTGCTGTATCAAAGGGATGACCATTGTGCATATGGGCCAAGCACGTGAAGCATATGATCATGTTGCACTGGATACACAATATATTTAGACTCTCTTTGTGTGTTGGGCAATTATTAATTGTATCAACTTCCATTATCTATCTCTAAAATTAATTTTTTGGTTGATAGTTTGAGTGAGTGAGTCTATTTTATTGAGTAGAGATTCATTCATACTTATTAGAGTTATTATCCAATCCAGATTTGTTGGAGTAGAGGCAAGTTGGCACATATGACGATATATGGTAGAGTTATCTATCTTAATATTTGTAAAAAAGAAATATATTTTTTATTATTTATAATATTGTTAACAATAAAATAAATCTCTAATAAAACACATGCCAGATGGACATTTCTCTTCTAATCTGTAATTGTCACTGAGAGGTATCCATATATTTGTCTCATCAATGTACTCCAAGTTTTTACCAAGGCCAAGAAGTAATAGAATTCTACCATTATCATAGAACAGTTTGTTGAAAGATGCATTAATTGTTGGTGGGAGTATATCTACTTGTTTAGTTGATATTGATACTTTGAGGAATCCTTTGTTCGAATGTACATATATGTTCTTGTTGTCAAAACAGCACGACACCATGGTCCCAATTGGCAGTTGAGAGACTAGAGTAGAGCAAAATTTGGTGTCCACATTGAACACCAAGATTGAACCGAGAATGTCCAAACCGTCGACTGTACCACTTTCAGGAATATCTTTTGGAAGGGTAATAATGTATAAGCTCCGATTCACTTGAGAATAGAATACATTGGCAGAGTATACTTGTGATGTGAGTTCTCCACAATATTGAAAGCACCCTTTGCGAATATTCAATCGATGGACAGTGATGGTTGGCTTGCCATCCAATAATCCACCGACAATATATATGTGCTTTTTTCCATCAAAACATACCGACAAACAATGACCACCGTTGATATTCAATGCGATGTCATTTTGCCATATCATATTGGACAGATTGAGTCGAGCATAAGTGTTTTGGTTCCTCTTGCCACCAAACACATAGATGTTTCCAAGAGCATAGACGACTGAGTACGATATATCATTACGTCCTCTGAACGCCTTGACCACGGTTGGTGTGGACTTGCCTGGATTGAATATTGAGCAACTGTGTGCTGAGAGTGAGAAGTAGTTATTATAGTGATCGTGCGTGTAGATATTTTTAGTCCATTCCATGATGGATGTAGTTAAACCATCGGAATACTTCTTCTGGGCATGAACATGGCGAGTGCTCTCCAGAGGTATAGCTTCCGACAAATTGGCGAGTTTAACACACCGCTGGAGAGAGAGCAAGAAATCATTGTCTGTATTTGTGTTGAGGTTATATATGTAGTCCTCCCATTTATGGTTTGAGTTTGAGATTGAGATTGAGTTTGAGTTTGATTGTGTGATCACTTGGCCCAATGTTGATGTTGATGAGTCTATTGTTGTGATCAGCTGGTCCATCTCTTGTTCAAGTTGAGTGTGATCACTGAATTTGGCCTTCGTGCTCAAGGACAAGACAGTATGGTTGGGCATGGTCAATGCTTGGATGCAGGATGCTTCCTCAATGGCAAGGTGGAGTACATCACGAGTGTGACCAATTCGTTCAATGATGGGCGAGTTGAGTCGATGCTCTTCAGTGATGAGCAGTTCATGGAGTTTTCTGAACGTCTCAGTAAGCGAATGACTCGACTGTTTCATTGACTGATATGATTTGGACAAGTACTTGATTTGATTCCAAAGATTGTCTACCCTTGGCTTGAATCGATCGTACTTATTTTGTGCGATCAATGACCTGGCACTCTCTGCTGTCTCAAAGGGATGACCATTGTGCAACTGGGTCAAACATGTGAAGCATATGATCGTGTTGCATTGAATACACAATATATTCAGACTCTTGTTATGTGTTTGGCATGTATAAGTATCAACTTCCATTATCTATCTATATGATTGATTGATTGATTGAGTGAGTGAGTAAGAGAATATGAAAGAGTTAGGGTGAACCAGAGGTTACTTACTAAATAATATTTGAGTGAGCGACCAGATTTATCAATCTGTATGGCGCATGAAGGGAGGGACGAGAAGGTCAGTTGCGAATCAGACATACTCCAGCTGTCCCAGGTCTGTCTGAGCGGTAGTTGTCACTCAATGGCGTCCATTGGTCGGTCTCGATGTTGTACTCCATGTTGTATCCCTTGCCATTGATCATCCTGATGGCACCATCGTCACCCATGAACAACTTGTGATAGTCATATTTGTCATTATTGCACAGATGTACGACTTGCTTGGTGTCCAACGACACTCTAATGAATCCATTTGAGGAGAGAATGTAGATACTGTCCTTGCCATCGAAACAACAAGACAGATAGTAGCCAAGCTCCTGTATAACTGAACGAGAGACACATTGCAATGAGTTGACATCGTAGACTAGTACCTCATTGTGAATGCTGCCACCAATGATATATAGCTTTCCATCGTGGAAGAAGGTACCGCATGACATCACTGATATTGGGAGTGATCCAACATGATTGAATGTCTCGGTTGTAATATCGAAGCGATCAATTCGGTCTGTGACATGGTCATTGATCACACCACCGATTAAGTATATGGAGCGATCTCCATCGTAGCAAGCGGTAAATGATTCGCCGCCCTCAACTCCCTTGATTGGGATGTCGTTGTACCATCGCAGCTCGGGAAGATTGAGCCGGGCGTATGTGAATTGACACTCATGACCACCAAACACATAGACGTTGCCCTTGGCGTACACCGTGGAGTAGGCTATGGTGGTCCTTGGCTTGTAGCCAGTGATATAGTATGGTGCGGATGTGTTTGGATTGAACAAAGTGCATGAGTCGCCTGTGAGCGAGAAGTAGTGATTGTTGAACTCGTGTTGTCGCAGAAGTCTGAAGAATAGCTTGATGTCTCTCTTGATCACATCAAACATGTCGTCATCGATTGTTACCTGCCGTGATGGTTCCATTGCCTTGTATGATGAATCTTGTGACACTTGTGCTAAACGCACACATTGCTGGATGGCCATCAACAGTTCATTGTCATTCGAATGTTTGATCGATTGGTGATGATTGGTATGATTATTGGCTGAATGATTGATGAATTGATCGAGCGATGTCGATTGATTGATTGATGAGATCAACTGATCAATCTCATCATTGTTCTCATGGATGACGACAGATTGATAGGGCTTCACCACTGTTGTGATGCTGGTGACCTCCTCAATGATTGAACTGATGGCATTGGCAGTGTGTCGCATCTGGTCGATGATTGGCGACTTGATTCGATGCTCCTCCACAATGAGAAACTCGTGAAGTTGTCTGAATCGATCGGTTACAGCACATGATGATTCATTCATCTCTTGATATGAAGTGGACATATATTTCAATTGTGTCCATAATAAATTCAACCTAGTAGTGAATCGATCATACTTATTATCATCTATTAATGATCTTATTATATCAACATTGTCAACATGATGACCATTATGTTTCAACACTAAACAGTGATAACATATTATCTCATTACAATGTATACATAACATATCCAATCTCTTATTATGTGCTGAGCATATATTAATAGTTGAAGTATCTTCACTTGGTTGTTGTTGTAACATATCCATGTCTTTGTTATTATCTCTATCTTGTTGTTTGATTGAATGGTGAATAAAAGCAAAGGGGCCTTCACTTTTTGCTGGAACTTGGATTCTTACTTCTTTTCAATTTCAAGTTCAAGTTCAGATTCATTCGTTCAATCAAATATCTTGTTATCTCTATCTCTTACTCACATGTAACATTATCAACATGTTGAATGTATTCATTCGTTCATCATCATCAGTGTTGAGATCAACTGTGCTGAGATCTAATGCTTTATACTCAAGTTTAAGATGGACCAACATCAGCAGCGCAAAGATCACGACAACTCATCAACATGTTGCAAGTTATACAACAACTACCTCGAATACGAATACGACACCACCAGTGTTGACAAAGTCATCATTATACGAGAGATTATTGGATAGGAATAAGGCGTTGATTGATGGCATCACAAGTGAGGATAGAGTAAACTTATCAAGATTGATCACTTTGGTTGAGTCTTCAAGAGAGGACCATCAACAACAAGCAAGATTGATAGTATCAATCCTATTACAACAATCAAAGGATCATGAAGTCAAGAACGCTGGTAAACCAAAGTCATTCAGAATCGGCATATCAGGGCCACCAGGTGCAGGCAAGGTCAGTCATTCAGGCATCCAATCTGAATTCATTCATTGACTGACAAACATTACATCCATCACCAACAACAGAGTACATTCATTGAGGCATTTGGAACATTCTTGACATCGACACTAAAGACAAAGGTGGCCGTGTTGGCGATTGATCCATCATCGATACGAACGGGTGGCAGTGTATTAGGCGATAAGACACGTATGGTGGAGCTGTCGAAGGACCCCCTGGCATATGTGCGCCCATCGTCCTCTCGTGGAACACTGGGAGGCATCACCAAATCCACGTCCGACACGATTGTATTGTGTGAGGCGGCCGGATACGAGATCATCATAGTGGAGACGGTGGGCGTCGGCCAGTCTGAAGTGGCCGTCGACGAGATGGTCGATGTGTTCATGCTGCTGGTGCCACCCGCCAATGGCGATGAGCTGCAAGGTCTCAAGAAGGGCATCGTCGAGCTGTCCGACATTGTGGTGGTCAACAAGGCCGATGGCGAGCTGCTGCCTCGCGCGCGATTCACCGTGGCCGAGTACATGAGTGCCTTTAAGATGCAGCGACCCAAGTCAGAGTTCTGGCGACCAAAGGTGCTGTCGTGCTCGTCGCTCACTGGCACCAACATCGACACGGTCTGGCAGACGATCTGCGATTTCAAGGATGTCATGACCAAGTCTGGCGAGCTGAGGTATCGTCGTGCCGATCAGAAGCAAACATGGATGTGGAGATATATCGAAGAGGAGATGATGAATAGATTACACACCAACAAACAAGTGTCACAAATCATTCCATTCATTGAATCACAAGTCAGAGATGGAAATATTTCACCTGGATTGGCTTCCAACACCATCATTGAGAAGTTCCTATCATCAGCATCATTGCCACCATCATCCACCAAATAATAATAATAGGTTTAGGATTACTTATTTATCATTACTCCTTCCTTTCCTTTTGTATGAACCTTTTAATGCGGCCAGTCGTTTGGCCGCACAAATATTTTATGCGGCCAGAGTGTTTCCCACACATCCATTATTTTAGAAGTTCGAAAAATGGCGCCAATTTTTGATCAAACTGTTTGATTCCCAGACAATCAATCGTGATGTTCCAAACATTGTTAATATATATATTCTAAACAGATATACATATCTATTTATATACATACTTACAAACAATAATAATAATGAAAGACTATTCAAACAACAATATCAAGACTGACCAACAACATGTCTCAATGTCCCCACCAAAGACACCAATGTACCGCAGCTATTATGACATTAGCATGGCAGAGAGGAATAGGACAAGGACACCATTGCCACCATCACCAAAGTTAAGCTCACCACTCAACTATCATGCAGAGTTAGACATTGATCTTCGCATTCAAATGGATGAACAGGATAGATTGGACAATTATATCTTACTCTCACCATCTGAACAACTACCATCATTATCAAACAACATCAACAATGACCAACCTCGTGCGTTTGGTGTTCAATGCCCATCACCGCCTCGCACTCCAATGTACAGTGCATCTGATCATCAAAAGAATGTACAAATATATCGATCAATCTTCTCAACATCCACATCAAAGCCAACATCAACATACAATTATCCATCATCAGCGACAAAGCCCAAGTCCAAGCCCAATACCATGGATTACAACTACACATCAAGCATTAATGGCGATAAAGAGAACAATGTAAATAGTACGAATACACCTTGTCCGGTCAAGAAGACGATGAAGACACCTCAACACTTCACACTGGGGACATCGATCTATTCGCCAGAGTTGGCCTCACCCGAGTTATCATCTCCACCACGTACTCCATTCATTAAGTTCAACGTGGACAATGACATGCAGAGACAACAACAACAACAACAACATCATCAATATCCAGTGCGCACACCAAGCAGGCGATTACCTGATCCACCATCACATCTGTAATAAATAATCAAAGTATGTTTGATTGATTGAGTTGGGTCCACCAACCAAGGTCTATTCGGCTGGCGCCACATGTATTATAACATCATCATAATCTTCATCTTTTGGATCATTTGCATTGGCGTTGGAATTGGAGTTGGAGTAGGTGATAGAGTTGGTGTCGGATGGGGTATGAATGATCTGTCGCATTCGCTTCATGAATCGCTCTTGATAGAATGATGGTGGAGCGGCAGAGATCTCAGTGGCATTCTTCCGAGTCAGGTATACCTTGAGGAACCTCTCTTGTTTCTTGCTAAAGTTATACATTTGTAATGTATCGATTATTCCAATGTAATATACTTCTTGAAGTTCTGATTGATCATCACCAGCAGCAGCATCAATGTTTGATCGTGATGTGAATCGACCCAAACTGTCATTGATTTCCACAACTTGATCAGAGTCAGTAGTGGTCGCGCGACCACCACCATTTTGATGAATGCCAATGAGCAGACTGTAGTCCATGATGTTGAGGGATTCGAGGAATTTGGAGTCTTGTTCCAGCTGATCCAGGATGTCCTGCCTCAGATTGATTGGCGCAGGTAGTTGACGACGAGTGTTCAGGAAGTCGAGGTCCAGACCAAGCTTGGATGGGTCGTATCGCTTGTTGCCTCCACGATTGATACTCGATCCTTTGATATCGAATCGATTCTGAATGCGCTGTGTACATGTGCTGAACACATTGGACACGACTACAAAGTATTGGCTGGGTCCGTGAGGCATCACCACTTTGTGGCAGCCGTAGAACATCAGCAACAATGAACTCCTGTATGTGTCATAGTGTTGGTAGAACTTTACAATGTTGCTCTTTAGCAACTGTGACTCCTCCTTTGTGATTGTCTTGATCAGGTACTTATTGTCATGAGTGAAACACATATAGCTTCCACTCTTGCCCTCTGAGAATTCCTGATTCGATATCTTGGCTATTGTCTCGTGATTGAATGATTGCTATATGTTTGTTCGATTGATAGAATGATGAAGTGAGTGATTGGAATAGTTTCCAGTTCGTAATGGGATGAATTATTGAATGTGAGTGATTGAGTGAGTGTGAGTGGATTGATCCATGCTAGTATCAACTGATCAGATAATGGAATAGTTCCAGTTTGAAGGATGTCAAGGTCAAACTTACCAAATATATATCAGGCTTGATGCCATGTAGAGTACGAATTGCCGAGAATATTCTTGGCGCGTAGTCGGTGAATGTGTGATGACGGTATGATGTGTTGTTTTGAAGATGTAGTTCATCTCGGAAGAGGTCATGCTCGTTGTAATCTCGCTCGCCAATCATTGACTCATCAATCAATTCCTCCTCTTGTATGTTGTCCTGTACGGACACTGAGATACCTCGCAGCACACACTTGAGTGTGTTGACACGAATGATTGTGGCCAGTCTGTTGGGGTCCTGGTCTACATCGCCAAGCGTGTCGAGCAATGGTGTGTTCTCGTCGGCCTTGATGCCAATGCATGGGATGAAGCGCCCCAGGTATGGTCGAAGCATGTTGACGAAACGTGGATTGGTGAGCCATACGAGCGAGTTCATGAAGCCCTGGATGGACACGCCAGCCACATCAAAATACATCAACAAAGATGGGTTGTTGATGTCGTTGTTGCTGAGGCCCAGCCATTGTGCCGTGCGATGCACGACATCGCCCAGCCAACAAAGTATAAAGACCGCTGTGAAGATACACATGCGAAGTCGCATGCCATTGCGCGAGGCGCGTGCTGTTGCGCCACCCTCCTTGGCCCCCGCGTCATCATATGCCGAGTAATAGATGACGGCAATGAGTGAGCCAAGTGACAGGCAGAAGTACAACAGCAATGGGATGTAAAAGGTGAGACGCATGGGTGATTGTTGGTCGGCCACCCAGCATGTTCCGTCGCCAGACGGTCCGATCATTCGGTAGTTGACGCCGAGGAACACTGTGGTCGTGGCGCTCAGACCCCAGACCCAGAGATGGTACAGTCGTGCCATGGCAGATGGGTTGAGGTTGCCCTTGAATGGGTTGGCCGTTGTCAGGATCAAGTTGAATGAGATCATGCCCGACCAGGAGATGGCGGCCAGGCCAAAGAATTGCTGGAAGCCTGCCTGGACATAGCAGCCAATCTCTGTGTTTTGAATGTACTGTGAGTTGGGAATGACTGATGTGACCATGTACTTGAAGCTGAATATCAGATCGCAAAGAGACGACAGGAACACCAGTTTGGTCGGGTACTTTTGCAAGTCCTTGAACAGACCAAAAGTGATAATCACAAACAATGCTCCCAAGAATGATAAAAGGGCAAATGAGCCCGCTATTCTATATATTAACTATAATGAATTCATTACGGATGATGGAAAGACAATTTAGTTAGTTTATCAAAGTTCCAGATCACGTGATTGAATCCAGTCACGTGACAGCGATCACGTGATCAAACATTGTCACGTGATCCAACTAAAAAAAATTGAGTCATCAATCATACCATAGTTTATAGTACTCTAATCTATTCTATCCTGTTATGATTGTTGTAGGCCTGATCTAGTATCTCTTGGACTTGTCTTAATCATTCAATCAATCAATTAAAGAATGAATGATAAATGAAGAAAGTATATTTATAAGTTGTGATCGCCTTTGAGACGAAACTTGAATGAAAGATTGTGTATGGATTCAGATTCGTTGTGGAAACAATCAATCACTCACACTCAAGTATTCAAGATGGTCCTGTGTTGTGGTGGTAGTGATCAAAACTTTGAAAACACCACCTAAATCAGGTACTGTTTTGTTAATAACGTGAGATTCTTTGTGTCTTAGGGGGGTGGGTGAGATTGATTGTCATCATCAATTAATCAGCACGTTCTAATTATGTAGTGTAAGGTCCTACCTTCCTGTCCTGTCTCATTAGTGTAAGCGATACCCTATTATCGGGATGATACCACTTGCCAAGGAGTAGTGTCGTCATTCTACAACAAATCGATTTGTTTCTGTTTGAATCAACAACATTCTTTTGTCGCCCTTGTAAGTGAATATAATATTATCTCTATCTTATTAACTCTATCTTGTATTTGAATCAATGAATGAACTTGAACCGTGGACCATTTAAGTTGTTAGTTTGTCATAATAGACAAACTTGTCTTGGATGACAGGAGGACACTCAATCATTAATGTAGATCTGGTCACATGTCTGTGGTCAACCACATCTGTCTCAACCCTTGCCCTCTCACTTAATCGCAGACATACAAAGTGGCTGGAAATTAAAGAATGTTAATAGTTTGTGATGCACCCATTGGTTTATTGTATTCATTTACATTCCTTCCTCCCTTCCCACGTCCTGCCCAACCCTGAGACCTTGGCCCAACCAACTTTGTGTGAGTGTCCAAAATGTGTAATTGATTGATTGATTGAGTGATGAACCAACCCAAGCTGTCCACCAAAGCACGTGCCAATCTATCCATCCTATATATCCTATCCTATCCAAACTTAATCGTATATCTGCTCATTGGCACCTGCTGCGAACACTTCGATATACCTTGAGCCCATCGTGTCCTTGTTTCGCTGAAGTGCGCGCTGGAAGTCGTTGGGTGAGCCAAAGGAGACATAACCCATGCCGGACGGCCTTCCCTTATGGTACACAATCTTGACGTTGGTCACATCCAGTCCCCCAAAGAACTCAGCAATCTCATCCTCGGTCGCCGAGAATGGAAGGCCGCGTAGCTTCACCGTGGTGGACCTGTCGCTGGGGAAGCTACTGCCAAAGCTCCTTTTGCCGCCTCCGCCCCCACCGCTGCCGCCGCCGCCAAAGTTGTCTTTATCCCTGCTGCCCCTATTGTCGCCACGCATCGCTCCACCGCCGCCAGATCCACCTTGACTGTATCGATCGTGTGGCCTATTGTCGTTTTGGTTGTTGCCGTATCTGTTGGGCGGGTTGTTGTAGGGATGTGGTCTGTTGGGCGAAGTCATTGAACTACCGCCGCCTCTGTTGCTGTTGTTGTTGTTGTTGTTGTTCATCATGTTGTTGTTGCCATACTGCTGTTGTGATTGCATATGTTGCTGTTGAGGCATCATGTGCTGCTGTTGCTGCTGGGGTAGCCACATCTGTGACATTGATTGATTAAACATTGGCATGTTGTTCATCTGCTGTTGTGGCATGAATTGGGGAGGCATTCCCATTGGAGGTTGCTGTTGCTGCTGTTGGATAAGGCCAGGCGACAAGATTGAATCGATAAACCCATTGTTGTTTAGCATCTGATCAAAGGTCGCTGGACTGCCCATCCCTGGGGACATACCGCCAACGCCCATCTGTCCCATATCATTCATTCCACCGCCGACACCGACGCCGACGCCAAAGTTCATGCCTCCTACGTTGCCCATAACTCCACCGCCCATTCCACCGCCGCCCATGCCTGGCCCAGCACCCATACCGCCCATCATTGATCCCATTTGCTGTTGCTGGAAGTCATTCATCATTGGCATTCCCATCATTGGATTGAAGTTATTGTTGTCCTGCTGGAAGTGCTGTTGTTGAGGTTGGAACTGGTTCTGTTGATACATCCCTTGTTGTGATTGTTGTGGTTGGAACTGTTGATTCTGTTGACCTTGGTATTGGCCTTGTGACTGTGGCTGTTGCTGTTGCTGTTGTTGTTGTTGCTGTTGTTGCTGCTGTCTATTGTTGCTGTTGCTACTGCTGCTATTGCTGTTGCCTTGTTGCTGTCTGTTTTGGTTGAAGTAGACATGCTTTTCGTGAGGGAAGATCTCAATGTATCTGCTACCAATTGGCTTCCTCTGGAGGTTCTTGAAGGCACCGTTGGCCGCCTCATACGACATGAACTCGACAAAGGCTTCGCCAGTAACACGACCATCACTACCAATGTCTATCAGGATGTTGTTGTACTTGATGGGGTAACCCTGGAGGAATGTGCGAATGTCGTCTTGAGTGGCATTGAAGGGGAGCCCGCGAAGCTTGAGCACCTTGCTTGAGAGTTGATGTTGTCGTTGGTTCTGCTGTTGGTTTGGCTGATTCTGATCGCCTTGGATGCGATCGGCGCCTCTGAGCAATGCCTGCTGGACCACCTGTCTAGTCTTTGGTATCACCTCAATATAACGATGTCCCATCATCTTTCTATGTTTCTGAACCGACTGTCTCATATCGTCCTCAGTCTCAAACTCAATGTATGCTTCTCCATTTTGTCTAAAGATGTATATGAGTGTTAGTACATGATTGATTGATCGGTCGAATGATCGATACATACTTGCCACTTGAGTTTAACAAGATTGTGACACCACCATCCTTGCGAATGCGAAGTGGAGCAAAGAACTCTCGGACTTCATCTTCATGTGAGTTCCAAGGCAGGCCTCTAATAAGAACGAATGTTTCACCATGATTAACATTGTTGTTGACATTGTTGTTGTTGCTGTTGATGTTGTAGTTGCCATTATTGTTGCCAATGTTGTTGTTAAATGAGGCATCGGTACCATTATCAGTGTCTCCACCCTCTTGGTTGTAATCGGTTGGATCATAGGGTTGTGCCGAGTCATCGGGGTCATACTGAGGAATGTTGTTTGATCCATCATATGTGTCACCGTTGTTGATGTTGTTGCCACTGACTCCAACATTGACAGCATCACCTCCATTTGAACCAAAGTTGAAACCTTGCTTCAACAACTTTGTAATGATCTGTGTTGCCAACTGTAATTCCTTGTGCTCACCAGTGTGTGTCTGCTGAATGTCGAGCGCTAGAAGTGCAAAGGAGTGTCAGTCATCGGTCAATCGGTCAGTGTCAGACAGTTAGATAACATACATTTGGCTGCAGACTCTAATGTGCATTGCTGGCTGTCGGTCAAGTTGGACAACTCTGCTTGCAGGTCGATGATGTTCATAAAGTAAGGTTGCAGCTGGATACTTCTTTGTTGGCACTGTTGAAGCAACACATTGAGATAGTGCGAGCGAATGAATGAGATCCTTACACTCTTTTCATTGATCAAGAATGTCTTTGATATATAGTTGTGGAACTATATTATGTATGTTTGTTAGTTTGTTTGATACATAGCATGCGTGAGAGTGAACAAGTACTTACAACTGCTAGAGTATGTGATAGAGGATCTTGACTGGCCTCTTGGGTTGTGCTGTCGATGCCTACGCCATTCAATGTGCAGTCTAGTGACACTTTGAGTGTCTGTTGATCAATTGCAAACTGTTGAGCTACATCCAATACTATCCAATCTAAACAATCTATTGGAGTTGTAATTGTGTCTGTTGTTGTTGATGTTGGCGGTGATTTTGCTGTTGATGCTGCTGCTGGTGGTGATGTGATTGTTGTTGTTGTTGTTGTTGACTCTGTTGACTTTGTTATTGTCGGTGATGTTGACGACGATGTTGACAAAGATGATTGTGTAGTTGTCGTCAGACCAAGTATAATAAAGAAGTCACAAGCATTATGTTGTTGTTGCTGTTGCTGTTGCATCATATTATAATGACTCATATTCATTATTATACGATGTATATGTATATGTATATGTATTTGTTATTGTTGTATTTGAATGAATGAGAATGAATAAATGAGTTAGCCCGCGAAGAAGGGGAACACTTGGGTGACATCGGGGAGTTTGGTTTGGGTTTTCTTTTTTGGAATGATGCCTCATTCTTGAAGTTCATTCAAGTCAATCAAGTTTATTGAAGACTGTCCATGTTGATACTGATTGATTGGAGATAATCACTGGCCAACTTGTTGAAACGTTGTTTGAGTTTGAGCTTGCTCTCATATGTTTGGAAGTTGTACGTGAATGGATTGCGTAGTAATGAGATGACCTGTTTGAGATTGAGTTGTGAGTTGACGACGACCTCGCACAACATGTCACTTCGAGTAGACGAGTAAAGGCTGCTGCGGAATGAACATATCACAACTGGTACATTCGAGTCGATCAGATGTCTGATCGGCGTGGTGAATGACAGGTCTTTGGTGAATGTCTTGAGTTTGTCAGTCTGACTCAGCTCAATTGGTATTGAGTAGGCAGACAAATAATTCATCATCCTCGGATACTTGTAGATGGAGAATGCGCCTGATATACGAGTGGCTCCGCCAACATGTATCGTTGATACAATTGACTCAATATCAAACTTTCCACAGAACTGCACCAAGTTAAAGCTCTCGGCCCTCAAGTACTCAATTGTCTTGGCATAATGATGTAGTTCATTGGGTGGGATAGGGTCTATTGTGATGGCAGTGGATGAGTTAGTAAGGTTCAATCATTGATTGATTGAGTGAGTGATTGAGTGATTGCTGGAACATACCATTTCCAAAGATACCGAATCCACAGACTCCATTGGATCTATTGGCCACGGCTAGTTTGGCCATTGCCAGTGCGTCGATGGGGTCATCAAAGTCAGCAGATATGTATACTACAATGCCAATCTTAATGTTTCCTTCGGCCTCCCATTGATTCCTCTTGGCAATAATAATAGCCAATGCTTGCTCTTGTGTCAACACCTGACAATGTGATGATGGGCGGAATACAATCTCAATGTCTATAAAGTATCGTTAGTCAATCAGTCAGTCGACCAAGAATCAAAACAACAACAACTTACATTGTACATTATCATTCAATGCAACATTGATGATATTGTCGAATCCTCGGTTGAGTTGATCAGATGTTTGGAGGAGTGTGTTCATGATACGCTTGGCAATGTCGATGGTTTCGGGATCATGATGTGGCTTTTGAATGATGTTCTTAAAGTCGTTAAAGTCATTGATTGGCTGCTTGATAGATGGGAACTTCTTGTTGATGTCAATCTTTGCCAGCTGCACCTCTTGCCACATCTGATCCAATGAGACTGAGCCTTCGAAGCGACAGTGGAGATCAGCCTTGGGCAGCTTGGACAACATCTCGTGGGTGACACTGGGGATGGGATGGTAGTTCTTGGGCGAGCCAGTGACATCGATGCCGGCTTCGAGGTAGTAGTCCTTGTTGGCCAGCACACCTGACACGTCGTAGCCATGCTCCTTGAACAGGCGGATGCTCTGGAGTACGGCATCGTGGCGCAGCACCCTCTTCATTGGCGCTTCGATGAACGTGGCAGAGAAGGCATGGTCGATCAGACGCACGACCTCCTCGACGCTAAAGTTGAATGTGTCGATGGCCATCTTGTACTCGCCCGACAGTGTGATGTTGCTCATTGTGACGTTGTCAGTGCAGAGCGCGACTACAGCACCGGCGTCAAAGTATCGACGGATTGGGTGTGCGTCCAGTGAGGGGATGCCCTTGATCTGGAGGTTGCTAGTGATGCAACACTCGATTGGAATGCGACGATTGACCATGTACTCCAACAATGAAGGGTTCTCTTGAACGGCGATGCCGTGTCCAATGCGATGTGCGCCACAATGATGGATAGAGTCAGCGACTGAGTGCCAAGACGAGTCCTCACCCGAGTGAAGTGTGCAGTTTACGCCCTTTTGACGAATCAATGCAAAGGCCTCCTTGTGAAGAGTGGAGCTGAAGCCATTCTCAGCGCCGGCCAGGTCAAAGGCCACGACGCCCTTACTCCGGTATCTCCAGGCAATCTCGGCCAAGTCCTTGGTGACCGATGGATCAAGATGACGGAGTCCACAAACAATGATCCTAACCTTTATGCGCAGACGAATCTCTGCCTGTGCCAGACCATCGCACACCGCCTCCATGACGCCCGCCAGGCTCAGTCCCTTCTCCAAATGAAGTACCGGAGCGAATCTCACCTCAAGATACGTGACACCATCATTACAAGCATCCTCACACATCTCATAGAATACTCTTGAGATTGCAGCTTTAGTTTGTTTGATTGATTGTAAGTATGAATGATTGATTGAATGAATGAATGAATGAATGAATGATACATACGAGCAGTTTGTAATACTGATGTTGTGTATTGGAATGCTTCAAGAAAGTGTGGCAGACTTTCACAGTTCTTGTCTTTGAGGATGTAGTCTCCTATCTTATCATTGTCAAATGTTGGCAACTTCACATCCAACTCCTTTGCCAACTCTACCAATGTAGTCAATCTTATACTACCATCCAAATGTCTATGTAACTCTGCTTTTGGTAACAGTTTACATAAATCTAATGTAATAGGTTTATTCTTATTTATTGTCATTGTTGTCATTGTATTTGCTTATGTATGAGAATGAATGAATGAATGAATGTGAATGTCAGCGAATCTTAGGACTAAGATATGTTTGCGTTCTGTTACTGTAACACAAAGACACAAACACCCCTCCTACACAACACATCTGTTCAATTGAGATGAACACCTTAAAAAGTTGCCCAATAAGAATAAAAATTTAAAATATCTCTACACACAACAACAGGATTTAAGTTACCCCTTAGGGTTTCTTCAACATTGACGTGAACTTACCCCTTCAAGTCAAGTCAAGTCAATGAACCTCATTCATTCATTCATTAATTCATTCATTCATTCTTTATTATCATCCATTGGTCAATTTTATGATGTGATAATAGTTAGCATGAGTACATGTTGGATGAATTCAACAATCCATACAAGACAAGATTGAATGAATGTAAGCTGAATGAAGGATGGCGTCGTCCTACATCCACCAGCCCCTATTCATTCATTAATTCTCTCGTTCGGGAAAGAAGAAGAAGGAGAAGGGAACTTGAAATTGTCGAGCGCACAAGAGTACTTGATTGGACACACACTCTGAATGTTGCAATGTTGATTGAGAAGCCAGAACCACATGATGTGGACGCGGAATGGTCCATTCCATTGAAGAATGCTACAGGTACTTTCCACTACTTGAACTACTTTGACTGAACTTGGTGTTGAGTAGACCAGCCTGTTTGACAATGTCGTTGAGTCGTGAGGTATCCACTCGTCCAACCTCCATATCTCTGTCACGGTCCCATGAGGCTGCGGATACACGCTTGGGCGCACGTCCATCTTTTTCTTGAGCCTCTCGCTCCTTCCTCTTGTGCATGTCCATCAATGTCTGTGATCGATACTTCTCATTGTGCTTGGACATCTCTTCCTCGATCTCCTTGTTACGACTCTGTGCAAACATCTCCTTTGCCAAATCCGCTGGATTAGATCCACGTCTGTCCTGTTGTTGTTGTCGCTTCTTTGTGTCCTCCCTTGTCTCTGTCCATGAAGAAGTGTCCACTCCACCATTAAGGAATACATTCTGATTGGTACTGAATGTTCTGTTCTGCATTTGAGCTTGAGGACGTGTCAGTTGATTGATTGATTGAATGATTGATTGAGCGAGTGTATGTGCCAGGGGAGGATACATACTACCTATCTTACGATCTGTTGGCAAGGACGTCATCCATTCCTCCCTGCCACTTGGTCCCTGGCCACCACCGCCACCACTGTTTGATGTTCCTCGAACTCTATTCCACTCATCCTGAACATTGCGTTTATCATCGTCATCATCACTGCTATCATCATCATCATGTGATGGTCTTGAGGATGGTCGTGCAGGTCCAATTGAGAACGAATCATCGTCTTTGTTATCTGTGTCATCGTGTAATGAAGGACCCATAACTCTTCTAGGTTGTGATGGAGCAGGTGCTGATGGACCTATCTGTGGTCCACGTGTTCTATCTGTGTTTGTACTTGTACTTGTCTGTTTGTCGTCGTCATCATCCAATCTCGGTCCCATCACTCGTCTAGGAGCTGTAGTAGGTGCAGATGGTCCAATAACCTGCTTCTGTTCTTTCTTCTCAACAACTACATCATTGTCATCGTCTAATCTTGGTCCCATCATTCGTCTCTGTGACTGCGGCTGTGGCTGTGTTTGAGGGGCAGGTGCGGGTGCTTGTGTAGGTGCGGGAGTAGGTTGTGATGCACTCTTATTCACATCATTGGCCTTGTTATCATCGTCATTGTCTGAGGGTGGAGGAGGTCTCGCTGGTCCAATGAAGCCTGTGATTGATTGATTGAGTGTATCAGTCAGTGATCATGTTCGATGCCATTGATGTATACATGTTCATTCGACCTACTCATTATATATGTATGAGTATGTATAAGTATGTATATGTACAAGTTATAAGTATGCAAAGAATAAAGTGAATGAATGTTTCACGAGGGTTGAAGACGAGGGTTAGGGTCGCGAGGGTTGAGGGCAAGGGCGAGGGTTGGGAGCGAGGGTTTATTCTTGACAATCCAACAATCTGAGGTTATTGTGGAGTACATCTTCTAATGTTATCCATGTTATATATTGGATTGAAAGAAGGGAATGTGTATGATCATCAGAGATGACGCAGATGGCACTTGACATACTAGTTCGACGAATATGTAGCCAAGGCCGACTCTTTAAGTAGGACTTTGTTGGACGCATGTGAATAGTGGTCACGTTGGGGAAAGCCTTACATAGTATCCGTGTCACGCGCCGCACCTCAGCGCCACCTAGGTCATCCATCTTATATCTGGGCAGCTTTATCACAAGCTCCTTCAATCTCACATTCTGTCCTTGCTGTTGCAGTTTGTCAAGCTCAATGTATTCGACGAGCTGGGCCACTTCGATGTTGTTGTGGCAGTTCCCCAGATACCTGATCTGTGACATCTGACTCAGTTTCAGTCGCCAGAGAGTGCTCGGCAACACGACCTGGTCGTCCGATTGGTTGTATCGAGTGCCAATGCTCAGGGTCTGAAGCTTGGGCGGCAGCACGTCGGCCACCAAAGGTTGATTGAACCGATGACCAAACACAAGGTGATGCAGTCCTTGTGGCAGAGCACCAGGCAGCAACAACTTGTCAAACTCAGGTCCCAAGACCAGTGTTGAGAGGCCGTTTGGCAACGACCCTGGCTTGATCTCATTCTTAAAGCCTGTGCCAAAGGTGAATGTGCCTTCTTCGAGTATGAAGCGCGTGCCCAGTGACAGATGCTTGAGTGATGCGGGCAACGTGTCATTCAAGATCTGCTGTTTGAAGCCGTGATCCAACTCGAGACTGGTGAGCGACGGTGGCAACATCCCAATGTTGATATATTGATTGAATGAGTGACCAAAGCTCAGTTGCAGCAATGAGCGAGGCAGCATGTTTAGTGTGATTGGCTGATTGAATGACCATCCAAATGTGAGTGCTGTCAAGCCAGGTGGCAATGATCCAGGTGCAATCGCACTGTCAAAGCCATTGCCAAACTCAATCGATAGCAAATGATCAGGGATCATACCAATCTCAATCGGTTGACTAATACTAGGTATGTACTTTACATGAGTTAATGTTGATGGTGTCGTCTTTTTGAAGTCCTTTGCATAGTCTATGATGATGTTGTGATCGTCGTCGTTGATGTTGCTATTGTTATTGATCAAAGATGCATATGATGATAATGATGTAGGGATGTAGTTGCGATTGGATGACTCGAGACTGGATGGAGCAAGCTTTAGATTCTTCCAAGTATTTTCTCTCTTGATGATGTTATACTTTCTCTTGCAAGTGAGACTCAGACATACAATGTCCATAACATTGTTTGATAATATATCAATCAACAATCTGATTGTTATAACATTGAGTGTGTCCATGTCTTTATTTGATTGACTGATTGATCAGTTGGTTGATCACTTTGCAGTGGCAACTGATCCAGGTTTGATCAATCCCATAAATTAACAATTTCAAACTTTGTTTGATCGGTTGTGGATGTTTATGAAACTATCTTCCGGACACCTGGTACTCTGGAGAAGAATCGGTTGGCGCCAGAGTGTGGATGTGTTCGAGCATAGGCAAGTGCTCCAGCAGAGACAACAAGTGCGACAAATAGTGCACTTCCAGCTCCGATTAATGCAATTTGCCATGGCCACAAGAGCGGGTCGACATGAATTGCACCCTTCTGATCACGATTAGAGAACTCATTGTTGCGAGTGGACATGAAGTAGTACGATCCGACTCGGTCCATCTGATGCACTTCGCCATCGAATGTGTTGGAGGCGGCGTTGAGGTACGCGCAGTTCTGGGGATCGGTCTCGATGGCACCCTTGTCCTCGCCATGTTTGGCCACTAGGTCAGCTTGCGAAAGGCATCCAACTTGGTCCAAGAAGGCAAAGCGTTCACGAACATCGGGGTCGGGGAAGAGTGCATTGTCCTTAGTGTAGTCGGACTCTTTGAATGGGATGCCTTGGTTAAGCGAGTGAATCTGGATGATGTTTGATCGATCCAACTTCTTGGCTCCATTGCCCGCGTTGTCCTCGGGGTTGAAGTCGCAGCCAGTCCACTGGAAATGCACGTGCTCATTGATCTTGACGTGGAGCTGGCTGGGTGCGAACTGGTACTCAATCGCAGGGTAGGCATCCACAATGTTGCCTCGCTTTCCCTTGACCAACAAGTTCCAGATCTTGGCGTCTTTGAGGTTGGCCGGTCGGGATTTGATGGAAAACACATGTGATCGGTCTTGGAATGTGCGGCCATATTGTGCCTCATCAATGTTGAGTGCCAACGAATGTCCCTTATCACCAATGGGCACTTGGAGGTCATCAAAGATTGGTGAGTTGGCATGATTATTCTTGTAATCAGTTGCCTTTCTTCCGAATCCAACTATCTCAGCTGATGAGATGTTGTAACGTATACGCAATACACATTGACAGGTGCCCATGGCGATACATGGCTCCATGGACTGGGATGGTAGGGACCAGTTATACGAGTTGTAACGGCCACTCGACATGGACAAGCCAAGATGATTAACATGATTCCATTCGGCCTTCAAGCACTCGGGAGCGGACATACCCCATGCTCTAATATTGATTGAGTGATTGGGATAGTTCCAGTGTGAGTGATTAGAATAGTTCCATGATTGAGTGAGTGTTTGAATGATGAGTGATGGATAACATACCGCTGCTCCATCCATTTTCCATTTTGTGCGGTGCACTCAACTTCTGTGATGGGTGCCAGGTTGTCTCGGGTGGCGCCAACTCCTGGCAATACACAGTAGAACTTGGAACGGACATTCTGAGACTCCCGCTGGTAGAGAGAACATTGGTCAGTATCCCCGGTGAATATGGCAATGTCCTTCCATGGTGATGGTGCCCAGTATGGATAATAATCTCTCTCCTCGGGACACTCCCAGCCATACTGATCGCCGCCTTCATTCTGGCGTGTGAAGCGGGCCGAGTCATCCAATGTCTTGTTGGCGGTGAACAGGCCTTGGTTGCGTGCACGGGTCGTACAGTTGGTGTAGTGGTAGTATGACTCGTGCATGCCGTAGACAAAGTCTGTGCCAGCACCACCAGAGACCGCGCCAATTGCCGTGATGTTGTCGGCGTCCAGGTTGTCGACGGTGGTTCCATCGCGCACTTGGGTCATGGGGTCACCAGTGCGTTCGGTACACATGTACTGCAGGATGAGGTTGCACGTCGTTTGGTCGGAGCCACAGCCATGCTGGTTGGTCCACTCGATGGGCAGGTAGGACTTCTCGTACCAGGTGAGTATGCCACCGCGACAGTAACCGCCCTTGGCATTATTCTGTGAGTTGAATAAACGATTGTCATTCTCTCTATTAGTCTGTGGCTCTTGATTACGATCGTTTGAGCCTGGTGGTGAGTGCAAGTAGACGTCAGCAAGTGACACATCCAACATCATCGTCATCATAAATAATAATAATACTAATAATAATTGTACATTATTTCTGGAAATAATATTAATATTAATTGGATAATACATTGTTGTAATAAATAATAATAATTAATTAATTGATTGATTGATTGATTGAATGATTGAATGAGTGGAGTGATTGTATTATTAAGTGATTGGATTGATCGAGGCAAGTTCATCGTTTACCTACATGGCCTAGAGTGTTTGATTGATTGATTGGAAGTAGATAGGTAGGTGTATGTAAGGCTGTTATTTGAAACATTGTTAACAGGATGGATGAATGGATGATGTCTCGAAGTCTAAGGTCCACTAAATTGGGGTGGACCCTCGCCCCAGGACCTACCCCGCCACCACACACCCCTTTGATCGACCAGCCAACATACCAAGATGAAACGACATGGCACCTCCATCGTCATCATCACACAATTTCGTTGCGTTTCGCATCCATCCAACCATAATATCTTTAACCAACTAATATCTCACATCTTGATAATCCACCTATCAATTGCTCTGATTGATCGACATCATCATCATCATCGCACCTGTGTACCCATTTGAACATCCTATCAATGTTCTCTCTCTTTGTCCATTATCTGTAACCTTATCATCATCATGATCTATTTCTTATTCTTCTTATTCTTATTATTCTTGTGTCGTTCTTCGCTATTATATTTATTTGCCCTCGTACTTTTGCATTGTCTTGTACATCTTGTTGCCATAACCATACTTCTCCAAGAGACTCAGATGATCTTGCTTGTACATTGGTTGCAGAATGTCCTTCTCAGTCCACCTGTTATTCGTAACAAACAATCGAATGAATGAATGAATGAGTGATCATAAGTTAGTATCTTATCTTGTCTTGAATGATTGACCATGCTGTTCGTTCGTTCGTTTGATTGATTGATTGATCGTTCGAATGTGTCATCATCATCATCATTGTGAGAATCAAGCTAGCTTGACTGTTGTCGTTGAATGAGATACTGACTGTCTTGGCTTTGGCAAGTTTCTCGAGTAACATGTGTTGTGCAGACGAAGGAATGACTCGACACCCTTCATCATATTCTTTCTCTTCTTTTGTCCCATACGCCATGTATGTGATTGCTTAATTGGCTTATCAACAAGTCCACTGAATAGTGCTCTAGTTGCTGCAAACATTCTTCTTCTTCTTCTTCTTTGTTTATATTATATATATGTATGATTGTATGTATGAATGAAGAAGTTATACAACTTTACTCAAACACTCAAAGTTCTAATTCATTGTCGTTTTTTTCAAACATCACTAAAGACAGACTTACAACAAATACACACATCATTGATCACTCAATCAATCAATCAATCAATCAAATAACATAGAATATATACTTTATTATTATTAATGATGATTACAACACAATACCAACTTATTGATTAAAATATTCATTGATCTTTCTTTGATTGATTCTTTGAGATGAGACGACTGACGACTGGTCGTCTGCTAATCAATAATCATGTTGGTTCATTCTAACTCAGGAAGCTGAGTTAGGTCTAAAGGATCATAAATATGATTGGTGCTTGGAAAGGGTGAGTACAGAGTGTCCAAGTCAATGAAGCAATGATGCCCAACTAATTGGTCGCCCATTGACCGATTTGTATGTTCGTCATCAGGTCAACTCCAACTCCCATTAATCAATCAATCAATCAATCAATCAATCACATGACTGATGACGAACTATCCACAACATCACTATTATCTATCTACGATTTGGTAGCTTATTTTGGATACATTCTGGGCCTCCTGTCGTGTTGATCCCCAACAACCCCATTTTATAACGCCCAATCAAATTTGTTTGATTGTATTGTACCGAAAACAGTAGGTGCCCAGGTGTGATCAGGACCAAAGTCGCAGATTACCTGGGGTTGGCCATTCCCCAATAAGTAATGGCAATGGTCTAAACCCGCTGGAATCTAAAAGGTGGGAGGCGAGGGTCGCGACCTTCGTTTCACAGGGGGTAGTACCTTCACGCGTCCATCCTTCAAGCATGCATGACACGGCCAACCCCGAGGGATGGGGTATAGGGTAGGTCGAGAGTGGGAGGAACCTCCCTTGGACAAGGCGTGGTCATAGTTAAGTCGATGGATTGTTGAAGGATCTGAGAGACAGAGTGTATTTATGTATGCTACTTAGAGGAGTGTGACGGGCTAACATTAAATGATTGATTGATTGAATGTGATGTGAATGAATGAATGATTGTGGTTGTGTTGTGTTGAAGGGGTTGATTCCGTGTGGCCCCCTTGGTATCTCTCTCTCTATCTTCTCTCTCTCTTTGACTAAAACACACTCATTCATTCATTCATTCATTCACTCTCATTCATTCATTCATACTCTCATTCACTCGATCACTCGATCACTCAATCACTCATTCATTCATTCACTCTCATTTACTCTATCATTATGTGTTTAAACAAACAATAAACATCAAAGAGATAATAACAAACATACAGATACAAGTTGATATAGAACCAAACCGAGATATAGGTGTATATATTTATATTTATATTATATTTATTTATTATTATTATTACTCCATGTATAACAACAGCTATAACTACGTCAATTATAGCAACAATAACCATCATCATCACAACAACAGCTATAATCATAATAATAATAATCATAACTATAACATCAACAATATCGAACCATTTGATGGTATTGAAATGATCCCACCACCCAGCAACGTCGACGTAGGAGCCGGCGTCGGCTATGGTTTTGGCGCAGGAGGGGTAGGAGGAGGAGTAGGAGGCAGAGGAAGAGGCAGAGGCGGAAGCGGGAGCGGACACATCCCCGTCCCCATCCCCATCCCCAGCCCCAGCCCCAGCCCCTTCTCTATCCCCTTCTCTATCCCCGCCCCAGTCCACGACGTTGACAGACTGAACGAAATGCTGAATTGGTTTCGCAAGCGTATCGCACATCTCCTATCATGCGAAGAGATCATAGATCAGCCAGAGGGTCAATACAAAGTAAACATGCTGTTTGAAATTATCGTGGAGATCATCCAAAACCATGGTGCCACCTTAACTGATCCCATTGTCGAGGGCTTGGACCTTATCTTGGAAAACAGATATAATCTGTTTGGCAATGCTCAGCCTCCGCCAGACTATTACGTAGTACTGCCTCCGCCCAACTAACTCATGAGCAGCAATCATTCATACCAAGAATTCATTCAATCAATCCAAACAAACAAACAATCAATCAATCAATCAAATAATCAGTGCAACTGGAAGGGAGAGAGAGAGAGAGAGAAAGGATGATTCAGGAATCATAACACAATATCATAATCAGAGATTGGAAGAATATCATTCCAAAGACAATGACCTGCCCAGAGATTGGCTCCCCGACACAACACAAACAGAGGCTTCCATTCTAACAGTACTACTTACTGTAATCCACTCTTTGGAGATGGGAAGCTTATTAACCTACAGCACTTACTGGACTCGGACCGAACCGTACTTGACTTGAACTGGAAATGGACGGGACTGGACCTCGCTTGGCTGACTTACCTTGGCCAAGACAATAACAATAAACAAACTGACAGACAGGAGACAGATATGAGTGGATGGCCACTTCATGAATAATGCATTGGCACCTTCATAGTCACCCTGTCAGAGTTAACAACGACATCATCTTTGCCTCAAAGGCCTTGGACTTCTCAGCAATCAATATATTGATTGATTGTCCTTGACGTCGTCGCCTCTCCCCTCATCAGTCTTTTCATTCATCTCATCTTTTATTTATGAATGATTTTCATTCATTTTTTGAAAGCCAACTCCTTCCTCCCAACAACATCATCAACCCCCCCTTGTTGTGGAACACACCTCGAGAGAAACACACTTTGAATTGACATTGAACATTGGACATTGGATTGAGTGACGCAACAAAGATAGAGATACATTGATACATAGACATAGATAGATAGAATACATAGAGATAGTGAGATAGATACGCATAGAGATAGATAGATTGAGATAGATATATATACTCAAAGTGTCAAATGAGGTAGAAGTACTCAGTGTCGACACTCAACCAACAGACACTTCAACATCAACATCATCACCAATCACATCATCATCACCATCATCATACATATACACAATCAACCACACAATCAATCACAAACATACAGACAGACACATCCATACATACAATGATGGACAGCAACAATACCAACAACAACAGCAGCAGCAGCAGTAGCATAGGCAGCGTCAATGGCAACAACAATAACAATAACAACATTAATAATAACAATGATAATAGTAATCAGATAGATGTTGCTACTGCTGCAGCGGCAGCAGCAGTCAGTGCAGAGAATACAAAACAACTGCTTAGAAGACGCTCTGCCAGTGATGTATGTCCAACCTTTGACTCTAAACGCCCATTCCGATTCTATTGGGCCAACGACGACCACATGTACTGGACATTCTTGTTGGATGCATCCAATACAGGTAAGCAACTTGATTGATTGATATCTTATGATCACTCACTAACTCAATCAATCACACTCAATCAATCAAATCAATGAATGAATAGTTCGTGATATAACAGAGGGATTGAAGTCTAAGGTACCATCAGGCCAGAACATCTACCTTTACAAACGTACAAAGGGCAAGTTTGGACGTACAAAGGATAGGAGACTGTCAAACGAGGATAGGATATGGGATATAGTGGACAAGCGAAGAGATAATAATAAGTCCGACCCGACATTCGTCGTCAAGAAGAAGAAGGCATCGTCTCTGAACGTCTCGCTGTCGACACCCAGCAGCAGCAGTAGCAATAAGAAGGGCCAAGTGGATGACGCACCCTCCCCACTCAGCTACTCGGGTGAGCTGCTCAACACGAGCACCAGCAGCAACACCTCGTCGTCCTTGGTGTCTTCGGCATCGGGCTCGGCCTCTACTTCTACAACGACCACCACTACCACAACAACTTCAACCTCAGCAGTATCGCCTACAACACATACAAGTGGCATCAATAACAACAACAACAACTCAAGCACGACACCACCCGTTGCCACGCCACCTATGCTGCCATTCCTCAACACATCGCCCGTGCAACAACGTAATGGGCTAAGGACAACGATGGAGATGAAGCCTCCACCCACAACAACAACATCGGAGAATGATCAATCAAACGAATCGACGTCGACTTCGACTTCACAGCCGCAACATCAGCAGCAACATCAAACACATATATACATTCAGCCGTCGAAGCACTCGTCACTCAACTTGAAGTCACCAAGCACCGCAGGACGCACGGGCCAGACGACCAAGGCTATCAAGGAGCAGCAGGCATCGTTTGCCTCGCCGCCCTCCTCTCCTGTCGTCGCTTCACAACACACAAGCGGTAGCGGATCCTCACACTCACCATCAAAGCCACCCAAGCCTCTGGTGCCGCTGGTCAACATCAGTGCTACAGGCCCCGTCACGGGCTCCACCGGCAACAGCAACAACAACGCGATTAACAGCACAGGTAGTAGCGCAGGTGGCCCAAGTCTTAACTCGAGCCTTGGCGGCAGCGGAGGAATGCCGCGTCCTGCCAGCCCCAACCCGATCGCCAAGCGTCTGGAGGGCACAAACAGACGCTCGGGCAAGTTGTCTCAGGACAACTCAAAGGACGTGATGCGCCTGATGCGCTTCTACTTTGGCGACTTCAACGTGTTTGGTGGACTGACCAACAATGATGGAGGCGGACGTTTCTTCACCCTCGCCCTGCTCAAGGAGACGACGGCACGTGACGTTGGCATCTCGGTCGAACAGAAGCTGCAACTGCCGCCCAACTCAATCAATGTGGTGCTGGTGTTGCCCATCCAGTCCAACGGCTCAAAGATCGAGCGCATGCTGGGAGACGAGGAGCTGATCATCGACGTCAAGGACACGTGGGAGGACCCCGCGCAGACATTCTTCATCGTCAAGGAGAACGACCAAAAGTCGCGCAACAAGAAGCTGCCCAAGCAGCTGGCGGACGTCCAACAGCACAACGTCATCCCAAGCGAGTGGCGTCGCAGTACTGATGCGATCAGTCTGCGGAACACAGCGGAGGACAGCTGGAAACGACGCTCGATCCCCATCTTCCTGCAGGTGCTGCCCGGCTCCCCGCACGCCAAGTCCAACGGCGTGGGACCCTCACCGCTCTCGTCCGAGTTCAATGACTATTCTGGCCCCGATCACTCTGCCGACAAGTACGACGACAGCGACGACGAGGACGCCTCTGAGCTGGACGTCACTGAATTGATGGGCTGGGCCCATCTGATCCCCTCGCAGGACCTCGAGTACATCAAGCGCATTGGCTCTGGCACATACTCAAAAGTTTACAAAGGCCGCTACATTGACAAGTTCGTGGCGATCAAGACACTACGTGGCAACATGACACCCGAGCAGATACAGGGCTTCAGGAAGGAGTGCGACGTGCTCAGCACCATCAAGTCGCCACACCTCATCTCGTTCTACGGCTCATGTATCGAGGACAGTCAGCTGAGCATGGTGGTGGAGTACTGCAGTCGTGGCACGCTCTACAAGGTGCTCAACACCAGCTTTGACTTTGAGTGGGACAAGTGGTTCCGCTGGATGATTCAGGTGGTGGAGGGTGTGCAGTACCTGCACAACATGAACCCGCCCATGGTGCATCGCGATCTCAAGACCCTGAACATCCTGCTGTCAGCCGAGTACAACACCAAGCTGTGCGACTTTGGCCTGACACGTACCATGACCATGACCAACGTCAGCACGCTGGGCATGCTGCGTGGCACAATGGCCTACACTGCGCCCGAGATCTATGATGGCATGCTGTTCAACACCAAGTCCGATGTGTACTCTCTCGGCGTGATCATGTGGGAGCTGGTGCAACGCTGCATCACTGGCGCCTACCAGCGACCCTTCCACGACTATCCAATCTCGATGGACATCCAGATCATCATCCTGACATCCAAGAACAAGGTGCGACCCAAGCTTCATGAAGGCTGTCCCGAGCGCTTGAAGAATCTGATCACAAACTGCTGGGACCAGGATCCAAACACGCGTCCCACCACCTCTGATCTCTTGTCCGAGCTCAACGCCATCAAGAAGCAGGTGATGAAGATAGTAGAGAAGAGTGGGAGGTCTTGCGTACAAAAGACTGCCAAGACTGTACAGTTACAGCAACAAACAATTGTTACAGCAAACAACAGCAGCAGCTACAACAGCAACAGCAACAACAGAATCCGACGATAATCACTACCTCTGCCGCCCCAATCTCATCAGTTGGTAGTCTCAGGGCAAGTCCATCGATCACATCAATTGCCGAGGAGACAAGTGTTCCAGAGGCATTGCCAGAGGTGTCAGCACCTGTACCATCATCATCAACAGCAGCAGCAGCATCGGCAGCAACAGTGGAGACACCGGCAACAGCAACGCCAACACCTGAGGTCATTCCTCCTCCAGCAGCAATAGTAGAGAGCACTACTACATCCACAACAAACGACAATGACAACAACAACAACAATGGTACCATTAGTGTAGATAACAGTCACAATCATTGTAATAATAGCAACAACAACTCCACCACAATCGACACCAACACAATCAATCAACAACAACAATGTAGCATAGACGTCAATCATATAGACCAACAACAGGACATCACTGTGGCAGTTCAACAAAATGACAGTGATCATTGTACAAACATTAGTAATAGTAACAACAACAACAACAATAGCGATAGCGATATCAATACTGAGCTTGCTGTGGCGCCAACACCAACACCAACATCAACATCAGCGATCACCTCAGAGGTATCTGATACCATTGGCATGGAAGCAGCGATCACAGATCATTCATCATCGCCAACAACATCAACACCAACAACACCAACCATACCAACAACAACAACTATGAGTACAGAGTCGAGTGCTATGTCACCACTCGATGTTCCTGTCGCGGAGTAACACGAGAACACTCCACCAAAAGCCCTTACCGGTAGTTGTTGCGGAAGAGGACGAAACATATATAACAAATAACAACACCCAACCTCTTATTTATCTCCACTTGGAGCGCACTGACTGGCCTTCTTGCCTCACCTCTATGGGATGGACCATCTTTATTACATTCATTCATTTCAACTCATCTCACTTCAGTGACATCACTTCCACACTTTGGCATTGACAACCCACACACACATCACACTCTAGTCATATGACTTTCAAGATTCATCATCACCAGACGACACCACATCACACACTCACACACACTCAAATACATCTTGATGTGTGTGATGCAATGAATGATAGTTGTCGTTGGACAAACCTATTCTGGGAATAGGGTGACAAGTTCATCAATATCACATGTCATGCGGATGTTTCCAAATCTAGTCAACACATAACAAACACGACATCTGTATCTCCACATTTCCAATCACTCACTCAATCTTCAACATACCCCTCAACGTCCTATCCTACTCCATTTCATTCCAATTCAGAGGTGTACCAATTGATAATTATTCGTATCATTATGTTGTGGTCCTCACCAATGTCACTACTCACTCAACTTCCACTTCAACTTCCACTCATTCATTCGCATCCCCAACATCCATGGTAAGGTGGATGGATGAGGATTATGGTATGGATTATGATGTTGCTCTGTGCATCGGAGTGAGCAAGATCACATGTGTAATTTACAACTTTCACTGCATTGCAATGAATATCCACTCACTCACTCAATCAACTTCTCTCCCCTCACTTTATACTATCACTTAACAAAGCACAACTATATTATTACTTACTTTTTTACTTGATTACTCCTTTCACATGGCGGATATTATAAGAACTTACACATCTAACCCCAATAATAACAACAACCATAACAATGTCAACACTCAACAGCAACAGCAATCAATGCCCAAGAAGGATCAAGACGCCATCTTGGGATTAACATCATTCAACTTTAATCAATCATCATCATCATCTACATCATCATCAACATCTTCATCAACCAGGGACATCTCACCAACAAGTCTTCCTCCAATAATAACACTTCCAAATGCTAATGGACAATCCTCAAAGTCCAAGCCAATATCACCAACCAACTCCAACTCAAACACAAACTCAACAAACATGAGAAACACAAATATCAAACTCGAGTCAATCGCATCCAGACTTGGTACACTCCCTCCAGCATCATCCTCAAACAACACATCTACATTGCCATCACCAAACAAGTTACCATTCAATCCATTCAACTCAATCTCAAACTCAATTTCAAACTCACTCAACTCAAACTCAAACACAAGTTCCAACTCAAAGTTACCCAACCTCACACATCAACCTTCAAAGAGTGCATTTATTGCTTCGTTCCTGCATGAATTGAACCATCCTCAAGAGTACATTGGTGACTCTGGTGACTTGGACAACCCCGAGCAATATTATTGCAAGTTCTGTGACAAGACCTGGCCCTCCACTTACTTCAAGAACAAGCAATCATTTGGCGCACACTGTTCCAACTGCTCACGAAAGAGAAAGCAACGCGATGAGAGCTTCCCATTCGTACCCGAGCTGAACTCGGACAAACGCCACCGCAACAATCATAGTAGCCGGCTGGGAGATGAGCCATCATCAGACATGGAGGACAGCGACTCATGGTCTACCTACGCCTCCGAGGACATCCATCGCATCCCCTCATCTTCGCCCTTCTCACCCAGCCAGCACCAAGGCACAAGTTACTCCTCGCCCACGTTCTCACCGTCCAACGCGCTGCCCACGGAAAGTCTTCGCTTCTCATTGCTCGATGTCGTCGAGGACAAGATTGCCGAGGAGAATGAGATAGAGTACATGAAGAAGGACTTGAAGAACCTGGTGAGTGAGATCCTAATCCAGGACTTCAAGAAGGAGAAGGAGATCAATGACCTCAAGGTGAACTTGTCGCGCGAGATCAAGGAGACAGAGGTGCGTGTCATGGAGGACATCACCGAGAAAAAGAAAGAGGAGGAGCGTCAACTGGCCACAATTAAGGAGGAGCTGCTCCTGGAGTTCCGCCAGCAAGAGAAGCAGTTGATGGACAAGATTCGCGCGGCCAAGGAAGCACCAGAGTCCAAGGAATTGCTGGAACAAGTGGACCGCACACATTCAAATCTTAAGCGACTGGTGAGTGAGCGCATTACAATGATGAACAACGCCATGATGACTCAGGAGCGAGAGCTGATGCGTCTTGTCACCCTGGAGACCAAGGAGTGCGAGAAACATGTACATAAGAAGTTTGATGGCATCAGGAAAGAGTTGAACGACTTCACAGAGGGACTGGCATCGTCCTTTGAGCTCATTGAGAACATAGTAGGAGGCAGTGGCACTGGCATCAATCAATCAAACACATCATCATCTATAAGTGTTAGAGATGCCAGCGTTGGAAGTGGAAGTGGAAGTGGAAGTAGTTTCATCAGTGGACCAGTCATCAATAGAGTAGTGTCCACATGAACAACCAATTGGATTAATAAATAATCCTTGTACAATAATTATAATATTAATGATGGGTGGGGAGGGGGATCGTACCGATCAATAATCGATTTCAATAATTGTTGTTGATATGAGAAGGATGTAAGCCGACTCACCTTCATTATCATTTGATACTTATATAATTATTATTTATATATTTGGATATATTCTAGGATTAATTAATATGTCAATACAACAACCATTTGAATGGGATTTATTAAAGAACAATTTGATCTATCTCAAAGGTAGATATGCTCATACAGGATCAAATATTGGTAGATATATATATTAATGAAATATTAAGATTCGATATCTACACAAGAGTGTTTGAGATGTTGGAGATGAACGATCCAGTACCAAAAATCTCCAAACACTCAGCAGTTGTCTACAACAACAAAATATATACTTTTGGAGGATTTGATGGAATATCTAAAAGACATGGTCTCTGTGTCTTTGACCTGGTAAGTTCAAATATATTATAATCGAATCWMAATTTATTAATATTATTATTTAAATAAATAGAGAATCGATCATGGACTGAACTTAATAGTTTTGGTAATATTCCAGAACCTAGAACAAGTCACGCTGCCTCTGTATCTGGAAATAGGATGTACATGTTTGGAGGAGTGATCAAGATTGGAGAAGATCCAGCAAACAATGACAACTTAAGTTTTTTCAATGATTTATATCGATTCAATTTTGATACAATGACAATGACAAAATTGGAGCCAAAAGGTGATGTTCCAGCTCCAAGATGTGGCAATCGTCTTTCTCTCGATTGACAACCTAATAATATTATATGGTGGGGGATCTGGGAGAGAATGGGACAAGAAGTATAATGATGTTCATATCTACGATCCTCAGACAAACACCTGGACACTCCTGGAAGTAATTGCATTTGTTTTTCTTTTGGACAAACAATATATGTCTATGGTGGACAATTAAAAGATGATCCTTATAACACCAACCAATAATTCAAGATGAATCTGAAAGACAGAAAATGGACCGAAATCAATTTGATGAAAGTAGAAAATCCATACCCTCAAGATCTATCATCAGGTGTCATGGTAGGGTTGGATTTATTCCTTTTTGGTGGACTGAGATATGATCCAATAAGTTCAATGTATCATATTATATTGAAAGAATAATAATAATAAAGTATTAAATATACTTGTTTTATTAGTAACATTGGCTTTTAGTGAACAATTGGAATGATCTTTTCTGAAAGTTCACATCCATAACCTTTATGAATAAGTATCAATCCATTTTGATTTGATATTCTCCTTCCTTCGATGAATATTATATTGTCAGAGTAGATATATCTTTGGGAAGATGGGATAATACACATTAGAAAACTAAGCATATTTTCAATAATAGTACTATTAAGTATATCTTCTGGAGATGGGTTCCATTTGACTGGTTGTATATCCAGGTCCTTTTTTAGATAAGAGAGCTTCGATAAAATCCTTTGATAAAGAGTCTTTATCGAAGTTGATGTAAGATTCCTTTGATAATGTTTTCAAAGAAAGAAGATGGGAATATGTAACTTGGATTTCAGAATAAAGTATTTCCAGAGATAATGAATTTAAATTATTTGGAAAGTACCCTGGTAGATAATAATCATTATACATATAATTATAATGTTTGAAAGATGATCGTATACATTTGATTGATCTAATTGATTTTGGAAGCAAATTTGGTTCTCCAAAGAATACTTCATTAAATCTTTCGAAGCAATATATTTTAACTAATGATTTAGGTAGAAAAAATGGACTAAAAGATATTAGTTGATGATTCAACCTCAGACTAGTGATCGAGTTTGGTAATTTTATCATTGAGGATAGTATGGAGCCAAGAGTAAGTTTTGTAACAGAGGTTGGAATGTTAAACATTATGGAATTATGGATTGTCAAGTCCGTGAGTGTAGATGGAAAAGTAAACTCTTCTTCACCTTGGTATTTAGTAATAAATAGATTCTTAATAGGCAAATTACAAAATAGTGAATTAATATTACTAATTGATCTGAATATGAATGATGATTCACCTCTAAGTTTGTTCAAACTTGCATGAACTGATGAAAAGTACGGACTGAATGATACATGGAGAAACTTCAAAGTCCTCAAACTGGTAGGTAGGTCCTCCAATGAATGGTGGTACTCCTCACCAAGAGTTAGGCTCAGAAGACCTTTTGGAAGTATTCCTTTGGGAATATCTACATTGAATTTACCTCCAAGATAAAGTTTTGTTAAAGAATTTGGTAGAGAATTAATTGGTTTGAATTCTTTAGTTGATGCTATCACTGTAAGAGATAATAAACAAGTTGGCCAAGATAATATAATGTTTGATGGTTCTGGAAATGGAATTCTAAATTTGGTAATATTGGTTGAAAGTGGAAGAAGTCCTGATAATTCTTTCTCATTTGTATCAATTATTAATTTTGTAGTGGTATTTGGAATAAGATCAAATGATGAAGTTAATGATGACGATGATGATAGTTGAGTTAGTTCTTTTAATTTATGTTCAAACATATATTTTGTAACTATTTTATCATATTTTTTACATGTTATTCCAAGACATAACTGATCCAATCCATTATCCAAATGTACTAATATATTTTTTATTATTATTATAGGTACTCGATCCATGTTATATTATTTGTAAAGATACTTGGGTTGAATAATAAGATGACCATCAAGTAAAATAAATAATATTTACCATGTTCAAAGTTCCTAGGAAAATCCAGATATTAGATTAAGTTAAATATTTGAATGAATAACAAACAGATTTAGTTCGATAAGTGCACATTTAATTAAGGTGAGTACTATGATGATGGTTTAAACCAATGATCGTTGTTGGTGGTATCTATCTGTCGATCGATCAATCAAATGGTGGTGGCTGATGCCAGCTGGTTGTATGCTGCTAGCTCGGTTCGATATGTCTCCCACTCGAAGGGAGTTTGGATGTTGCACGACAGCAACAGAGCTGGCATGAGAATGACTGTGGCACCAACACAGGTGTACGTGAACAGCTTTCCAAATGCCTCCACCGTTGGCGTCACTATCGCCTTCTTCTTTGGCGTCGACGCCACGCTCGAATACACTATGTAATATAACTTCTTTGACAATGTCTTGGCAATCAAAACAACGACAACACCTATTATGGATGTGAGTGAGTTAGTGATTGATTGATTGATTGATTGAATGAATGTACTTGGACCAACTTACAGAATACCAATCTAACAAGAGCCAAGATATAAAGATGATCCTTTAGGAAACCATATTGAGAACCAGCATACTCTTGGAAGAATTGGGGAACACGAGTGTTGGAGTTGATCCAGGTGGCAAAGAATGCTCCGAATGCTGTACCAGTGACCAGACCAGACTCTGGGTAGGCAGGTGATGGTACCTTGGGCTGTGGATGCAGCAGCAGGACGATGCAGCAGAGCAAGAAGCCACACATGGGCACGGCCCAGCTGCCGTTGAGAAGCAAGCCGACATAGACGTGTCGGTAGAATGTGAATATCGCAATGGTCAGCGATCCAATGATGAAGCCGCCTGCGACGTCCATTGGCGTGTGGTGGCCGTTGTACACGCGGCTCACCATGACGCTGACTATGCTGGTCACAACGAGGATCAGCGCGACGGGGTAGGGGATGAAGGGGTTCTGCACCGGCAAGATGTGATAGAAGAACAGGAAGTAGTAGAACTGCAGCGACAGCGAGGAGGAGGTGTGCGTCGAGGGCATGCCGTGGTCCATCTGTGGCGATGTGTTGGTCCACACCGCTGGGTATGGTGGACGCGGCAGCAAAAACGTGTTCTTCAGTATGTTGCCTGTGGCGATCGACATTGCCAGCATAATACACAGCTCTGCCGCTAGCATTCTCGACAAGAACCAAAACGTCATTGGCATCGAGAGGATATAGAACTCCTCCTCGCCCAAATAACTAGCGAATCCAAAGTATTTATCCAAGTATTTGTTCCTGTATGACTATGTTATTGTTGCGGCGCGCCGTGTCCAATGTTAGACCAACCATGTCCCTGTTGCTCTCGCTCTTCCCTGTCATCATCATCATTGTGATTGACCGACTTACCTGAAGCTTCAGAACGAATGGCACCTCTCGCTCGTACTCCTTGTACAATGCAGACCTCAATGAAGAGACTGAGAGTGGTACGCCTTTGGAGTGATGGTTGTCATCCTTCTTGATGGCGGGTACACTGCTGCTAAAGTTGCTACTGCTATTCTTCTTTAAAGAGTTTGTTGGTGGTATAGGTTGAACACAATCCATTGTATCTATCTCTATCTATATATATATCTATGCTATCTGTCCAAGAGGTTACAACAATGTATCATTCAGACAGATGTATGATCCGATCAACTTAATCGCTCCGTTTCTTTTCGTTTCGTTCGTTTCCTTTTCGTTTCGTGATTGATTGATTGATTGATTAACAATGCTGTATACAGTCGAGTTGAGAAGAGTCGAGTCGAGTCGAGTTGATTGATTGATTGATTGAGTTGTGCAATGAGGTCGCGGGCAGTTCCAAGATTACAATGTATTATAAGAGTAATATGATGGATATTTTGAATGTTAATAGACTGAATATATTATAGAGGTGACCTCAGACACCAACTTCCTCCCATTCATTCATTCATTCATCATTCATTCATTCATTATCATATACATACGCAAAGATGCAATTGACTGACCAAAGTATCAATGTTATATGTTATGTATCAATGTTATAATGATATATGTATATTGACAACGCACACACACGTGAAATGAGATAAAGAGTGAGACAAAGAGAGAGAGAGTGAACGAATGAATGAAAGAATGAATGAATTAATGAACAATTCGTCACCTCACATAGTTCCAACCCTCGCTAACTCAACTGGCCCACTCCCTCAAACGCACACACACGATACATTCACACATTCATTCATTCACTCTCATACTGCCCACAGCCGACATGTCCTCACTCACTCACACACTCTCCATCGATCACCCCGCCTATCCAGGAAGGGGAAGAACCCTTTGTTTACACACATTTATTTGAATGACCACAACGGAGACTTGTTGCCTCGTTCGCGCTCTTTTGGTTTTGGACTCGACTCTGAATGTCGTCATTCCTATCCAAGGTTAGATAATTTTGATGTAGAGAGTGTGTGAGTGAGAGTCGTGTCTCAGTAACCTCCATTACCAACCAGCGACGGTTCCAACCAACCAACCAGGTGAACGGGTTAGGCGTGCACACGCATTCAACAACAAACAAATACTCATTGATTAATTAATTTGAAGATGTGACAAACATTATTACCTAATAAGCCTGTAAATCTAAGACAGATCCGGGATATAACCCAACATAATAATGATTTTCCCTTATTACTAAGACAATGATGTTCTAATTATCTAAATGTAATATTGTTGTTGACTGATTGATTGATTGGATGATTGAATGAACGAACGTATAAAGGAGGCCATGCTAAACCCTTGCCCTCGCAAACATACCCTCACAGAGATTCCCTCGCACAGTTTTTTGACTTGAAGTTTTTTTCGAAAATTTGTAATTCATTCATTGTTCACTTTATTACTTCATGTACAGATAGATAGATAGATAGAATAAGGAGATGACGTCTGTACAAGGAAATACAAATCATCTGAGGCAACTACAGATTGATGCTGCAAGAAAAAAGACGATAAAGAAGTACTTGTTGAAGAAAGTAAAGGTTGATAGAGATAATGATGCAATAGAGACTGCAAAGAAGACTGAACTACTGCGGCAACAAGAACAATTGAATGCTGCCGCCGCTGCTGCAGCTACAAAGAATGGTGGTGACGAGAGCAATGTAGTTGATATCGTATCTAATGGTGCACCTGCTGCTGCTGCCGCCGCGGCAGCCACGAGCGACGAACATAGTATCGCAGATGACAAGGCAGAGTTGGAGAGAAAGAAAGAGGAACTAAAGAAGAAGCTGGAGCCTCTCGAGAAGAAACTGGTCGAGTTAAACACGAACAAGGAGTCACTGTTTCTGTTGCTCAAGGTGATATTGAGCGAGGAGGATAGGAAGAAGAAACAACAGGAGGATCTGCAAAAGATGCAGAGGCAGCAGTTGCAACAACAACAGGCAATGTTGCAACAGCAACAACAACTTCATCAACAACAACTTCAACAACAACAACAGCAACAACATCCACAACATCAACAACATCCACATTATCCTCAACCACATCCATACGCACCACAACAACAACAGCAAGGTGGCAATCACTTCCTACATATGTCATCACCAAATCTTGGATCATCACTCAATAGTATGGGTGGCTCATTCAACCATCAGGGCAGCGCAAGCGGAGAATATCCTTACGCCAATCGTGACCGTGAGCGTGAGCGCGACCGCGATCGCGACCGTGACTCAATGTCGCATCAATCACCATACTCATCTGCCAAGATGCCACAGCCCTTTGAATCACCTCTGACCCCGGTGGATGGCTACCAATCAATGTCCAGCCACTTCTCTCCGTCCTCACCGTCACCTTCATCAGCGTCACACGATCATTACAAGCAACCGCCACCTCCACTGCCGCATCATGGTGGCGGCTATGGACGATACAACGACTCAAAGGACAACAGAATGAGTCCTTACTCGCGACCAATGGACAAGAGTCCCTATGGCTATGGACGCGATCGCCCGCTTGGCCCACCACCAGGGCCAGGCGGCCCCGATCCCAGAGATCGCGACAGAGACAGAAGCATGCCACCCGATTATGATCACTTTGACGACAGGGCGCCACCATATTTCAACAGAGGATACGGCGGCAACTATCAACGAGGTGGAGGTCCAATGGGTCGAGGTGGGCGCATGGACAATCATCGAGGTGGCTATTGGAAGTAAAGCAATTAGGTCATCACCCCCACACAATGTACAGAACAATGGATCAATCAATCACAGGCGATGAAAGGACCACGATGGTCCCAATAAACATCCCCCAAATGATGTTACAACAACAGGTATTACGCAGTTTATTGAGATGAAGGATCAAGAGAGTGGACTCATACTTGGATATTTGATTCCCAACGACTCGATCTTGTCCTGCATCTGAAGGTACAGGATGGTGTTTTCGGCATCCATGCGTAAGCCTCCAAACATGTACATGTTGGAGCCAACCATGTTGCCAGTGGCCATGTCTCGTGGGTATGGTGCGCAAATAGTCTCAATCCGGGTCCACTCCATGCTGACTGTGTCCAGCATGTATAGGTCATTTGATAGAGTGTCGTCATGGAAACTCTGGCCGCCATAAACAAAGAAGAATGGACCGACGTTGAAGCAAGTGCTAAACGTACACACTGATACCCTGCCCTTGACCACCACCTTTGTCCAATGGTTCATAAGAGGGTCGTAGATATGCACGTCATTGAACTTGCGACCCCAGTTGGGTCCCGAGCCACCTCCAAACAGCAACAACTTGTTCTCGAGAGTAATGAGTCTGTGGCCACATCTTGGTGGTGGGATATCGCCTGATGGGAACAATCTGGTCCAGATCAAAGTGTCCACATCCAATCGATACAAGTCATTGAGGAACACCAATTCCTTGGCATCATTCTTGTACATTCCTCCAAAGATGTACATTGATCTGTCCATTGCTGTGGCTGCATGATTGGTCCTCGGAATTGGTAAGTTTCCTCTGCAGTCAATATAGTTCCATGTTCGCTCAACTGTGTCAGTGGAATGAGTGAGTGATAGGCGTTAGTGATCAATCAAAATTATTGTATGGCGATCAAAAAAGTCATCAGTCAATCAATCAGATATTAATAATTCACTGAGTTTGATCAATATTAACGGTGACTTACTCGTATCAAACATGCAGAGGCTATAATGCTTGCTGAATCCATCGAATCCACCAAAGGTATATATGTTGTGATCGATGCCTACAGCAGCATGCCTGGCAAACTTTGGCATTGGTCCACTGTTCAACTCCACCTTCTCGAATGAATGAGAGACTGTGTCGAACCTATATATTTCATCGAATCTCTCTTCTGCCGTCTTCTGGCCACCAATGTAATAAATATATTGTCCAATCAATGTACTAGTATGCTGATAACGACCTGATGGTTTGTCACCGGATGCACTAATCTCGATCCAACAAAGACCATCTGTTTGACTGTTAATTAGTACCTTGTATGGGCAACTCTGATAATCATTCCCTCATGCTTATACTTACTAACACTATTCAAAAGGGACATCTTCCTTGAGTAGTATTCCTTCCAGCTTGGGAGGCATCGACGTTTGAATACAGGGGATAGACTCCATTTTCGTTTACAGATGGACTTCCATATTGTGTTCTCTTGGCAGAAGCGATGAAGTGTCTGACTGGTCATCTGCACTGCGTTCAGATCCTTTGGCTCCAACTGTGACAGGATTCTCAAAGATACCTCGTTTGGCATCAGTTCCAAAAAGTTTAGTTGTATTTGTACATCTGAATCTTTATCTTCATCACATGATGATGATGAAGATGATGAGGATTCTGGTGTAATAGGTCCTACTAATGTCCATCCATCATATGATGACTGGATCATTATACCAGTATTACATGTTGTGGCACTTTGTTCAATCGTACATGTTTCCATCACAACATCCATTTCAACATCATCCTTCATAATTATATCAATTGATGACCCATTTGATGAGTCCTCTGTCCTTTCAATTCCATCATGGTTGTTAATGTCCATGGGTGATGTAGTAAGGTATATGATCGATGGAGTGTGATCAAAGTGATATAGTAGTATTATATGTATGATTGATGGAATGATTGAGGTGATTGATTGTCTTATTTTACTGTGTAATAGTACTTGTATGTCGTTTGATTGTTTGATTGAATGAGTGTGACCTCCAATCACTTTGTCGTTCATTCGGTTGGTTCAGATGTATTTTTGGGGCCTTTTGCAATAGTCTAGAAGACATCCAATGCTATCGATGGCATTGGGTTTCTCGATTTTGTTCGACCCATGTCAGAGGCATTATTAGATTGATCGATGGGCCACCCCCCAATCACCACAAGACAGATGGGACATGCCCTCCAACCGACAGTTTTTTGAACAATCTCATCACTTTTCTATTAACATAATTTTGACTTTAGATTTGATTCGACTCGATATATATGTTTACTTCGGAACCAACATCACTCAATCCTACCTTATTATTAGTTGAACTAAACATTAATTAATATATATATACCCTGTTATTCATTTATTATTAAAGTTTAGAAGTGATCTAACATTATTTTGATTTCGTCATGACCTCAAAGGGAAAAAGATGGGCAGAGGAGGGAGTGGATATCCACTCATGGAACCCCAGGGTTGTAGCGGGATCATGATCTTTTATTAATATCTTAGGATATGGTTGTTTTTAAATCACCTCCTTTTTGTTCCTTCATGTCCTATCATGTCCTGTGTCCGCCACCCTGTTCCAATCTTGACATATAAATGTGTCTGCCCCGCCGTAGTAAACTGATGAGGTCACGACCTGACATGAACTTGAACTGTTTAGTATCAATGACTTGACATAACTGAGCTTAACTTAACTTATGTTAAAAAGCTAACAAATATGAAACAGTTACTATTATTCCTATTCCTATACTTGCTAGCCAATGGTATGTGATGTTTGAACATCATCAAATGGAATAGATCCACTCGCCACCCATCATCTCACACTCTGACACTCTACCATCAATCAATCAATCAATCATAAAGTAGGGACTTATACATTTGCACAACAAAAGAATATATTTATAAAGTCATTATTTGTAGAGACTGGATGTGATTTGATTATAACAACAGTATATAATCATAGTGTCTTGTTCAATAAGGTGACAACTTCGACCTATGGAGAAGTCAAGATCAACGATGCCTATCAATACTATGGACTCCAGTATGCGATAATCCAGTTCACAGTACCATACAACACAAACAACAACTTGACTGGACAGATTCAAGACACAAACAACGCCACCCTCCGCTTCGATATGAACTTCTTATGTCCACGTATGTTTGTACAGCAGATCAATCAATCTCACTCACTAACTCATCCAATCACTCAATCAATCACTCTTGGAATCATTCCAAACACTCAATCAATCACTCAAACTTTGATTTAGCTCAAAAAACAATGACCGCCAGACTTGTGTATCCGTTGGTGTATGATAGAGTTACACCTGTTAATATATTTGTTCCATTGCAGTTGGAAGCTTATAAGTCATTCGTTGAGATTGGTGGCTTTGCAACAGACCCCCGTGGCCTCCAATGTCAAGCCCCGGGCTACGACTGCACCATCTACGCCCTGCGCTCAGACTCAGTCTCCGGCATAGGCCTCTTCCAAATGGTCCTCTATCCAAGTGTTGTAAAGGGCATCGCTCAGAACATAAACTATCAAGCACCCATACCAGTGGGCATCGCAGCAATGGATAACAGATACGCCAACATCACCGTACCCCCGCTGTTCAGCTACCCTGTTCGCACTCAATCATCTGAGGTCTATACATATGGACTGAACTTCTTCGATGCATCGCCATTGGTCAGTCGTGATGGCTCTGCCCCTGTTGCTACATTGATCACATCTTCTGGTCCCGCAGGCTATACTGCGACTCCAAACACAGCCTTCCCTGCGGACATACGTAGCATCAAACCTGTCAAAGGTTCGCCCGAAGGCGTGACCAAGACACTTCTACTGGCCGATGTACTTACCAACGTTGAAACCAAAGTCTATGAGATGCTTCCCACTCTATCCTTGGTCAACAACTTTACCCTATACTTCTGTATGTTGCACTTGCAATACCTTCGCCCTCGCCCTCACCAACCCTAACCCTAACCCTAACCCTCGCCCTCGCCCTCTCCACACATTATAGCTAGGTATGCCAATGGTGATGTTAAATTGACCAATAGGTCAGATCTGGAACAGAATGGATTCTATCCATTATCCATTTCATTTGATCTACCGGTATATCAGAAATGCTTGGTCCAAAGTGATGTTGTTGAGACTGAGACCTCAGAGGTATTCACATACCCATTTGGACTGATGGGCAGCACAACCATCACTCACTTCACCGTCACATACTTGACCAGCAAGTACCTGGCTCAAACAATCCCTTTTGATTGTTTTGTGGGTGCTCGAGGTATGGTACTTTCCGCCACCAATATATCAACCAAGCCATTGCCCTACGTCCAGTCATTGGATGTCATACCAGTTGGTGGCTTGAAGCACTTGCTCAAGGCAAAGGTCATTGTACCCGAGAGCGGAATGAGGCTCCTCAGAGTGATATTCAGTTCAGGCGAATACGTACCACTGACCAAGAATGACTTGGTCGCTGGAGACATGTTCAATGGCACTTATGAGAGGCTATTCACACTCTACAATGTGACCAATCTCCCAGGATACTCTGTTGATATTATGGATCATGCTGGAAACATCAACTCATTCAACCTTGGCTACTCAGACATCGCAATCGGCGCTCCTTATACATTCATGCTGAATACATGTAAGTTACATCTCTGGGCTTGGACCAAGGTCCTACTCCTCATTGGAACTCACTCAATCAATCACCTTATCACAAAACTCATCAATCACATTGAACTATTCACTCAATCAATATCCAAACATCCAATCACTCGCTCGCTCACTCACTCAACAATGAATGATCATGGAACTATTCCAACTAACAATCAATCAATCAATTTACATAGGGAGTATATCGGCCGACGACTTGACAATGTTGTACTTTGACACTTATGTGATGAATGTCACATCTTCAAGCGTGAACAACACTCTTTACTTCAAATGCCCAAAGATTCAACCTGATTGGAAGGTATCGATCAAGTTTGGTGTCAAGGATGAGAACCCTCTATTCGTTCAGTTTGGTTACTATGACAACAAGAATAGTATGTTTGTCATTCCATTCAAAGTTCCAGCAAGGCTGTACTCAAGAGAAATGCAATATGTCTTGCAAATGGAGCCACCCGAGGCCACGTCATACCAACTCTACTCCAACCTGATGCCACTCTACAATGCCTACGGCATAAATGTGATTGAATACCGTATGATCAAAGATCGTTTCCCAACCATGCCCAACTTAACAATTATCTCATCATGTAAGTCGATCAATCATTCATTCCAATCAAGTGTACCATAATTACTAATTTATCTCATCATATATAGCTGCGGATGAGATGCCTCCCTTGATCATTGAGGTCAAGGCACTTCCAAGCACAATGGTGGATTTAACTTCGTTGACCGAAAAGATTATGATTGGATGGAACTTTACAATTGAGGACCAACCAAATGGATTCAGCCATGGAGTGATTAGAGTCGTTAGTGACTGTTATCGCATGCCTCGCACTTACAACTTTACTGTGGCCAACAGGATAAGTGGCAATGATACAGTGGGCGTCTATCAAGTAATGTTTGAAGTCGCTGGAATCTATCGCAATCAAACATACTCGGCACTGGATGTTGAACTATTCGACACATCAATGAACAGGGCGTATTACTCAAAGTTCACCTCAGGACAACGCACGATCAATCCGTTGGCCAAGGCCATTGACAACTACTCCAACGAGCTATACATCAGACTTGGTACTCTATGGTCCGACTACACACTGCCCATTATCACACAGATCCAGTTCAATCCGCCATCACTCGATGTTGGTGGGTCCGATCGCAGCATCTACTGCAAGTTGTTTGTGAATGAGAGTGAAGGTATGGACACGACACACACCCCCTACGTCTACCTCACGGCCGGTCTGTTTGAGACATACAAGATGCCCGCGGTGCTGGTCAATCAATCGGGAAGTCTCTATATTTACGAAGCCAGGGGTGCCGTCCCGTATGGCTTTGGCGCCAGCACAGGCCAGGCAATGGTCTCGGTCTACGGACTGATGGACACCAGTCAGAACACAAAGGGATACCCACCCAGCGACCTGACCAACCTGGTGATGAAGATCAGATTCACTCATACCATTCCATATATTGAGAGCTATGCACTTGGTGACAACTCAAAGGTCACATTGTATGGAAAGAACTTTGGAGTGGACCCCAGCAAGACAATCGGCACGATCACACCTGGCAATGGCTCTTCATACGTTGTCACCTCTACCGTGGGCTCATCCCTCATACAGATATACTCTTTGGACGCTGTGACGACAACAACAATGATATCAGTTGTTGTGCGCAATTCCAACTATCCATCAAATGCCATCCAGTTCCTTTACCAGCCGGCCAACTCAAACACGACCAACCCCACAATCACATGTCCAAACAACTGTTCTGGCAATGGACAATGTTCCAAAACACTCGGTTGTCAATGTTATGATGGTTGGTATGGAGATGATTGTACATCGAGTAAGTATATTTGACCCCCGACTGGGCTGGAATAGTTCCAGCCCCCGCCCAAACCCCAACCCCACACCACCTTACATCTTCTTCCAAACAAACACAGAGACAATACCACAAAGTGCCAAGTACCAATACAGATACACCAACATCAACTTATGTGTTCAATGTTAGTGATGTGTCAATGTTTGGATCGATCGAGATTGTTGGAGTGCGCGAGTTGGACCAGGTTGGCGTCGAGGTTGCATCATACAATCTTACGAATTGGAATGTATCCGTAGTGTCGCCTTTGTCAACAAACTATACTGTGCAATTCGGTCCAACCGTTGGAAACTCATCTCCCTCCGCATCAATATTGGTCAACATTCGTTGGTTTGATGACAATGCCAACATAACATTCGCTGGGGATGTGCTGGCGATGAAGAAGTCCACGCTCAAGTACACTATCGCGCTGGCCAACTACCCATTCGCCAACAAGCTGCATTCGCTACAGGTTGTGATGCGCGCATCGATAAACACCTCGGACACCAACGCCTGCTCGTCGGAGCAGTACGGATTCGTTGACAACGATCGCAGCTTGTACTGGATGCGTGTCAGGGTCCAGAACTACAGCGTCTACGGGCACTTCATCCAGAAGGCCGAGGTGGACGAGCGCGTAGCAGTCATCTCCAACACTTTGCTCAATGACACCTCGTTCTCCGACAGCCACTTGACCGCCGAGTCAATGATTGGCATCAACGTGCCATACTTTGAACGCAACGCCCACCTTGATCCAGACTTTTACCTGTTGGTGGACTCGGTGGATGCCAAGTCGACGCCCAACTCCAAGTGTCCGCAGTCTGGCGGACGTGGCAAGCTGTCTGGATTGGCCATTGCTGGAATCGTCGTGCTCTGTGTCGCCATTGTGGCTGGTGTGGTGGTCGCCGTCGCCTGGAAACGTTATATCAATCTCCGGAACAAAAGAGAGTCCAAGAGGATCGAACAAAAGTTGAAGGTGATGAATAACAATTGATCGTGATCACTGTCTTGATCATGATCTTCTCGCGCATATACCTGGTGTATTGTACTGTCTCATATCATCATCATCACACCTTTATTGATTGATTGATTGATCCAAAGAGATGCCAGTCTAACTAGTTGTGTTGTGTTGTGTTGTGTTTGTGTCAAGCTGTATATATATACATTCATTCATTGTGTTTGTTTGTTTGTTGTTTGATTGATCGATCCGACCACCTGCGGTTTGTTGTTGATCCATGTTGAGGACCATCTTGGCTCAAGTTGTGACCAATGAATGAATGATGATTGATGTTGACGCTGTTGTTGATGCTGTGCGGGCTCCTTGTCGACAAGATCTTCGCTCTCAGCTCGCGATCCATCCATTCATCCATCTCTATCCATCCATTGCTTATTGATTGACGCGCTACACTTGTGCGCTCTTGCGCCTGCCATTGCTTCATGTAGCGTGCGCTGTCATCGCCGCTGGTGAGTTGTTGTAACTGTTGTTGTGATTGTTGTGTTATGTATGTGCTGTGCTGTTGTATGTTTGATTGATTGATAATGTTTGATTGATTGTATATGTAGATAATAATAATAATAATAATAATAATTCCAAAAGTTATAATAATAAATATACTATAGTAGTACACACTTCAGTATTGAGCTGCTCTTCTTCTTCTTGTGTGGAGTGTCTGTGGACTCTGCCGAGTGGCCATGCGGTTGCTTCTCACGCGCACGCTTCACCTCTTTGACCAACTCGTGGAATGCCTCATCGACATTGATTCGCTCCTTTGCACTCGTCTCCAAGAACTTGCAGTTCAGCTTCTTGGACAACTCCTCGCCGTCGGCCGTGGACACCTCGCGGAAGTCCTTCAAATCGCACTTGTTGCCGAGCAATATAAACGGTACATAGTCCAAGTCCTTAACCTTTAACAAATGTTGATGTAATCTTGGTATCTCCTTAAAACTTTGTAGATATGTGATTGAGTATACTCCAAGGAATCCCTCGCCTAATAGGTATATTTGTTTGATTGAATGAGTATGAGTATGTCATTGATTGAATGAATGAATGAATGAATGAATGAATGAGTGTCGCGATCAATCAATCAATCAAACATACCAGCACGCATATATTGATCTCTAACGGCACTAAAGTCTTCTTGTCCAGCTGTGTCATATATGTCTAGTATACATTCATCTCCATCGACTGTAGCCTGTTTCCTATAACTGTCCTCTAATGTTGGGTCGTACTCATCAACGAATCTCTGAGCAATATATTGAATTGTCAAACAACTCTTTCCAACTCCACCTGGTCCAACCAACACCAATTTAAAGTTACTAGACATTATATATAAATTACTACTTAAATTATATATATATATTATTATCTCAACAACAACAACAAATAATAAATAATATATGTGAGTATGTGTGTGTGTGTGTGTTTGAGAATGAGTGAATGAACTAGTCAAACCTCATGAGACTGAGTCGTGCATGCATGAGATCGGACGGAGGTGGGTTAGTGGGGATGGGTCTCGGATGAAAGTATAAAGTTTGAACTTCGTTGCTCAAGTTGTTTGTGTGTGTGCAAAAGTGTGTGTTTTTGTGAACAGAGAGAGCCAGAGAATGAGCTAAAATGTGTGGGTCTTTAATTATTTGAATCATTCCAAACTATTCATTTAAATTTGAACTGTGAGCATCAATCCAATATTCAAAATTAATTTTTTGTTTAATTTTAATCATCACACACATCACTTCATTTCATTCATTTCCCCTTCATACCCCGCACACCATCACCTCTCTCGACAAACCTAGCTAGCCAGACCATCTCTCAAACGGCCCATCCATCCTCCAAGGTGTGAGTGTGTGTGTTTGTTCCCTTCCTTGTTGTTGTGTTGTTATTGTTAAAGATACAGATTTATTAGATATATATATATATTCATACTTATAATTATAATTATATTATTCATTCATTAAATAATTAGATAAGATATGGCAGTTGGAAAGGATTGGGAGATTGTACAAGAGAAGGCTTTCACGGCCTGGGTCAACTCAGTGTTGGACAAACGTGGAGATAAGATCTCTGATGTGTCAAAGGATTTGAGCGATGGAGTCAAGCTTATCTTCTTCCTCGAGCTCATCTCTGGCAAGAAGCTCAACAAGAAGTTTGACTTTGAGCCAAAGACCCGTATCAACTGCATTCAAAACCTTGCTCTCGCTCTCCACTTCCTCGAGAATGAGCTCAAGATCAAGGCACAAGGTGTTGGTGCTGAAGGTAAGACATACAGTTCAAGTTCATTATATGATTGATTGATCGAATGATCATGCTCGCTCACTCACTCATTCATTCAATCAATCAACTTCATTCACTCACTCAATCAATCAATCAACTTATTCAAATTGAATCGCGATATTTACAGACTTTGCAGATCAGAATAAGAAGATGATTCTTGGTTTCCTTTGGACATTGTACCGAAAGTACCGTATTGCAGTTATTAGTGAGGGAGATAAGAGCTCTGAGGAGGGTCTGTTGTTGTGGTGCAAGAATACAACCGCCGACTACCAGGGCGTCAATGTGACCTCGTTCACCAAGACCTTCCGTGACGGTCTCGCCTACCTGGCGCTGGCCCACAAGTTTGACAAGTCGCAGTTCAACTTTAGCGATTACGAGAAGCAGGACCCGGTGGCCAGACTGAACGCCGCCTTTGAGTTTGCCGAGAAGGGTCTGGGCGTGCCCAAGCTGCTGGAGGCCGAGGAGGTCATGCGTGGCACCACCGACGAGCGTTCGCTGGTCCTGTACACTTCGCTGTTCTTCCACGCCTACCGCGCCAAGGAGGAGAAGGAGCGCATCGAGCAGTCCAAGACTGACCTCAACAGCAAGTTGGCTGGTCTGCAGAGCTCTTTGGAGAGCGAGAAGCTGTCGCGTGAGCAGCTGATCAAGCAGAAGGACGAGCTAAAGAGCCTGTTGGCATCGCTCGAGGGCGAGGCCGCCGAGCGTGAGAAGCACCTCCGTGAGCTCGAGGCCAAGCTGGACGACATTCTGAGAAACCTCGACTTTGAGCGCACCTCGCGTCTCGAGCTCGAGTCCCGTCTCAAGGGACTGGAGAAGGACAAGGCCCTGCTCGACCAGAAGCTCGCCGAGGCTCTCGCCGAGAAGGCCCGTCTCGAGGCTGAGGCCGAGGCCAACCGTATCCGTAACGCCGCCGAGGCTCAGGCTCTTGGTCTGCTGCGCAAGCACCTCGACCAGCACGTGCAGGACCTGCTCAAGTGGCAGAAGCTCACACTCGAGTCGTCATCACAGTCCAGCTTGGACGACCACATCGTCAACGAGGTTGCCGGTCTGCCCTTTGGCGACCAGGTCAAGCATCTGGCCACCAAGCTCGAGGACGAGAACAAGGCCATCCAGAAGTTGTTGATCTCCAAGGAGGACGATCTAAAGGTTGCCGCCAGCAAGCAAAAGAAGGGCAAGTAATCCCTCTTCTTTTGTCTTCCTGATCAATCAATATTCAAAATACACAATCCAATCAATCATTCAATCATTCAAGCAACCGTTGCTCCAACTCAACCCAACCAATCACCCATCCACATCAACAACCATCAACAACAACCAACAACAATATCCACATGTATCTTAAGAGTGCTCAGTAGTTGAGAGGAGGTCATCCCCATGTACAAATCGATCCGGCTTCCAATGTCCCCACGTACTTCCTCAAGCCACCCATCCATCCCATCCATCCATCCAACCAACCAAGCAACCCTCACAATAAAGTTGACCACAAGTTTGGTCTTTGGTACCAATCCCCTCTATCCATGTCGTCCATTTGAGATCAGATGACGAACTGATGTCATTCATCTTTGCCACCAAAGTTGATTGATTGAATGATGGTGTGTGTCCGTTGAATCCTAATACTTCAAAAAGTTTAAATTTGCGCGCCTTCGCGGAAACAACCCTCATTAACTTGACTTGACTTCACACTTTCATTCTCATTCATTCATTCATTCATTCAACTTCCTTTGTTGCACACTGCATATCTCTATCTAGATTGAACAAGTGAGTCACTCTCACTCCAGCATGCTACATCAACACCTATATTAGTCTCATCCAATCATTCAATCAATCACATTATTCAATCATGTCAAACCATCAGTTTGATAACAAAGAGAACTTGATTCCGCTATCTCATCAGCTGAATCAACAACATCAACAACAGCAACAGTTTGCTTGTTTCTCAAATTGGTCACATATTGGTGATCCAATACATGATGTACCATTGCCAACATATAGAAATGATTGCTCCGTCGCATCATACTTACAAGAGCCTCATGTATTGACTACAACACTCGAAGCTCTTTGTAGTAGTGGTAGTTCAAACAACTCATCGACAATGACAACAAGCTCACAGGCATCATCAACAGTATTCCATGATATTAATGTATTGTTACAACAGACTGATGTCAGCTTCTTAAAGTTACAGAATGATATATCCAACAGAGTGGCCTTCTCGCCGGCCTCGCCCGTGCTCACATCATTGACCAACCATCTACCAAGCCTCAACGCTACCAAGATGAACATACACCCGGGCTTTATCAACGCCAACGCCAACAACAACACAATCAACAACAACAACAATAACAACAACAATCACATGGTACAGCAGCAACCACCTCAGTCACCTTATCATAATGCTAGGACTGCTTTCGCGCCATTGCCGACTACTCCACCAACGTCTGTGGCCACCGCCGCCATCCCATCGATGCGCCCACACGCCCCCTACGTTGGCAATGCAAGAATCACTCAACAGACTGTCTTGTCACATGCTGGCGACAAGATGCTCACCATCCCCTACGACCCTTCAAGTACATACGTTCACTCGGACAACTCATATATCAATTCAGCCTTTGTTGATGCCAATGGCGTGCCACAGGCACAGGCACAGACACCTCAGAAGAAGAAGACAACGACAAAGACACGCGAGCGCAAGACAACAACCACAAAGAAGAAGGCTACGGCATCAAGGGATGTGCCCGCCACGTCGGTCACGGCGACGACCGAGGTCACAATGTTACAGAGCCAGCCAAGCGCACTGGACCAACATCTGGAGAACCAGCTGACAACCATCCTGGCGCAGCAGAAGCAGCAGCAACAACAACAGCACACACCGATCGAGAGGCTCGACATTCAATTGCAACACATCTTTGACAATGTCGCACAGGACAAGGAGCATGGCGAGATCGACGGCGCATTCATTGGTAACCTGCGCAATGACCTCGCCGTACTGTGCCAGACGTCCGTCATGCAGCTGCAGGACCTGATATCGTTGGAGCGCTATGCCAACCTCTTCCAGAACCTACTCAAGTTCATGAAAGAGGCCAACAACGTCCATTCGCTCTCCTATCGCGAGGATTCCAACGATAAGGAAGTTCAAGAGTTCCACAAACTCGAGCTGTCCTTTGAGAGCGCCATCCTCATTCTTCAAATATTGAACATCCCCATTGTTGGCACTTCACTGGCTGAGTTGATCGATGATGTAAGTTCACTCATTCACTCAATGGACGCGCTTCAATCACTCACTCATTCAATCAAACATTCAGGAAATCGTTGAGTTTGCATCGATCATCAAGTCACAGTACACTGAGAACATCTTGGGCCATCTGGACCCTTCATTCAAGTCAAGACAGCCAATCACATCAATAGCCAAGTCATCGGGAAATGATGATGCAAAATCAAAGGGCAAGGGCAAGGGCAAGGGAGTTGCCAAAGGCAAGACCGCCAAGTCAAAGGATGATGAGAGCGAAGAAGATGATGATGAGGACGACAGCGAGGACAGCGAGGACAGCGAGGATGACGATGAAGAGGATGAGGATGATGAGGATGCCTCACAAGACAAGCCAAAGAGCACAAAGAAGAAGCAAAAAGTGTCTTCCAAGTCTGCCAAGGCATCGGTCAGGGCCACCAAGCCCAAGTCCAAAAAGTATGTTGCAGCCATGGCCTGCTCAAGTATTCGCCAGTCAGGCACTGACACTCAATCAATCAATCAATAGGAATGGACACAACTACTTCCAACTCTTATGTAACAAGGTCACAGAGATATTTGATGGCGTGGCCAAGTTCACATTGTCAAGCTACCAGGCACAGGACCCATACCCTACTATTATGGTCGATTGTGCATTGCCATGTTTCTTCATCACTGGCATCAACTTTATTCAACTCAGTGCAGTTGAGCTACTGCGCACACTATTCTACAAATATCCACAGCATCGCGAGTCCATCTTTGAGCAAGTCCTATCGAGGATTCCCAAGACCATTGCTCTCAAGAAGAGTTTGAGGACCTACAAGTAAGTCTTGTCAGTGCGTGGGTGCATGTGACTTCGAGAGCGAACCCTAACACACACTACCTTGCCCTCACCTTAGACTCAAGGATGGACGCTCAATTCAGAACATCACTGCATTGCTACTTCAGTTCATCCAGAGCTCACCACAACGACCCGACTTGAACAGCAACAACAACAGCGATGAGAAGAAGCCCATGAAGATGTGCCACGACTACTCATCCATGATTATCTTGTACTTTATTGACAAGTAAGTATCCCTTTCAATCAATGTGATCAAGTTGCTGACCCAACCACACTCATTCTAAAGATGCTCAGTCAAGACAGACGACTGCGAGTATAGGACGATATTGGAGAACTTGGTGACAGACTTGTTGGTTCTGATCAATCATCCAGAGTGGCCCGCTGCGAATATGTTCTTGCATTTGTTGAGTGTGTCGCTGTGCAGGGTGCTCTCGGACAAGGTCAAGTTCAGTGATATGCTCAAGATGATGGTGATCGATCTGATGGGCGTGATCATATCAAAGCTCAAACACGAGTGCATGCTGTCTAGCGAGGAGGTCAAGTTGTTGCCACTTCCATTCGGCGAGTTCAGCACGGCCACTGCCTTGCCACCTGCGCCCACCTCGCCACAGGCAGGAGTAGCACAGACTGCCACGACGATCATCAACGAGGAGTCTGAAGAGCTGGAGCGAAAGCATGCCTCGAGGATGCACACATCGTCTGCCAAGCCAGTCTGCCAATGTGGAAAGTACAAGATTGGATCATTCACAATCAAGTGCGGCCAATGCCAGCATCCACACCACGACCTGTGCGCACCAGACTACTCCCTCAACGATGTGCGCCAACAAGAATGGCTATGCGTAAGGTGTCGCATCATCAATCAAATTGGCGCGTACGAGCCACCTCAACAGCAACCACTTCAGACGAGCGCCAAGACAGCCTCAAAGAAGCCACTGAGCAAGCGCAAGAAGGGCAAGGCTTCTAAGAAGGTCGAGCAGGAGCCAATGGATGAGGACGAGCACGAGCTCACACCTCCCCATGCCAACAACAACAATGAGACGACGGTAACATCAGTTGGTGACTTCAATGTGTTGATCCAGTTGCTGCTCAACTACCTTCAGTCCAATTGCCAGCAGGGCGGCGAGGCGTGGCTGGTGACATCCAAGCACTTCCTGATCACATCATGGATCGACAGCGAGTTTGTTAGTTCAAAGCTCTCTGTCAAGAGCAAGCAGTACATCTTGTCGCAGTGGGAGCCTGAGGAGGGCTTCTCTGCGGCCAACAAGTGCTACACGATCAGCCCAGACATGGCCATCAAGGCTTACCGTCTGCTGTCCGTGCACATCAAGGCGTCGCTGTTCCAGATCGTCAACGAGCTGCTGTACAACCTGCTGTCGGTGCTGTTCGACCCGTCCAAGACGGCGCGCGCCAAGGCCATGAAGTCGTTCTCGACCATCGTCGAGGTGGACCCCTCGGTGCTGGCCGATGAGATTGTCCACGCGTCCATCAAGAACCGCTTCAGCGACGACGCTATCTCTGTGCGCGAGCACACTGTCGACCTGATCGGCAAGTACATATTGCTAAAGCCCGAGCTGACCTGGGGCTACATCGACCTGATCGCCGAGAGGATCGCCGACAAGGGTATCAGCGTGCGCAAGCGCGTCGTCAAGACACTGCACGACGTCTGTCTGGCACACATCCAGCATCCCAAGATACCCTACATCTGCAAGATCCTGGTGGGTCGTATCTCGGACGAGGAGTCCATCAAGGAGCTGGTGGTCCAGACGTTCAAGGACCTGTGGTTTGGCGATCACGATCAGACCATCGAGCAAAAGACCAAGCAGATCGTCGAGGTCGTCAAACAACTGAACCAAGACGATTGGTTCGTAGACTTGATCCACAAGCTGATCGACCCAGGCAAGCAGCCAGCCAACAAGCGAGCCACCAAGCAACAAAAGAGTGCCGAGTCCACCTTTGCCATTTGCCAGTCCGTCTGCTCCCACCTTGTCGATATGTTGATATCATTTGATGAGAAGGTATGTTCTCCAGTTCAGTTGAATCACTCACTCAATCATACTAACATTCAATCAATCATTAGCGGAGGACAAAGGAATTCCCAGAGTTCCTGGCAATATTCAAGTGTCTGAGGATATTCTGCAAGATTGATCCAAAGTTGTTGGTCTCATACATCAAGGTGTTGCATCCCTATATCAAGCTCTCTGGCAAGGTATGTTCCAGCTCCACACAATCAGACCACTCAATCACTCACTTAATCTCATTCATGTCTAGACTGTTGGAACTGAGGAGACAAAGGTGTACATCACTATTGTGTATATAATCCAAAAGGTTATACCATTGATCGAGAATGTTGACACAACATTCTTGACAGCACTGGAGAAGGACTTGTTATATTTGATCTCGAGCCAGGGATCACTATTGGTCAGATCATGTATCAAATGCCTCTGTACAATAGTGCAATCGACCAGTTACAATTATAGGATCATCGAGGAGGAGCTGTGCAGGAATCTGATGACTCTGCAGTTCTGTGGTAACAAGCCAAAGTCTGAGATATTGCGCGCGCTCTACATCACCGGCCTGTACGTGCGCTACTTTGACTTTGAGAAGCACGACAGATTCTCGGTCACCGTCCACGACAGTCTCAAGTTTGAGGAGCTGGGCGTGGTAATGACGACCATTCCCATCATCTCCAAGCTGTTCACGTACACCAAGGACAAGGACGTCATCTCCAAGTCGGTCGAGTCCATTGGCAACATCATCATCTCCTCACCAGTGATACTTAACAAGGATTCGATACGCAGTGTCATCTCACAATCACTCTCATCGCCAGAGAGCAAGATCAAGGAGACAATATTGCGTGTCTATCTCAAGTTGCTCAAGAAGGAAGGCAAGTCACATCGCGGCAACAACAGCAGCAAGAAGGATGTCACTACCTCAACATCTGAGTCAGAGGACATGACCACAGACAATGATGAGTCGTCCGAGGACACCAAGGCCAAGGCGGACAAGAAGAGGGCCCCAATCATCTCAATGCAGATCGACATCCATGGAGAATCATTGGTGTCATCGATACAGAAGTACTTTACAACGATATGCAAGCTACTTCTAGACACTGATCAGACTGTTAGATTGTGCGCCATCTCGACTGTGGAGCTCATTGTACAACAAGGCATTATCAATCCATTGGAGGCAGTTCCAGAGATCATCACATTGGAAACGGATGCCAATCCAGCGATTGCAGACATTGCACACAAGACCCTGGTCCACATCAATCAGAAGCATTCATCAACACTCTTCAAGAGGGTCGTTGAGAGTTTGAAGCTATGTTTCATGTTCCACATGTCCATTGGAACCAGTATGTACCTCTACGTGCTCAATGATCATCCATCCAATGCTAACCTCTTATACCATACTCTAGAATCACCTTACAACAATGTCTCAAAGGGATTGTGCAAGTTCTATATGCTCTTTAGACATCTAAAGGCTCAACGAACGACGTTCATCCAACATATCATGTCTCAGTTCGACTCAACACGATCATATCGCCACAAGGATTTGGAGTACTATCGATTCGTTGTGGAGCTGTTGGCCTCATTGCCCTACAACAACATGGATGAGATATTCGAGATCATCGTCTCGATTGACAAGATCGTGTCGCTGGAGGGCAGCTCCATCTTATCAGACATCCAGACGGCACTGGGCAAGAAGAGACGTGACTCGGTGTCAGAGACACAGCTACTGGGTTACTTTGTCTCGTCGCAAGTGGTCACACTGCTTGTGGAGTTAAAGCAGTTCCTCATCCAGACGTACGACATCAACAAGGAGCGTGCCACAGCATTCCTTGAGAACACGGCCAAGAACGCAGACAAGCTGCAGATCTCACTTCCAGACTCGATCACATTCACCAAGACCAACTATCCATTCTCAACTTTCCCTGCCGAGGACGACCTAAAGGACGAGGACACTCAGAAGAAACTGTTTGTATCGTTCAAGTCAATGATGAAGTCGGACAATGTTGACTTCTCCACAATCAGCGAGGCAAAGAAGCAGACCAAGAAGCGCAAGTCAACCAAGAAGTAATAAACTTAGGTCGACTATTATATATAAATATAAATACACATATATTCCAAGAGCACTGGATAAGGTTTAATTTACATCGTCATCGTCTTCCTATTATTACGATTTCTTTATCTTCTCTCGCAACTTATCCCACTTCTTCCTGTTGTCTTGATATTGTCTTTCCAAGCCCTGTAGGACATCCAATATCTCTGGACATGTTGGACGTTTCTAAATTGCGATCGCAATGTTAGTAATTGTTTACAATGTGATTTCATTGATGATGATAGTTCGTTAAACATACCTCAGGATCAGCATCCCAACACATTGTTACAAGGTTGGCAAATACCTCTGGACAGTTGGCAGGGATAGTTGGTCTCAGATTGGACTTGTAGGTCATCACCAATATCTGGAAGTCATATTGAATGTTCTTGTACTCTGAGAATGGTCGTTCATACCTTGCCTTCATACATCTGACAATGAGCTCCCACTACAACATGTAAGTGAATGTTAGCTAAGTCCATCCAATCAATCAATAAAGTACACATACCATAATAATACCAATTGAGAAGATATCTCCTTTGACCGTGTAGTCACCAAAGTACACCTCTGGCGCACAGTACGCGTATGTGCCTCTTGTCTTGCGGATAGAACTTGCTTTGCTGGTGGCAAAGCGACTCAGTCCAAAGTCGGCCACCTTGATTGTCCAATTGTCCGACACGAGTAGGTTGAGCGACTTGAGATCACGATGTACGATCACCGGCTTCCAATTGTGCAGACACTTGATGCCCTTGACCATCTCGATGCTGAATTTGAGCACCCAGTCCCACGAGAAGTCCATGCTGGTGTGCATCAGGTGGTAGAGTGTCTGGTTCGAGCAGTACTCCATGATCATGCAGATCTGCGGCTGCACCACCATGCCGTAAAAGTAGACGACGTGAGGCGACCGCAGCGAGCTCATGATCTCCAGCTCCTTCAAAAAGTCCAACAGCATCTGGTGTGCAGGCGTGCTTTTGAGGATCTTGACTGCCACCTCTTGGTTGCGCCACGTGGCCTTGTACACCTTGGCCGACGTTCCCTCGCCCAGCTTGTTGAGGAAAACAATCTCATCGCCATCGATCGTCCAATTGTTAAAGTTGGCCAACATCCTCTGGTCCAGCTCCTGATGAATACTCTGTTGCTGTAGTTGGTGTTGATGGTGCTGCGAGTGGCTGCTGATGGTGCCAGTACCAGTTCCAGGGGAGAAAACATTGCTCACGGCGCTGACTGGTGAGTCGAGATTGAGATCACGTTCATCGTGGTAATGCGAGAGCTCGCTGTCTGACGCCACCTCGTAGGAGTTAAGGATGCTGTTTAGATTGTCAACGTTGCTGCTGTAGCTGTTGTCGCCTCCACCAGACGCTATCATTCGTTGCAGATACGTCATCGAGTCGACACGATTCCGCTGCTCCATGATCGATGAGTGCGAGTCCACAGAGGTCGATACCGACTCGTAGTCGGGAGTGGTCGCGTCAACATAGTTGTAGGACTCCTTTCCAGTTGTTGAGTGCGGTCCAACGGTGCCGGTTGCCAGGCCCAGGTTCTTATGTTGGGCGGGATAATGGCCACAGTTGAGACACGGTCCACCGCCTTGTTCGCCATCTGGTCTGTACGCTATGCAGTCACAAGGGTGCTTGCATGCACCTCTCTTGACTCCAAACGCTATACCATATTGTGTCGCCTCCTCCAATGTTGTTGTCGCACTTGCTGTTGTCTGTAATATATTGCTATTGTTGTTGTTGTTGTTTGATTCAAAGTGAGGCGCCAGCGAGGGCGTGGCCGAGCTCTTCTCCTTGTGAAAGTGTGGCTTGATCATTGAGATGCGTGGAGAGAGTGGCGGGGATGTGATGCTTCCGCCACCACCTCCTGCTCCTGCATAATGATGATGTCCTGTGGAGAATGCAGAGTTTGGTACGCGATCGGAGCGTGGTGAGTGTTGTTGGAAGTTGGAGGAGAATGAGCGTGGCGACTGTTGTGGCGATATCGGTGAGCTGTAGTTGTGCAATGAGGATGATGGTATACCGTGCGGACCAACACCACCACCCTCGGCAAGAGGCGGAGATGGTGAGGGTGAGGGAGATGTGGACGGTGAGAGCAGAGGTGAGTTGCCAATGCCGCTCCATGAGTGGCTCGAGAGAGGGACGATGAGCGATGAGTTGAGTGATGGTGTGTGAATCGGTGCGGTCGATGGCTGATACGTCTGACAGAACCGTTTGAATGAGTCCAAGGTGACGTCCTCCTTGACCGTGCGGTAGATCTTATCAAACAATGTTCTATCGAGTGTCACCGCCACTGTCTGATTGGTCTCATCCTTTGGTGAATGCTGACCCTGACCTAGTCCTTGCCCTAGTCCCATTCCTTGTACTTGACCCTGTCCATTGCTATTACTGCTGTTGCTACCACTTCTACTATGTTGCCTCATTGAATGTACCTGCTGCTGCGTGGCTTGCAGACAGTTCTGTACCTGAGTGACCAGGTCGCTGTCGACAGCCAGCTCATCCGCGACACCTTGCTTCAAGAACCTGTTAAAAATCTTGGTGGCATCATGCTGAACCATCTCGCTGGTTGTGTTGTGTCGAAAGTAGTCCACGTCTTCAAGGAACAAAAGGTTGCTGAGTGAGTGCTCCTTATCGCAAAACGCCCTGAACAGCTCGTATCCAATCTTGTCCTTCATCAAACTGCTCAGAGATTCGCGACTTGATGGCGGCAGTATGTAGTTGGATTCGAAATGATATCTGCCATGTCCTGGACTACTGCCAGCAACAACACTACCACTACCGCTTCCACTGAGTGTTCCACCAGGTGCCCCCGCACCTACATGCTTGGGCGTCAGGAACTTGGCTATCAGCAACTTTGTAGGCTTTTTGATGTCTTTGGGTGAACGATCCATTGAGTAAAGGGGTGCCAGTGGTGTAGGTGAGAAGAGACGTGAGGCGAACGAGTCGGCGTAGCTGTATGTGGTCGCGGCTCGGTGGCGTAGACGCCTCGCTGGCGACTCGCCCGTGACCCATGTTGAGACTTGTGGTGTAGATGGTGCCGACTGAGGCGACGATGGCGATGAGTTGGACGTGCCAGTAGCGCTCAATATCTGAGTCAGTGGGAAGCCGTCTGACGCTGAGTCCTCTTCATCCGAGCTGCTGTCCAGAAATGTTGGATTGCGCACTGATGGCGAGACCAGGGGCAGGTCTTGCGCCAGGTTTGGTTCGCCAAAGAACTTTGACAACTTCTTGGCACGCGCCGACGTCATTGGCTGAGGGTGCATGACGGGCGACACATTGCTCTTGTTCTTGGGAGGGTAGGCGGGCGATGTGTATGGGTTCTCAAAGTTTAGGTTTGGAAGGTTGAGGTCCGACTTGCAGATGGTGTCGCTCTTGCGCAGACGGTTGGAGCCGATGCTCGCAGTGCTGAGGAAGAAGTTGGGCTCGCGCGACACCAAGTCGTCGTACTTCTTATGATTGATCTTGGGATTGGGCGAGAACTGTGGCGATGTCTTCTGTGAGTATTGCTGGTGTTGTTGATGCTGTTGATATTGATATTGATATTGATGCTGGAGGTGCTGCGGGTGGTACTGCGGACTGATGCGATCGAGTGAGCCGGACCGTGTCGTGGTGGTCGTGGTTGAAGGTGACTTTGAAGCACCCACGCCAGCCGTAGGCGATGTAGGACTTCTCATTGGACTTCTCATGCCGCTACTACTGCTGCCACTGCCGCCACCAATGCCGCTGCCACTACTCCCGCCACTCCTGTCAGTCGGACTCTTTTGCGAAGGCCTGTCAACAACATTCTGCTGTAGTTGAAGGTGTTGCTGTGAGTCTGGTGAGCTTGAGCTCTTGGTATGTCGGAGTGTCTGTCGTGGKGGAGGACAGCCATTGGCGCCAAAGGTTGTGTCGATATACAGTGGCCGCCTGGATGTCCTCCTAGAGTGTAGACTCACTCCTCCACCTTGTTCACCGCTATTGTTCAGTGAATTATCCAATGAATTTGTGCTAGATGAAGATGTAGATGTAGATGTAGACATTGTGGTTGTTGTTGTAGTTGTCGTTGTAGTTGGCGCCACTGGCTGTGTCTTTGGGATAGTCCCATTAGTGAGCTCGTCCAACATTGAAATGATCTCAGCCGATGGTGTCCTATTCTTATTACTTGTATCAACCTGTTGTTGTTGTTGTTCTAGTTGTTGTTCTAGTTGTTGTTGAGGATGATGAAGTAGGTCCATGACTTTATGCTGCGGAGGCGGCTGTGAGTCGCTCAGCTCGTGCTGCATCGTCGACTGACTCCAGACAAGCTTCTTTATATGATTGATTGATTGTTGGTGTAGTTATACAACTACCTGCGCTGCGCCAGAACAATAAGAGTTCTCAATTTGATTAATTGACACTGACTCTGTGCGTTATTGTTGTTGTAATTGCTGTTATTGATTATACACAATACGATTAATAGAATTCTAATTTGATTGAGATAATGTTGATGTTGATGTTGATGTTGGTGTTGATGTTGGTGATGGCCCGTCCCACTATACCACCACCATCAATCAATCAATCATCAACATCATCATCATCATATACACTTACCTTGCAGTCTGCAAACAAACCATTAATACTGTTGTTATGGTAACAACTATATACTGTAGTTGATGCGCAACCACGAATGAATGACTCCCCTTCCAAGTAGGGCTCGAGATGATGTGTTGGATTGTGTGGAGTGTGTGCGTAAAGAGATGTAATTGTGTGTATGTGTGTATTTGTTTGATTGAAAGTCGTGTTGTGATGATACACACACACTCAGACACAAACATCTATCAACACAAGTTATTCATGAATGAGGGAGAGATGGAACATCTTCAAACACCTCCTCTGGAACATACACAAGATGGAGGAGGCCAGAGCGCAACATCGGGGCGGGTCCTTGGCCCAAAAGACAAGGTCGTGGTGAACTTTTCACTCGTTCCATCGAGAAATGAGATGTATTGATGGTCGACCATAGAATGGGGTTCGACCGTGAAGTGCAAGTTGTAAAAAATGAGCTTCGTGGGGGCTGGAATGATCCCTAAACACACTGACTGTCCCAGTGATTTTAAGTATGGCTAAGGTTGTTGTTGCTGCTGTTGCTGTTGCTGCTGCTGCGTCATTGTGAGCAGGTCTTCAAGTCCATTTCGTCCCTTGCCCTTGTGTTCATTTGATTTCTTCTCAAAGATGTGTCCAAGTAATTTGATGGCCTCGATCCTCCTCTTGCGATCATGTTTGCTAACGTCAGAGCTCTTCTTCTTGCTCATGACATTCTCGCATACCTCTCTGACGGCCTTGTCAATGTCCAATCGACCCAACTTCCATATAAGCTTCAGGCCCTCCTTTAGCAAACCTTCGGTGGACTCGGGCGCCGCTGTCTCCAGCTCTGGATTCATCTGGTTGACCTGTCCTTGCAGCTTCACCGCTGACTTTACCAGCGAGTAAACCTCGCCGACCTGATGTCCCTTCTCCTGGATCTCGTGGAAGAAACCAAAGAACGACTGTTGTTTGGCTTCCTGAATATATACATAGCCTAGAAGTGCTAACAAATCTGGACCACCTGGAGCCTGTGCCATCTCTGTTGCTTGTTCCGTCATCTATTTGTTGGTGATTGATGATGAAGTTGTGGTTAGGGGGTTACAAATGATCAATCAATCATTCACTCCAATCATTGACTTACAATTTTCTCAAAGCTTGATTGATTGCCATTGACGTAGGGCTCGACCATTATGATTAGTTGTTTGGTCAACTGGTCAATGCGTTCCTTGTGCTTCTTCTCCATCTCTTCAGGATTGGGCTGAGGGGCCTCTCCAGCCGTAGTCGCCTGTGCAAACAAATCGTAGAATGTTAGATCGCCAAAGAAGTTCTGGAATTGGCCACCGCCAAAGACCATTCGGAACAACTGGACTGGATCAATCATGTTCTCATTGAACGCGTCGAAACCAAACTGATCGTACTGTTTCCTCTTGTCGGGGTCTGACAGCACCTGGTACGCCTCACTAATCTTCTTGAACATCTCCTCTGCATATGCATCGTTCCTGTTCTTGTCCGGATGATACTCTGTCGCCAGTTTATAATAAGCCTTCCTAATCTCTGCCTGTGTAGCAGTCTTGCTCACCTTTAACACCTCATAGTAGTCGACCTTTTCTTCGCTCCTTGCCACGACCGGCTTGGTCAATGCTTGATTATTATGAGGTGTAGGCATTGTCTTTCTCATCTACATTGGTCATTGGTCGAGTGTCGAGTCAATCAAGTTAGCTCTGAACGTTGTCGAAGCCATTGAAAGAAAGAAAGACCTACAGTCTGTGCTCGCTCAAGGAAGTCTGGTCGTTCGAAACATGAAGCAGTGCTGCCTCCAGAGTCGATTATAAGATGTTTCAATTGCTGAGTAGACATTGTATTGATATCATCTTCACTCATCTGAGTGATATGTGGCAGAGGTGGCTGTGGACGATGTGCAGTCGTCGTCGTTTCCGACATTGATGTTGAAGTACCATCCATTGTTGTTGATGATGTTGAGAAAGTCATCAAACCTAACTATATATTTATTTATTTATTTATGTTATCTGTTTAGATTGATATATTATTATTGTTATGATTATTAGAGTACATGTCAATGTCATACACACATTGTTGTGAATGAATATGAATGTGAACAAACACAACTATGTAATAAAGTGTTGTCACCCACAACTCTTGTGTCTTCTCATGAAGTGTTGATGTGGATTCTCCTAAATTCATTCTTCATTACAACATCATTCAATCATACATGTAATAACTACTATTAAACATATAACGACAAGGTATAACAACAAACAAAGTTATTGTAATTGTAATGTATTGAAGTAGAAGGTAATACCTTTCCTACACAATACCATACTAAAAGGTCAGACCCTTCCTTGACGCTAACTCCAAAGATAGACTCTTTGTCGAACCATGTAGGTGTACATGCTGGTCAAAGGACCTCTGAAACTTTGGTCCCTGGACGAGCCATGTCCATCACCACATCATCACTCCCAAGAAACGTAAATTTTAAATGCCCATGCAAAGATCTGATGGGAGAATATCTTAAATATCCGAATGCGTAGGCTGAATTAGATTATTGCCATCGAGTAGACACTATAACTCTGCTCGCTAAACAGGCTGATAATCATTAGATACTGTCCTCTAGATGAGGTGGTAGAAGAGTATCGTGATAGAGTGACCCATCCATCTTGATCAACAGAGCCACAACAAAGTGTTTGTTTCCGATGGATGGTTTGAGGAGATGGTTGATGATTGAATGAATGAATGAATGATGTGGACCCTTCGTCATCATCAATGTCATTCATGTTGGCAACTACATAGTCTTGTCATATTACACCTACATACCTCTACAACTTACATCATGACATTACAACATCAACAACAACAATATCATGTCATCCTCATGCTGGTGTTGCTATTGTTGTCAATCATGGACACATCAAAGGCACAACCAAAGCTGGATAGCTTAACAAAGGCGTATACAGCAACAGGTGATTGTACCATTACTATCAAACTTCAATATTTCCAGAACTCTACCATTGTAGCCATTAAAGTCGATGGATCGTCAACTAACGAATCAATGGCCAACACTCTCTTTAATGGATACCAATACGTTAAGTTCCTTCATACTTTCCCTCAAGGACCTGCACAACTACTCTCTGGCATTGCCTATGATGATATGGGCTCCCAATCACCATGGCAAGTCAATGTATTATGTGATGGTAAGTTGTCAACTTGGTGTACCATGCCCATCAATCACATCACATAACTTCACATAGCTAACACATCCACCATCACCACCTCCTCCGCCACCAACAACAGTCCTTCCTCCTCTCACAATGAGCGGATACACTGGAGGATTCATCAACACAATGGCCACACCTATGAAGGGTCAGCCCCCAATGAGGATCAATGTCTATCAGTCATATGTTGTGGTCAATGGCTCTATTGACGGCGCCGATATGACATATACTTGTACCGCCAACTGCTATGTATGCTACCCCATCCTCAACAAGCAACTGGGCCCTCAATCATGGCTGGTCCAAGTGATGATCTACCCAACACCCAAGTGTATGGATAGCACTGTCCCCAACTACGCATCGCCATTTACAATTGTTATGAACGTTGCCAATAGGAATGCTTCGCTCACATTCCCTGCTCTTGTGAATACCACCACCTCCGTGACTCAACAGTTTGTAGAGTATAACTACGACATTGGCACTGGAATCGTTCCAACGAGATACGATCCAAACTATTACGCGATGGCCACTTCACAGCCAGGTGCCGGCACATACTTTGTCAGTACCAACATGACCCTCAACCCCAACGTAGCCCAGGCCTTCAATATCCTCTTTGAGTACAAGTCTATCAAGCCGGTATTGAACATGCCAAATGGAGACATACGTACCCTGATTCTGTCCAAGGTCAGCAGCGCAGAGTTGCTAGTCTACGAAGCTGTGGACATGCCCCTGAGCATCAAGAATTACACCAAGACGACTGGTGCACCTGCACCACCCACACCAAACATCAGTGACATCTTGGAGGGTGTGTCGTCGACGAGCTTCAAGACAAGGTTCACGCTGCCAAGCTATCGCCAGTGCACCTATGGCTACTCACCATCTGTGGAGGGCTGGACTTCAGCCATTCAATATCCATTTGGAGTGATTGCCGTTCAAGACAATGGCGCCACAGACATGGCGTTTAGTTTCTTTGCTTCCAAATACTCTGGATCCAATGCCTACGCCATCGACTGCTACTTTGGCAGGGTCAATATCCCAATGCCAGGTCCATTCGTTAATGGTAAGTAACTCCACTAATACGCCAAAGATTCAATCATTCACTCTCTCAACAAATCAATCAATCAATCAATCAAGATACTCGCCCTCCAGTTGTAAAGACATGGAACTTGACACAAGTCTCTGCACACTTATACGTTGTTCGCGTTAACATTGTTGATGATCTTAGTGGCTTTGGAAGGATGATGCTATACTTTGAGACTGGAGACATGATCGACATCACAATTGAAGACTTGATTGAAGGCGACAGTCTGGATGGCACATATGAGAAGGCATTCATGATCTACAATATAACCAATCTTGTCAATCCCAAGTACTCATACATCCTGTCCGACCGTGTTGGTAACTCACCGATTGCCGACAACGCACCATTAGGCTTCATGACCAGTAGCTGTAAGTCATCATTCATCCATCAGTCCACTGGTTCACTCAATCACTCATACTTACACTTGGCATGCTGGCGAATAATATATAGTTAGGATTGGCGCCGATGACTTGACAGTGTTCTACTTTGATAAGTATGAGATGGACGTCAGCTCTGCACCAATGAACAACACACTATACCTGGCCTCGCCCAGGGCTAAACCAAATTGGAAACCAATCATATTCTTTGGATCGATTGACGATAACCCTAACTACATGGCCACTGGCTACTACGACGCGAAGCTCAAACTCTTTGTAATACCATTCACAGTGCCAGCGCGCACGATGACCACCAAGATGAAGTTCTTTATCAACTTCCAACTGTCTGACTTTACAACTGCCATGCGATGGTTCCAACAAGACTCTGCCTCAACCAACTTGGTGATTGACAGTGCACCCATCCAAGCACTCTTCCCCAGCACCTCCATTGTCAACATCATATCACAGTGTAAGTATATATTGTGGCGCTCCATGGACGACTACTAATTGACTCATTAACCAATCAATCAATCAATCAATCAATCAGACGGCGATGAATTGCCACCACAATTAGCCGGTATTGATGCTCATCCTAGCCTAACTGTGACATTGGATGCTAACTCTCAAGCGACCATTGGTTGGAACATTTCGATAAGGGACGAAGGCAATGGGTTTGCTCGTGGAGTGTTCAACGTTATTAGTACTGTAGATGGTACTCCACGTCGCTTCGAGTTTACCCCTGCCAACAGGACGAGTGGCGATGACCAGTATGGCAATTACGAGATACGATTCCAAGTGGACTCCAAGGGTCGCAATCAGACCTACACCTTCTTGGACATTGAATTGTTTGACAAGTCCATGAATCGGGCCCTCTACGAGTCTGCAGTCGAGACATTCAAGACCCTTTCACCAATAGCATACATCATCAGTGACTATGTCCATGAGTTCAACATCAATGTCACAACATGTAAGTGCCTATCCGCGCCTAATCATTCAATCATTCAAAGACTCACTCGCTCACTCAATCAATCATGCTAGACCAAGTACCATCGGACAGTTGGCCGAGACTGGAGAGTCTTCAGTTCACTCGACAATACGTGGACGTTGGAACACAATACAGAGATGTTGAAGTCTTCTTCACAGTGAGGGCATATGATTACAGCTTGAGACACATGCCCTGTGTATACCTGACTGGCCTCGTTTTTGAGATCTACAAGATGGAGGCGCGACTGGTCAATGTCTCGGCGGACAATGTCTATACATTCACAGCCACTGGCTACCTGCCCTACGCGTTTGCAACTTCCACTGGTAATGGCGCACAAGTAATCCCATCACCCATGACGGCAATGGTGTCTCTGTATGGTCTGATGGACACGAACCAGCACATGGTTGGATACAGCAACGACCAACTACCAGGTGCCAATGTACAAAAGACACTGCTGATCACTTACACTCACAACAATCCAGTGTTGGATCGATACATTGTCGATACAGATGGCATTGTCACGGTGTTTGGCAAAAACTTTGCACCCAACTGCTCGCTTGTCGCCTTCGCTGGCGACCAGCCCGACTTCCACTTTCCACCAAACACCTCAATATTCACAAGAATCGATGGCGTCTATGTGATCGCCACCTTCTCATTCAACCTCACCGAGCCCACATCCTTGTACATTCAGATGCGAAACAATGATACACTCATATCCAACAACCTTCTGTTCAACTATGTGCCACAGGGAGGCAATGTTACCCCACCCGTTGACCCACCTGGACCAACAATCAACTGCACTGGCACTGGCAACCCTCCCTGCTCAGGCAATGGCGTGTGCTCGCCGACCTTTGGCTGCCAGTGCAATGGCACATGGTATGGAGATGATTGCTCGTCACATGCTGTGCCAACAACACCCGTGATCAATCCCGACAGTCCGACGACTGTGTACACATTCAACATCAGTGGCCTGACGATCGTGGGCGAGATCGAGGTCATCAGAGTGCGCGTGCTCGATCAACTTGGCGCAGAGTTGGTGGCATATCCGCTCAATCAATGGAATGTCTCGACGATCACCAATCAATCATTTGACTATGTTTCCGCGTTTGGACAGAATTCTGGTGCGAGGATCAAGGTGAATGTGCGATGGTTCACTGAGGACGAGGACATTAAGTTCGCTGGCGACATACTCCCAATGAAGAAGAACACGATCAAGTACACCATCACACTGTCCAACTACACATTCCCAAGCCAGTTGGATTCGATGCAAGTTGTGATGCGTGCCACCATCAACACCACCGATGCAAACTCTTGCTCAGTTCAGCAATATGGCTTTGCCAATCAGAGCGATGGCGACTTGTATTGGATGCGTGTCAAGGTGCAGAGCTACAGTGTATATGGCCACTTCATCCAGAAGGCATTGGTTGATGGCAGGCCATCAAGGATAACCAACGTGCTACTTGATGAGACTACCCAGATTGTGAACAACAACACTCAATCATCACAAACATTGATCGGCATTAATGTACATGCCTTTGAGAAACAGGCATTGATGGATCCTGACTTCCAACTATTGCTGGACATTGATGATGCTAAGGACGTTGATGGAGCGATATGCAAGCGTGGATCAAGTGGAACCAAACTATCTGGATTGGCCATCGCTGGAATCGTTGTCCTCTGTGTTGCTTTTGTAGCCGCCATTGTTGTTGCCATCGTCTTTAGAATGAGGGCCAATCGACGACAAAAGAAGGAGTTGGGCAGGATCAATGTGAGGTTAGCTCAGATGAATCAGAAATAAAGTTGTATTTATTGATTGATTTGGGATCATTCTAGTCTAGTGGACATGTTTGAATAGGGTCTGAAGTACGGAAATGACCAAAAAAGGAAAGGGTTAGATCACATAAAAAAAAGATCGTTTTTTGGTCAAGTTAGAATCCCATGGGATACATAAAAATCATGATTATTGTGCTCAGAATCTACACCTATATTTAAACTGTTAAAGATGGATGAATAGTAGTAGATCTGGACGACTTCTGATGACTTGACCGATGACCCGGGTGTGAAGGGTGGGTCCTCTGCCACCTCCATCCCATCGTCCCCATCCCACATACAATCATCCCCTCTCCCAACAACTACGCTTTCAACGCAAACCACATCATCATCAACATCCCTCCTATCATCATGGACACTGTCAACTCCAACATCAACATCGACATCAACATCAACAACAACAACAACTACAAGTACAAGTACAAATACAAATACAAATATGGCATCAATCAAAGTGATAATGATGATGTTGGTGATGATTATGGCGATGACATCACTCATTGGACGAACACATGGCCAAGTGATCGATGTTAGATTTGTGTTGGAATATTATAACGCTATACAATGTAATGTTCAAGCGTACCTGGTCGTCAATCATACATTGCCCATCACTGGAATACAGGTGGTTGGCCAGGCCAACCCCACTATCAACAATATCAGGATGTTCAATGGTCAACAGTATGTCATGTTTGGCCAACGAGTGGCCACGCAGGCTGCGCCCTACCACTATGACGCTAGTGTCGTTGATAGCAACAATGATACCCTGCCCTGGAACGTCACGTTCTCATGTGCCACCCTCCCCACGCTGTCCCTCAGCATGCACTCTGGACCCTTTGTCCGGAATAGGGTGTTCCCAGCCACGCTCAGGGTAACCCCGCCTACCACTGACAACTTCCAAGCGACTGTGCTGGTCAACGATCCATTCAACGAGATGTTTGGAGAGTACACGTGTGCATCACAGCTGTTCGTGTGCCAGTTATCATCCTACCGAAAGGGCCCTGCTGGTGCCGCCACTTCCAGCCTCCTTCTGGTGCTTCTCTACCCCAAGGCCACAGACGTGGGCGACTACACCCAGCCCATCAATCTCACCGTCACCAACACCTTCCGTACGGCCAACATTATCTTCCCGCCGCTGACCAACAACACAGCTACAGTGACAGACAGTGCCAATATATTTCTGAATCAATATGAGACTGGAGTAGTCCTAAAGAGACCCAATCCCAACTTTGGAGCCATCATCACATCAAAGAATGACAATGGACTGTACTTTGTAAATACCAACGTATCTGCCAGCCAGCAGTTCCTGTCATACTTCAAAGCGTTCAAGCCTATTCAGAGCTATATCGATGGTCGCGTCGACAACCTCATGCTGGCAACCATACAATTCAACCAAATCCAGATATTTGAGGCCTTTACCTCTCCTTCTCCATTCATCCCTTACATCAAGCCACCATGTAAGTGTCACTTTATCATCAATCACACATCTCAGCTCAATTAACCACTCATTCAATCAATAATGGAGCGATTCCAATCACCCGCTCACTCGCTCAATCACACTTGATCAATCAATCAACCAACATGGAATCATTCCAATCACCCATTTACATTTGTACCATTCCATAACATCAATTACTAACTCAATCAATCAATCAATCAATCTAGATAAACCTCTTTACACCCAATCCAAACCACTACAAGTAACGAATTGGACTGAAGGTACACAGTTTGGATCCAGCTTCCTCTTGCCAAACTATCGGTCATGTTATTTTGGATACCTAATGCTATTAGTGGGTCAGGACGACTCATTATACTATCCATTTGGCGTAACCAATGTTGCTAATGGTGGCAACACCACCATCTCCTTCACCTACTACAACTCTGCCTATACCCTTCCAAACTCAAGGACTCTCCTTGACTGCTACTATTCCTCTGTTGGTGTTTATTGGCCAACACCATTCAATCTAAGTATGTTAGTGACACTCATACTCATTCATTCAATCGATTACTAACTCGATCAATCAATCAATCAAACAACTACAGCTGATAATACACCACCTGTTGCAGAATTATTCGAGATATTGCCACTTGGTGGTACAAGGTTCTTGTTGAGGGGGACGTTTAGTGATGCTGAATCTGGAGTGGCGAGGATAGCGATGTACTTCTCATCTGGTACGTTGTACTACGTTGATATCACTGACTTGTATGATGGCAATCAGAAGTATGGCAAATATGAGAAGCTACTCGAACTCAACTATAAGCCTGGCGATACTGTCAAATACGATGTGATGATGATGAATGGCGCCTCCAACGTATCACCCTCCAACGTTGGATACAACTCATTCCTCCAAACACCACAAGGTTTCTCCACTGGCAACTGTAAGTGACACGTGGCCATCACTCAATCACTCGCTCAATCACTCACTCATTCAATCAAACATGGTATTTTAGATGTCGTTGGCGCTGAAGACTTTACAGTTTTCTACTTTGACAAGTATGAGATGAATGTGACCACGACATCCATGAACAACAAGTTGTACTTTGGTTGTCCAAAGATATTGCCAAGCTGGAATATAACACTATTCTATGGATCAGAAAGAGAGAATCCAAACTACATAGCCTACGGTACTTACGATGTCGACCTCGGTCTGTTCGTCGTTCCATTCACTGTTCCAGCTCGTACAATTACACGACAGATGCAGTACTACATCCGTGCTATGCTGCCCCCTGGCGACACATTCTCCGTCTTCAAGACAAAGGACATCACTGGCTTTGTTGGTACCCTATCCATCGACGGCACACTCCTCCAGAAACAGTTCCCAACAACATCAATCGTCAACATCAAGTCACAACGTAAGTCATTCATTCTTGGAATGATTCCACCCCGATCAATCACTCACTCACTCATCTCCATCACATATTCAAACACACTATAGTTGGTGATGAGATGCCACCCATGATCACTGATTGCACTGCCATGCCTGGTAAGACAGTGGACTTGACAACTGGAGGAAATCAATCAATTGGCTGGAAGTTCTTTATACAGGATAGTGGCAATGGATTCTTAAGAGGTGTGATAAGAGTGATCAGCGAGATTGATGGTGAGCCGCGCAGATTCGAGTTCACACCGGCCAACAGGACAGGTGGCGATCAATATGCTGGCTACTACCAGATCATGTTTGGCGTTGACTCCAACTTCCGTAGTCAGACCTTCACATTCCTGGATATTGAACTATTCGACAACTCTATGAATCGTGGCTTCTACTCATCTTTTGATGTCGACACCAGAGTTATATCTCCCTTAACCTTCAGCTTGACAGCAACCAGAGTACAAGAATTCAATATCAAGTTGCTAACAGGTATGTTTGGCCGCACCTTTGCCCTCTCTCATACCCTCGCCCTAACCTTGCCCTCGCCCTCGACCCCAACCCTCAACCCTCGCCCCAATAGCCACAACTGATGTAACAGCACCTGTTTTGGAGACATTGGAACTCCTCACACCGAGAGTGGACGTCGGATCACATGCAAGGAATATTGATGTCAGGTTCACTGTTCGAGAGTCTGGCACTGGATACAGCAAGCGCCACATGCCATTGGTCTATCTTACAGGTTACGTACATGAGACCTACAAACTGACAACAACATCAATGTCACAAGTAGATGATGTATACACGTTCACTGCATCTGGAATGATTCCATATGCATTCGCGACCATGACCAGTGGCGCGGTGATTGGTGGATCAACCTTGGCATTCATCTCGGTCTACGGCTTGGTGGACAACAGTCAGAACATCAATGGCTACAGCACTGAGGACCTGCCCGTCACGCCACTGGTGGCGCGGACCGTCGAGATAGTGTACACGCACATCACACCAATTCTCGAGAGGGCAGTGCTTGGCCAAGGCGTGATAACAGTCATTGGCAAGAACTTTGGACCCACGGCAACATTGGTCGACGCACTCAACATTGGCAATGCAACAGTATTGTTCACCAAAACGTTTGGTTCAGTTGTGATTGCAGTGTTCAATGTATCCAATCAAGTGCATGAGAACAGGACATTGACGATACAACTTAGGAATCAGCCTGACAACTCAACATACTACTCCAACAATTTGACCGTCAGATACGTCCCACCACCCAATATCCCTGTGATCACATGTCCAGGCACACCACCATGTTCCGGCAATGGCTATTGTTCGCCAACCTTTGGATGCCAATGCATTGGTACATGGTATGGAGATGACTGTTCATCACGTATGTATCTCGCTTAATCATTGGAACTATCCCACTCAACCACTCAATCACTCAATCACTCAAACACACTTCCATCACTCAATCATACAACCACTCGATCACTAACTGGAACTATCCCAATCACTCAATCACTTAATCAATCAATCAATAATGAACAGAGGCGGTACCAATTGCCCCAGTGATCAATCCAGAGAGCCCATCAACAGTATACACATTCAACGAGACAGGTGTGATCATTGTTGGTGAGATAGAGATTGTGAGAGTGAGGGTGTTGGATCAACTTGGTGCAGAGTTGGCATCATATCCTTTGAATCAATGGAATACATCAAGCACATCCAATCAATCACGAGACTATCTTGCTCAATATGGTCCCGATGATCTTAGTAACGTCGGTTTGATCAAGGTCAATGTACGATGGTTCACAGAGGATGAGAATATAACATTCGCAGGCGACATACTCCCGATGAAGAAGAACACGATCAAATACACCATCTCACTGTCCAACTACACATTCCCAAGTCAGTTGGATTCGATGCAAGTTGTGATGCGAGCCACCATCAACACGACCGATGCCAACTCATGCTCCATCCAACAGTATGGCTACACAGATGATAGTGATGGCAACAAGGACAACCTGTTCTGGATGCGTGTCAAGGTGCAGAGTTACAGTGTGTACGGCCACTTCATCCAGAAGGCGATGGTTGATGGCAGAGTGTCAGCCGTGTCCAACGTGCTCCTCAATGACACGGTGCAGACTGTGAACGACACTCAATCATCACAAACACTGATTGGCATCAATGTGTCGGCATTCACAAGACAAGCCTACTTGGACCCAGACTTCCAACTGCTGCTGGACACCGATGATGCCAAGGGCATGAATGGCGCATTCTGCAAACGATCATCATCATCATCATCAAAGTTATCACCACTGGCCATCGCTGGAATCGTTGTATTATGCATTTGCTTTGTGGCCGCCATTGTAGTGGCCATTGTGATGAGGAGGAGATCACTTAAAAAGGAACAGAAAGAAGTGAAGCGTATCAATATGAAGCTATCACAACTCAAATCACAACAAAATCAAAGTTGATTATTCATTCAATCAATCAAATAATAAATATGTTACAATTGAATTATTAAAAATAATATTAAATTATTTTGTATTCTATTATTATCTAATAACCCAGGATTTAATTAGAGGGTTAGTTAGGTACAAACTTAAATATTGTGGGATAATGGATCGTTCCTTGTTACACATCAGATGAATTGGGTTGGGTTATGGTAATAAAATGGATTGATCAATAACTAATCTATATAATATTCTTTTATTAACATAGATTATATAATATTTTTGTAAGATGCTAAGAGATCCTACTAAATTTTCTTTAGCTGCTAAGATCTGCAGTCCAGAAAAAGTAGCATTACTCAAGAAAGATGAACGTGTCTGTTCTGAGTTAAAAAAGGGTGCCCAAAGTCTAGGTCAACTCTCAATCAATAAATCAATTATCCATCAAACTTTCTTTCAAATAATTAATATTCTTAAGTAAATAAAATAAATATAATATTAAATTCAATCGATCCAACGATCACAAATCAACCAATAAAGATGATGATGTTCGAAAGGTCGACCCCTCGTGCCTGGGTGGTGGAGTATATTTTGCAAGGGTACCGTTGGATCAACTACATTAAAGTGATTGATTTTAAAGAGATAGAGAAGAATGGAGTGATTGAGAAATGTTCTATCCTTTGCTCTCTATTATTGATTCGTATTGATATCTACCTTAGGATATTGTATCACTGTGTGAATATTTGAAATAATGTAAAGTAGTGAATTAATTCAAATAATATCTTAACCAGTGACAATATTGTCTAAATAAATTGTAATATTTATCAATAAATCAGAGATTAAAAGTAGTTAAAGACTATTGTAATCAATCTAGAATGAAGTTTGATAGAGATATTTATTATTGGGTTCCAGTATAATTAAATTATATAAGGAGTATTCAAACTACTTCAAATACCACCTACACCTTCTAATATTATCTTGGATGTGTTTATCAGATCATAAGATTGAAGTTATAGTAATTTATCAATCTTACAACAATGATTAGTGTCAATTGAGAAAATGAAACCTAAGTTATTACTCACACCCACTCATTCCCAATGGGTGTGTCATATGCACGTCATTCAGAAGAATGTCATTCATTCTTGACAAGCAGACTCTTTGCGATCGACTTGACATAGTTACGATGAGACATTGGATCTTTGACATTCCTTGTATACATTATATAGGAGTTGGTAAGGGCATAGGAAATGTATCCAAGTTGTTGACTCTGTTGTTGTGAGGAATGGGGATGGTCATGCCAGAAGTAAGTTGCAAGTTGGTTGAACTGATCAAGACCTCTCTTGGTGTCGTCATACAAATCTAGTATATCCTGTCGTTCAGATTGTAACCTTCTCTCTGGAGATTCCTGGACATCGAAGAAGGTTGTCGCGAGCTGGATTATTTTCTTGTTGTGGTAAGCTGCAGCAATTATGCCTTCCTGTGTAGCAAACCTGGAGAGACCTGGAGGCAAACAATTAGCTATTCCAACCTTGTAGACCTCTGAGGGCAGTCTGCCCTTTTTAATACAGAGAGTTGCTTCGATGCCAATAAGTTTGAGTCTCTTGAGTTGAGCAAAGTTTGAGAACTTGCTGTCAGCAGTGAGGTGGTAGTGTTTGTCTTTATCGAGTGGCATCTTCTCAATCAATTGGGCCAAAGCTATCTCTCCTGTCGCCTCCTTTGATGGCATCATCCCAAGCAAATAACGTGTATCTGTGTCACCAATAGTGTTGATTTCAAACGCCCACTTCTCTGGCTTCTCCTTGTTGTAACTGAGGCCAGCATGCATTGTTGGTTTTGCTTTGATCCTTGACTCATCAATGGTAAGAAAAGTGCCTGGCGACAGGTGATGTAGGAAGTTGGTCTCGAGGATGCTTCTCATCTTCTCCAGGTTGATTGTCAAGTGAGGGTGGATGACGCTGAACCGGTCCTTGCCCATGGCCTCACCCTTCCCAGGATATGTATACGAGTACTCTCCATGGGAGAAGAGGTCCGGGTGGTTGGAGATTCCCATAACAACGCTGACTAGTATCAACCCAATGTATGTGTAGACTTCCTTTGATTGTAGCTTGGCTGCATTCTGAAATTGATCGAGTTTGTTCGAGTCATAAAGCATCCTATCTACCAACTTTTGATTAACCATGCACTTGAAGTAGTCAATTGGATTCACTGACGTTGGAATGTTCTTCCATGATGGTAGATGAGGTTCGTACTTGGGTGTGAATATGGGGTCCTTGATCGTGGTCCAACTATATCTCTTGAGAACCTCCTGCAGGACAGGGTACCTAGTAAAATGTTAATGAACATGTTTGAGAGCATCATTATCATATCAAAACACATACTCTGGAAACCCTCCTGGGATTGCACATGAAGGTTTTTTCTTCTTCTTCTCTGGTTTATCCTCTTCGTTCGATTCTATATCTTTCCTTTTCTGTGACATTGTCTTTGAATGAATGAATCCAACTAGATAATGATTGAATAAATGGTGAGTGATGTGYGTGTTTTTGAAAATACACCTCACACTCTTTCACTGACTATTCCAGGAGTTGTAAATATAATTCCAACAGTCATCAGGTGATCAATAGGTATCATATTAGAGTACATTAATAGGTGAAGAGTTATGAGATATTATTAACAACGAATAAGGGCCAATAAAAAAAAAATTGTTCATTATAATTCTTTATCTCAAGGAATTTTGAAACTGTCTACTTTATTAAGGATTAGATCTCTACTACTTGAGTAATTTAATCCAATTGGTTAGACCATTCCAAATGTTCATCCGACCAAGATACATCGAGATAGATAATTTCTTGATGTATTTAAAAAATTGATTGAATGAAGTATCATTTTAAAGTATCATTCAATCTAGATATATAAATAAGATCGAGTCCAGAGTATAGAATAATTTATTAATAACGTGAATTATGTTTGTGAATTATTATCTTAGCAAGAATACCAATGTGATTATCTGATGAAAAATAAAAAGTTTGCTCCCACCCAAACACCAAGAGTCGACCAAGATTTCAAAAAGACGACATTTTAATTATCGGGTTCAGAACTTTTATGTTTTGTGGGCGCCGACTTTAGGTGATTCGAAAGTGTTCCTTTCAAAAGAAAACACTCACTTTCATCATCTTCGAAGTAGATTTAATTAGATAATTACAACAACAGATATTGTTTAGGATTTTATTGTTGTCGATGGATGGTCACACTCAATCAATGATCAAGCCAAAGATAGGAAATGAAAGTTAGTGTGTATGTCTCTTTCTGTGTCCTTCTAACTTTAACAGACATACACACACATCTTAGGATGGATATTATAATGATCGTATGCTGATGATGATGATGATGATGATGAACCAATCTCAATCTTTGGCCCAGAGTCTTAGAGTAATGGGTAAGACATGTTCCATCAATTCCGTCCTCCCTATGACCCCTTATGTTGTTCCCATCACTCGGTATTAACTCATTCAATAACTCAATCATTCAACCAATCATCCCAACTCACAAGGTGTACACATAACTTTAAATGTCACATACTACTACTACTACGCTCATCTTCATTGTTGTTGTACTCTTGACATCATCCTCAACATCAGCGGTTGTAGTCTTGGGACAACCATGGTCTGTCGAGACAAGAACAATCGTGGAGTATTCGTCACCTGGTAGTTGTAACTTAAAATGTACAATTATAACAAATAACACGGAGACGTTACAATTCAACACAATCGATAATGAACCATCTAGAAATACAACGTTCAACGTCTTCACTTTCAACGGTCTCCAATACATCCAATTCATGCAGTTCTACCTCGCAGCCCAGCCCAATCCATTCATCATCAACGGTCACTTCCTAACCGTACCACCCCTCAGCAACACCGTTCGCTGGAACACTACATTCCTCTGTGATAGTAAGTAGTATACATGCCCTGGAATGATCCCATACTTACCCCCCCGCTCATCCACCCATCCATTCAGCCCCTCCACCACTGATCTTGAACAAGTACAGTGGACCATTCGTGCGGAATAGGGTCACACCGGTACTCAATGCCAGCCCTGGCAATTATGACTCGTTCCAGACTTTGATAACGATCAATGATCCACTGAAAAATATCTATGGATTTTATTTTTGTTCCTCGCTGGCGTTCAAGTGTCATATGCTGCCAATCAGATCGATCACAGCCGATACCACTCTGTTCCAAATGGTCATCTACCCATCCAACCTGGCCAGCAACTACACTGGCTACACCTCGCCAATCAACATCACTGTCTCCAACTCTGGCCGTGCCACCAGCATCTTCTTCCCGCCACTCGTCACCACTACCACGTCCCTCACCAAGAGCTATGAGGTCTTTGACTACAACGTCGGCACTGGACTGGTGCCCACCCGCGTCGTCCCCAACTTTTCCGCAATGATCACCTCGACCCCTGACGCCAACTACTTCATCCACCCCAACTCCACATACCAAAACGATATCCTGTTCTACTATCGCGCCATCAAGCCTGTGATGAACACGGCGGATGGCCACATTCAATCATTGGTGCTGGCGGCCGTCCGCTCGACCTGGATGCAGCTGCTAGAGATCACTGATCGTCCACTTAGCTTGAGCAACTACACGCGTGCCTACCCCGACGACTACAACACCTACAATGCTGATAGGAGTGCGGTTGTGCCGTGGCTGGAGGGCAAACAGTTCACGACCAGCTTCGACCTACCCAGCTACAGGTACTGCAACTATAGTTATGGATTGCTGTTCCAGAGCTGGGGCCAAGACGTCTCCTATCCATTTGGTGTGACACATGTCGACCGTGGCAACTTCTCACTTGCATTTACCTTCTATGCCAATAGCTACGTCCCCATTGGTACTACCATCAACTTGGATTGCTACTTCGCTCGTCCATTAATCTCATTCCCACCTCCAGAGAGTTGTATGTACACTCACCCGGCCATCACTCCAACCACTCGGCCATCACTCCCTCACATGGTAAACTAACATGTTCACGCCCAATCAAACGTTCAATCAATCAATCAGCTGACTTGATTGAAGCTAGGATTGAGGAGTTTGAGTTCAAACCATTCGCAAACAATATTTACTTGGTTCGAGCACATATATTGGATGACCTATCTGGCTTTGGAAGATTGTTGATATACTTCTCAACTGGAGAGATATTTGATATGGACTTCCACGACATTTATGCTGGCGATAAGTTTGATGGATATTATGAGCGAGTGTTAATACTCAACAATCGTACAACCTCATTGCCATTGTACTCCATGTACCTAATGGATCGCGGTGGTACCATGGCCCAACTCGACTTTGGATGGAGCACATTGACTGGATCCCCACTTGGCATGGCCACAGCCAACTGTAAGTCTCACTCCAGGCCATCACTCAATCACTCAATCATACTAACTCACTCATTCAATCAATCAACCAGATGAGATTGGAGTTGAAGACTTGACAGTGTTCTACTTTGACAAGTATGTTATGGATGTGAGCAATGGATTCATGTCGAACTTGTTGTACTTGGCATCGCCAAAGATTTATCCAGAATGGGTGGTGGCGATCACCTTTGGTGCCACTCAAGAGAATCCGTATTATGAAGCAACGGGCTTCTATGATTATAGTCTGGGAGTATTTGTTATCCCATTCACTATACCTGCACGTACAATGACACATCAACTACAATACTACATCTCAATCAGACCTCCCGTCTATGGAACATTCTCCAAGTTCCGCCAGCTGGCAATCCCCAGCCTAACTGGCGCCATGGTCATCTACCTCGAGCAACTCTACAAACAATTCCCCAACACATCAATCATCAACGTTATATCAACGTGTAAGTATTGGACTCGCGCCAGACAATTTCGAAAAAACCAAATTWTGCGGCCAGTGGTTGGCAACTCGCCAGACTCTCAACCGTGAAGTGCACTTACCACTCATTCAAATTTCACTTCCACTAACATAACATTATATTATTCATTCAAATCATACTTAGTTGGTGATGAGATGCCACCAATGATCACCAATGTTCGAGCATTCCCAAGTGTGAGCCCAGTGTTGACTGTTTCCAAACCAACTGCGACCGCCGTGTTGTCCATCGGCTGGAACATTACGATCGTGGACCAGTTGAATGGATTCCTACGTGGAGTGATCAGTGTGAGCAGTGATAGGGATGGACTTCCAAGGACATTTGAGATCACTCCAAATGATAGGATTGCTGGTACATCAATGAATGGAACCTATCAGATTATGTTCAATGTCACTTCAGACTATGGCAATCAGACCTTCACCTTCATGGACATTGAACTATTTGACACTTCAATGAACCGTGGCAAATACACCACATACGAACGCACTCAAGAGACACTCTCGCCAATCGCCTACATCCTCAAAGATCCCCTTCAAGTGGCTCAACTCAACATCAACTTGACAACATGTAAGTGTTGCGACCATCCTAGACTGAATGGAATGATCCCAAGATATTAAAACACACACTTACTCATTCAATCAATCAATCAATCAATCAATTATAGCATCCAAGGATATCACGCCACCATCGTTGGAGTCTTTGGAGTTGCTCACTCCAGAGATTGATGTTGGTACGTTTAGACGTGAGGTGAGGGTCGAGTACACTGTGCGCGACGCAGGTGGTATGAGCCCTCGTCACATGCCATGTGTCTGTCTCACTGGATACATATTCGAGTTGGTCAAGCTTAGGTCAACCTTAATCAAACAAGCTGGTGATCTGTACACGTACTCTGCAACGGTCGACCTACCCTATGGCTTCGCATCGGCCACCAGTGGCTACGCTGACGGCAAGAATTCATACGCCTACGTCTCTGTCTATGGTCTGATTGACAAGAGCCACAATACTATTGGTTACAGCACTGACATGCTTCCCGCCAATGGACGTGTCAACTCCACCCTCGCCATCACCTACTCTCACGACACACCAATAATCGAGAGTTGTACAGTTGCCAATGGATTGGTGACGGTTGTTGGCAAGAACTTTGGCGACAATGCCACTTTGGTGGACTTGGGCACACGCCCCAATATGCCAAAGATCGTGTACACCAAGGTCAAGGGATCGGTTGTCATTGGAGTGTATAGCTTTAACTATGATCAGACCAACCCAACCACATTGATACTGCAGGTGGAGAACCGTCCAGGCAACGCCACCTACAACTCCAACGTCCTTCAAATTCAATACTACCCACCTGCCAAAGTCCCACAAGTCCAATGTCCAGGCACACCACCCTGCTCCAACAACGGAGTCTGCTCTCCAACCTTTGGATGTCAATGTTCCGGCACATGGTACGGAGATGACTGTTCATCGCGTATGTATCCCCTCACTCAATCAAACAATCAAACAATCAAACAATCAAACAATCAACAATCACAGTCATTGACCTCCCCACCCCTCCATCAATGATACAGAGGCTGCTCCAAACACACCAGTGATCAATCCAGATACTCCAACAACGGTGTACACATTCAATATTAGTGGAATGACGATTGTTGGTGAGATTGAGATTGTGAGAGTGAGAGTGTTGGATCAACTTGGTGCAGAGTTGGCATCATATCCACTGGGCCAATGGAACACGACAATCACATCCAATCAATCATTTGATTACTTGTCCAACTTTGGAAGTGACGCCAATCCCAACAATATGGGCACGATCAAGGTGAGCGTGCGATGGTTCACCGAGGACGAGGACATCAAGTTTGCAGGTGACGTGCTCCCAATGAAGAAGAATACGATCAAGTACACCATATTGGTATCCAACTACACATTCCCAAGCCAGTTGGATTCGATGCAAGTTGTGATGCGCGCCACCATCAACACAACCGACTCCAACTCGTGCTCCGTTCAACAATATGGCTACACCGATGGCGTCAATGGCAACAAGGACAACCTGTTCTGGATGCGTGTCAAGGTGCAGAGTTACAGTGTGTATGGCCATTTCATCCAGAAGGCGATGGTCGATGGCAGAGTGTCTACAGTGTCCAACGCATTGCTCAACGATACAACGACGACCGCCCAATCCGCCAACGACACACAGTCCTCCACTCAAACCTTTATCGGTATCAATGTGCCATGGTTCGCAACACAAGTCATCATGGACCCCGACTTCCAATTGCTCCTGGACACTGATGATGCCAACACCATTGATGGAGCACTATGCCAACGATCATCATCATCAGCCGTCAAGCTATCACCTCTGGCCATCGCTGGTATCGTTGTCCTCAGTGTTGCCATTGTCGCGGCCACAGCCACCGTCATAGCCATCCGTCTAAGGACAGCGCGTAAACAAAAGATTGAGGTTGATCGTATCAACCTTAGGATGTCCGGTGTCCAATCATCCAATCAAGTTCAATAGTTGTACAAGTAAGTAGTAGTTGGAATCATTCCTCACGTTAATAATAAAAGAGTGCAAAGGTCGGTATCGACCGGTTTTTGATCAAAGAACACATCACATCACATAACCCCCATTTGGTGACCAAACTGTTTGTGTAAGTGTGATTGTGTTTGATCATTCGGGTCCCGAAAATAGCCTCTTTGTTGGTAGTGGCTTGATTAATACTAACGGCAACATAATAGTAATTATGATGATGATATCTAATTATAATATCAAGATCATTTAAAGATAGTATGGTTCTCTAGATGATGATGGTTGTTGATCGAAGCAAGCACGAGGATGATATATTAACAAGATCTTTATTAATATTGATGATGAGTCGGTAATACCTACTACCTACCAACCTTCCACACTCACTCCCAATTAGCCGGCTCATCGATCAACACTACACTACACTACAACTTCCAACATGCGCACTACAATGGTACTCATTCAACTCATTCAATCAACCAATCACTTCACTCAATCACTCAATCATTCAAACATACAATGTCAACTTCATCAAACATGATCACGATGATCATCATCATCACTCTGATGATCATGACATGTGGCATTCAAGGTCAATTGCTTGATAGTAGTTATGTGGTGCAGTATACACCTTCTACATTATGTGATGCCAAGATTACGTTGGAAATGAATGGTGATGAACCCAATCCCACACATATAATGATCAACGGAACGACTCCACCCAACATGACACTGAAGCCAACAATATCATTCGCCGGTGCCAAGTACATCCAATTCTATCTCTCTGGCATCACACCACAAGCAGATCCAATCTACCTCAATGGATCTGTCAACATGGGTATCGTCACGGTCTTATTCACCTGGGAGATGTACATTGCTTGTCCACGTATGTTGTCCATCCTTCATCGTCCATCATGTTGCCGTTCAGTGGACTAACATACTTCCAAACGATCAAACATACTCAGCCCCACCTCCATTGATCATCAACTTGTTCAGTGGACCATTCGTGAGGAATAGGGTGGAGCCAGTGTTGGCTCAACAACCAGACAAGTCTGATGTGTTCCAGTCTATTGTGGAGGTCAACGATACATTGAATGGAATGTATGGTAATTATTTATGTAGCTCAAAAGGCTATATATGCTCATCTGTGCCAATGAGACAGACCAAACACCAGACTATCCTGCTCCAAATGTCCATCTATCCACTGCCCATCATTGCTGGCAGCGAGAACTTCACTGAACCCATCAACATCACTGTCACCAACACTGGACGTACTACATACGTCATCTTCCCGCCACTGGTCACCAACACAACGGTCAAGACCAGGGCCATGGTCATCTTTGATTACACACGTCCGACTGGAGTGGTGCCCTCACGTGTCAATCCCAACTATGCAGCATTGATCAACTCCAATTCACCCGAGGCCATCTACTTTGTCTATCCCAACGTATCATTTACAAACGATCTACTGTTCTATCCCAAGGCGATCAAGCCTGCGATGACCTTGCCAAATGGAGACACGCTGAACCTCATCCTAGCTGGCATTGAATATCAAGCCATTCGACTATATGAGGCTCTGGACAATGCCCGCAACATCAACAATGTAACCCTCAGTGTTCCACGTATGTGATCACACTCGCCCAAACGATCACCGGAACAATTCCAATCGATCATTCAATCAGTCAATCAATCATACTAAATCCACTCACTCACTCACTCATTCAATGAATCATATCATTAGCGTATGTTATTCCAACTTCAGCATTATTGGCGCAGACCACACCTTGGGCAAATGGCATACAGTTTAGAACAACATTCGTGTTACCAAGCTATCGCAAATGTTCATACAACTACGGTCCACAACTCCCAACGAACGACAATTCATTTGCTTTCCCATTTGGCGTACAGAGAGTAGCATCAGGTGGCAACGTCTCAATGTCATTCACATTCTACATCAATGGATACGAAGCCGTTGGCACCATCCTAAGCTTGGACTGTTACTTTGGTGATATCCGATTATCAACGCCGGGTCCAATCAATCAAAGTATGTCATCACATCACTCCAACTTAGACCAACACTCACTGACTAACTCACTCACTCAATCAATCAATCAATCGATCAGCTGACAAAGGGGCACCTGTTATTATATCATTTGAAATTGGACAAATTGGTGGCAATATGTTCTTGTTGCGAGCACATATTACTGATGACTTGAGTGGCTTTGCCAGGTTGTTTGTATACTTTGCAAGTGGAGAGTTGTTGGACATCAACTACCTCGACCTCTACAGTGGTACATCACAAGATGGCTACTATGAGAAGTTGTTTATACTCAACAATCAAACAGTAACCACACCAAAGTACAGTATATTCATCATTGACTTTGCTGATAATGTCGATCAAATCGATACCTACTCCAACTCACTCTCTGGCACACCCTCCACAATGTACACGGCCAGCTGTAAGTCCATCCACTCAATCACACTGTCAATGGAACTATTCCATCACTCACTCACTCACTCAATCATTCATTCAGATATTATTGGCGCCGAAGACTTGACTGTATTCTACTTTGATCAGTATGTGATGGATGTTAGCAACACATCTTTAAAGAATAAGGTGTATTTGAGATCACCAAAGATAAAGAAGGACAGTAGGGTATCAATCAACTTTGGATCAATCGATGAGAATCCAAACTATGAAGCAATTGGAAAGTATGACATTGGTTTAGACATGTTTGTAATCGAGTTCACTATACCAGTTCGCACGATGACCCGCCAGCTCCAATACTACATCATTATCAACCCATTCTGGAACAACCTACTCAAGAAATATGTTGCAAGTCTACCTAGCACAATTGACAGCTACGTCATCTATCACGACCTCCTCATCAAACAATTCCCCAACACATCAATCATCAACATCATTTCCAAAAGTAAGTGTTCAAAAATTTATGCGGCCAGTTGTTGGCAACACACCGGTAACTCGCCAGACGTTCAACCGTGGGGGTGCCACACAAAATATTTTCAAAATGTTACTAACAATAGCTTTAATCATACTCATTATAGATGGAGATGAAATGCCTCCAATGATAACAAAGATTGCTGCATATCCAAGTACGGCGCCAGTGATGACAGTGGCAGGTCAGATGGAGATTGGCTGGAACTTTATCATTGAGGACCTGTTGAATGGATTTGATCATGGTGTGATGAATGTCATCAGTGATCTGGATGGCCTCGAGCGTACATTCACATTCACCTCGGATGATCGTTTAAGTGGAACGCCACAGGGAGGCTGGTATCAGATACGATTCAATGTCTCATCAGACATGGGCAATCAAACATTCACATTCCTCAACATTGAACTATTCGACACTGGAATGAATCGTGCCTACTACCATACCGATACCCAGTACCTCACCACTGTCTCGCCAATTGCCTACGTCCTATTCAATGGTACCATGACCAATGAGTTGAACATGAAGTTGACAACATGTAAGTGTGTGACTTGATCAATGGGTGGAGGTGGCTGGAGGGAGCTTGGAACTATTCTAATCAATCAAATATACCATTACTAACACTCATTCATTCATTTCAATCAATCACTGGAACCATTCCATTCCAATCACTCTCACTCACTCAATCAATCAATCATATTCGCAGCATCACAAGACTTTACCGAACCAACTGTGTGGACTGTGTCTGTTACTACCCCATATGTGGATGTTGGATCACATCAACGATTGGTTACCATATACTTCACTGTGAGGGAGGCAGGTGGAATGAGCCCCCGCCACACTCCTTATGTCTACCTGACAGGATATATGTTTGAACTATTCCAAATTCAAGCGGAACAGCTCAATCGATCCGGCGACCTATACACCTACATGGCCAGCGCACAGCTACCCTATGCTTACGGATCGACATCATGTCGCCTGAGCAATGACACTGCCACCACATCATACCTATTCGTGTCCATCTACGGCCTGGTGGATGTGGCACAAAACACGAGAGGATACAGTACTGAAGAATTGTTTTATAATGGAATGGTAGACAGGGTGGTCCAAGTCCAGTACAATCATCTCACACCAATCATTGAGACATACATGATGAGTCCAGTCGACGACTCTGTGGTCACACTCATTGGCAAGAACTTTGGGTCGGATTGTGTGATGCTGGAGACGAGTGGACGCACCAATGTGACGATAAGATTCGTCAAACTCTCTAGCTCGGTGGTATATGCTGTGTACCGCATCAAGGTGATCTCGGACAACCCGCTCACAAGCCCACTGTTGTTGACGGTCCAGATCAAAAACCAACCAGAGTACTACTCAAACACTGTGCCAATCACATTCAATCCACCTCCAGTCATACCAACAGTCAAGTGTCCAGGCACACCACCCTGCTCCAACAATGGAGAATGCTCGACCACCTTTGGATGCCAATGCTACGGCACCTGGTACGGAGATGATTGTTCATCGCGTATGTATTCCACTCACTCACTCAATCAATCAATCAATCACTGACCTCCCCACTTCCAATGATACAGAGGCTGTTCCAAATGTTCCAGTGATCAATCCTGATACACCAACAACAGTGTATACATTCAATACGAGTGGAATGACGATTGTTGGTGAGATTGAGATTGTGAGAGTGAGAGTGTTGGATCAACTTGGTGCAGAGTTGGCATCATATCCACTTGGACAATGGAACACGACAATCACATCCAATCAATCATACGATTACTTGTCAATGTTTGGAAGCGATGTCGACAACATGGGCATGATCAAGGTGAATGTACGATGGTTCACGGACGACTACAACATTTCATTCGCCGGTGATATACTCCCAATGAAGAAGAACACGATCAAGTACACCATCACACTGTCCAACTACGCATTCCCTAGCAAGTTGGATTCAATGCAAGTTGTTATGCGAGCCACCATCAACACGACCGATGCCAACTCATGCTCCGCCGAACAATATGGATACACTGAAGGCGCCGATGGCAACAAGGACAACCTGTTCTGGATGCGTGTCAAGGTGCAGAGTTACAGTGTGTACGGCCACTTCATCCAGAAGGCAATGGTCGATGGCAGAGTGTCAGCTGTGTCCAACGTGCTGCTCAACGACACTGTTCAGACTGTGAACGACACTCAATCATCACAAACACTGATTGGCATCAATGTGCAGAGCTTCACCCAACAAGCTGTGATGGACCCTGACTTCCAACTGTTGCTAGACACTGATGATGCTTCCACTGTGGACGGTGCTGTCTGTTCCAAAGGTGGCAAAGGTAGATCCAAACTATCAACACTGGCCATAGTTGGAATCGTTGTACTATCAGTTGTAATTGTAGCTGCCATTGCCGTTGGCGTTGCCATGAGGATGAGAGTGGTGCGTAGAGAAAGACATGAAGTGAACCGCATCAACATGAAGATGAACCGCCTTTCCGAATCAGTGGAGAGCAACAACAACAGCAATCTCAAGACAAGCAAATCATCACTTATAACTAATTAGTCGCGCCATTGTATAACTATGACTTGGTAAACTGTAGAACTGTAACTTTTACAATAAACCTGGGAAAATGATCGTGATGGATGGAGGGGTTCCAAAAGGCACACTACAAGACTAAGAATAGGATCTAGATTTTTGTGTAGATACTTTAGATTGTTTGTTTTACTTTACAAGATGAAAGATCAAAGGGTCACCAAAATGTACTTTATCGACCTATCTACCCATCAACATTGTTGACACATTTAAAATCCGAACGAGAGATGGCTTTAAGCCAGCCACATCATCATCCTCCCTTCTTATTACGGGGCAGTTCCTGCCCCAACAACCTTCTCCTAACCATCATTCTCTTTACAACTTACTTACAACCATTCAATCATTCAAACATAAATTATTATCTATCTTCACTCACTTACTCACTCACTCACTCATCTAATCAACAAATCAACATACTCTACTTCAACTAAAAATATTCAGGAATGATACAACTACATCATGTCCTGTCGATCAGTATATTGATAGCAGTACTATTGTTGATGAATGGTGGTTGTATATCAGGACAGATTATAAGTACAACAGTAACATTGGAGTATACAATTCAAGGTTATTGTAATAGGAAGTTCACTCTAGTTGCCAATCACACTAGACCCGTTACATGGGTCAGTATCGATGGAGTTGGCAATGCCTCCTCACTCGTCCCCTTCATGTTTGGAAGTCTACAATACATCATGTGGACCGACTACTATCAAGCCCCAGTTCCCCTCACTATCCTCTACACTGGCAACGCATACGACGATCTCAACCAACCCATGACCTATTCTCTGAACTTTACTTGTCCTCGTAAGTTTGATTGATTGAGTGATTGAGAGTGTGTGCGGCCCTGGTATGATTCCATCCTTCAACCCATAAACTAACTCAACCAACCACAAAATCAAATCAATCTCAAGCTCCACCAATACTATATGTTAACAGTTATAGTGGACCATTAGTGAGGAATAGAGTGGTACCAATGATGTTATATCCCCCTGGATTCACTGATGGTTTCCAAACTGTTGTCAAGGTTAGTGATCAATTCCTCCCAATATATGGAGAATACTTGTGTTCGGCATTGGGATACACTTGCTTGATGTACACTCTGAGAGCCGACCCCGAGAACACAGGTACCTTGGTTCAATTGTATATTTATCCCGACATCGCCTTGGTTGAGTTTGATAAATATCGTCTGCCAATCAACATCACGGTGACCAACACTGCTCGCAAGGCATGGATCATCTTCCCAGCACTGGTAACACAAACAACGCAACTGACCCAGGGAGTAGTAGCATTCAACTATAACATGGATATTGGTCTCGTCCCAAGGAAATTCAATCCCAACTTTGCGGCCGTGATCACTCACACACCTGGCGCCACATACTTCCTCAATCCCAACGCATCAGCACCATCGGCCATGGCATGTTTCAAGGTTGTCAAGCCTGTCACCAACTTAGAGGACGGGACTGTACGCACTCTCGCAATCTCAGTCATCACAACCGTCAAAATGATGTTGTTGGAGGTCACCAACAACCCCGTATCCATCTACAACTACAACCTACTCACAACAGGTAAGTGTTGTCCACACTCTATCATACACTCAATGACTAACTCAATCAACCAATCAATCAATCAATCATACTTCTAGACCCAATAACTAAACCTGCCACAGTTTCAAATGTGATTGGATTGAATAATGGCCAAAAGTTTACATCAACCTTTATCTTGCCAAGTTATGTAAGGTGTAGTTTTACAAACGCACCTACAGGACTATGGTTTGGATCAGAGCTCACCTATCCATTTGGTGTCACCAATATTGTATCGGGTGGCAACACCACACTATCCTTCACATTCTCCGCCTCAAACTTCATGCCCTCCAATCTACTTCAAATGGATTGTGCCTACGGCACTGTCACAATCACAACCCCGATCGCATCTAACAGGAGTAAGCATCCCTCCATCAAACATCTACTCACTCATACTCATACTCATACTCAATCAATCAATCAAATATTCAGCCGATATAAAGAGGCCATCAGTTGAAGCATTTGAATTGGTTCCACTCAAGGACAACTTGTTCATACTCCGTGCGACCTTTGTGGATGATATGAGTGGATTCGCAAGATTACATATTTACTTCTCAACTGGAGAGATATATGATGTGGACTACCGTGACCTGTATTCTGGAACAAACTTGAATGGAAATTATGAGAAGTTGATCACACTCAACTATGCAACAAACGAGACACCAAAGTTCTACATGTTCCTCACGGACTATTCCACCAACATGGGTCCAAACGATCTAGGATATTCAATCTCTGGCATGGTCCAAGGATTCAAAACTGGAAATTGTAAGTTGTTGGCCAGGTCAGTGGTCAGGTTGGAATGATTCCCTAACTCACTCAATCAATCAATCATTATATTAGATATTATTGGCCCTGAAGACTTTACATTGTTCTACTTTGACAAGTATGAGATGGATGTAAGCAATCAGACAATGATGAACAAGTTGTATATCAGGTCGCCAAAGTTGAGAAATAGATGGCAGGTAACGATGACATATGGTGCAGTTGAGGAGAACCCTTTATATCAAAACAAAGGAGTGTATGATGCTAGTCGTGATCTCTATGTCATAACATTCAATGTTCCAGCGAGGACTATGACCAAACAGATGCAATACTACATTACTCTCAAACCAGCCAAGACGGTGAACTCACCTTCCAACTATTCGCCAGACCGTTCGTTCTACCTTCCCAACTTGGTGGGATCAATCATTATCAACAGTGATCAACTGATCAAACAATTCCCGTACAGTTCAGTCGTCAACATCAAGTCAACATGTAAGTTCCAATTTATACAGCCACTGGTTGGCAACAGGGCGGTAACACGCCAGAGGCTCAACTGTGAGCGGTACCTCTGTCCACTCACACTCACAAACTGAATAATCATTCAAATATAGATGGAGATGAGTTGCCACCAATGATCACGTATGTCATGGCAGTTCCGAGCAATACACCGGTGATGACAGTGGCTGGAAATATGGAGATTGGCTGGAACTTAACGATTGGGGACCATTTTAATGGTTTCCATCATGGAATTATAAGAGTGATAAGTGATGTGGATGGATTCGAACGTACAATCTTGGTCAACTCTAGCAATAGGATTGAGGGCAATGAGACCATTGGAGTCTACCAGGTACTATTCAATGTGACCTCTGACTTCAAAACTCAAACATTCACATTCCGTGACATTGATCTGTATGACAAATCAATGAACCTTGCAACCTACAGGTCATTCGAGCGTCAATTCAAGACCCTATCACCCTTGGCCTACATCGTGGATTACATTGACTCTGTCCTTCAGCTCAACATCAAACTGACCACAGGTAAGTCATTCAATCACATTCTCTGGATCAATCCCAATCACTCAATCACTGACTGACTTGACAATTCCAATCATGCATCACATCAAATTAATAACTCACTCGATCATTCACTGGAACCATTCCAATCACTGACGATCAATCAATCAATCATTCAAACTCCAAATAGCATCCAATGATGTTACACCACCTGTTCTCGAGACTTTGGATGTACTCACACCTATTGTGGATGTTGGATCAACAGAAAGATGGGTCAAGATTCAATTCACAGTTAGGGATGCTGGTGGAATGAGTCCAAGACACAACCCAGTAGTATACCTTACAGGATACTTATTCGAAACATTCAAGATGGTGGCAGAGATATATGGTCAGAACGCCGATCCAAACGTGTACACATACCAAGCCATTGGAGAACTACCTTATGGCTTTGGATTCACAAGTGCCGGACAAAACATTGACTCACCCGAAGTTTATATATCAGTATATGGATTGGTGGACAAGAGTCAGAACATCAATGGGTACAGCACTTCTATGTTGCCAAACAATGGATTGGTGACCAGCACCATGGGCATCAAATTCACACATATATCACCAATCTTTGAGGGATACATGCTTGATCCAAATGGTGCACCAATCATCACGGTCTATGGAAAGAACTTTGCAAAAGATGTTATGATGGCTGATACCGCCAATCCCACCATCTTCAACAAGACCTTTGGATCAGTTGTTGTTGCGGTGTTCAACTTCACCACACCTACTAATGAGCCCACTACCATGGTCGTCTTACTCAAGAATTTCGACGGCACATACTATTCCAATCCGATCGGTATCAGCTACTTCCCACCCGTCGTCGTGGTCATACCCACAGTCAATTGTTCAGGCACGCCACAATGCTCCAACCATGGAGAATGCTCTCCAACCTTTGGATGTCAATGTTACGATGGATATTATGGAGATGATTGCTCATCAAGTATGTATCCACTCACTCAAACATTCGTCCTAGGAATTATTCCACTCGCACAGTCATTGACCTCCCCACCCTTCCATCAATGAAACAGAGGCTGTTCCAAATGTTCCAGTGATCAATCCGGATTATCCGACAACAGTGTATACTTTCAATTCGAGTGGAATGACGATTGTTGGTGAGATTGAGATTGTGAGAGTGAGAGTGTTGGATCAACTTGGCGCTGAGTTGGTATCATTTCCAATCAATCAATGGAATGTTTCCAGTCCAAGTTCGACAGGTTATGCTTATGACTATGTCTCTAACTTTGGTCCGAATAACGGTGCTACGATCAAGGTTGGAGTGCGATGGTTCACAAAGGATGAGAACATCACATTCGCAGGCGACGTGCTCCCAATGAAGAACAACACAATCAAGTACACCATCACGCTGTCCAACTACGTGTTCCCAAGTCAACTAGATTCGATGCAAGTTGTGATGCGAGCCACAATCAACACGACTGACCCCAACTCATGCTCCGCCGAACAATTTGGATACACCGAAGGCAACAAGGACAACCTGTTCTGGATGCGTGTCAAGGTTCAGAGTTACAGTGTGTACGGCCACTTCATCCAGAAGGCGATGGTCGATGGCAGAGTATCAGCCGTGTCCAATGTGCTGCTCAACGACACGGTGCAGACTGTGRAACGACACTCAATCATCACAAACATTGATTGGCATCAATGTGCAGAGCTTCACTCGACAAGCTGTGATGGACCCAGACTTCCAACTGTTGCTGGACATTGATGATGCATCAACTGTGGATGGTGCTGTCTGTTCCAAACGTAAAGATGGTGGTGGTAGTGGATCATCCAAACTATCAACACTGGCCATAGTAGGTATAGTTGTACTCTGTGTCGTTATAGTTGCTGCCATTGTAGTTGCTGTTGTCATGCGTATGAGAGCAGTAAGAAGAAGACAAAGCGAAGTGCACCGCATCCAAATGAAGCTGAATCGTTTGTCCGAACAACAACCACAACAACAATAATATTAATCACATAGTAATAATAATAATCAATATTATCCATTATTCTTGTTTGTTTCAAAGATGTAATTGAACTTGAAAGAATAACAAAGGGGGTACCCTTCAAAAAATAGTCTAATTATGTCATAATATCTTTAAAATCCAAAGGGGGTTCCAGAAGAAGTTTACTCAAGGAACATGACCAAGTCCTGATCTTTGTGTAGATAATTTGGATTTATGAAGTGTCGGGGGTGTAGACCTGGCCAAACTGTTCTGATCTTAAGAATGAATGCCTCAGTATGGTATCACTTTAATACCTTTTGATACCTCCGAGCTATCATCACCCCAGTCAGAGGTTTATCAATGAACACTTTTGGGTCCAACAACTACCATCTCCATGGTATAACATTATTACCTACATTGATCACTTTCTCCATCAACCTATCATTATAACTCAAAATTATTAATTAATTTATTCAATCAAAGAAACAAAGAGATGAATCCAATCAGTACATTGATATTAGTACTATTGTCGATCAGTTGTAGTTGTATATCTGGACAGGTTGTTAGTACATTGGTAACATTGGAGTATACAGCAACAGGTGGATGCAATGAAAAGTTCACACTTATAGTTGCCAATCATAGTAGACCCATTACATGGGTCAGCATTGAAGGTGTTGGCAATGCCAGCTCCCTCTACTCCTTCATGTTTGGAGGTCTACAATACATCATGTGGAACAAATTGAATGCACCTCCAACTACAGGTGTCGTCCCCTACGTCGGTAACGCCACCGACGATCTCAACCAATCCATATTCTATAGTCTGCGATTCAGTTGTCCAAGTAAGTAGACAGGTTTGATTGATTGAGTGTTTGAGTGGGCCGGGAATGATTCCATAATCAAACCATAAACTAACTCAATCAATCAATCAAACAATCAAGGTCCATCAACTTTAAATGTCAACATGTATAGTGGACCATTAGTGAGGAATAGAGTGGTACCAATGATGTATCAAGCTCCAGGATATACTGATGGATTCCAGACAATAGTAAAGGTGAATGATCCATTCCTCCCACAATATGGAACATACCTGTGTACGGCATTGGGATACACTTGTCAATTGTTCACTCTGAGACCAGACCCACAACAAACAGGTACCTTACTTCAATTGGTAGTTTATCCTCAATTCACATTGTATGAGTTTGATAAATATCGATTGCCAATCAACATCACGGTCACCAATGCTGGTCGCCAAGCATGGATAGTCTTCCCAGCACTGGTAACAACATCAACGCAACAGACCCAGTCCGTCTTAACATTCAACTATAACGTTGGAACTGGTGTCATTCCAACAAGATTCAATCCAAACTATGCAGCAATGATCACTCATACACCTGGCGCCACATACTTCCTCAACCCCAACTCTTCAAAAGTCTTGGACTATGCATATTTCAAGGCTATCAAACCTGTCCTTAGCTTACCCGATGGATCCCATCACACCCTCGCACTCTCTTACATGAACACCATCAACATGATGTTGCTGGAAGCTTTAGACCGGCCCATATCCATCAGCAACTACACAGTACTCACCAAATGTAAGTGATTAGGATCAGTCCTGGAACCATTCCGACTCACCCAATCAATCAATCAATCATATATAGTTGGACCAAATTCTTTGGCAAATATAACAAATATTATAGGATGGCCTAATAATGCGAGACAGTTTACATCAACGTTTACATTGCCAAGTTATGTGAAGTGCCAATATTCATTCCAAGGAACATTACAAATAACTGTATTCGACTTCGCCTATCCATTTGGTGTGGTCAGCGTAGCATCCGGTGGCAACACAACATTGTCCTTCACATATTCTGTCTCAAGCTTCATGCAAAACTACATACTAGGTATGGACTGTTACTTTGCCGGTCTCACCATCCCTCTTCCACTTCCTTCAAACACAAGTAAGTATCACTCAATCAATGACTCATATACTCATACTAAATCAATCACTAACACAATCAATCAATCAATGACACTCAGGCGATAAGCAGTTCCCAATAGTCCAAACATTTGAATTAGTTCCACTCAAGGACAACTTGTTCTTACTTCGTGCGAGGATCACTGATGATATGTGTGGATTCTCAAGATGGCACTTGATATTCTCAACTGGAGAGATATATGATGTGGACTACCATGACCTGTATTCTGGAACAAACTTGGATGGACAGTATGAGAAGTTGATCACACTCAACAATCAAACTAATGAGATACCAAAGTTCTACATGTTCCTCGTGGACTATGCTACCAACACTGGTCCAACCGATCTTGGATATGCACTCTCTAACCTTGCTCAAGGTTTCTACACTGGAAATTGTAAGTTGATTAAACCTGGAAGAGGCCTGGGGTGGGCTGGAATGATTCCATCACTCACTCACTCAATCAATCAATCATTCAATCAATCAATCATGATATATAGACTTACTTGGCGCTGAAGACTTGACAGTGTTCTACTTTGACAAGTATGTGATGGATGTCAGCAATCAGACAATGGAGAACAAGTTGTACATCAGGTCACCAAAGATCAAACAAGGATGGCTGTTGTCACTCTCATATGGTGCAGTTGAGGAGAACTCTTCATATCTAAACTATGGATCTTATGATGTCAGTCTTGACCTTTATATCATAACATTCACTGTACCAGCGAGGACTATGACCAGACAGATGCAATACTACATCACATTCAGAAACCTTAATCTGTACAACTACAACTACTCGCCAGACCGCCTATCAGCAGTACCCAACATGATGGGAACGTTCCTCATCGACAGTGATCAACTTATCAAACATTTCCCAAACAGCTCAGTGGTCAGCATCAAGTCGACATGTAAGTTCCCATTTATGTGGCCACTGGTTGGCAACACGGTGGTAACTCGCCAGACGCTCAACCATGAGTGTCCCCTAGTCCACTCACTCACACATATTTTCAATCATTCAAATAATTCAAATAGATGGAGATGAAATGCCACCCATGATTACTAGTGTCAAGGCGATACCAAGTGTGATGCCAGTGATGACAGTTGCTGGAAATATGGAGATTGGCTGGAACTTGACGATTGAGGACCAATTGAATGGTTTCGATCATGGTGTTATAAGTGTGATCAGTGATGTGGATGGATTGGAACGTATATTCATTATCAACTCTGATAATAGGATTGATGGTACAGAGTTGTCTGGAGTCTATCATGTACTATTCAATGTGACCTCTGACTTCCGAGTCCAGACATTCTCCTTCCGTGACATTGAGCTGTTTGACCATTCAAATAACCACGCCACCTACAAGTCATACGAACGTCAACCAAAGACCATCTCACCTTTGGCCTACATACTACAGAGTCCAGCACTGGTCAATGAGCTCAACATCAAACTTATTGGAAGTAAGTAATTCAATCACTAAATCACTCGCTGAGTCAATTAAGAGAGCTCCATCACTAATTAGAACTATCCCAATCAATCAATATAGGTCCAAATGATGTTACACCGCCAGTCATTGAGACAATGGAAGTCATGACACCAGTAGTGGACGTGGGATCTACTAATAGATTCGTCAAGATACTCTTCACAGTTAGGGATGTTGGTGGAATGAGTCAAAGACACTACCCAATTGTATACCTAACAGGATATATATTCGAGACTTTCAAGATACCTGCAGCTCTAGTCCATTATGACAATAATGGTCTCTACACATACACAGCTTCAGACGAACTACCCTATGGCTTTGCTGCCACAAGTGCCGGACCAAACAGTACCACAACCAATGCATATATATCAGTCTATGGATTGATGGATAAGAGTCAGAATATCAATGGATACAGCAATGATATGTTGCCAAACAATGGACAGGTGAACAGTACTGTGGCCATTACATTCACTCACACAACACCAATCATTGATGGATACTGGCTTGATCCCATAGGTGCACCGATCATCACTGTTTTTGGAAGGAACTTTGCACCAGATGTTGGTATGGGAGATATCGTGTCGGCTCGTGGCAACAACTTCACCAGGACATTTGTATCGAATGTGATAGCCGTGTTCAGCTTCACCATGGCAACAGTGAGTCCACAAACAACCATGGTCGTCTACCTCAAGAACTACAACGATGTATACTTCTCCAATCAAGTCACTGTAGTCTATATCCCACCAGTTGTAGTACCCAAACTCCTCTGCCCTGGTACTCCACAATGCTCCAACCACGGAACATGCTCTCCAACCTTTGGATGTCAATGTTATAGTGGATATTATGGAGATGATTGTTCATCACGTATGTTCACTTTATCCACTCAATCAATCAATCAATCACTAACCCATCAAAATTACAGAGGCTGTCCCATACACTCCAGTGATCAATCCAGATAATCCAACAACAGTGTATACATTCAATACGAGTGGAATGACGATTGTTGGTGAGATTGAGATTGTGAGAGTGAGAGTGTTGAGTCAACTTGGTGAAGAGTTGGCATCATATCCAATCAATCAATGGAATGTTTCCAGCACAAGTACGACAAACTATTCATATGACTATGTGTCTGCCTTTGGACCAAAGGATTCGGGCTCCACGATCAGGGTCAATGTACGATGGTTCACAAAGGATGAGAACATAACATTCGCAGGCGACGTGCTCCAGATGAAGAACAATACGATCAAGTACACCATCACACTGTCCAACTTCGCATTCCCAAGTCAGTTGGATTCAATGCAAGTTGTGATGCGTGCCACCATCAACACCACCGATGCCAACTCGTGCTCAGTCCAACAATACGGCTATGTGGATGGTGATGCCAGTGACTTGTACTGGATGCGTGTCAAGGTGCAGAGTTACAGTGTATACGGCCACTTCATCCAGAAGGCGATGGTTGATGGCAGAGTGTCAGCCGTTACGAACGTGTTGCTCAACGACACTGTTCAGACTGTGAACGACACCCAATCATCCCAAACATTGATCGGTATCAATGTGCCCTGCTTCAACGATCGTGCCATCTTGGACCCAGACTTCCAGCTCCTGTTGGACGTTGACGATGCAAAGGATGAACCAGGTGCAGTTTGCAAGTCACCATCATCGCGCACTTCGGACAAGGGACTGTCTGCACTGGCCATCGCTGGTATCGTCGTACTATGTGTCGTGATCGTGGCTGGTATCACAGTGGCCTTGGTGATCACACTGAAGAAACATCGCAACCAAAAGAATGAGGTCAATAGGATCAACATCAAGTTGAACAGTATGAGCGAACAAAGTAGACATGATGCGGAGAAGGTACAATAAACAAACAACAACAACACTTTGTTATTGTTAAGATCTTTAAAGACAATAGTCACTTATCCAAGGTATGTCTCGGAGCCTTGCTCAAGTCCAGTGCAATCGTTGCAGCATGCGTTTGGTGCGGCACAACCACCAGCCCAGAAGCTGATGCCACGGGTCGACTGCTGGCCGACCCATCCGATGGTCTGCTGCAACATGGTGCCCTTGAAGCTGTCGCAGTTGGGCGAGCCGTCGCATGAGTAGAGACTGACGACCAGGTGATCTGGATTGATGGGTGGGATGTTGGCCCAGCTGGCACCAGTCAGATGCTCGTCCCAGTACTGGGTGGCGTCGGGCAGCGAGCCGTATGGGGAGGAAGTGACCATTGCGTTGATCCAGTTGATGAGGCCCTCCTCGAGCCACTTGGCAGACCACAGGGAGACGGAAGTGAGGTAGCCGGTGCCGGCGCCAGTGTCCACGGTCAGCAGCGAGGTGTCTGCTGCGGATGTCGAGTTGTCCATGGGGAAGACGGAGCGGTATGCCTTGACGAATGCGTCAAGCTTGGGTGTGGAGGCTTCGTTCTCGTAGTCAATCTCAATGCCTACGCCAAACTGTTTGGCGATGGCGGCGGCGTTCAAACCGAGGGTCACAGGGTCCTTGCCCAAGGCGTCGTCCCACTCGCCCGACCATGACTCACCTCCGATCGAGAACATCACAGACAGGCCCTTGGACTGAAGGTATTGGACGAGTTGGAGGGTGATTGCAGGGGGAACGGCGGCAACACCTTGGGTCAGCACGTTGATGGGGTTGAGGAATGAGAAGATGAACAGGTTGGCAGTTGGTTTGCCATCGCCACGGTTGACCACCCAGTCCAAGTAAGAGGTGTTGACGGGGGCTTCCCACATGCAGGCATCGACTCCACAGTGCCACAATGAGTAGACCTTTCCCAAGTTGGATGGGGTGGCTGTTGACATTGTCAACAACAATGTGATTGTCAATGAGACAAGCGCAAGGTATGAGTATAACTTCATTCTATATTTGATTGATTGATTGATTGATTGATTGATTGTATGATTGAATGAATGAGTGAACGCAAGTTGAGGCCTTTTGTAATGATCGGATCATTCAGGTCAGTACAGTTCACTCTTGGGTACCGTCGATCCCAATCTTTGCGGGCAGTACAAGAGGTAGTAGGAACATTAGTCGGATAGGATAGGTTGGCTTGGTGAGCAAACAAAGATATTTTAAGCGAATTGATGGGAATGGATTGGCATTGGGCAGTTTCAAAAAAGTGATGGTCAAGGACACCTTTCTGCGGTTGATGGGCACGAGTCAAGTGCGGATAGGATTGAGTTGATTCTTGGATACCAGGTATCCAACATCGTCGGGGATGGGCAGATTTGACATGATCAATCAAGTCAAGATATTACTTCATGTAAGCGACTTAAAAAAATGTGACCCTCTAGCTAAGGTCATGTTGTGATCAACATCAAGATCTAATGTTTACCACAACCTCATCATTATCTTCATCAACATCATTACACAACAAAATCCAACTCAAAAGATATATATCGCATGATGCTGTTGGTGCTGCTCTTGATGGACCTATGTGATTTATTCTGTAGTAATAATATTAGTAGTTTCGAGAACTCTCCATAAACAACAATAATAAAGAATAATTCATTATCTACATGTAATAACTTTGTGCGTATATTATAACTAGTATGAATGAATGAATGGGGATGGAGGGAAGAACATCTCTCCCTCACCCCAAGTGACACCAATAATACTTGAACAAAAGCACTTTACTTTGAATAGTTTGGGTCACAATCACCCACCTTTCATCTAATCTGTTGTCAACAGAACACACACAAGTCATTAATCAGTTCACTCTCTTTGATGCTAAGATACCTTGTTAGATATAGAATATAGATATAGAATATAGATAGAGATAGATATACACCAATCATATATTGAAGATGATGAAAAAGCTTAATACTCAATTCAATGCTCCTCAACCAAAAGAGCCAACAACTCCACAAAACAATGCCAGCATATTGGTAAACCTTGTAAATAAGTATGTTGCCAATGATTGAACGAATGATTGATTGAGTGAAGGATGAGATCTAATCAAAAAGGCTACGTACACAACAGTAAGAACATCATAATGAAGGATGGAACATTCAATTTGGTCAATGGCAAGTTGCCTCTGCTACAAATCGCCAGACAGTTCCAGGTCAAGGATCTAGTATGGACTGATTGTGATTATATTCTGAAGCCAGATGATCAAGGTCTAAGTGACATTGGTATGTGTTGTCATTGATTCATTCCATTCATTCATTCCATTCATTCATTGACACAAATACTATACAGCATTCACAAGCATGCAGAAGGTCAATGTAACAGGAACACCATTGTAATGTACAACACATAGTTGCGGGCAAGCAAGCAACCTATAAACTGACCAGGTAATTGATCGATCAATTGGTGACATGTCCAAGTTTACAAGTAGTACAATACCAATGCATGCTTGGCTTGGCTCTCTATTTATTATTAAGTTTGTTTGGGGTCGTGCGCTATGTATAGTAGGTGAGTAATGAATGGTAGAATGGGGAATAAATAGGTAATGTATATATGGATTGGATAGGTAGATGGTAACGCTCGTCGACGGGCGGAGGACGTGTGGAGTTGGTATGGTATGGAATGGAATGGATTATTATTACACATGACTGACTGGATGGATTGGAAGCTGGTGTTGATGAAGTGGAGATGGTGGATAAAACGCTAGAGGAGGAGAGGTGGAGGGTATTACAATGTTGACAGGATCGTTTCCAGTCTAGGTATAATATCATCGAATGGTGGTCTGCTGTTTGGATCTGGCATCCAACACTCATTGATCAACTGAACAATTGGTTGTGGTGCATTCTCCATGCCTCTAGTTGGTCGATTACCTGCAATAATATATCTTGGAATCTCTGTATTTGATTGATTGATTGGATTGATTGATTGTTAGTACATGGTGAGTGTTCCAGGAGGACTGATCAGTCGCGCGACACATACCCCAGTTATTCTTAAACTCAGAGAATGGAATCTCTCCAAGGATGAGCTCGTAGAACATCATTCCAAACGAGTAGACATCAGCTGACTTGTCGTATGATCTCTTGTCCAAGATTTCCTGTGTTTGATTGATTGATTGTTTGAGTGAGCATGAGTGATTGGATGATTGATTGGATGATTGAATGGTCCATTGGAACTTACATTGGCCATGTAAATTGGAGTACCGATACCGGATGTAATCTGCTCACTCTTGATCTCATTGATCTCTTTGCTTGTACCAAAGTCAGTGAGCTTGACACATACTGGTGCGTCCGCGGCAAGACTGACGACTAGGATGTTGTCGGGCTTGAGATCACGATGTAGGATACCATTGAGATGCAAGAAGTTGCAGCCCTTGGCCGTGTCCAGACAGACGCGGATGATCTCCTTGAGAGTGAGCTTCCTGTTTTGTTTGTAAAGCACCTTGCCCAAACTGCCCATGGCGATGTACTCGCTGACCAGACAGAGGTTGACGCTGGTCTTGACCGAGCCGACGAACGACACGATGTTGGGGTGACGCAGCTTGTTCATCAGGTCGACCTCGCGGTTCACCTCCTCCAGCAACTCCTTGGACAGGTTCTTGGTCTTGAGCATCTTGACGGCGACCTCTTGGCCACGCCAGACGCCACGGTACACAACTCCAAAGCCTCCCTCACCAATGTTGTCGTAAAAGACGATCTCCTCAAAGTCGATCTGCGTGCTCAGAACACTCTCCAGATGCAGGAAGAGGAATGTGTGGCCAAAGCCCTCGACTTGAACGGCGAACTTCTCCATCAGCTTGGTGGTGCACAGCAGCTCGGCGGTGAACGTGACCGTGGCCGATTTGCCGGCCTTGAGTGTGATCATCTTCTCGTCACTGTCGATGAGAGCCGACGACGACGATGGTGGCAAAAAGATGTTGACGTAGACGTTCTTGTCGGTCTTGTTGGTGATCAGCACGTAATCCTTCATCTGCTGGTTGATCTCGCACTTGTTGTTGCCCATGCCAAAGTCCAGACGAGTGATGCTGAATGTGAGCGGGAAGGTCGCGTGCTCAGCAGCGTAAAAGTGAGACTCTTGGATCAGAGAGAACACATCGCCATGCAGGCGGTACTTGTCCTGGTTGATCACTGACGAGTTGGATGACTTGAGCATTGAGCGACTGGCATTGGGTGAGCCCTTGCTCGACAGACGTCTGTTGTTGTTGCTGTTCATTGGCGATGACGAGGAGCGTAGCTCGACATCATTCATCCTCTTTCCGGGGCTGGTAGTCATGCGACGTTTGCGCCAGAGTATGAAGGCGACAATTGCCGCCACAATGATAAAGAATCCGACGATTGGGATGGCAATCTTGATTGCCATATTGCTGTTGCCACTGCTGCCGCCACCATTGGTAGGTGTATTGATGGCACCCATCGATGCGAACGACGCGCCCACCAAGTAGACGTTGTTGCTGGACGACCAGTAAACGGTGAATGGCTGTGAGTTCGAGTGCATGACTGTCGTAGTGAACACCGAGGTCTGGACGGTGGTGTTGGACTGCACCTTGCCCAGAGAGACCACCATTGGGGTATCAGTGTCTACGCCCGTACCGATGACTGAGTAGAAGCCTGGCGCTGTCACGAGGCCGGGCATGGCAGGAGTCTGCCAGTACACAAAGTAGAGATTGAGTGTGAGTGCCTCGTTGGCTGGCACGGTCAGCTTGGTGTTGGTAACTGCTGTCGAAGACGACACACCAGTGGAGAACGTGGCAAAGATGGGATCGCTCGAGAGTTCTGATGGCATGTTGGTGCTGGGCAATGCGCTCTGATCGCATCCATTGGTCGAGGAGCATGTGACAAAGCTCTGTGAGGCGCCATTGTTTGGAACGCTGATGTCGCCAGTGGCAAAGCTCCAGCCGCGGTAGAAGCTATTTGTGGCGCCCCTCACGGCAACGATTGGTGCAAACTCGACGCCGAGATCCGACTGCGTGCCGGCCGTTAGCTGGACGGACGACCTGAAGCGGTAGGTGCCGATCGGGAGCATTGGCGCTGTGGCACAGCGTCCGTTAGTGTCGACTGTGACGCGTACCTCTGGTACCTTGCCTTCGGCCTCAGTGAACACACATTGGTAGTCTGGAGAGGCATTGGCAATGGTCAGAGCCAATGTCGTCGTGACATTGTCATTGACAAACACCTGGGCAGATGGCTCAGTGCTGAGCAGTGCGAGTGGAGATAGCGTGGGACGGATCACGGCCATGTAGTTTGTCGCTACGACGTGGCCAAAAGATCCGAGCTGGCCGGTGAACGAAGTGCTGTTGGCGGTGGACAGGAAGTTGACCTGTGCACTCGAGTTGATAAAGGTGGCGGGCGAGGCATAGGTAAAGTTGGACGACAAGGTGATGAGTGTGTTGACCGCGCCGTACACAATGCCGCCAGTGGCAGCCGAGAAGTTTGAGTTGGAGATGGTCACCTGGCTGTTGGGCAGGTTGAGCAACAGTGGCGTCTTGAATATCAGGTTGCTGAGCAACACGTTGCCACGCTCAGCCGAGTCGATGGCGATCGAGTACTGCGACGAGCCAAGCTCCTGCGCATTGACAATGTTGAGTGCTTGGACGAATCGTGGACCGCTGGCGGGGTACCACTGGCTGCTGCCGAGCATCAGGTCAAAGTTGTAGCCAGTGACGGATGCACGGTTGGGCAGGGCGACGTAGGAGAACAGGGCACCCTGTACATTGCCAAAGAACAGATCGTTGTTCGACTTCAAGTCGGGGCTGAGCGTGGTGAACACGTTGCCCTGGGCGCCAAAGTCCATCGTCTGGTAGTTGTCCTTGCGTGGCACAAGATTGTGGTTGATGGGGAAGTAGACATTGCCGCTGGACTCGATGTGCTCCGTGCCCCAGTCGGCCAAGACCATGCTGGATGCATTGCCAATGAGTATAGAGTTGGTGATCTTGAGACTGCCGTGGTGCACACCGATGACGGCGCGCGAGGTCGATGTGGACTGCGAACGGATAAAGGTGTTGGTAATATCGAGCGTGGCGCCAAACGCGACGTCGATGCAGTTCCTGGAGCGCTGGTTGGTGCCGCCCGCCGTCGAGTTTAACACAATATCGTCGTATGGCGATGCGGTGGTGAGGGGCGCGCAGTTGATCACGGCGTTACTAATGGACACCCTGGAGTTGTTGGCAAAGAAGTAACGACCTCCCGATAACGTGCTGGTTGATCTAAGGTAGCCCATGTAGAAGGGGCCGCCTGACGTACCCGAGATGCTCGCGCAGTAGGTGAGAGCGGTCGTGGCCGGGGTGGTCGAGATCACCCCCATGTTGGCGTTGTAGAGCGTGACGGGTGCGTTTGGCGCGGACTTGAACGTGGTGCACACGGATGTTGGGTCTGTGGTGTTGGCCTTGGTGGGCAACATCTCAAACTTGTTGTTGGCCAGGTTCACTGAGACGTTGCCACCGAGCGCAATAATGCCTGGCGTGAACTTCATCTGATCGGCATAGATCTTTTCGATAGACTCGCTAGTCGTTGACGAGGTGATCTTCAATGATCCTCCATCCATCACCACAAGCAATACTGTGTTTGGGACAATCAATCCATCTTGCTTCAAAGCCTCTCCATAGATGCACACCGCGCTATATGGGAAGCCAGTGAAATCAAAGTCCATTGTCCAGGATATGCCTATACAATGTGTCAGTGAATGATGTGTGAGTGAGGGCGAGGGCGAGGGCGAGGGTGGGGTCGCATCGTGAGCTTACCTTTGGGGACAATGACAAAGGCTTTGGTTCCTTTGTCATTGGATGAGGTGATGGTTTGGGAACCAGCTTGGGTGCAAATGTTGGGATAGTAGACATCCTTGAGGAATTGGTAGTTGGTGGTGTCGGCGGGCAGAGTGTCCCATGGCGCCAAAAGGCCAGTAGCCACCGATGCTGTATTATAAGAGTCGGTGGACATGTTCACTTTGAAGAACATATCCACGTCAGTCAATCCCTGAACTGTGTTGGTCCAGGATGCCTGTACCATCGACGCTGCCATTGTTATCAACACCAACAACAGCATCACAAAGTTGTTTGGTGAGCCCCTACCTTGTGGGGCTGCACTAAAGTATATCATGCCTTAAAAGAGTGTTAAGATTCGTTTGATTGATTGATTGATTGTTTGGTTTGATTGAATTGACAAGTCGAATGATAATGTCGATTGATTGATTGATTTGAGCCAGTCAGCCAGTCAGCCAGTCAGTTGTGTTGAATGTGTTGATTGAGTCGAGAGTCTAGTCGAGACAAATCGTGATTCTTGATCAAGTATTGTATCTAACTTCTTGTATTGTACAACTAAGGTGTATATTACTACAACTACTACAACTACTACACTAATACTAATACTAATACTAATATTACTTTGGTTGTGTTTTTAGATCAAAGACAAGAACAGATCCCACCACACACTCACACACATACTACGACTTGTCTGAGACCTCTGCCCTTTGAAAGTGAAACTGACTTGGATATGTCCAACTCTAAGACACACACACAACACCAAAAACCTTTTGCGATGAAGATTTTTTTTGGTTTTGTGATCATTAGGGGGGGGTATGATGGTGCCTAGGTGGACCTACCTTGCCTCCTATTCATTCATTCTACTACTTCGATTCAATTGATCTGAACTAACGTTTAAGGATGTATGTGGTGATAGTTGAGTTGTGTTGTTTATTCAATCGTTCCTCCCTCTCCATTATTATTATTCATTCAATCAATCAAACAAACAACAGACAATCAATCAATCAATCAATCAAACATAAATGTATAAATATATAACTTATTTGTTAAACAATGTTTAGCCAGAATAACTTAAAAGTATGTTTGACGGAGAAGTTGGTTGGTTGGTGTTCTGGTCATAGTTGAGTGAGATCAAAAGGGGGTGGAGACATTACATTCGCATTTTATCATCGGATAGAAGGAAGGAATCACCGGGCCTAGGAAGGGGCACATGTCTATGTGATTGGTGGTGGATAGCCCACTGCGAGTGTTTCTTCAAATATTCAATCAAGATGATGCTGCAGGACCAGACCTGACTTATTACAAAAGAGGAATGTTCATAGCGGGACATGATCATGATCATCAACGTGTTGTGGGCAAAGACTGGTGGTGAACACGCCCCTCTCAAACACACGCCTTGGACAAACAAACAAACAAACAAAGATCAATCGCATTCGCTGGTCTGGTCCAAGGTGTTTGTTTGGTGAAGTTAGTTAGATCCGGACCTGTGGGGGTGGTCCACGCCCCTAAGCAACACAAAGATCTATGATGGGTGGCGGGGGTGGGCGACCTCTGTTGATCAACTTATTGTTGAGAAAATATAAAAAAGATTTGAARGGTGATGCGGAAGGTCTCCAAATGAGGTTTTCTTTGGTCTCTTCCTCTGTCTCTCACTTGGTCTGAGCTAAACACTTCATTCACTCACCTCCACCAAACTCTCTCAATCATCTTTGCACACACACATAATAATAATTATATTCATTCATACATACACACAGAGGTAGATAGAAGTAGAAGGCTAACTGCCCTTTTCTTCCCCTTCCCTTTATTATTATTATTATTATATTATATTATACATACCTTGTATCATTAATTTTAATCTGTTGTGTCTAAAACACACGGATCGACCGACCGACTTAGTGACCGACACAAACAATCACACATACATACATATCGACAAATCAAAAATGTTGTCCAACAAGATCAATGTATTCTTGTTGACTGCTGTGTTGATGACACTGATGTCTTTCCCCAGTCCAGCTGGTATGTCTTTATCAAAAAAAAAATCAACCCTTGCCCTCGCCCTCGCCCTCGCCCTCGCCCTCGACCCTCAACCCTCGACTCTCGAACTAACCAATGTACCAAATCAATTAATAATATAGCATCACAGGGAGAAGGACCAAATTATGACTTTAGCTTGAGTACTCAGGTCAATATCTCGGGAATGATGCATTTCCAGGTTAACTACTTCCCAGATCTATCTCCACCACAGTACACTTACTATCCAAACTTGGACAATCCCTATTACAATTACTCATATTATACACTGCCATTGACGAGAAGACAGTACCGCTTCTCCACACCTGGCTCCTATGTATATACGCTCACCAGCGACACGACAGACACGACGCCACCATTCGTCTTCCCACCACCCGATCAATTCTTTGGCTCCGAATGTCAGTTCTTTATCGATTCGGGCGTTACGGTGACGATCCGTTACAATCCAAATCTATACACAGCACCCGCATTCATTGTCAAGGCTGGTGGCACTATCATTCTGGACCCTAACAGCGACGTGTATTTCACGCCCACCCAGCTGGTGCTCGAGCCCGGCTCATCTTTCATCTCGCAGCCCAACCCAACCGTCAACCACACGATTGCGCCCGGCTTCAACTCGGTGCAGACCTCGTTCTACAGGTGGATCGACCCATGGCAGTCGACAACCTTCCTCTGTCTCGGCTGCAACATCACCATGATCAGCTCGGACGGCGCTATGGGTGTGCCAGGCGCGTTCGTCGCTCTCTTTGATGACATCTTCTTGTGCGCCACCCTCGTGCCGCCCCAGACCATCAGCTACTTCAACAACGGTCCCAAGACATTCCTCGCACAGACCTCGCAGAACGACTACTTCCAACTGGACCTCTTCACCAAGAGCAACCTGTTCAACAACTCTGGTACTACCGGCTGGTGCTACGACTACCACAACAAGATGGTACCCGCACCCAACCGTCTGGCCTTCATGGACTACACTAACCTGTACGGCACGACATTCGTCTACCACGACGAGCTGAGGAACGTCCGTGTGACACCCGTCAAGAACATCTTTGCAATGACCGTCACTGGCCCCGCCAACGTCGTTATCAACGGAGTCTACTTCTCTGGCGTCGGCATCACCAGTCCCAACACATTCCAAAACTCCATTCTGAACCCCAACGGCACTGCCACCCTGGGCAAGAACATCGCCGATCGCTACGGAATCAACTTGCTGCACGTCCAGAGGCCCGTGTCCATCACCAACTGTGTGTTCACCGATCAACAAATGATTGACAGCTCATTCCTCATCAACTTCACCGGCTACCTGGGCAACCCACCCCTCCCCTCACGTTTCCTCCTGGCTGCCAAGCGATCGTACGGCATCATCGCCGGCAACTCATTCATTCTCAGAACACCCAACACCACTGCCATTGGTCTTCTCCATGGAACTGAGAGCTTCTACTTCTACGGAAACTCCTTCACCACCAACACCTTGGCCAAGGTCACCACCGCTCCGTAAGTTGATTGGATCGCGACAACCCTCGACCCTTGACCCTAACCCTTAACTCAACCTCTTTAGACGCGACTACCCTGACTTTGCCCCAGGCAACACTGGTATCTACTCAGTGTCACCATTCTCCAAGTTTGACTACAACACATTCGAGGGTGGCTTTGTTGGTGCCTGCATGCTCTTTGAGCCATTGCAGAACCGTGCTCAGCTGTTGGGCCTCACCACCGAGTACCTGGTTGGCAACTACTCTGGCCAGGTCATCAACAACAACGATCCATCATGGGTCACCTGGAACAACTTCCTCTACTACGGCGTCACCAACCAGTACCACTTCCGTCGCGCCATGCCCCGCATCCGCTACCCCATGTCGGCGCCACCCCTCACCTTCCGTCAGTCCGGTTCGTTCTTCTTTGCCTCCTTCGGTGGCAACAACGACATTGTCGACTCGTCCACCAACTTTAACTACGAGCTCGTCTTTGACAACTGCAACATCACCAAGAAGATCCGCCCCACCATCCTGTACGGCGATGGCACCAAGATGTTCAACCTGCCAACGTTCGTGGGCACATACCGCGGTATGACCTTTATCAACACCAACGTCACCTATGGTTTTGGCCGCTTTACCAAGGCCAAGGTCACCGGCATGGTCACTCTGATCAACACCCGCATCACCGACTCGGCCGACATTGCCTCCGTCTTTGCCAACGTCGCGCCACAGCTGTTTGTTCTCAACTCGGGCAGCACGATCGTCGACAACACTGCATCGGCTCCACTCTCGGTCAACTTCTCGATGCCAAACCCAGGCACCCCACTGCCCGCCGCCGCCGTGAGCCTGCTGCAGAGCATCGACACGATCAACAGCTTCAACTCGACAGTCTTTGTCGACGACCAGCCAGTGTCCACCAACTTCAACGCCAGCAAGGGCATCTTCTTCAGCGACTCTGTCCAGGTGCCATGGACCCCTGGTTACCACAAGCTGCGCACGCGTCACGTGCCCACCTACGTTGTGATCAACGGTGCATTCGACGTGCCACAGTACTCGCTCACCTTTGAGGCTGGCTACTTGACCAACGTTCTGGTGCCATTCAGCTACGCCTTCTACCTGGGTATCGATGTCTCTGAGCCAACAACAGTCCGCAGGACCCCATTGCCAGTGCTCGGCAACTCGTACACACGCTGCCAATGGATCAGCGCTTGCCAGCTGTCTGGCGGTCGCTTCGGCAACTTCTCCACAGCCCTCACATCGATCTCCAACAGCACCACAACTGTCTCGGATGCCGCGTCCGTGTCCATGCTCACCACATACTATGGTGACGACGCTGGAAGCACCTCGTCCATGACCTTGACGCTGCCCCAGGGCTACTACCAGGCCTTCTTCTACTTCACCAACCCAACAGCCGTGCCTGCCGCCAACCGCGTGCAGACCACCTCGCTTCCACGTTACTCGGTGAGCATCAACGGTCAGTTCCTCCCACCCCTGACCACCTGGCTGTCACCCTTCCAGCAGTTCGTCGTGTCCGAGCCATTCCTGTTCAAGAACGAGCAGGCCACTCCACAGCAGTTCGTGATCAAGTGGGGCTACACTGGATCATTCATTCCACTGGCTGGCGTTGAGATCAGATCATCGATCACCACGCCCTTCCCCATCCCCAATGACCCAATCACCACGACCACCACCACCACCACCTCAACTACTAGTACATCGACGACCTCAACTACCGCCCCCGCCACTACCTCTACCACGTCCACGACCACTGCCACTACCACGGCAGAGGATCGACTACCGGTCAGTCGACATCGACCACTGGGCGGCCAGACCACCACTGGCGGCACGACCAAGTTCATCTCACTGGTGTCGACCATCACCACCAGACACAGCTCATCGTCCACCCTTGCTGTCAACATCGTCGTAATCATAATCTCAATGATTGCCACTATGTTGTTCGTGTAATAATAACAGTATCCAATTAATCCCATCCATCCATCTTTTTTTCCGATCGCTTCATCCTCCGATCATTCATTCAATCAATCAATCAGATTAGGCAGCCATTCGACAAGGGTTTGCCATCCCATCCCATCCATCCATCCGGACGTCCACTCAATCAAATAAACAAAGACCATACTTATACCAAACAATCGATTTATTAATCAGTCCAGCCATCAAATAAGGCAACACAATCAAATGGGTAGTGGTAAACATTTGGTTCCTGTGTGTGTGAAGATGCAAGTGATGATGAAGATGATGACACACCACACCACACGATGCAAATGTAACATCATCGGTGATCAAATTGTTTACCACTAACCCATTGAATGAGTTGTAACTTTAACTTGCACGAAAGAACGAAACGAAAAGAATTAGGGAGATCAAGTATAGTCCCGAAAGTGCAAAGATACATTGTGTGTATTAATCAATCACATCCGAAGGAGGAGGAGTCTTGGGTTCTAATGTCGACTAATATTATGAGTGAGGTGGTCAACATTTTAATGTCATCATTGGTAATTGGATGGTCATCACCTCATCACAATCGGTGAAGTGAAGAGAACCCACCCAGGTTGTAGTACCTGACCAACCGAGCGACCGACCGATCGGTCACACAAGATGGTGTTGGTTCGTGTCATCACAATCGTTCAACCAACCATCCACCATCACCCATTGATGGTGGTGGGTCAAGTTGAGTTGAGTTAACAAATCACGTGGCTTTCGATTTGTGAATCGGAAAAGTGATCACTTTGCGCTACTACTATTGTGTGCTTATTATTACAACAACAACAATACAAATGAGTAGTTTATAGTAATACTTGTACCATTGTGTACACATCTAGATCACGAATGGGCGAGGAACCCAATGAAGGACCTCATTCGTGTTCAAAAAAAAACTCAAAAGATATTTGATGGATAAAATTTTATCCGAGAATCAGGCCTTCGACCCCACAAACCATAAACTAATCTTTGCAGCCCACTCTAAAGTGAGTGATTGATGAGTGAGTGAGGGGTGGGTGATGGGAAGTTTGATGGCTCATTTCATCCACCCACCATCCAAGTCGAAATGAGTGAGTTCCTGATGGTTTAAGTCGCTGTCACTCACATCCATCACGTCCATCACATCACATCCCATTCACCCACAACAACAATATGACCAACCACTCACGGCGCCGGCTGGTAAACAATACTTGAACAATAACAACGACTCTGCAAAGGACCTACTTCGCCATTTCGGCCGATGGGACCTGATCAAAGATGCCTCGCTTGCATCCCCCTACTACGTTCATTCATCCAATCATGTCCGACACCCCATCACTGTTCCTTTGCTTCAAAGACGACTCTCCCATCCATCATCTCCTACTCACTGATAAATGTTGAATGAATGAATAACTTCACGCGCTACACAAGTGTCTCCGCCAGGCGGAGAGCGACAGTGTGGGTGGGGGCTTGGGTAAGGGTCCACTTATTTATCCCTTTTATGTTGACAATCTATTCCTTTATTCGTTGGATATCATATCATACCATCTTCATTCATTCATTAACATTATATTCATCTCGTCGTCGTTATAACAGGTACAATATACGTATCAACAACATATTTTATATTTATTTATTTATTTATTTATTTATTATTTATTCCATCCTCCACCCCCTTCCCCATCAATCACTCACTCACCCAACATCATCAACCCAACTCAATCAACATCATTGTACATACCTTCAGTTTGTCAACTTCTTCTTCCTCTTCTTCCTCCTCCACTTCCCTTCATTCTTCTTCCTCTTCCACTCAATCAATCAATCAATTAATTTCTCAATTCATCCAACCCTGCCCTACCCTACCCTAACCTGCCCTACCCTACCCCAACTTGTCCATAACATCAGACACTTCCATCCAAATCCACAAGTTCCGTAAGTGTTGTTGCCAATAATAACATCAATCTCTAAACTACCTTATTCAATCAACTTCCCTCCCTTGGAAACTACCATACTTCACTTTATGTCCTCCACTCACTCAATCGATCAATCAAACTCAAACAACTCAACATACACCCATCCACCCATCCATCCATCATCAATTACTTATTGTGTATCATCCATTCGTCCATTCAAACACCCAAATCATAATTTATCCACTTTATTCCATCCCATCTTTGACTGACTTGCCTGACTTATTGACTCGCTCTGTCGAGTCGTCGTTGGGATGTGGGTAAAGGTGTGTTGTGGCGACACACCCACAACCCACCACGCAGAGGAACGACCCAACCGCGGTCTCCAATTAATAATGCCGCCACACACAGAGAGGTCTATGACCTCCATCGATCAATTACCAAATCTAGATTTGGTATAAACGATTCCTTTAAAACTGGAGGTTGTTTAATTGGCGACATGCCTGTCCTCTTCCTCATGTCCCAATCAAGCCATGAGCGACCTGATTTGGTCCTTCGTTGTTTATCATGCCCACTCACACGTTTTAGTTTGTTTTTAGTTAGTTTTTGTTTTTAGTTTCGTTTGGGCCGCCTGACGTGAGTGAGTGAACCTGATGGGCCTCGACGAGTGTGTGTTTCTTTGATGGATGCAAATCACGCGCCACTTGTAACCTTAGTCACACACATAGCCACGCACACATAAATACCCCCACTCACCACCAGCAACCCGTTTGATTTCATTGACACTTGGGCTCACACTCGCCGTCCTGTCGCCTCCTCTGATGCAGCAGCGTCCTTCGCGTATAACAATAACAACAACAACAAGAAGGTCATCACCAAGCAAGCAGCAGCATCATCACCATCGCAGAAGCTGCGAACCAATCATTCAATCATTTGATTCAAGCAAACAACTTCTTGTCTTGTCCTCCTCCATCCATCTCCATCTCTACATCTCCTCTCTCTTTTGTGTGTGTGTTGTTTAGTTTATTAGTTTGTAAATGGTGTAATACCCTTCACCATCATTCAATCAATCAACTACAATCAATCAGTCAATCAGTCAAGGCCCTCAGTCCAGACCGACACTCATCACTCATACACACATACACACTCACTCTCAAGGTCTTGACTTCATCATCATCATCAATCAACAACAGCAACAACAACCCCCACACGTCCATCCATCCCATCTTCTCATAACCAGACACGTTTAGTCCAGAACAGAACCCCCCCTCAAACACACACATAAACATACTTCCTGATCACACACACAAACACACCCGACACATCCTCAGCCCCGGCCCCAAGCCCATGCATCATTCAAAAGTTAAGATAGATAGATAGATGAACTAACAGTCTATTTACCATTTTATACCTATAATATATTTCATACTTTAGCAGATATCTTATCATATTCATATTCATATTATATATATATATTATTATATACTATTTATTCAATCAATCAATCAATCAATATTTGTAAATATATATTTCAACACTGCAACAACTTCAACAACAAATCACTTGGTTCAACACATAGACATAGTCATTGTTTGTGTGCACTATATCATATCCTGAGTCCAATCAACTCAGATACCCAACCTGTTCATTATCCCTACAGCGTCCACTCATCCAACTCAATCAATCAATTAATCACTTTCCAAAAAAAAAAACAAAAAAACAACCAAAACAATTAATTAATATATATTTACAATTATTATTTATTTATTATTATTATAACAATATATATATATATATTTATAGTATACTATACACCTATTATTATTATGGGACCAGTTGACATTAATAATCCATCTTCATCACATCACCACGTTAACTTCAATATCAAAATGTCAGCGTCACATGGAGGAGGCCATCATGGCCACCAGCAGCCTCATCATGTAATCAAGGAAATTACAAACAATGCCAATAACGCCAATAATGATCATGGACAACATGGACATCATCAACAGCAGCAACAACAACAACAGTCGCAACAACAACAGCATCACAACACCAAGTTTGTGTTGAACAATAAGTTCCAGGTGCCTTACAATCAGCACTGGGCTTATGCCAACACATCATCCAACAACGAGTCCAATTCCATTGACAAGGTATGTGTGATATGGAATGATTCCAGCCCTAGCCCCAGCCCCACCCCCACTCATACTAACACACTCACCCACACACATAGCTCCCACTATCATTGCCAAATATCCCGTCACTGATCGGAGGCCAACATCATGCCATCCATATGCAGGGCGGTAGTAGCAGTGGTACATCGGGCTTTATCCAGTTTTCCCAGTTCCAACCAGAGTCTGCCACTTCCAAGCAGCACATACTGGCGGGCTGGGAGGATGGTGCCAGTGGAGGCCATCACTCATCAGCGCCATCATCTCCAGAGTCCAGCAGCAACTCAAGCGCCACAAACACAAACAATAGTAGCAATCAATATCAGATACAACATGGAGGCTACGCGCAACCCCAATCACAGCCACAACAACAACATCAACAACAACCAAGCCACTACTCCACGCCAAACTCATCGCCCAACACATACGCAGGAGTGGCCACTGCCTCGTCGCAGGGCTACTCGACATCGACATCGAACGCGACAGCGTTTGGCCACGCACTCTCTGACGACAATGAGCGCGAGAGCAAGAGGAAGACTTCATTCAAATCCGTTCCAACATCAGGTGGCAGCGGCGGCAACGAGCCCGTCCAGCAGCAACAACAACAGTTTGCCATCAACTACCAGCATGTGTACCAACAGCCACAGCAACAACAGCAACAGCAGCAGCAACAACAACATCAGCTACATCACGAGGCCTCGCAGCCTTCAAAAAAGATCAAGCAAACAACTACATCTGCTGCTGCCGCTGACCTGTCCACTAGCTTCTTCAATACGCCACCACCCACCATGTTTGAAACGGATCGAGTCTCCTCACTCAACTCATTCTCCACACTGCGCGCACTCACTCACGGAGAGTCGGCACCAGCACCCTCGCTGTCCATGTCGCTGCCCGCGTCGCCCATCCATCACCATCACCACCACCTTCATGGCGTCTCACCCATCATGCGTCCACTGAGCCCTGACTCGGGATCGTCGCTGCTCGCTCTGCAGCACCACCAGCCCGTGCACCAGCAGCATCAGCATCAGCAACAACACCTGCCTCAGCAGCCACCCGCGCTGGCCATGTACCACCACCACCACAACACCGCGCAATCCAACAGCGGCGGCCACATGAGCCACACTCACTACAGCGCGCCATCCTCGCCCAACCACCACCCAATCAGCCTGCCACTCTTGTTGACCGCCAGCCAGAGTCTGCCCGGCACACCCACACGCTCCGCCTCCATGGCCGACCTGTCGACCTCATCTTCCATGCTCGTGTCGCCCATTCACCACACCCACCACACTGTGTGCAGCTGTCTTGCCGCCAAGCATGTTAAGCCCAATGGCGCCGAACCTGGCAGCAAGCCAGGCTCGCCCGGCTCGTCCAACAACACGGTCGAGTGCGAGGAATTCAACGTGCCACTCGAGTACTTTGAGGAGTGGATGGAGACCGAGGGCAAGCTGTCTGGCGTCACCTACATCAAGTCGGGCGGCAAGGTCATTGGCGCACACGCCGACCGCAAGACACTCAACCTCAAGAGCGAATACGAGAAGCCCCGCAACGGAGTCGGCATCCGCAAGACCAAGCGCGAGCTTCTCTGGACCCAGAAGTACGTGTGCTCGCGCGCCGGCGCTCCTAAGAAGAAGCCCTCGGCTGCCGCTGCCGCCGCTGCGCTCGCCAGCAGCGACGAGGAGGGCAAGGACTCCACATCCACCTCATCCCCAGTCTCCACCGCGTCGACCCCACGCAAGAAGTCCGTCTCCAAGAAGTGTGGCTGTCAGAGCCGCATCGTGATCTCTGTTTACGCCGACGACAAGTCGCTGGCGGTCGTGCGCAAGATCGCCGATCACAGCTCGCACATGACCCCCCAGCAGCTCGAGTTGATCAAGCTCAACCAGCACCGTCACTTCTGTCTCGTGCACCAGGGCAGTCTGCTACCCCACCACCATCACCACCTCAGCCAGCCCTCCTCCTCCTCCTCTTCCTCATCACATCATATCAACGTTGTACATAACATAATCAATCATTCCAATACCAACAACAACCATCATAATGTAAACAACAATAACAACAACAACAACATCCACACAAGCAGTGACAACATCCACTACTTCCAAACAAGTTACCAGCAGCATCAGCAGCAGCAACAACAACAGCATATGGTGGAATCATTCCACTCACCTCCTCTGATGGCTCAGCAACACCAGCACCAGCATGCCCAGCACCAGCACCAGCAGCAGCAGCAATCACCTGTGACCTTCACAACCAACCCACCAAACTTTGGCCACCATCAGCATCAACACCAGCAACAACAACATCACACGATGGTCAAGAAGGAGCAGTTGTCCATCAGCGATCCAATTCATTATCCACCGCGTTTCAATCTCAATTCCAATTAATTCCAATTATCATCATTATTGTATAGAACAATTCCAATCCAATCCAATCCATTCCAATCCATGTCAATCCAATCCAATCCAATCAAAGTTGTTCTCCAGTCCATCATCATCATCATCATTCATACATACACAAACATATACACTGGTTATATGTCCATACACAACCAAACCTTAACTTATTTAATTAATCAATAAACATACACAATCAAATACTAAGTCTTTCAAACCCTTACCCTACCCTTGCCCTAACCCTTGCCCTTACCCTAACCCTTACCCTTGCCCTAACCCTCAACCCTCACACAATTCAAAACAATCCTTCAATTTTCCTTTTTGTTCAATGTTTCAGCAAAAGCGTGTGTTTTGAAGACACTTGAACTTATTTGTTGTTTGTATAAGTTGTAGTTTATCTGTATATATATAATAATAATATATACAACATAGTGAACATTATAACATCATCATCACCTTTATACTTATATAAATAATATAATATAGAAACCTCTTTGGTTGGTTGGTTGGATAAAGATTGATTGATTAATTGATTGATTGATTGATTGATCGATCGAATATACAACCCAAAGAARGACGGCAAACTTTGAGCAACAAAAGAAGCAGCAGCAATAGCAGCAGCAGCAGCAACAGGCAGTAGTTAGATAGTCAAGTTCAAAGCAGCATTATACCTTATGACTTCGAAGGGATCAACATTGGAATCCATTCATGATATCATAAAATGCTCCATCTGTCTTAACTCTGCGGAGAACCCTCGGTTCTGCCCCGTTTGCTCCGCCCTCTTCTGCATGCATTGCATCAATGTATGTACACCTTACATCCTTGTTGCCCTCTCCATCTCTCTCGCTTGACTAACACACAGAGCCATCCATCATCAATCTTAGAAATGGATACAACACAATCCTACATGCCCTGCATGCAGAGGAAAATTGAACCACGATAACCTGAGCTCTAATCTTATCGTTGCCAACATCCTCAATGTATGTTACACATCACTCATTCATTCATTCATTCATTCGATCACTCACTCATTCATTCAATCACATGATCAATCGTATCACAGGAGCTTACAAAGTCACAGGAGTATCTTCAACCGGATCATTGCACTTCACATCACTTTGACATGATATACTATTGCAACAATTGTCAAGAGTCGATATGTCCAGATTGTTATCTCTTCCAACACAAGGATCACTCAATCGAGAAGGTCTCAGTAATCTACAACAAGAACTTGGAGATAATAAGAGTCGAGGAAGAAGCACTCAAGTGAGTACTCAGGTCATTCATTCATTCATTCGTTCATTCACTGACTCGTTCAATCAAACATATATTTAGGAAGAGACAAGAGGAACTACATGAGCTATCATCCTTTATCGACTCTGACACCAATCAACTATATCAGAACAAGAGAGAGATTGAAGATGTCATTGATAATGTAGTAGGTGACATGAAGACCAGACTAAACAATGAGTTTGAACAAAAGTATTCAATCATATCAAGTAAGTGTCTTACACGAATGAATGAATGAATGAATGATTGAGTTAATGACGCTAACGCTAACGCATGCACATCATCAGGTTCACAACAGAGATTGAATGGAGAGTTGACACATATGGATGATATGTATGAACAGTTGATCAGTCATTATAAGAAGTCCCCGGGCGACTTTATACAGTCGAGCGTTCAGTTGACAAAGAACTTGCAAGAGGTGCACAAGAACTCGATACTGGAGATATACAAGCCGGTCAACACGGATTTGACGTCAGAGATAGCGCCACCATTTGAGCATCGTCTGCTCAAACTCAACGGCTTCCTCCAGGCGCCAAAGCCATTCGCCAATCGCATCGAGTATTATGGCACGACTTGGGAGCTGACGTGTGGCGTCGACGACGACAACCTGTTCATCAATCTGAAGCTGCTCGACACGCCCGTCGAGGCCAAGTACACGTACAGGTTCACGATCATCAATCAAAAGTCCAGCCACAACAAAGTGTACGAGTCGTCGTTCCCCCTGCACATCGGCAAGTCGTTGCTCATCCCCAACTACTCGACGAAGGATCTGCTGATCGAGGATGGCTACCTGCTGCCCGAGAAGGACATCCTGCTGCTGCAGTTCTCGTTCAAGCCGCTCAACTTTTGTCACCTGACCAACGACCTCAAGTACTACATCACAATGTTGGAGACACAGAACAGCATGCTGCGCAGACATCAGCAGCACTCTCATTCACACTCGCACTTCTCTGGAGGTGGCAGTGGCAGTAGCAGCAGGCTGGCGAGCTCTTACGATGTGGACCGATCGCCTGGCGTCATCACTGACGAAGAGTACTTTGGCGACGATGAGAAGGAGTCTGCGCCCAAGCCTCAGCGTCCAGCCAAGCGATCCAGACGCAGTCCTACCGCATCACTCTATCTCAATTTAAAGTATAGTGAGGATGATGACTTTGATGACTTTGACGAGGAACAGGCTGTTGATCAGATTGATGATGACCATGATGATGATGACGACGACGATGATGAGGATGACGATGAGTCGTCCACTTCATCTTCCTCATACTCTGATGATCAACAACAATCAATCTCTGGCACAGAGAGCGAGGAGTTGAACGTCAAGCCCACCTACTCATACAAGTCAGTCTATGGCTACAAGCGTACAGGCATCAGCAGTAGTGGTGGCAGCAGTGGCGGTAACAAGAGTAGCAGCAACAGCATTGGCAACAGCATTGGCAACAGCATTAGCAACAGCATTAGCAATAGTAGTAGCAGTAGTATAATCAACTCCAATCATCTAGACCTTGTAAATAGTAGTTGTCAAATAGATCTAGACAGTATAGACATAATCAACAATATCAATGGCGGTAATAACAACAACAGCAACAATAGTAGTGGCGGTGGCAATGGCGATGGCAATGACGACAGCGACATTCTAAACAATGACAGTATAGCTTCACAATGGGACCTACAGTCCCAATTCAACTCCTTAAACCTAGGGTATGTATATCATCACTATCACTCAATCACAATCAATCAAACATCTGACTCACTCAATCAATCAATTAGCGGAAAGTGGCGGTATGATTACCACAGACACAACAACAACAACAACAATGAGAGTAGCGATAACAACAACAACAATAATAATAGTAGCAGGAGCAAGTTCAACTATCTATCAGAGATTGACGATAGCATTCGCATCCTGGACCAGTCTCATGAGAACACTGAGAACGAGATGGGCTATGAGGAGATGGAACCGATTCCACCAATCATCATACCGCCCACCTCTCCCATCACCAAGACCAAGACATCTACCTCGCGAGCACCAAGATTACCACCTCGTCCACAACTTCTCACCTCTGCCAACATCGATGATCAAGTGGATGATGTAGAGGAAGACAACAACGACCAAGATGAGGACGAGGATGATGAAGATGATCAAGGAGATGACGAGATGCCTGACCACTATGATGTATCGAACGAAGAAGTGGACAATGAGGATGATAACGATGATGATGAACAACAGAGTCACAGTGACAATGCGGACCAGGATGAGGATGATGAAGAGATAATCTATAGCGAAGACAACACTCATGAAGATTATGATATTGAACCATTCGACTCTGACGTTGAGTTCCAACCGTATAATGAGGACGAAGAGATATACATCGATCCTACACATCTATCAATATTCAATGTCAGTCCTACACTTGTTGGACACTTCAAACAGCAGAGCAGTGGCAGTGGTAGTAGTAACTCACCACCATCATCATCAGCACCACCTCAACTCAATCATTCCTCAACCTTCCCGTCCACCATTCCTTCCATCCCCTCCTCCCCTTCTTCCTCCAACTTGTCTCATCACGTCTGAAGTCAGATGTGCTCTACCTCCTCCTCTTCCTTCCTTTTTTTTCCAACCTCACTCAATCAATCAATCAACTTACATACATAACAACACCAATTCATTCAATAAATGATGATGTCTTTTTTATTTATTTAGATTATTATTATTCAATCAATTAGATCAGACTTTTAACCCATAAATCAAAATTGAAACCAAAAATCGAGATATACAATTGTGATTGGTGGGAGTGTGTGATTGCTGGGATGATCTACCATGGGTGGTGGCTAAGACTTCAAATCTTAGGCTCCCGAGAGGGAGAGGGGTTCGATTCCTCCTTTCTAGCGTCAATCGTCGTCAAACGTAGGTGGGATTATTCCACCCTTTTATTTATTTATATTGTCCCCAATCATCACGACCGATTGGAAAACCTAGACTTGTTTGTTTCTCTCTTTGATGTTTTGAAAGGTTGTAGTCATATAGATGATGTTGTATATCTTTATGAATAATTGGTATTAGATCATCCTTGATACGTTTACGATTATGTTCATCCAATTGATTGAGTAACCAATCGATCATCTTAGTTTGGTCGTGTCCATTTGTTTTTGCCAAGATCACAAGATTATCTTTCCAACATGCCCTGACATTGTCACTACCTCTTCCATGTTTGGTATCAACAATCTTGAATATATACTCCAATAACTCCAAATTACCATTGATCACTGTATTTTTGATTTGTATCCTTAACCTGATGAGTGATTGGCGTTCATTACCAACATGATGATGTGTATAATAATGTTTGATAAGATCAATCTGATTGCTCAATGAGGCTTGATTCAACATTGGACCAAACATTGTGTTGAGTTGACTTTTGGTCAATGGACAATGTGCCAATACATAGTCAAACATCTCTACACTTCCAATGCAACCAATTGCTGACCACAATGTTCTTGTGCTAAAGTCTGCCAGATGATGCTGTTCCACCAACATCTCGATCACTCCATCGTGTGGTCCACCCTGCATCATTGCGAAAGACAACAGTTCATTGCATATCTCTCTTGTAAAGCATTGTGGACGATGTTCCAACAACACCTCGATGACGCCCTGGTCACCTGTTGCCGCAGCCACAAATGCCAAGATGTCCACTGATGAATAACATATCATGTTTGGTTGTTTCCTAAGTACATGTTCCAACAGTGTTTGGACATTAAGAAGTCGAGAGCATCAATCGATCCCTCAAACAAATTAGATGCGAGTATTTTGTTTGTGTTCAATTTTGGCCATGTTCATCAACTTGATCACATCCAGACTTGTATCGGGATCGTCTGATTCCAGGAAAGTCGTGTAGGGATCAGTCTCAATACAGTATTGAGATCTGAATTGTTGGAGGTCCAGGACAAACTCAGCCCGTGGCAAGCATTGGATGGCCACCTTGGTCTGCATGATATTGCCATGTTTGATCAATGAGTCAAACAGGATACGAATATATAAACAGAAATATCCACGTGATGTTCTTCCATTGTTGTGAGGGAAGTCTTCATGTTTAGGTAGTACCTTCCACAAGGATGGGTCCATCAAGCATGATATAAGGACATAATCGCCGGTAGCAATATACTCTCGTATACATGTTGCCATGATAGAAGGCTGGCTACCCGATCCAGTATCCTCAGCCACCCCCTTGAGAAAGGCATGCATTACTGCGCGTCTTGTATGATCGTCCAAGATGGAATGGTCAATGACATTGTTTGGACTAATTGCCTTGAGTGTCAACTCCCAAGTGATGGCCAACATATTTGTGATCCATTGATTGATTGATTATTATGTGGTATGATATTCCAGTGCATAAGACGCTCGATGTTGGCAAGGGGCCGGGTGAGAGGATGTGTTGGTGGAGTGTTCGTGTGAGTGCATGACGGACAGCCAGGACACTTAACATCATCATCTCCAAACAATCCATCAATGATAACTTGATCGCAATCAGATATGGAGGTTGTCTTTACGGGCATTGTATCTGACATCCTTAATTAATTAATTCTGGGATATGTCCAAGTATGTAACGAAGGTTATCCCTGAGATGAGGTTCTCTCCATATTGTTCTGCAGTCTCTGATCATACTTGTTACTAAGTGTTCATTAGGTTATGATGACGATGATGGAGTCAACTGCAGCATGTCGGTGAGGTACCTTGCCATGGGGTAGCGACGATGATCAATGGCCAGCGTGATCAATCTACTCATGTCGACTTTAAACTTGATGGGCTCTGTCTGGAACAACAATGTTTGAACGATGGCCATGTTGCCAGCGATCACTCCATTGTCAAGCATTGAAGGGTGAGTAAAGTATTGTTTGAAAGATGCATAGAGTTGATTGAATGTGTTGGCGTCAAGATCACTCGACAAGCATATCATCCTGATTGCTTCAACATTGATGTTGAGGTGGAGGCCTAGTTTGATGCGATCGCGCAGCAGACCAAAGTGTCGATGTTTGACGATGGCCTGAGCATCAGTCCAATGATGATACTTCGTTCGAAATAGAGGTAGTTTGGAGCATGTCCACTCCCATCCCTCCTTTTTGTTATGATCATGATCAGTTAAGAATGGAGGGTTGTTGGCCACATGATCAAACATTGAGTACAACTCTGATGGTGATAATACTGAACCTGGAATACTTCGAGATAACCTTATTATCCTCTTTAACAAAGTCCTATTTATCAACACACTCTTTACAATACATTGATCATTATGTGATATCTGAACATTCTGGACCATTATATATCTTGTTAGATTGATTGTTTGTTTGGAAGAGTGATTGAATTGAATGAAAGGTATTTTTTTTATCATCAATCCCTTTTGGGGGTCATCTAATCAAACAAAGAAATAAAGATAAAATGGACACACCTTTGGATATCAATGGACATAGATAAAGATGACAATGAATGGATATAATACACTTTTCTTACCTCTGTTACCCAATCAATCACTCTCTCACTAACATACATCCAATATCCTTCTTGACCTATTCTCAAAACAAAAGTTATAACTTTGTGTGTTCCATTCCATTGCACTTGTCATCAAAGTCAAGAACACCGAACATCATTCATTCGAATGTCGTCCAAATGAAGTAGGTGTTACGTATATGTGTCATCATTGTCATCATCTTGTTGTTATAACATTATACTTTTACATTATGTGATGTCACAAATGTTACCACTTCACTATGATCACTTCACTTACTCACACATTCAATCAATCCATCAATCAATCATTGCCCTGGTCAACATGTCTTTGTGTTTGTACTAGCCACAAACACATACATGTGTCTAACACACACACAAGTTGTAAGACAGGCTCTATTCCAATGTCTAACAATAGCAATGGGAGACCTTCAGCAAGTCTGCCAGTCAGGCAAGACCCAACACCAACTCCAACGAGCTGTTGCAATCACCATCACTCGAGATTAATTAATCATTCTACACAATCAACAGCAACAGCAGCAGTAGTAGTTCAAGAATGGGGTTGAAGGGGTTCCATGTCTAATGCCATCTGTTGACATGTTTCGCGTTACATGGAGCATGGAACCAAAGGTCTGTCTGCCAGGTCTGTGTGCTTGACGGTCAAGACAACAAGTTGAACAAATGAATGAATGAACGAATGAATCCACAAATCATGAAGTAGTATCCCATCTGATGGTCTGAAGAATGAGCCAGTCGTGGATCTGTAGGAGATGTGTTGAGGAGCAACATGAACATGTAACACATAACTGAATGATTGATTGAACGTGAATGTTCTCTCTGCCTTTATGAGTGTGAATGAGTGAACGAGTGATGTCCAGATTGTTCCCCACTTTATCACCAATCATAAGGTATGTAGATGTTCTATGTTCAGGTACATATCCTATAAACAGCGAATGGGCGATGTGATGGGCAAAGTCAATTCGACTGATCACCTGATTTGATTGTTTGATTATCTGTGTGGGTGTGTGTGTTTGAGTCAAACCCATCAAACAATCAAACAAACAATCCAATCACCACACTGTTTGATCACACCCTTCACTGATCTAGTGACACCCTTACACTTACAGTTACCCCTAAACCTAATCACGCCACGAACTCTCTTTGGACCACCAATCACCACGACGCGCCACCCTTTACAACACCGTTCTCATTGTCATGGCTCGTGGCACGCGCCTATCTCATCGCCAAAGGGAGGTGTGGGTCTGGGCATCCGCCCGTTCGTCCGCCATTGGGCACCACCTGATGATTACAGGGCTTGAACAACAACATCATGTAAATAAGTTTGACGTTTATTGGCGGTGGCAACAGCATCATGTTGGCGGTCGGTCGTGGAAGGTACTCTGAAGACCTACTTCTCAGGCGCCAGGATTCTCGCTCCCATCGTTGGGGATTGATCACAATGTGTGAGTTAGTGAGTGGAGTGAATGAATAATTGATTGAATTGTTCGACTGAATGAAGTGAAATGTAATGGAATAGTGAAGAAGAATGGATGAGTTGTCACATGATTGAATGGCTGAAGAGAGAGAGTGAGTGGAACTGGCGTGAATGGAGTGAAGGTGAGCGTTGGTACCGATCACTCTAACAAGAGATAAAAGTGGACCAATTGGATAAGTGACCACAACTTAAAGTCCATTGCAACCCCCTACTAGTACCACTATTATATCTTTAAAAGATAAAGATATAACTTATATTATTTATTCATTTATATATTTGTATTAAGGACCCTACACACATATATATATATAAACATAACCCCAACATTATATCACTCACTCACTCAATCAATCAATCAATCTAATTAATTAATCTCATAAACACATTATAAATATATAAATATAAAAACTTATTATTATTATTATTATTATTAGGTATGTTCAATCAATCAATCTTGATTCAGTCGATTGATCAATATCACCCCATCCATCTTCCATCCATCTTCCAGCCTTCCATCCTTCCATCCAACAATCAATCAATCAGTCATTCTTTGTCGATATATTGTCAAACTATAAACTTGTGCGACCAATTAAATCTTGTTTGACTGGATTACTCCATAATTCATGACATCAATCAATCAGATAATGAATATCAATCAGATTGGATCATGATCGACCATGTGACCCGACTTCCATTGACCAACTCACACACATGTGATGTTCACCTTCCATCACATTCATCTATTTCCAACCACATGGCAACTTACTCCATCATCATATGTTGATGTTATTAATGTTTATGTATGTTTATATTTATTGTGTCCAATTGATTAATCAATCAACTTGGTGTCTAGAACCCCCCTACATTCTCACTCACTCAACAATCAATCAATCAAACCACACCAAGCGTCGAGAGTATTTCGCGGTAATGTGTGTGAGAATGAATGAGTGAGTGAACTTGTGGTATAAGGAGTATCCGAGTTATTGGGGCACATGGTGGTAGTGGTGTCCTTTCCGATTCGATTGGTTGGCTGATTGATGGACGACCACTTATGGGTTTGTTTGTTCATGACGCACTTGCCACACCATCAACATCACCATCAGCTGACCCATCCACCCCATCAGCTGACCATCACCCACTTCCACTCAATCAACACTCACACCCACAAACACACACTGAGTGTTTGATCAATCATTCTGATCGCGTGTGTGCGCGACTATTCGATAACCTTTGATGGGAAGAGATATAATGTGATGTTATGTGATGTACAGGTACTATGTTTACATCGACTGATTGATGGAAATAACGAGTGTTATTCCAATGTATCGTCGTTGCAACAAGTACTTACACACTCACTCTCATGTACCCCATAACGCTACTTAAAACTGTCTCACAGCAGTCCAATCAACAACAACAATTCAAACACCATCCATCCAAATTTGCTTGTCAGTGGCCAGTTTATACCATTCCCGCTATCCACTCATAATTATATTTATATATATATACATATAATCAATCAATCAATCAATCAACCCGGAGTTGGAGGCCATTCCAATCACCACACCCCCTACAATCAATCAATCAATCAATCAATCAATCAATCAATCAATTAATCCACACCTCAACCTATCCCCATGCAACGCATCATCATCCCTGTTGCCAAAGATTCCACATCCATCACACTCCACTCCACTCCACTATCCCCATCTATCGAATGATTGATTGAGCGAATCATCAGCTTCAACATCATCAAATGGCAGCGCGTATTTCCTCAACTGTTCACTCAGACAGGCAGGCAGGCAGGCTGGCATCCAAGCAGGCACTTCGCCAACTTGTCTCGGCGCACAACTGGTGTCGATGTTGGGGAGCGTGCCACGACATGGAATGGCGCGTAGAAGTGTAGCTGGAAACTGTTAAATGAATCCATAACACTGATAAGGTTTGTGCTGCCATAATTACCAACGATCATTTGTTATACATATCGTATTGTCGTGGAGTCGTGTCGTGTCGTATATCATGATGATGAAGGAGCTGGATATTTTTGAGTTGGAGCATCTTACGCGCTGTTCCAACCCTTCGCACCTATCCCCCATCCCCTTCCACCTCAATATTCTCTCTCATATCCAATTCCAACTCTCTCTCCTCTTCCACACTTTGTCACTCAGTCAGTCATTCATTCCATGCGCGTCTATATAACCCAATCATTGGATGACTTCATTCTCCAAGCGCTACTTTGTGAATTCAAACAACAGCCGCGTACTTCCTTTACCTTACTTCTTGCTCAAAAGAAGCAGGAACACCAACCAACACAATCAACATCAACAATAACAATAACAACATTAGCAATAACAGTAGTAGTAGCCGAGTTGGATGTTTGACCTCAAGACTAATACCCTACCTACCTCCCTACATTGTCACTCTGCCACGCCATCCACTTCATCCAATCAATCAATCAATCATCTCTGGAATTTTAGTGTCCGTCCATCCACAGTGTACATAATTTATTCTTTATTTATTATTACTATTTTACTTTAACTTATTATTATTATTATTATTATTATTATTATTATAATAATCAATCAATCCATCCATCAACCCGACAATGAAGAATACTTCAGTCCTAATGTTGATGGCCTCCCTGGTATTGACCATGACCGTGGTCAATGCTGGTAACCTACCAAAGTCCTTTTATGACTTCATCGTAGTCGGTTCCGGTCCAGCTGGAAGCATCGTCTCATACAGGTAAGTACATCAATKGGGGTTCCAACATCATCGCCACTCACTCACTCACTGATACACTCAATCACTTACACTCATACACTAGGTTGGCTGAAGAGGGCTACTCTGTATTGGTCCTGGAAGCTGGAAAGCAATCAATGGGTAAGCTTGGTGGTGAAGATATTGTTGGTACAAAGGGTGTGATGTCACCTACTGGAGAGTACTTGGCAAAGGAGCGTGTGACAATCTATGATGTACCATCAAAGTGGCAAGCTGCATCAATCAGTGGCGCAAAGTGGGGCTACAAGGGCACCGGAATCGCTCAGATCGTCGGAGGCTGCACCAACCACAATGGCATGGTCTTCCAACCGGGCACTTGCGCAGACTACAACAGCTGGGGCGTGCCAGGCTGGAACTGCAGTGTGATCACCAACGCCATCAAGAAGCTGTCCACCATCCAGACGCCAGCACTTGTCAACAGCACTATCCACGGCCACTCGGGTCCGATCAAGATCAACTCGTTGCCATTCGATCGTGAGGGAATGGACTTTATCGCCTCGTGTAATGCCAGTGGCCTGCCCTTCAACGACGACTTCCAGAAGGAGCCAAGGGATGGCTGCGGCTATTTCAACTTCAACGTCGATAAGAACACCGGACTGCGTTCGTCGCCCGCCCACGAGTACTTGATCAAGGCCATCAATGATTATAGCACCGACCTTGTTGCCGAGGCCACCGTTCAGCGTATCAAGTGGAGATTTGACCTGTTCTCGAATAAGTACATGGCCACTGGCGTCGAGTACGTGCTAAAGTCCAATCCTTCGCGCGTCTACACGGTAAATGCTCGCAAGGAGGTGATCTTGGCCGCCGGCGCGCTCAACACACCCAAGATCCTGATGCAGTCTGGCGTGGGCAATGAGACCTACTTGAACCAGTTCAAGCCACACATCCCCAACGTCGTGTCAGACTTGCCGGGCGTGGGCCGCAACCTAAAGAACCACTTCCTCTTCTTTGGCCTGTTCAAGTATGATGGTCCCGAGACGCGTCCATCCCTCTACGAGCAGTTCTCGCTGGACATCCAGTACCAGACCACGGGCGCCGGCTTCCACGGCACACCCGGCTACTCGACCGGCGTGTGGTTGCGCTCCAACCGTAGCGACCCACTCTCTGTGGAGAATGTGATGATCGTGCAGCCAGGCGCCATCGGCTCAATCACACCATTCAAGTCAGTCATGCTGGGTGTGTCGATCTCCAAGCCCAAGCCAGGCGTGCACTTCATCGCTCTGAGCACCAACAAGAGCGGTGACTGTTACGAGTTCTTTGCGCGCCATCCAGAGGTCAACTTCACGTTGTTCCAGAATCCAGAGGACGCCAACACCTTGCTGAGAGGCTGGAAGGAGGCCAATCGCATCATGTCCTTCCCACCAATGAGCTCGCTGATGACCAACATCGTGCCAGGCAATGCCAACAATGATACTGAGATGCTGGCCTACATCAAGTCGAGTGCCGTGCCTCACGACCATTGGTGCTGCACCGCCAAGATGGGACCAGCCACCGATCCAATGGCCGTGGTCGATCCTCAACTGAGAGTTATTGGAGTCAAGAGTTTGAGAGTGGTAGATGCCTCTGTTATCGTGGATCTGCCTCACTCTTTGATGCAGGCAACAGTGATGGCTGTGGCTGAGGTCGCTGCCGGTCACATCATTGCTGCATGGTCATAAGTATGATCATTCATTCCATTTTGCCTTGCTGTGTGCCGTGCTGTGCTGTGTACTACTACATGTTTTGTAACATAATGTCGGAACCGACCGACGGACCGACCTACCAATCGCCGACCGCCGATCAGAACCTGCACCGTCTCGCAACCAAACTTGGTCGCGTGCCTACCCTTTCAGCTCTCCCTCTCCCTTCTTCCTTCCTTTCCCTCCTACCTACTTTCCTCCCTCCGAACACCCTTCCTCCTTTTTGTAGCATATCATTCATTCATTCATTCATATTGTATGTACATTACAAGGACCTTTCAGTGCCTTGTACCAATTCACAACCATCATAGGCTATGTACTCGATACCAATAAATACCACTCCTCTCTCTCTCTCTCTCTCTACCTACATATACATACATATCTCTATCTCTATCTCTATCTTTATCTCTTCTTCTCTCAATGTGTGAATGTTTGAAGAATGGTGTTTGGAAACCAAACGCAAAGATCAAGTTGAACTTCACCACAAGCTCATTTTCAACAACATTCAAACAAACACAAACAAATACAGATACAGCTACAGATAGAGATATAATATGGGCAATGATACAATGATTGAATCATCCAATATATTGGAGGAAGTTGATAATTCAACACAATGGTTAAGTGATAATGCTAAACATGTCACAATCAATCTACCTTCAATCGATCAATTCATACAAGACTTGCAACAAGGTAGGTAGTCTGCTGGCTATGGCGCCAATGATAACAATGTCAATGAAGTTACAATACTCATTCAATCATTCAATCATACAATGAATGAACAGATGATTACAAGTCAAAATCATCCGCAGTCAACTTCCCTTTGAACTTTAGTGACCACCAACAAGAGATCAACTTCTGGTTCATACTGGACTTGATCAATATTGGAAGGTAATCAATCGACACACACTCATTCAATCATACTTTCAATCGATCAATCATTCACTTACATTCATGTACTTCATCAGTGGATTCCGCAAGGAGCTTCATGACGCGTCAAATAGAGGCGCCTACGAGACGATATGTTATGGCCTGTTTGGAATGTTCTTGTCGCAGTCGGGTAACTTGAGTGCCAAGTTCTTGTCGAATATGTCCTTGCATGAGGTGTCATCATACTTTGGAATTCCAGTGTCTGTTGAGGTGCAACAACAGGTTGGCATCTACACATACAAGGACTCATCTCTCAAGCCACTGGCCATTCACATTCATCAGATACTGCGCGAGAGCGCAAGGATATTGGGCGAGCTTGGCTACAATGACTTTGGCGCAATGGTCCTCAAGGTGACCGACCCTGCGCGCCCAGACTCGGCTGCCAATTCGGCCGCACTGCTTGTCCAGCGACTCGTCTCCACATTCCCCGCTTTTGCCGACCGCCACACATGCGGAGGCCAGACGATACACATTTACAAGAAGGCTCAGCTGTTGTGCGCTGACCTGTACAGACGCTTCAAGGTCGACCTGCCCGAGCGCTTTGCCTTCAAGGACATTGACTCGCTGACAGTCTTTAGCGACAATGTGCTGCCAGCTGTGCTGCGCAAGTACGGCATACTGACGCTGTCGACAGAGTTGGCCGAGTGGGTAGACGCAGGCAAGGAGCTGCCCCCTGGCGAACAAGAGGTCGAGCTGCGCGCCGTCGCCGTGCACGCCTGTCGCCTCATTGTCAACCGCGCACACTCAATCGACGCCAACCACTTCATTGGCAATCAAGTCACACTCGACTACTTCCTGTGGACCAAGGGCAAAGATAATGGATTCCGCCAAGCCGAGCGACATTACACCAAACAGACTATCTTTTATTGATTGATTAAAGGGAACGCGGTTTGGGCGTTATCTTCATAAACATGTATGTGCCCATGAAGACGAGCAGCACGACGACGATGATCAGACAGTAGTTGAGCATGTCTTTGGAGCTGCCATCGGTGTAGTCCTTCAGCTTCTTGGATTGATCGCCAATCTTGGTGCGATTCGACCCCAGCATCACATTGATCTCGCCAATCATCTTGTCATCGCTCTCCAACTTGCTGGACAGCTTGTTTGATTGATTCTTCAAATGCTCTGTGTACATCAACATCTCCTTTGTAATCTCGTCCTGCACCTTCCTCTGTTCCTCGGTGATATCGCGTACAGAGTCTTCAGATGTTGTTGTTGATGATGCATTCGATGAGTTCTGGCCGTGACCGCCTCTACTCAGCAAGTCCATCAACTCCCTCGAGTTTGAAGAGGTCGTACTACCATTGTTGTTGTTGTTTGATTGATTGAACTTGCTTCGATGGATGACTGCCGAGGAGGATGGCGATGATGAGGAGAGGGGAGATGCTGATTGAAGTGATGAGGAAGAGAGAGATTGTGGACTGCCCTTGGTATCGATCAATCTCTGTACCATCTTCTTGGTCTCATTGTTCCTTACTTTATACACAGTATGTACCTCATCCATCTTATCACTATGAGGTATATTGCTTGATTGTAACTGTACCATTGACAACTTGGTAGCAGCAGGTGTGTTCTATTGTTTTAGTTTGTAGTTGCAGTGTTAGTCAATGTTGCGATGGGGACAAAGAGAGAGGGACACATACAGACTTCTCCTGACCAAGGAGACTAACCAACATTCCTATCTTCCTTGCATATTCAAACATTGTCTCTTTGGTAGGTATGCTATATGTGTCACCAGTGACACCTGTCTTGACTGTCTTCTTTGTATTGTGCTCTGTCGTATTGGCATTCTCAATCATATCCTTCAACTGTCTATGCTTGGAGAATAGTACTGGGAGGAACTTGATTGATTGAATGAGTTAGTACATCAATCATTCATTCATTCATTCATTCATTCATTCATTGATTCAATGATTCGGTATACCTTCTCAACCGATGCCATGTCTCTGTTTGAAGTGTTGGCCATCAACTTCTCACAGGACTGTATCAGACGCTTGAGGTTAACCTCTAACTTGTGTATCTCATGATTGACATCTTTGATTGTTGATGTCGATTCATTGTTGTTGTTATTCGAACTTGTAATTATAGAATCCCTTGCCATTGTATATCTCTATCTACTTATCTATCTATCTCTCTATATACATTATAATTATACATTGATTCATTCATTGATTGACACCAACTTCACTTTAATGTTGTTTCGGGAGTTCCAGACACACACTCACACAATGGGAGAAGTCGATTGATGAGTCACAAAGACAATGGACTACATCAATTGAGTTACTAGGTCGAACTTCCTTCTTTCTTCAGATCAACCAATCCACCGACTAATAACAACATAGTTATACATTGATCATCTGAAAGAGTGGACGAGGGTGTTGGTCAATCAGCTGAGTTGGGTTAAAAGTGAACTTACACCTCATCAACTTCACACTCTCTCACTCAACCAATCATTCATTCTAATCACATAATTATAAATATACGGGTACAAGCCAAACAATGTTAAATATACTAAGGTCTAATGTTGGACGATCATATCTCGTTGCCAGACCTTTGTTATTGACGACACCAACAACAGTTTACAACAACAATAACTACACAACCATTAATAGAACAAGCTCGTTGTTAAGCAACAGCAACATAACATCATCATACACATACATCAATAACATAAATAATAATACACTACAACTACAATTACAATGTAGAGGTTACTCAAAGACACATCATTCACATTCAAAGAGACGTTCATTCACACATAAACAAGATGTTCGTGTGATGAAGAAGAGAGAGTCAAAGAAGGAGGCCGTGCAACAGGGTACACCAGTGGAGGCGACTGAGCATCGTCATTCAAAGTTGTCACATGAGCATACCAAGCCATTGACACACGATGATAAGTTGGAGTTAAAGAAGAAGTTAAAGGCTCGCAGGAAGCTAGAGATCAAGGAGGCCAACTCTGAACGTGTCAAGCATCTGATGGACGTCAAGGAGACTGTTGATAAAGAGGCGGTCACTGAGGAGTCTGTCCGTGTCACCCTTCGCAAACAAGCAGTGGCAAGTGCAGGTTCAGCTGCAGCAATCATTGGAGAGTCAGGCAGTCGACCACGCAATGGACAGACTGTGGAGTACTTTGAACAGAAAGACGAGGATTACATGGATGATGATCTTGAAGAGAGGGACGAAGATGATGATGATGATGATGATGAATATGAAGATGAAGATGATGACGAGTATGAGGATGAGGATGAGGACGAAGATGAAGATGAGGACGAGGATGAGGATGAGGATGAAGACGAAGATGATGATGATGATGAGGGCGAACAACGCACTCAGATTGTTGAAAGAAGATCACAACGTGGACCATCGTCAGCACCAGCACCAGCACCAGTACCACAGTTTGACATAAACAAGATTGATCCATCAAAGATTATCACAGTCACTCAAGAGATGATTGATGAGTTGGGACTGGAACAGATGGAGGAGGGCGAGGAGGATGAGGACGACACCATCACATCGCCACAGTACATCACCTTTGAGGACGCCAAGGCAAAGTATGGATTCACCGAGACCGAGCTGAGAGAGAACGCATTCAATGCTGCAGTGTTGCAAGCGATGAAGACCCAACCTCAAAAGATGTCCAAGGCGGTCAAGGACGAGTACGAGGAGATGGAGGTGGAGGCCATAGCCCCAGCCCCAGCCCCAGCACCAGCCCCTGCAGTGGAGAAGGAGGCTGCCCCCAAGAAGAAGGCTGCCAAGAAGGAGAAGAAGGTTGTCGAAGTGCAACCAACCGTATCAACATCAGCTGAGCCCAAGAATGAGTTTCAATCAGTTGATGAGCTGGTACAACATAAATTCCAACAAAAGGAGGCATCCATGAGTGCCAAGACTGTTGGCTCAGGTCCCATTCAAATGTCCGAAGTGATGGAGGCATTGGCCGACACCAAGATGGAGGACTTTGTTGTGGTCGACGTCAGCGAGAAGTGCTCATTCACCAAGCACTTTGTAATTGCCAGCTCAGACTCGAATCGTGCTTTGATCAATGCCGAAGAGGACCTGCTGGAGAAGTTCCGCCACCGTTTCAAGAAAGATCACAAGCCAAGAAACAATGACGATACCTCTGACGTGTGGCGTGTGCTCGATCTCGAAGTGTGCGTCGTGCATCTCTTTGAGACGGCCACCAGGAACTACTACGACCTGGAAACGCTCTGGGTCACCAGGCGCCCCATTGGCACTGAGGAGCAGAGCTGGGACGACGAGAAGACCGACCAGATCCTCGTCAATGCCAACGCCAGCGCCAAGAAATAAAAGATACATCAATCCATTAAATCTTATAATATACTTTATTCTTAAATAATGAAGTGCCGGGCCACGCCAGACACGCCGGTAACGCCAGCCAGCCAGCCGCAAGGCCAGCCAGCCAGACAGCTTAACAATGAGGGTGGAGGGGTTGTTGGGTATTATACAAGTTCACAGTAGTTGGACGGGAATAGACCCTCTCGGCCATCGAGTGAGCCCTTCCACCATCCACTCTCATCCTCGCCAAGTACTGTAATGGTGTCGCCTGTGAAGAAATCCAGCTCGGTCGCGTCCGAACCAACATAGTCGTAGAGTGCCTTCATCTTCTTTGCTGGAGGCTTCCTTGACATTACTGCAGGTGGTGGTGCTTTGGACACGGGTTTGGAGAGGATTGATGAGGACGATGATGAAGAGGTGGACGACGCACGCGACGACGAGTTGAGTGGTGCTGATGACGAGGCGTTTGTGTTTGAGTATGAGGCCGAAAGTGATGATGAGCTGACTGAGCTCGACATTGATGGAGTGTCGCCATAGTCCTTTTGTCGTAGGTTAGTTAATGATCTACGTGGATGTCTACGCCCATCGCGATGACTTACTCTTGCACCAAATTGTACAAAGGATGGGATGGGAGGTGGGTCTGAGCCAGTCTTGTTCTCGCGAATGAAGCAGTCAATGTCCTCATACTTGTCGACCTTGCTGATGATTGATGACAGGTTGACATTGCTGCTGCTGTTCTCCAATGAGGTGATGGCCTGTGAGTACTTATCGAGTTGGATCTTGATGCAATCGATACGCTCCTCTTCACATCCCTGCAGAGTCTGGTATATGGAGCATGTCTTCTCCACCCAAGCCGGTGCATTCGTTTGCAACTTGTTGACGGCGTCCCTATAGTCATTCTCAAACATCTGTCTCTCCTTGTTGGCCTTCTGTGCCTTTGATGAAATCTTTTGGTCCAACTTGATTGTTAGTATTATTGATTGATTGAATGATCTCTATGATGGCACTCTCATATTCATACCTTGCCAAGATCATTAACATTGCCTCCGCGGGACTTTGCCTGCTCGAGTTGTGAATTGAATTGCTCGGACTGCTTGGAGTAGTCTTCGTACTTGGTGCGATACTTGGCTATTGAGGACTCTTGATCCTTGCGCTCCTTGGACAACTTCCATGCGTCGTGAAGGAAGGTCTTCTTGGTCTTCTTTTGGTCCGACTTGAATCTGTCGAACGATGACACGATGTCCATGGACAGCTGTCGCGAGAACTCTGTGTGAATGCCAACTGTGGACTCGACCTGTCCACGGACGGCCAACCAGGCATCACGCAATGTTCCAAACTCTGTCAAGTTGGCAGTCTTCTTAAGCAGACTTGTTAAACTTTTTGCGTAGGACTCCTCAATAGATGCACGCTCCTTCATAAAGTATAAGAAGAGCTTAGTACTCTCAGTACCCTGATTGATTCTCTTCTCCAGCTGATCGAATCCTCCAACGCCCCAGAAGTTGTCCTTAAATGTTTCAGTAGACATCGCTTCTATATTGTTCAAGTAATAATAAAATAGTAATAATAACGATAATGATACAGATATTATATATATATACAAATATAAGTTAAGTAATACGTGTGATTGATTATGTATCAAATAAATGGTCAATCACATGCTCCCACCATGATGGAGTGATTATTTATGTGAGAGTGGTCCCCAACAACAACGTTGTTGTGAATTTTGACACTAATTTCAAATAATATTTGCAGGTCCTTGCCCATCAATTGGATGACGTTTTGAATACTGGTGCCAATGTTGGTGTTTTGCTAAAGGCCGACGTCATTGTCTCTTACTTTATATCCATCATACTATACTATCTATCAATCAATCAATAAGTGAGCATGCGGAAACTGTAGGGTAGGATTGAAGATGTGAATATGGCCTGAGTTGGACTTATCTTTCGGATATGTACATGAATGTAGTGGGAGAAGATATAGATGTATCTTTGAACGTTTGGTATCAGTTTGAGTGTAGAGCAGAATATCTTCTGGCATCCAATGTGATCATAAGTAAGATCGGGCGTATTGATAGTCAATGTGTTCAAATATGCATTAGATGGCCTTGGTTTGGTTGATACGGCATTGGTGATGATCAGTTGCTTGATTGAATCATGGTCTTGGTATGCATCCATGTACTTGGTCATGTCATAGTTGAATACAACTAATGTTTGTAGATTCGGGGGCAGTACAACATTGCTTGGCGGTTGATTAAAGTCTCCACCCAGCGTAAGTTTGGTTAACGAATCGGGAAGAGTTCCAGCGTCCAATATTTGATTGTAATGGTAACCAAACTTTAACTCGGTCAACGATTTGGGGAGCACTCCATTTAAAGGCATGTTGAAGTATTTACCAAAGGAAAGGTAACGCAGATTGTTTGGAAGGGCTCCATGTTCAATTTCACGTTCATAATCAGCGCCAAGTGACAGAGACAACAGTGATTGTGGAAGAGTGCCTGGGACAATTCTCGAGTTGAACTTGATCTCATAGGCAAGACTAGTGAGTTGTTCTGGCAACACACCAACATCAAACGATATGTTACACCGCATTGTAAGATACCTGAGTGACAATGGAAAGGTACCAGGGACAATCGTTTGATTAAAGTGGAAGTCAAGCCACAGTCGACGCAGGTTATTTGGAAGCAAGTTTGCAGGGATTGGTTGGTTAAAGGCAAGGCCAAACTTCAGTTCTGTAAGTGACTGGGGAAGGCTTCCAGGTGGCAGGTATCGGTCGAATGAATGGCCCAACGTTAGACTAGTAAGAGACTGTGGAAGTACACCAGGGGGTAATGGCTGATTGAACGAGCCTAAGAGTTCGAGCGTGTGTAATGATTGTGGCAGTGATCCAGGTGCAATAGGATCGTTACAAGAGCCCCAGAACCTCAATTTCTTGAGTGTTTGGGGTAGTTTGTCTAGACTTTCATGTTCTACAACTTTAGGGTCTTTTACTGTTGTTGAATATGATTGATGTTGTTGTAGTTTAGACTGTTCTCTACGTCTTTTATCAATCTCTCTTTCATTAATAAACAAATTATAACATGTCTTTGATGATAGAGCAAGACAAACTATATCAATACAAGTCTTATTATTATTATTATTATCTGTTGTTGTTGTTGTAGTATCCAATAACAATGAATGAATGAGTTTGAATGCGTATGTTGGAAGTGTTTCCATCGATATGATATTTTACAATATGGTGTTGAGGATGTGAAGATCTGTATGTCCAAAGAAGGAAATAGTATAATGTATTACTACAACAACAACACTATGAATGAAGTGAACTCATCAAGATAACATTGATTGAACAAAGTTGAAATTAATTAAATAATGCATGCTCGCGTGGTTTGTGTGAGCCAGACACTTTGGTCTCGACTTTCAAACCAATCTTTGTCAATTCATTCATTCTCATTCAAATATAAATACACATTGTATCTGTAACATAACATATAAATATAATACTATATATATTACATCATAAATAATCGATCGATCAATCAATCAATCACAATAATCACAGAAGTATACAGATAGACAAAGGATAGAGATAAAGAAAGATATATAGAGTGATGACAAGACAGACATCTTTGTTTTTGTCGGCGACGTTGCTGATATGCCTCGTGTTGATATCGACTACAAATGCATTTATACATCATTTGAATATTAAGGACGATATACGTCAGGTGTTCCTGATCGAGAGCTTTGGTCTGGGAAAGAATGGTGTGATGAAGTGTTCAGTGGCCAATTGGAAGCTCAATGGACAGCCAATAGACTCTTCAATGTCCAATGGAACAGGATTCTTCATCAAGGTCACTGACACTGATGCCAGCGCATTGGTCGACGAAATCATCCTTCAGAAGGACTGTGTACATTTCTTTGAGAACCAGAGTTTCTTCTTCACGTACAAGAGGTAAGTCGTCTATATGCTGATTGATGTCACGCGACACCGAGGTGCTAACATTGAATGAACCTTAACAACCATACAGCGGCGACACAACCAATTTTGACTTGACAGTTGACGCACCAGGCTTCAAAGAGGGATTCTATAACCTTCACTTTATCAATTGTAATCATGGTGATAAAGTCTCTTTCGATGTAAGATTGTTAAATCATATGATTGATTACTCCCCTAATTCATTCACTCATTCACTCACTCACTCACTCATCTAATACAGCTTTCATTGGAGCAATACAACGTCGAGTCTAACGGACAAAAGAGTTATCTGTCGATTGGTGACACTCCTTTGCCAACTCTATACGGAGTGTTCTCTGCTGTCTTCTTTGGATTGTTGCTACTCTGGGTCTTCTTCTTCCTAAAGGGAGAGGGCAAGCGTGTCAACAAGATACATCACCTCTGCACTGCCTACCTTTTGATTCAGTCAATCTCACTATTGTTCGAGGCTGTATGTACAATCAAAATTATCACTCATTCAATCATCCTAACAACAACATCATCAATATAGATTGAGAAGCACTACATCAAGACCACTGGCAGCGCTCATGGTTGGAATGTTGCATATTACATCTTTGCATGGTATGACTCGCTTGTTAGATTGATTGATTGATCGATTGATTGAATGAATGACAGTTACTAACCCTACCCTATCAAACACAGCCTTCAAGGATCATTCTTTATTGTTTTGATTGCACTTATTGGTTCAGGATGGGCATTCATCAAGCCATACCTGTCCGACAAGGACAAGACTATATTCATGGTGGTCATTCCTTTGCAGATTCTCGACAACATTGCATTGGTCATGGTCGATGAGGAGGCACCAGGTTCCGTCGGTTCGATTGGATGGAAGCACATCTTCACAGTTGTCGATATCATCTGTTGCATTGCCATCTTGATCCCAATCATTTGGTCAATCAAACATCTAAAGGATGCTTCGCAGGTTGATGACAAAGGTATGTGTACCTCGACCTCTATCCCTTTGCAGTCCAACAACATACTAATGCCAATCAATCAATCAATCAAACATAATAGCTGCCCAGAACCTTCAGAAGCTCACTCTATTCAGACAGTTCTATTTATTTGTAATCTCTTATATTTACTTCACTAGAATCATCATCACTCTGCTGCGATCGACACTTCCATTCAAGTGGGTATGGTTGGGCGACTGCTTCCAGCTTATTGCCGCACTCATCTTTTACTCCACTACTGGGTAAGTAATGGTTCAAAGGAAGAAAGGATGAAGAGAGGACTAACATTAACAACCAATCAATCAATTAACAAACAATAGATATCAGTTTAGACCATCTTTGGACAACCCATACTTCCATCTGCCACAGAATGAGGATGGTGTACAAATGTCAGAGAGAGGTGTAAACACTGATAGAGACGACGATTGAGTTTGATCCTGATCATTAACCAACAACACATATCATACCGCCCCCTTCATTCGATCATTGGAAAGTGTCCAACTCGCGAGTACTTCGTCAATAATAATCATTCATTTAATCAAACTCGTTAATATATATAGTATGAACAGGAGTGAGAGGAATGGATACCTCTCGTTTATTTAAGGCCAGTTTGGTCGATGTCGATGTGAACAGAACACTTGGTTATGGTAAGGGTAGGGATAATAATATCGACAATAATCGGTTGGATTTGATTGGATTGCATTGGATGGGATTGAATGGAACAGGACAGTATACAGTTATGGACAGGGGGTTTATGGACATTGGTATGAACAAGCGGGAGGGTAGGGACAGGATGCTGACATCTTGATTGATTGGATTCAGGATGCACCTGGGCCTGCAGGCAGTGGAAGCGCACAGTCTGGTGTTGGGAAGAAACTACGGAACAGTCTCTTAAGCGACGCAATCGGGTTGAGGCTGGTATCGAAAGGAAGGGATGGATTGGTGTAGATAGGCTGGCTTATTGCTCGAGTCGTCGCAGTTGGACTTGGTATTGATATAGTTATTTACATTATTACCGATGGTGCTGTTGGTGGTGATGTGATTGTTGTTGTGATTGCTACTACTACTACTACATGATGAGGCAGTTTGACAGTTTGGGTGGGTGTATGAAGAGGAGGAGGATGATGATGATGTGGATTGATGTTGAGTGTTTGGTGATGGTCTAGAGGGGTGTCTCTTGTCCTTTGAAGGCGAATCCTTTAGGAATACTATGCTGTCTAGGAGGTTGACATCTGGAAAGGCAACGGGCAGTGATGAGGCCACAGGAACACACAAGTGTTGCTGGATCCTCTGGCTGTACATCTCCATCGCCGACGAGTACTCTATATAAGTCTGGAAGTCGGTGCCGACATCAAACGATAGCAGCTTCAACAAGTCAAGTTCCAAACTATTGATCTCCTTCACGGACACTCCTCCGACTTGCGAATAGAAGTGATTGTTATAAAATATATCTGTTTGAATTGGAAGGTTTGTTTGATTGTTAGTTGAGTGATTGGAATGATTCCAGGTCATTGTGATACATACCATCAAGGTACTTTGCAGCTACGAGAATACCAGTGATGAGGATTCGATGGATGTTATAACTATTTACAACGAATCCACGCTTGGTGATGAGTCGGTCTATGTACATGAGGGTGGTGATAAAGCATTCCTTGGAGCACGGCGAGTATTTCAATATTCTGGCAATGTACATGTCGATGGTGATCATCGGAAGCTTCATATTCTCCGGCAGGAATTGTGTAAAGTTGTTGGGGTACTGGTCGGCATAGGCCAGGAACTGGTTTGTACATATGATCAGCGACTTTAGCAGACACTCGATGGGACTGTCTGGTTTGGACGCCATGTTGATCTCTTGCAATTGCATCTTGCCCTCCTTTAGTATGGACAAGAAGGTGGCTTGTTGCTGAGGGGCTTGTGCCTGTGCCTGTGCTGGTGAGTTGGCAGCAGCAACAGCGTTTGGAAATTGTGTGGCCATTTGATGTCTATCGTTGGTGATCATTGGGGAGTTGGTCCTAATTGTAGAATCCATTATATAAGTGTAATAATAAATATAAATATAAATAATAATTATAAAGATTKGAAGTAAGGTTTAAAGGTTAGATGACAGGATTATGGACATTAATTCTAGAATTATATGGATTGGAAATGATATGTTAATATATTATTATTGACTTTGGTGAAGCCTTATCTTGGGCCAAGAATAAAGGATTGGATGTGTGGGCGAGTGTGTGGCAAGGTTACCTCAATCAAACAATTATTATAACTTTAGAGATATAGGTTGTGAAGTGAATGAGTTGTAGTAGTTGGAACAACCAATGATCATTGGGTCCACAAACAAATCAACTTGATCATTCAATGAGGCACACAAAGGGGCACAAACAACATCAGCGCATATATCATATCGGGTACCAATAAAGGATTCGTATTTAGTATACGTGACCGCAGTACAAAGGTGACCCGAGAGACCCATTAACCATATAACAAGATGTATAATGGGTCCATTGTTGTTGACGACGATGATGATAACTTGGGATAGATAATGTAGAAGGATGAGGGAAGATGAAGAGACACTCTTCTATAAATAACGCAAATGGTCAATAGTTGAGAAGGTGTCTTGGCCGCCAACAACCAACTGGCAAAGGGTGGCGGTTGGGAGGACCTGGTGGTCCACAATATTGTTCGACAATAGCAATTTGTGATGTACACTAAGTGATTATAGGTGGGCTCACTAAGGTACTTGTGATGGAGTGTGTGTGTGGTGGGTGATGGAACATGTGTGTAGTTGTGTGTGTGAAGTGATGTGAGTCGGTTGAGTGATGGAACATGAGTGTGTGTTGTGTGGGTGGGAGAGGGGTACCGCCACGTACTCCGCCTCGAGCCTCTTTGTTGTTACTGATGTCGGGATGTGGATGTGTCTGTTTCCTGTAGCTGTTGTTGTTGTTGCTGTTGCTGTTGCTTTGATTGTATTTTTAGGCTCACACAACAACAACATGGATGTTATGCGATTTCCGTAACAAACAACTATATGGTTGGGAGAAGTGGAGACGAGAGGGACTATGATGGATAGTCCTCATTTGCCTCCACATGAACCGACATTGACAGTATGCCATTGCCATTGCCATTGACAACAATATGAGGAAGGCTACCTTGAATCTTAAGTCGACAATGACAATATATATTGTTCACCAAAGGAAATCATTGCGGCCAAATTGGTGGGCCATGTTCAACTTCCTTTGCCAACTGCAAGGCTCACATCATTCAATCACAACACACCATGACAATGTTTGAACGTTAGGTGCAATGGATGAAGTAAGCAGGCACCTAATGTTTATATGTGTATGTATAATTGTCCTGTGTGATGTATAAATGCTTAAGGAGGCTTGATTGATTGGAGTGCTGGATCTTGGATAAGATCTGAGTGCTTGTGTTTGTGCTTGTGTTTGTGTAGCGTGTGAACTTCTGGCAAGTCTAGCCAGGTCCATCGTTCATCCAACAAATAATGGGTATTCCAAACAATGTTTACCTTTAAAGTTAAACATAAGATTACTACTTTGTTGTTGTTGTTGTAAGATAACTAGAGAGATAGATAATAACATATATTATGTGTATGTATGTATGTATGATATTGAACTTAATAACTAACTAAACTAACAAACAAACTAATTAATTAATAACTAATATTATTATTGATTGGTGATATCACTCTCTCTTTGAATGTGTGGTTGTGTAGTCAACCTGCGCAGTTGAGTAGTTGTAGAGAGAGAGAGGGAGGGGGTTATAGATAGATAGACAGTGAGGGACCACTCATTCATTCACTCATTTACACTCATTCAAGTCAAGTCTCGTTCACACTCGTCGATTGTAAGCAATAACAAACTGCCGATGCGATGGATGGTTGAATGAATGAATGAAGATAGAGTGGTTGCGAAGGCTACAAGATAGGTTGTGGGGGTGGCCTAAGAGTAACTTCAAAGTATGTATATATGTCCTTCAACGCTTTGAAACGGGTGTGTGATATTGTGTATGTGTTGTTGTGTGCGCGATTGACGTTGTTGTCAACTAACGCATCAATAATGGATGGATGGATGATTGACTGGATGAATATGGCTAACTATCTCTCATATAGATGTATGATGATTGGTAATGAACATGAGTGAGAGAGAGTTGATGTTGACAGTCACCAACTCTCTTGTCTAGATATATTCTGTAAATGGTCTAATAAAGGTCTTGCCATTTGCAACGCACCATTAATGGATATCACCGGTTTTTTTGATGTGTTTTCCAGAGTTTTTGTGGTCCCTGGTGGAGGCTTCAATGTGAACATGAATGGATGGTGTGGTGGGGTTATGTTGGATGGACCATAATAAAGGCCATGCATTGAGGCTTCAACGGTTAGGATAAAACAGAACATTGAATGATTGAATAAATGTATTTGAATGAATGATACAAGTTATTGTTGTTGACTCATCATTAACGAAGAGATGGTTGTGTTGTACATCGACAGAAGGTGTCGGGTACAAATGCGTGACGTGAGTCAATACAAAGGGGTATAGTACTATTATACCAAATATCAACATTAACCTCATTAATTAATTACCCTTTGGACCGGGTATACATGACAGTTAAAGTCGGACTTTGTCTATGTATGTGTAATCTCTGTTGTTGTAGTTGAAGTTGAAGTTGAAGTTGAACATGACAAAGATGAAAATGGTGTGACCCTTAGAGTTTCCAAGGTTTTCCAGATCAGCTGGATTGACTACACCTGGAAATATACAAGAAGTAGTTGACATCGATGGGGTGAGTGAGTCATTGTATGACCCAACATTGGACTTACCTCTTGAGAATTGGAATATTGAACTTGTACAAGTCTGTTTCTGGACGAAGATCAATCAATCAATCAATCAATCAAATTTCTTAATATAGTATAGTATACAATGATAGAGTTAGTTAATAATACAAGAGTGTATATAAATAGGTATTAGGTTTGTTATTAGATTCACAAAATATGTTGGTTTGATTGATTGATTAGTTATGTTGTGTTGTTGAAGTATGAATGAATGAAGGACCCTATTTGGTAATGTTCAAATTGGACGACTAGTGTGGACCCGTCCAAGCTTGAACGACAGCTCCCCAGTCTATTTGTTGTTGTGAAGGAAGGAAATGGTCCTTTTTGGCCGAATAGGTGCATGGTAGATGGGCTCCATTGTCATAGTCATCAACAATCAATCACTCAACTCAACTCACTCACCAACAAGCTACAACTTGTCGACCTGGCGCTTGTTTGTTTGTTTAGCCACCTTTGCCACGAATGGTGATGAGAGAGTATAGATCCAAGGGAGAGGGTAGTGTGAGTGAGGCATGTGGGAAGGGAAAGAGGCGTGGAACTCGGGGGTGGCACTCAATCAATCATTCTCATCATCATCCCCACATCACACACTACACACTACGCACCACCTACAGGATGACTGATGATCACATTCATGATCATACATTTACAACCACAACTACAACGTTGTATATTTGTTATACAAGGTGTTGGTTGGGTGTGTGAATGGAAGGGTTGGTATTCCTCACTCGTTCAAAGGAACTGGCGAGGCAACGTGACAGTGGTAGTGGTAGTGGCAGTCCAAGTCCCCGCCACCCAGTTTGAGTGGGAGGATAAGTAGTTGATAGAGAGATTGTTTGTGGTGCCGTTGTCATTGACCACCAGTTAGAGTATGAGTAAGACAGCCTCTCATCAATCGTTGTTGGCAGCATATAGCTGAAGATGGAGATTTTGGAAAGAGATTGTTGGGCGACTTGATCAACTTGGTAGTTTGGTTAGTTGTTGCCGCCAATAAATTGCATGAGAGTGAATGAGGGTAAGGGTAAGGGTAAGGGTAAGGTAAGAGTAGAGGGGTAGGGCAAGGGTAGGGCATTATTGATGGTCCACAAAGAAGTAGGGTTGTTGTTGTAGACGATCTGATCATAACGGATTTGATTGGATTGAGGTGGTCCTCATTCAATGATTGAGTGGAGCTCACTCGTTCCAGTTGCATTGGTTTGATGATGGTCGCACCAACTTGGTATTTATTCTGTCTGACTGACTGGAGGCCTCGATAACTAGCATGCATACATTCGTTCGAACGATTGAGAGAGAGAGCCTAAACCTTAAGGTTTAGTTAGTCTTCATTCTCTCCATACATCAGCGCACGAGTGCCACGATAGATTTTGAGCAATACATTGATCCTTGGAATGAGGTCGTCGAATGCCAGTATCATCTTTTGTTTGCCTTCGACGATAAAGGCCATGTAATATACTACGCGATAGCGTGATATACCTTCGTTGATAATGATCGAACTGATCCTAGACTTCTCGATAAACTCCACCGTCTCCTTCAACAAGTACTTCTTTCGCAGTTGTATTCCAAGTTCTCTTATCACTGTCAATGACTCTGAATGATTGGTTGGTCGGTTAGTCAAGGTCGCGCGAAGTGAGTGAACATAACATAACATAACATACCCTCGCGGATGATAAACATCTTTAGACAGAGACGAATGGCAATGATGGCTATGATCATCACAAACATGAATGACTTGAATATAGAGTAGTTCATTGATATGAGGTAGTATGTTTGCAATGCCAATAGTATCCACATACAATAGTCGAATGTATATATAATCGATCTACTCTTTCTTGTAACTCTATACTCTCTAACATCATTATTTATATGTATACAATTGAATGTATATATATTATTATTATTATTATTATTACTTTCTATTGATTCTAATATACTATTACTATTATTATTGTTACTGTTATTATTATTCGTAGTTGTCGCGCTATTGTCTTGATTAGGTTGAGGCAACAAGTCGTTGGTGATGCCTGTTGCCATTATAGATGATGATGATGATGGATCATTGTATATTGATGTGTTTAAAGGTAACCCTGACATTGTATCGTAGGTAAGTATATAAGTGTATTAATCGATCGATTGATTGAAGTGACTTCTAATCCTGTCATTCTTCATCATGCTAGTGATTCATTGAATTCAAAACAACTTAATTTATGGGACGAACTACCCACAAATGAATATCTCCGGTCCCTCAACTTCAACTTTGTGTTTATATTAACACTCATTTATTAAATATACTTGTATTACTTGTACTTGTATACATATATATATATTAGATATGACAACACCAAGAAGTATTATAGTGGAGAGAATTGAGAAGTTCATCAGTGATACTTACTTCACAGATGTGAACATCAAGGGAAAGATTTACCCGCAGTTGGATGCCGATGCTATCAAGCTCCAAGTGTCCGATCAATGTGATCGTATACCTTACCAAGGTACAATCAATCAATCAATCAATCAATCATAATGATCATCACTTACTTACTCATCATCTCAAACTTAGACGCACTCAAGTTGCATTATAAAGAGTGCAAGGTTGGATCATCTTATGGACCAAGTTGGGCTACTTATTGGTTCAAGTTGGAGATCAATGTACCACAAGCATTCAAGGGTAAGGAGGTTCATCTTTTGTGGAACTCATCATCTGAGGCTTTGATCTGGAACAATGGTGTGCCAATCCAGGGTCTGACCGGTGGCACGTGGAATGATAAACGTGTAGAGTACGTCCTAACCAAGCACTCCAACGGTAGTGAGCATTACAGTCTAATGGTATGTATGGTGTCAATATGAATGATGGTTTGATGGTGGATGGATGGACAACAACTCTAACATGTGTACACGACATTGAAGGTTGAAATGGCATGCAATGGAATGTTTGGAGTTGGAAAGGATGGATTGATCAATCCATGTGATCCAAACAAGACCTTTACACTCACTCGTTGTGAGTTGGGAGTGTTTGATCGTGAATGTTATGACCTGTACACATACCTCACAATGCTCTATGATATCTCCAAGGTATGTTTGGTTGATCAAACACCAGTCGATCAAATGTATATGTTCTAATCCAAAACCCTCTTAGAACTTCCCAGAGGGATCTCTTAGAAGCAACCAAGCACTTCAGGTCGGTAATCAGATGATTAACGTGTGCGATATCAACAATAGGGCTACTTGGAAGCAGTCCACAGCGTTGGCCAAGGCATTCTTTGCTCAGAAGAATGGAGACAGCCAACACAATGTCAGTGCAATAGGACATTGCCACATCGATGTTGCTTGGCTATGGCCATACGATGAGACAAAGAGAAAGGCAGCCCGTTCGTTCGCCACTCAGATCCTCTATATGGACTACTATCCCGAGTACAAGTTTGTACAGTCACAGGCACAGCTATACAGCTGGACCAAGAAGTTGTACCCAGAGCTCTTTGACAAGATCAAGCACAAGATCAAGTCGGGACAGTTCGTTCCAACTGGTGGTGTAAGTCATCCACTCACTTGTTCCCTCGCCCCAATCCCCTACTCACTTGATCACTCAAACAATCATACTTTAGACGTGGGTCGAGATGGATGGTAATTTGCCATCTGGTGAGTCATTCATTAGACAGTTCTTGTTTGGCCAGAACTTCTTTATGAAGGAGTTTGGACTGCACTGCACAGAGTTCTGGTTGCCTGACACTTTTGGATACAGTGGCCAACTGCCACAAGTCATCCGCCACATGGGCATCGAGAACTTTATCACACAGAAGCTAAGCTGGAACAATATCAACAAGTTCCCTCACTCAACATTCATGTGGGAGGGCATTGATGGAAGCAAGGTGTTGTCGCACTTCCCCCCAGCCAACACTTACAACTCTGCCGCCGATGTTAAGGAGGTCGTGCTGTCTGCCACCAACAACAAGAATGCTGAGCTTGCCAACGAGTCACTGCTGGTCTATGGACATGGTGATGGCGGTGGCGGCCCCACCATCGAGATGATTGAGAGACTCGTCAAGATGCCCAACACAGACGGTATCCCAAAGGTTGGTCTTCGCTCCCCACACGAGTTCTTTGAGCGCGTCAAGCCCGACGCCGACAAGCTGTACACATGGGTTGGTGAGCTCTACTTTGAGCTGCATCGTGGTACCTACACGACCCAGGCTGCCTGCAAGCGTGGCAACCGCAAGGGTGAGAACTTCCTTCACGACGTTGAGGCACTCTCCTCAATCCTCGAGCTGAACAACCAGGCTGGCTTCCACTATCCCAACATTGAGCATCTTTGGGAGTTGTTGCTGCTGAACCAGTTCCACGACGTGCTTCCAGGTTCATCAATTGGCATGGTCTACAAGGACTCTGCTGCACACCACACTCAGATCGAGAAGGAGTGTCGCCAACTGATCGAGAACTCTCTTCATCTGCTCGGTGGCACACAGGCAGGCACCGATCTCCTCTTGTTCAACCCAACAGGCTTTGATGTTGAGAGGATCGTCGAGCTCCCTGACAACACCATTGTCACCGAACAAAAGTCTCACAATGGCCTGCCCCTGCACTTGGTCACCATACCATCGTATGGCTTCACAAGAGTGTCAGCCAGTTCAATCACCAAGAGCACGGCAACAGGACTCTCTGTGCAAGAGAACAAGGACTCGTTCGTAGTCACCAATCGTTACCAGAAATGCACCGTCAACAGGAATGGAACAATCAGCAGCATTGTCGATTTGCACACTGGACGCGAGGTCGTCAAGCCTGGCGAACAAGCCAATCAGTTTGTGCTGTACGATGACATCCCGTTGTTCTGGGATGCTTGGGATGTTGAGATCTACTCACAGCAAAAGTCAAACTTGGCTGGCGTCGCCACCTCTGCCAAGTTGGTCGAGAACGGTCCACTCAGAGTCGGCATCCAGTTTGATTCATGAGAGCTTTTCCCACGGATCCACTCTGCACCAAACCGTCTACTTCTACTGCAACTCGAGCCGCATCGACTTTGACACGAGGGTCGAGTGGCATGAGGCCCACAAGCTCCTCAAGGTTGAGTTCCCGACCACTCTCAGAGCAACAACTGCCAGCTACGACATCCAATTCGGACATGTCCAGCGACCAACCCACTTCAACACATCGTGGGATATCGCCAAGTTCGAGGTCTGCGGCCACAAGTGGGCAGACCTGTCCGAGTTTGACTTTGGTGTCACATTGCTCAACGACTGCAAGTACGGCTACTCAGTGCATCAAGGCAGGATGAAGCTCAGTCTACTGCGTGCACCAAAGGCACCGGATGCCGATGCCGACATGGGCACGCACCACTTTGTCTACTCACTGTTCCTGCATCAGGGCAACCTGCAGCAGGGAGGTGTCGTGCAGCAAGGCTACCTCGTCAACAACGACGTGCACATCAGCCGTGCCGCACCTACCCAAGTTGTGCCCAAGGGCTCGTTGGTCAAGGCCGTTGGAAGTCAATCAGTGATCATCGAGACTGTTAAGAAGGCTGAGGATGGCAAGGGATTCATTGTAAGAGTGTACGAGTCTTATGGAGGACATACCAGCTTCACATTCGAGACATCATGTGCTCAGCATCTCAAGCACATCCAACCATGCAATGGAATGGAGCAACCCATTCGCGAGTCATCATTTGACAATGATGGCAAGACCAAGGTACAACTATCTCCATTCCAAATCAAGTCATTCAGATTCCATTAAGCATCCATCATTACATCAGGATGTTCATTCAATCATACAATCAATCAATCAATTCAATAAATATTCATTCGGATCTGATGGTGTACATTAGATAATGATGGCTTGTATTGTTTAGAACTCTCCTCCACTCTGGGATATAACCGATGCTTCGTCCCATGGTCCATTGATCTCACTAAAATGATGGAATGAAGGAGTATGTGTGTTAGTAAATGGACTCGACCATTATTGCCTCGATCAACTACATACTTCTTGTATTTCTGGATAAAGATTAGCCAGAGTGGACAAACAAAGGTAATGGTTCCAATGATTCCAATGTAGATGAATGTCAACAGAGTACTCATGTGCGAGAGTAGCACGGTGCACGCTACACACAAGCCAATAGTCAATCCAGAATGGAACTCTAGTGAGTGGCGCTATAGGGTAGGGAGAAGAGCAATGGTAAGTACTCCTTCATGATGAGGACAGTCCAATCAATCAATCAATCTCATACCTTAATATGATGTCTGACGATTGGGAAGAGGGCAAACATCTGGATGGCAAAGGTGATGAGGACAAACACATGGATGTTGGAGTGTAGTCTTGAGCTTAGGAGGACAGAGGCAAAGATTGCCGCATTGAGTGAAATGGGTGCATTGAACACAGTGCAGTCATTGTTGGTGTAGCCATAGTCGTGGAAGAATAAGTGTGCCAACAGTAATATGAATGTCAATGCCCATATAGTATCATCGCTGAATGAATTGGTCAGTGTTCGCAGTACAGGTGACAGTCCATACACTGTTCCAAACAGTAATATAACATGTAATAGACTATCCTTGATTGAGTAAACTATGATAAATGATGAATGATGTTAGTGAATGAATGAATAAGTGATTAAGTGAGTTATGCAAACATACAGTCTGATGTTGGATCGATCCAAATGATAAGTATGTATCCTACTACAAGCATACCCATTGCCATACTGACAAGGGATGAGAGTGTCCATGTGCTCTTCAACGCGTGGAAGAATACAATGACAAAGAGTATAACAGATGTTATCTGTTGTGTAACGGTGAAGCTGTCGAATACTATCTTCCAGAAGTCATATTTAATGAAGTTGGCTAATGAACATGATGAGTGTGTCAGTATCCTCCATCTTGATCATTCAATCAATGAATCAATGAATCAATATTACCATTCTGTATCAGCTCTTTGAGGAATGTTTCGTCTGTGTAGTTATCTGGATATGGTTGAGGCTCGTATAGTACTTTCTTCCACTTTGTCGATGCTATTGGTGTTTGTGCTGTTGAGCTTTCGTCAACTGACGATCGATGATCTACAGAGTCTTTACATCCATTTGGATGATGATGTGGATGATGATGTTGTTGTTGATTATCTATTTGTTGTTGTTGTTGATGATATAGACTTGGTGAATTTGGCATTGATCCTCCATTATATGTTGTTGATGTTGATGGATGTAATATAGGTGATCTCTGTTGTTGTACCATCATTATAAGTGATTCGAAGAATGTCAGTCATTCAACTCATTCATTCATTCATTTCAATCAATCTAGCAATCAATCAAATACATACATTGACAGGTGTATTTGTAGATGATGATTGATGTATCTCACATCCACAGTATTGACATCTATCCTTCATTCTATCTGTATCCCTATATATATGTATTTGTTTGTGTCTCTATCTCAAGATTCATTCGTGAATGACGCTGAGTCATAATCAAACACCTTTTTCAGACTTGTTGATTCGCGAAACAATGCAATGTATCTTCGAGACGTGGATGTTCAACAACAACAGCCGATTGATTGGATATGGATGTCTTTATTGGACTGAACAAATTGACCATGGATTGTCATGGACATTATAAACAAACATGGAACAAACAAACAAACACATTGATTGATCGATCGATCCAAAGTTATGAGTTCTTCTTTGTGATATCAACGGTGTCGGGATATGCATTGCTGCTTGGTGATGGTCGTGGTGCATTGTTGCTGTTGCTGTTGCTGGCCACGTTGGCACCTGCTGGTTGTTTGTTGATGTATTGATCGACCAATGATGTGATGGTCGCTGTGATTGCCTGTACACTGCTCTCAATCAATGGAAGTACTGTGGACACTATTGAGCTGTGATGTTGATTGGAAATGAATCCTGGCAACAACAAGACAGTGTACACTATGTATGTATTCAATATGCAATGGGATTGATTGTTAGTTCATGGCTTCAAAGGAGGAGTAGTGGTCGGTGAGTCAACATACATGTCAGAATGAAGAGTGAGTATCCAGAGAACAATGTACCAATGTAGGCTATTAACAAGCAGACAAGTGTAGTCTGTGCAAAGAACTATTGAGGTGGAAAAGTTAGGTTAGAGTTGGTCATCAGGTGATGTCTGGGGAATGATCATGATCATACCTTGACTGGACTTAGCTGTTTGAAGCGATAGAGGTCAATCACCATCTCACTCATTGAGAACCTGATTGAAACCAATGTGTTGACAACTTCAATGAATGCTTCATGTGAGCTGCTGTGTGGCTATTTGAATGATTGAGTGAGCAAGAGAGTATATATTGATTGAATGAATGAATGAATGATTGAATGAACTTACGAATACTTTAGAGATGATGTTTAGGTTGGCATTCTGAGCGATTAGTTGAATGAGTAGATAGGTGGGTATAGCAAGAAAGACAGTGGTGACGACGGACAGGGAGATACCACGAAGGTACCAAAGTGCAGTTGTGAGCAACACGATCAATACACCCAAGTCCACTGGTCTGTGCCAAAGCAATATGCTTCTAAAGTACTTTATTGGTTCTTCATAGTCTTTCAAACTCTCCTCAAGCTGTCTTCTCAGCAAAGCTTTCTTTTGCAATGCTGTCATTATCTCTAATCAAAACTAAACTAAACTAAACTAAACTATATATATGATATAAGATATTCTATTCTCTATCTCTTGAATGTTTGTTCACAAATGAATTGGTGAAAGAAGTGTGAGACTGAAGGTCAATCCAACTAAATCACAAGAATTTGAGAATTGTTTTCTCACTCAAGTTCGCTGCAGGTCCAACGAAGTCAATCATTTGATTGACAGAATGTCTTGAACAGATAATTATAGAATACCGTTATGTGATGGCTGGGGCAACTAATATCCCTTTCTTCTGAATTGCACTCTAGTTTCACCTACACCGTCAATCAAATGATTGACCAACAATAGAATACTTTTGAGGGAGACATAGACCAACTTCATTCATTCATTCATTCATTCATTCATTCACAACATCTACAACACAAGTTATAGAGATGGACAACAACTACATCAACAACAACAACAACAACAACTATGAGCAACAGCAGGTGTTGGACTCACCATTATTAATTGAGCTCAATAAGTTGTTGACAATTGTCAAGGACAAGATAATGTTGTCAGTATCAGTAGACGATACACATTCGATGAGATAGTCAAGGTCATGCCACAGCTTGCAATTGTATGTATCGGCAACTAGCTAGATTCATGCTTGCAAGACACTAACAAGGTCGAGATGTTCATCTTTGCTCTTGTAGATGTTTGAGCAACATCCAATATTGCGTCAATTAATCTCAGATAGTATATGCTCACTAAATATCCATACCTATCGAGAATACAGTCGCTTTCAATCAAGATGGAGCAAGTGTCGACACTAATCATCGAAGTGAGGAGGAACTGGATAGATACAAAGTACCATATAGACTATGTCTAGATGTGGATCGACTGTGTGCAAACATTAGACAATGCGGCATCAGCATTTTTGACATGGTGATCAGTATCCTGTCAATTGGAAGCATTGGCAAACATAGACTCCCATACAGAGAATTCTGGCTCGATACAACTTTCATCCCTGTCTTGCTCAATGGACTATCAGCGGCCCAGATTGATACACTTTGCACAAAGTACTTGGAGTACTTCATAACATACATTGCAAATGGAGCTAGAAATGATAGTACATGGAGTCAAAATTTCAAGGTATACACGATCATCACGGATATAGTTGGCCAGTCTAGAATCTATGATGACATTGAGCAATGGTTGCCCAAGGTACTCCAGAAAAATGACCAAGAGGGAGCTCAAAAGAACAAAGATGAATACTCTCAACATTGCCAGTCATTACTCAACTATCTTCTACTGTCATTGCCCAACGACAAGGACAACCGGATCCGTGAAGTAATTGGCAAACACAAGCATCAGACGTTTGGGTAAGTTCCACCTTACCGCGATCGAATTCATTGATTGATTGAATGAGTGTAATAACTAACTAACATTTTTGTTTGTTGTCAACAACAGTGCTATCCTCAAAGTGATGGACACAAGATTCTCTAGTAATAGTTGGTACTTAAGGGAGAAAGACACTGATCACCTCAAGCAGTTAATCAGCTTCACAAAGGTCAACGACTATGATACCAACAGTGACGCCAACACCCATCAACGACAAGGGATCATGAATCTAATCAAGAGCCACAAGATCCAGTATACGAATAAGATATTCGAATTCCTGCAGCACCACCTTCAGCCAATCGATCAATATTGTGGCATACTCTTCCAATATCTCAACATTTTTAAGATGATGGAATTGATCAAACTCATGGGCCACTTGTAAGTTATATCCATTCTTTCAACATTCATATATGCCTAGAATTATACTGACATGTCCACCAATCAAAATTGCCTTCTGTTCTCTTCCTATCCCCAGCACTATGCAAAGTGTGAGGAAGTATTCCTTAAAAAAATAGAGTCTTTGAATAACTTTAATGATCATGACATGGCTAACATGATAATTGAGCTCATAGATGCCATCATAACATCTTTCAAGTCTGTTGACCAACCACTCCCTTAAGTATTTCGTCTCGCTCCAGACCGAACAGTATCTTCAAAACGATCAATTGTGCGAGGCATTGTTCACCTGTCTACTTATGGCGATGTCCAGTGATAGTGTAAATCGGTTCAACTGATTGGCCAACACAAGTATCAGACACTCGAGTAAGTATGGATGGGATGGAGTTGAAGGTGAATGAATGCTAACTTAGTCCATCATATCCCATCCATTTCAATCAAAGACTCATCATCCATGTGTTGGATAATGTCTATGCTCAAGGTAGTATTTGGTTTCATAGTAATATAAACTTCAATCAACTTCTCGACTTGACAGTGGACAACCAAACTCAACAACAACAGCAGCAGCTGCAGCAACAATTCCAACAACTCATCATCAAGTATCCAATCCAATCAAACGATATATTCCTCTACTTCCAAAGTCATCTCCAACCGATTGAACAATACTTTGGCATGTTCCTCCCACTTCTCAACAATGACAACCTGCTCAAGATGGTCAAGCTCATGGGCCGTGCACTGCCATTGAGAACAGTTACAAGGTGGCCAAACAGAAGTTTAGATCGATCACAAACAAGGACAACGATGAGTGTGTAAAACAGAAACAACAGTTCAAGGAGTACAAACATCAACGATTACTTGTCCACCGAACAAAGAGCAAGACAACCCCAATCAGCACTTTGAATGAAAGTGCATTGCCAACACTTCCACCACTGATGATCAATCATATTGTGAGTATGGCCATTCGATTTGGATTCGGCATTGACACATGGCCATTGTCCTTGAATCAGAGATGGTTGATCTCATTGGCATCGGTCAATACTCGTTTCCACAAGGCGTGCACGTTGACATTGGCCACATTTACCATCCCATCATTGGTCATACGCAAGACCATCCGCATTGGATCAAAGTACTGTCTGTTCAAGATGCCACCACTCCATCTCAGAAGTGAATTAGATCAAGCATGTCCCACAAAGGAAAGGTGCGTTGTGTGCCGAGCGATTGGAGAGCTTGACCGTGCCATTCACCAAATCCTTTAGCTTGGAGGTGAGAGGATCGTTTCCAAATCTCAAGACAATCAACTTTGTTCAGCTCAATTCGGTCCAATCGACGTGGAGATCATAAATCTAGACATCCTACCAAATACAATGGCACTAATCAATGGACTCCTCAACTCTCAGGTCAAGGACAAGCTCGGACTTCAAGCAATCTCATTCACAACCAATACATTGGACAATCCATATCGCGACCTGCCCCCTCAACCAGAGTTCAACGATCAATCTGAAGTGCCATATCAACCGTTTGGATCTTGGGCTGCTAAAGGCTGAAACAGCTCCCTCCGAATCAACCATATTGTCACTGTCACACATCACATCGACCAGGATTAGATCCCTTAGCATTCCATTGTTGCACAAGATGAACAACCTCACCAGTCTGGAACTCCAGTTCCAGCAATCAGTTCAAGACAATGGTCTTGTTGACAAACTTCAACAGTTCTACGCTGGAGCGCACTCACTCAACAAGCTTGTGCTCTATGTCACATCGGTGAATGTGATTCACTTGCTGCCTCATTGCCAGACGACACCAATCAAATCACTCAATTTGATGCTCTATGACATGAACCATATGGCCTTTCTCAGTGCCAAGGGCAAGCTTCACCAACTGTTTCACACGATGGCCACACATCTCCAGCAGACCATGATCAAACACTTGGAATACCTCTCCATCAATATGAACAACAATGGGTTCATATTTGCATTCAACAACCATTATCTGTCAACGTTGATCACAGCACTCCAACTGCATTGTATCAATGATCGTCTTCCAATAAACTTCTACAGACTCGTCGACTAGTCGTGTAACGTTGTAGGCGACACCTTGGCTCACAGACAAAATCGCAAAGTCAATCAAATGATTGAATGATCAATTTCATTAGCATCAGATCTTCACAATAAGTACATATACTAGACAAACTATGTAATGGTGGACACAGGTCAGTCACAGACCATTCACTCACTCACTCACTCTCAAGAGTACATCACAAGACTCATACATTCATACATACTCACAAACATAATATAAATGGTTAACTATAACTCTATATATGATATTGTCAATGAGATCAAAGGTATATCAGAAGATCAGAGGGATACACAATGTATAGAGTACTTGGAGGTGTTTAAGAGATACCTTGTCTATACAGCATATGATCGTAGTACATGGGATGAATGCAATGCAATGTACAGACAAATCGGTTCTACATTCGGCAAGACACGAGTCGATAATGAACTCCACCAATGGGTGCTCACCGCACTCACATCATACCAGTATCAACATGACAATCATCTGAGTGATTCATTGTTCACCTATCTACTAATAGCATTGCACAATGACCAAGATAGAAGGATCAAGACATTGATCAGCAAACAAGTAAGCAACCATCAGATACTAGAGTAAGTAGGTAATGATGTACAGTACAAGTCAGACTGTGTAGTGTAGTTACTTACCAACATCATGTCACCAACTTTATCAAGGCTTGTAATCAATGCAATGGACAATAGATTTGCTACCAATCATTGGTACTTTCTATTTAAAGATCGCCTCGGTCAGGTATTCAATCTCACCAAGGATGACAACAACAACAATAGCAATCAACACCAACAAGAGTTGATATTAATACAACAGCTTATCAACAAGCATCCATCGAAATCAAACTTCATATTCTACTTCCTCCACAGTCGTCTCCACTTTACTGATCAATTATGTAGAGTGTTCTTACCATTCCTAAACGATGGCCACTTGATAATAATGCTCGCAACGATGAAGAGATCAATGACAAACTCTGGCGAAAGAGGACATGGACTTCCAGCGCCACTGCTTCATCACCTGGACACCCTTCCCATTGAATGTAAATATGATTGGAAGAGTATATACTATCCAAGGATAATATGGGTGATCTTTCCGCTCATTCATATGTATGACCTTACAAAGTATGCGGCCTACATTGATCTGGCCATTCAGGGTCTGTTCATTCAGTCAGTTGATGAATCAATCATCAATAACATGTTCCAGTCGTACACAACCGAGATCAAACAGTTCTTCACCATCAAGAGTAATGTCCACGAGATTCGTATTGTACACAACTTCAACTTTATGATCAATTGCATCGTTCAATCATTCGTCCCGGATCACCTGGTGCCAGCAATGATCGGCAGATCCTCAATTCAATTTGCCTACAACAAGGTCACATTCATGTCAACTTGCAAAGACAAATCTAGAGCGTCAGTCAAGTTCATCGACCTCATGTTGGAAAGATATTGTGGGATGCAAATGAACAATGACAAATCCTTCCAAGAAGACACACTCTACTTTCTGGTCATCAATGTACTTGGTTTCGGCCTCTGTGGCCCAGCATTCCATCTGCTCCGATCTCTGTACTGTCTCCGGATCAATCATGAAGATGTGTACAAACTAGCCAAATTAAGATTGAGACCGATCACCCACAACAAGGACAACGACGATGATTGTTCCAAACATCGCCAGCTATTCAAGGAGTACAAGGAAAATTTACTAATCAACCGAACATACATTAAGATAACTGCATTGGTATTACCAAAACTACCACCACTGGTACTCAATCACATTGTAAGCATGGCCATTCGATTTGGATTCAAAAAGGACACTCGGTTGAGTCAGAGATGGTTGGTCTCATTGGCATTGGTCAACTGTCGTTTCCTCAAGTCGTGCATGGTGACATTGTCCACCTTTCCCATCCCATCATTGATCATCCACGACAACATACGAGTTTCATCAAAGTACTGTCTGTTCAAGATGCCACCACTCCATCTCAGAAGTGATGAGATCAAGTGTGTTCCACACAGGAAGCGTCCATTGTGTGCCGAGCGATTGGTCAGCTTGACCATCCCATTCTCCATTACTGATTACCTGCTTGTCAAAGGATCATTACCCAATCTCAAGACAATCAACTTTGAAGAGGTTGAGTTTGTTCCAAATCCTCGCAAGTGGATCGACAAACGAGAGGACATTGGTGTGGAGTTCATCATGCTAGATTCAAGTTTGACCTATCCCGTCATATTCGATCGGCTGCTCAGTGCACACATCAAGAATAGACATGGACTCCAATCAATCAACATTACAACCAATTCAATTGATAATCCTTTTAGTGACATTAAGGACATTCATCCCCAACAGCAATACTCGACGATCAATCTAAAGTGCCATGTCAATCGTTTGGAACAATATCAGCCGTCCACATCACCAACAATGTTTGACACATTGTCACACATCTCATCGATCAAGATTAGATACATAGACATTCCACTGTTGCACATGATGACCAACCTCAGCAGTCTGCATCTCCAGTTCAATCAAACAGCTCAAGACAATGGTATAGTTGACAAACTTCAACAGTTCTACGCTGTATCACACACTCTCAACAACCTTGAGCTCCGTTTGGCATCGGAGAATGTGATTCACTTGTTACCTCATTACCATACGGCACCAATCAAATCACTTACGCTGGCCTTGAATGACATTGATCAATTGGCCGTACTCAGTGCCAAGGGCAAGCTGGACGATCTGTTTGGTACCATAGCTACACACCTCCAAAACACTGTGATCAAACAGTTAGAATACCTCACGATCTACATGATAAAGGAGACCAACATAGGTGATAGCATCATTCCATTCAACATCCAATGTCTGTCAGCATTGACCACAGCACTCCAACTGCATTGCATCGATGATCATCATCCAATAAACCTCTACAGACTCGTTGAGTAACGTTATCTTTGTTTGGTGTTGTTTGGGGAAGTCAATCAAATGATTGGCAGATTGTCAGGCAGTTCTTTTGTTTCATTCACATCATACATAATTACATAGTTAGACAAGTGATGGTGATGGACTGGACAAGACAGGTCAGTCACAGACCATATTATTCATACATTCATTCATACAACAACATAAAGAAGTAACAAAGTAAATCATAATGGATACATCTGATCAGGAACAACATCAACAACGACAACAACAAAGACAAAGGCAGTACACGTCGGTTGAGATTATCAATGAGATCAAATGTCTGTCACCTAAACAGAGGGATACACAATGCACAAAGTACTTGGAGATGTTCAAGAGATACCTTGTCGATGCTGAATATGTTACTTGGTATGAATGTAACGATGTGTATAAACAAGTCATTACTACATTCGGAAAGACACGCGTCAATCGTGAACTTGACCAATGGGTGCTCACCTCACTTACATCAGACCAGCTAAGATATGATAATCAACTTTGCGATTCATTGTTCACTCTACTCATAGCATTGCCTCACAAAGCCATCTCTGACCTAATGATTAGGATCAAAGAATTGGATGGTGTTGGCGAACAAGTAAACCAACATCTGATACTCGTGTAGGTAAGAGAGCGGACAACAACAACAACAACAACACTTGAACTAACATTAACATATTAATCACTTTCAAAGGTTGATCATCAATGCAATGGATAATAGATTTACCAACAATCACTGGTACATACAAGACGAGAGTCGCCTCAAAATGATATTCAAACTCGCCAACGACTCTGACATTAGTGACAACAACAACATCGTTCAACAACAGTTGATCAAACAGCTTATCAACAAGCATCCAACTCAAACCAATATCATATTCCACTTCCTTCATGATCGCATTCGACTAAACGACCAATTCTTTAGCATGCTCTTCCCATTACTCAATGATAACAACCTGATGTTTATGATTGAAAGAATGGGAGTATCATCCCCGTCCAATTCAAGCCAAGTCCTTTCAATCTACAACTCATCAGTCAGCTTGGTGACATCAAAGATGACAATGATCAACTTTCAATTGAATTATGAGAAGACAGTCTTGACCCTACGACTTTTCAAAGATATAAATATGGCTTGCAAGTCCGCTGGACAATCACTTCCAACATCACTGGTACCACCTGAACATCATTACCATTGGACAAGACTTCTCGGAGAATATCAAAACGACAAAAAGCATGTGGATGATCATTACGCTCATTCAACTTTATGAAACTACAAAGCGATTGGCCTTCTTTGATGTTGCCATTCATTTGTTGCTCGTACAATCTTCGACTGAATTCATCATCGACTACCTCTTCAAGTATAAACCAATTCAGACCAAACTATTCTTTATCAACAATGATGTCCTGATTGAGGAGATGGACCAGATTAACAACTTTAACTTTGTTATCAACTGCCTCGTTCAATCTTTCATCCCGGACCACCTTGTACCAGTGATCATTTTAAAATCTTTTCCATCTCGTTGTGCGAACAACAAGGTCACATTAACATCTTCTTGCAAAGACAAACTCATGGCATCAATCAAGTTCATCGACATCATATAGGTCTCTGTGGCCCGGCATCCCATCTTCTCAGATATCTTTATAGTCTTAGAATCAATCATGATGCTGTCTACTTTCGAACCAAAGAGAAGCTGAGATCGATCACTCACAAGGACAACCACGACGCTGAATGTGCCAAACAACTCTTCAAACAATTCAAAGATCGATCACTTATCGACCTAACGTACATCAAGAACATCAAGCAGGGGGACAAGGTGACAACCACAACGTATGGTACACTTGCATTGGTATTGTCAACACTTCCACCACTGGTGATCAATCATATTGTGAGCATGGCCATTCGGTTTGGATTCAACAAGGGCAACGCCTTGCCTCAGGGTTGGTTGATCTCATTGGCATTGGTCAATAGTCGATTCTTCAAGGCGTGCAAGTTGACATTGTCCAACTTTGCCATCCCATCATTGATCATCTATGACAACATACGAGTTGCATCAAAGTACTGTCTGTTTAAGAAGCCACCACTCCATCTCAGAAGTGATGAGATCAGGTGTGTCCCATACAGGAAGCGTCCATTGTGTGCCGAGCGATTGGAGAGCTTGACCGTGCCATTCTCCATCTTTGAGTATCTGCATGTCACTGGCACGTTACCCAATCTCAAGACAATCAACTTTGAAGAGGTTGAGATTATTCCAAGGTTTCGCAAGTGGCTGGACAAACGTGATGATATTAGTGTGGAGCACGTCATTATACCTATATATATGCTCGACCCAAGAGTGATCTACCCAATCGTATTCAGACGGTTACTCAGATCACACATCAAGGACAGACATGGACTCCAATCCATCACGTTCACAACCAGAACATTGGACAATCCGTTTGGGGACATGAAGGATCTCCTACAACAAGATCAGAGCGCAACAACTATCAATCTTAGGTGCTACGTCAGCAATTTGACTAAATACGATACCACAACGACATTCGACTCATTGTCGCACATCACATCGATCAATGAAGGACTCATAGCCATCCCTTGGTTACACAAGATGACCAACCTCACCAGTCTCCATCTTCAGTCCGACCAATCAGGTCAAGACCAAGGTATGATTGACCAACTTCAACAGTTCTACTTTGGTACGCACTCCCTTAACACTCTGGAGCTAAACATATCGTCAGCGAATGTGATCCGTTTGTTGCCTCGTTGTAAGACGACACCAATCACATCACTCACTTTGGCCTTCACAGATATTGATCGTTTGGCCGTACTCCATGTCAAGGGCAACCTGCACTCTCTGTTTGGTACCATAGCTACACATCTCCAACAGACCATGATCAAACAGTTGGAATACCTCACCATCTACATGAAGCCCAACAACATACCATTCAGCAAACATTGTCTGTCAGCATTGACAGCACCACTCCAACTGCATTGCATCAATGATAATCAGCCAATAAACTTCTACAGACTAGTCAATGTGTAGTAACGTTATCGTTTTTGATCAAAAAATTGGATGTGCTGAGTATGCAAACACTTTCAATCATTCACTCATTAATTTGATCACATCGCAACATCATAGATAGAGATAGATAGATTTAGACAAACGATGGCCGTCGAGTTTAAACACAACTAACTAGTTAGTTCATTCATTCAAGGAGACATGACATCACAAGGTTTAGACATGAACAATGAGCAGGAACTTAACAACCTGATTGAGATGTTCAAACTCATGGGTCAATCATTGCCACATGTAAGTCAAGCCCTCGCCTCGCTCGGTCCCGCGTACCCATTGATGACGGCACTGACATTCACTATCATATCATCCTTAGAACTTTGCAACCCACGAGAGTATGATCATATCAAAGCTTACCTCTGTTGGATGGGGGAAGAATGAATCATCAGAGTCGGCCTTTCTTCTGTCTGATACCATCATATCATCGTTCAAATCATCTGGCCTACCTCCTCCATCATCCCTGGTTCAATATTTGAACAGCACTACAATAGATCGTGACCATACACCGCCAAAGGTCGACTTGGTAGAGCTACTCATTCGCATGTATGACGTGACCAAGCGAGAGACCTACTTTGAGTTGGTGATGCTAATGCTGATCAAGATACCATCGACTCAATCGATGATTGATCGCCTCTTCCAGTCGCATCCAACCGAGATCAAACTATTCTTCACCAAGGAGTCCAACATTGACAAGATGGCCACAATGGCGATCAACCTCAGCCTGGTGATAAACTGCATCGTTCAATCATTCGTCCCCGATCATTTGGTACCGTTGATCATCGGCAAATCATCACCATCATACACACGATGTGATAGCAACGTCGTATTCACATCAACTTGCAAGGACCAGTCCAGAGCATCGATCATGTTCATCGACATCATGTTTGATGGCTATCATGGAGAGATGAAATGGGGCACCGACAAACTACATTCTTACTTCAATAATGTCAATATGGACTATGTCAGCATACTTGTGAAAAATGTCCAGGAGGTAGGACACTGTGGCCCAGCATACCATCTGCTCAGATACCTATACAGTCTCCAACACATTTGTATTGGTTACAAAGATGTCAAGCTCAAGTTGAGATCGATCACTCACAACATGGACAACGAAGACGAATGTGCCAAACAACGACAACTCTTCAAAGAGTTCAAACAACAATCATTATTCAACAACCAACCAAAGAAGAAAAAGGTCACCAAACGAGTCAACGAGTCGTTGCCAGCACTTCCACCATTGGTGATCAATCACATTGTGAGTATGGCCATTCGATTTGGATTCAACAACGACACTGGACTGAGTCAGAGATGGCTTATCTCATTGGCATTGGTCAACAGTCAATTCCACAAGACATGCACTTGGACATTGACCAACTTTGCCATCCCTTCATTGTCAATTGGCCAAGATATCCCAACTACGTCAACCTACGGTCTGTTCCAGAAGACACCACTACATCTCAGAAGCACAGAGATCAAGCACGTCCCACAAAGGAAGGGTTCATTGTGTGCCTCGCGATTGATGAGCTTGACCGTGCCATTCTCCAAAGGCGTTTGTTGGGCGGCTAGGGGCTCGTTTCCAAATCTCAAGGCAATCAACTTTATTCAGCTCGATGCTATTCCAAAGCAACAGAATGGCATTTACAAACGAGATCCCATTGTCGTTGAACGAATGCATCTCGAATCACTAAATGCGCCGACACTATTCAGCCAACTGCTCGGTACTCTTGTCAATGGCAGACATGGACTACAATCAATCAGCGTTACGACCAGTGCACTGGACAATCCATTTGATTACCTACCCCTTCAACAGAGTTCAACGATCAATCTGAAGTGTCATGTCGACCGTTTGAATCTTGGGCAGCTCACGTCTTCCGAGACAACAACATCCACCATGTCACTTTCGCATATCACATCAATCAAAGTAGTATCCAAAGACATACCATTGCTATACAGGATGACCAACCTCAGCAGTCTGCATCTCCAGTTCAATCAACCAGTTCCAGACAATGGTATGATTGATCGACTTCAAGAGTTCTACGCTGGAACACTCACTCTCAATACACTTGTGCTCCATATGTCGTCAGTGAATGTGATTCACTTGTTGCCTCATTGCCAGACGACACCAATCACATCACTCACATTGGCCTTCACTGACATTGATCGTTTGGCCATGCTCAATGTCAAGGGCAAGCTGCACCAACTCTTTGACACGATGGCCACACATCTCCAACAGACCATGATCAAACAGTTGGAATACCTCTCGATCTACATGACCAATCAGTCCAACATCATCATTCCATTCAACATCCAATGTCTGTCGCCATTGATCACTGATCTCCAATTGCATTACATCAATCCAATAAACTTCTACAGACTCCTCGTCGACTAGTCTTGTAACGTTCGTTGAATGAGCGATGAGTTTTCAAACTCTTTATTTATTTAGTCCTTTGATCACTTTACACTGTGCACACTTTTGATGTATGAACAAAAACAGTAAGTAGACCATTCATCATTGAATATTATCTCGATATCCAAGATAGTCAAACATACAATTCCAATCGATTGACATACATTCAGCTCATCGATCATTGCAAACTAGTTAAAGTGTGATCGACCAAACATACAACCCAATCTGTAATGATAGAAATGGAATGATTACACTTTATTCATGGTTGTTGGGACAGAGGTTAGGCAGGCGTCAATACGGAGGCTGATAGATGGAGGCTGAGACTAGTGGCAGAATGGCGACAGAGGTCGGAGACAACATGGCGGCAGAGGTCAAAGACAAGATGGCGACAGATGTCAGTCAGCATGGCGGCAGAGATCAGAGACAACATGGCGACAGAGATCTGGCAGCATGACGGCAAAGGTCAGAGACAGAATGGCGGCAGAGGTCAATCAGCATGGCGGCACAGGTCAGGCAGCATGGCGGCAGAGGTCAATCAGCATGGCGGCAGAGGTCAAGAAGCAAGGCGGCAACCGAGGTTCGGGTCTACAAGGTAACAAAGATTCAAGACATGGTTATATGTATGTATGAGTAATGTGTAAAAGTAAGAGAGATAAGAATGAATTAATCAATGAGAGATGAAGTGCACTGAGTATTTATAGCTGTCTATGTCACACCCACCATTCATCCTACCATCATTGACGGATTTTGAAACCCAGCCGTTATCTTTCTGCGGATTTAAGATCATTGGATGAATTCAAATTCAAAAAACCCAATAACCGACAACACCACCATTGTGTGAACTTCACTTGTTCGAAGTTCGTCAGTAACAGTGTGGAGGCATTTAGCCCACCAGATATTTGTCGATTCGTTCAACAACACCAACACTTCGCTCATTCATTACATTAACATTCAATTAATACAACGGTTGCATACTTATAATATATATATTTATCTATCTCATCATTTGGTGTCATCGTGACATTGATTAATATTCATGAACAACAATCAATCAATCAATCTTGTTCATCCACCTGGTGACAATAGCACATTTGTGTAGAGCTACCTCTAGAGGGTCTATCCAATCATGCTAGTGTCACTAGTTGGATCAAGACATGTATCAACGAGATAACATGGTCACCATGCAATGTGTCTGCTCTACAGACAGTACCAATCATCAAGTCGGCCAGGTTCGTCGAGCACCTTGGGCAATTCTATGCTCGCCATCCCACACCCGCAGTTGCCCACCAACCATCCTCAACTTCAAGATTCACAATCATCGTGGCGAGGACGCCATCGTGAAGGAGATAGAGATAATCCCATGGCAGGATTGAATCAATACTCAGTTACAGCAAGATCGAGCACATTCGCCTCATAGCAGGGCCAGTCTCACACTGGTGACATCTTCGTCTAACTTCAAGCGCTCTTGGTACCAAGCCGTAGATGTCCTTGTCGGGCTTGTATGCGCTCTCCAATCGGAATGGTAATTGGTATCTTTAACGCCACCCAGCCGGTTGTCAATGAACCTGGCAACTACCGCCTTCAGGATCACATCCAAACTCAAGACTCATGAAGGCCTGCTATATCAAAGATGGACACCGCAGAGGCAGTGATGTTGCAGTTCATCATGTCGAGCCCAAGATAAACGTTACTGATAACAACCTGGACAAGAAGCTGTCATCGTCACCAACTCATTCGATTGTTACAGTTGCGAATGACAGGTACATCTTGGCAAATCGAATTGGACAATCTTCGTTTGACTCGTTGGATTGAATGATAAGGTCACTCTGTGTCACTCATAGATCGTTAGTCGCGAGCCACTTCACCATCAATGAATCCTTAGAGCTTTAGGACTGAGCAACATCTAATTAGACAGCACTGGTCCATCAACATCAGTGAGGACATGGCTAGACATCATATGGGAAAGGCACCATGTATCGCATCACAAAGGCAAACACATTTAGTCAACATGGCGCCAGTGAGAGAGACAATCTTGCGAGCAGGTACCAGTCCATCAAATATTGTTTCACGCAGCGCGATAACAACATTGGATCAAATGTCTGTCTAATAGGGTGTGTGTGGGAGCTGGAATGGCTAGTCAGTCAGTCAGTCAATCAGGCAGGTCGGTCACATCAAGGTCGAGCACATTAGTTCTCCATCGCCAGTTGGGATTGATGAACAAGACCCTAGGTCAAAATCGATTACAGGCAAACATATCAAGACAAAACCTGGCGAACTCCAATCAAGCGACATGTATCACCATTGACCATTGATACAACATTGCACCAACCCTCATTCAATCGATTAATCAAACATACATAAACAGGCGGACTGAGATGGTATTGAGTGATACAAATTCAAATGGACCGTTAAATGGTCAATCTGTTAATTAAATATATTTAAATATTTAATTCAAAATGTGTCTTTAAGTGTGTGTGTGTGTTTGTGTGTGTGTGTGTGCGGGAGTGTCTCTATCCACCCACTCACAGACACTCTCTCATTGCGGTGAATGTCCTTGGACAAGTGGGCATTGACATCACTCATTACCATATCACACTATTACATGTATGTACACATATATAACATTATTACAATGTTACTATAATACTATCATCATTCTAATTCATAATACTAACATTGATTCTCTCTCACCAACCATCTAATTCATCAATAAATCAATCAATATCAATCAATCATATCAATCTTACATTCTCTCTCACCAATCAATCAATTCAATATCAATCAATCATATTATTATTATTATAGACTCTCTACTTCGGCTTTTGCCAAACAATTATCTACACAACTATAATATCACTTTAAACAGTGTTTTCCAACACTACTACGCCTTCTTCAACTCGATTTATTATTATTATTACAATGCAATTTAATTATATTCAATCACTCTATCCACCAGCCAAGCCCCTTAGACTGTTGTTTGACCCCACAGTTCCCAAGACCTTGCTTCTGGCCACCAAAAAAGGCACGATCATCAAGAAGTTCAAGGTCTTCATTGACATTGGCGCGACACTTCTCATACTCCCATATGTCAAACCAATCAGACCACTGTTCGACAACAGGCGGCCAAAGATTTTATTTGGAAAGGATCAAGATGGAGTCAATTTCTCACGCAGGGTTCCTCTTGATGTCGCATTTGTCATTGCGAATACTGTCCCATACGCTCCTCTCAACCAGGAGAATAGTAATGTCCAACTCATTCACTGTATCTGTCTCAGGATATTACGATCGTTACCTGTCTACCCCAGAAGGCAACCAGTATCCACCCCAAATCAAATGGGACCAAATTGTATGTTTACCATAAAAGAACTCATTCATTCATTGATTGAGTGATGTCTGCCTGTCTGCTGTCAAACCAAGTACTAACCATCCTCGTCCATGTCCTTTTCATCCAAGACAATGAAATCAATCAACAACATTCCGACCTCCGACCGAGACCTGGAGACCAACTAGATCCAACATTACCATCCAGTCATCCAGTCACCCAAGAAGACATTGGCCACCACCAACAACTCAGATACCAATATCCACCATCACCAGATTATTTGGTGGATGAGCCTGTCCTATCTCCTCCGGTCCCTCTCCTTTTCAATTAATTCTCACCTATATATATCTTGCCGTCGATCAAGCAGATGAGTGATGGGTATAACCCAAATATCTCTCGGCTGGCGATTGAAACCAATCAACCACCAACAATCAACAACCAACAACAACAATCAACAACAACAACATCAAAGTCGAGTTACCAACCCACCAATCAGTGGTCCTACATCCATCACCCGAACCAGATGACACAGTGGAGACGTTGTGATTCATTCACACGATGACCTGTCGTTGCGAGGTCTATTCCCTCCAAGTCAATTCAGTGCCTTGCCAGTGCCGTGCCAGACCGAGTGCCATGCCGCCGAGCCAAGCCAGGCCAAGCCGAGGTGGACCTTTCCAGGACCGTATACTACTAACATTTCCTCCCATCACCATTTGGCCATCTCCGCAAGGAGGTGGCCGTGGCCCATCATGCAAGAGGGATGGGTCGGCCTGTCATGCAAGAGGGACGGGTGGGCCCACCATGTAAGAGGGGTGGGCACGGCCTGGGGACTACACCTGTCGCTATTAGACTTTGGGCACGTCGAGACAGGTATGGCAGCAACTTTGTTGACTTTGAGAGTTTCTTCTCATTGTCACAAGTGCTGCCTTTATTTTTTTTAAAGCCGTTGGGCAGCAACCGTGCCCAGGCGACATCATTGAGTTGTACTTTTCCAATTGTTGTTATTCTCCTTCCAAGTCACACTTGTACAACTCCTGTCTTCATCGTTTATTAATGCTTTGATTATGATCATTCCAGTTGGATACACTCATCAACTTGGCAAGATGGCGGTTAGTCAATGATGGCAACACGGCGGTTGTCAGCGTGGCTGTCTGGTTGGAGACAGAGGTCTGGACAGTGGTCAACTCGAGATGGACAACTTGGCAGCATGGCGTCGCACTTGTCAGCGTGGCTCTCTGTCTGGTTGGAGTCAGAGGTTGTCGACGGTGGCCATCTTGGCAGCATGGAGGGGCAACAAGGCAGGCGGTAGTCAACGTGGCAGATAGTCAAGTTGGAGACAGAGGTCCTGAACTATGGTCAACGTGGCAGCATAGTGGCATTCTAGTTGGAGACAGAGGTTCTGGGCTGTGTCCAACTCGAGATGGACACTTTGGTAGCCTGGTGGTGGTCAGCATGGCGGAGTCTGTCTTGTTGGGTACAGATGTTCATGGCTGTGGACAACTTGGCAGCATGGCAAAAGTCCAGATAGAGAAGAGGTTGTGGGCTGTGGTTGGCAACACGGCGGCTGTCTGTCCGGATAGACCACAGAGGTTCTGGACAACTTGGCAACATGGTGGACGACTGTACAGATGGAGATAGAGGTTCGTGGCTGTGGTCCACGTGGCAGCACGTCGGCAGTCAGTCAAGTTGGAGACAGAGGTTCTGGGCTGTGGACAGCTTGGCATGGACAACCTGGCAGCATGGSGGTGGTCAGAATGGCAGAGTCACAATGGGACTGTCTAGACAGAGGTTCTGGGCTGTGGTCAGTCAGGGCACATGGCGACCTCATTCTAGATGGAGACAGAGGTTCGGGGGTGTAGACAACTTGGTAGCATGGCGGTGGTCAGCATGGCCGAGTCACAAAGGCGGCCGTCTGTCTAGTTGGAAACACTAACTTGGACAAGGACTACCCAGAGGTCTTCAAGGCACAAGGGAAGACAGAAGAGAAGGGAGAAGAGAATGGTGTAAGTAAGAAGAGTATAGGTGAGCAGCTGTGCGATCATTGGTGTAGTAGTACTCACTCATTGAGGGACAGAGGTTCAGGGCTAAGGTCACTCAAGGCAGCATGGTGGAGTCCTGCCGTCTGTTTCGTTGGAGACAGAGGTTCTGGGCTGTGGTCAACATGGCTGTGGCAGACGGCGGACGTCTGTCAAGATGGTGACAAAGGTTCATGGTCAACGTGGAAGCACGACGGCAGTCTATCAAGATGGAGACAGAGATTCATTGCAACATGGCAGCACGGCGGACGTGATTGAGATACAGGTGGTGAACACTGACTTTGACAAGGACCACACAGCGGGCTTCAAGGCACAAGGTCAAGGGAAGGCAGAAGAGATGAAGAGGATAGTGTAAGTAAACAGCAAATGGTGGTGCAATTAGAAGTCAAGTAGTACTCACTCATTGATTGGTATCATAACTCAAACTCATTAGTAACTCATCTGCAGTAGTGAGACAACAAGGCACAACAACAGTGGTGAGGATACATGTCAATGTGTTGTTTATTATTGATAAATTAGTATAAGTATAAGCATAAGTATGTATATATGTTTATGTGTATGTGTACAAGTAGGAGAGAGTGAGTGCAATGCCAATGAGATGAGTGGAACATGTGGGCCACACCAACCGTAAACTAGATTAGCATGGGAGGGAATTTCAAATTCAAATTTAATCACCCACAACACACACTTTTTGAACTTCACACATTTTAATGGTCAAGAGGTGGACAGTGCCACTTTGATACATGGAGCCCAAGCCCATCATGCTTGTGATGCTGTCGGACAAGATTGTTCTCTAAGTATCACTCCAAAGGCTTACGCAGGATCAGCCAGTTGATCGTCTATTTCGGTCACTTGTCCAGACCAAACATGCAGCTTGGTCCCTTCACCTCTTTGGATCACTCGACAATTTCACACAGTTGCGTACGACAGGTACATCTTGGCCACCATGATCAAAAGTACCTACTCCATCGGTTAGACCCCTGACGTCTAGATTGGACCAAATGTGCACCAGAGTTCGTCACCCAATAAACTTCTGCCGACTCGTTGAGTAACATTAATCAATGCAAATGTGTTTGATAAATTTGGGAGAGTTAGATTCATTCATTCATTTGTGGTCACAGATACACACATAGAGATAGATAGATAATTAGACAATTGATGGCTTCAAGATCAACGACTAGTGATATGTTCAAGCCCAACTAGCTCATTCAATCTAATCAACAAGTACTACCTCTGAATAATTTAAATATATATAGACATCATCACCATGAACTCACCATTCATTATAGACCTCAACAACATGTTGCTCAACAACAAATTCAATAACAATGGAGCAAGACCAAGGTATTCATTCATTGACATTGTCAGTGTAATCACACAAGTGGCAACGGTAAGTTTGTTTGATTGATTCAATTGATTGATTGATTGATTGAGGTCTAACACAACCAACCTAGATGTTTGAGCAACATCGGAAATTGCGTCCATACATAGTTGAACATTTACGTTCACTAGAGATAAGTAGGGAATACATTGCCTACTACGATGACAAAGAAGGAGAAAGACACTACATACGTATTCTGAGTGAGGTGGAAGTGGATCAAAATAGAACACCGTATGAGGTGTTTCTCCAAGTGTGGAACCTTTGTGAAGACATTCGTCGATGCAACATCAGTATCTATGACGTAGTGACCAGTCTCTTGTCAATTGCCATGATTGAGAGACGTTGGCTCACTTCACCCAACTTCTTGATCGATACATCGTTTATCTCATACCTTACCATTGGTCTGTCTCAAGCTCAGATGGATACTTTGTGCACACTGTACTTGGAGTACTTCAAAGGATACATTGACAGAGGTTCCCATACTTGGGACGAACATCTTGGCCTGTACAATCTTATCATAACTACGTTCGGCCAGACCCGTGTTGCCCATGGTTTCGAGCGATTGGTGCTCCTCTCACTCCAGAGAGACACTCTTTGCCAGAGCGATAAACAATGCGTGTCATTGTTCAACTGTTTACTTTTAACGCTTCCCAATGACACTGACCAACGAATCAGTGGAATGATTCGTCAATACAAACAACAGACGTTCGAGTAAGTAACATGGTCTGCATTATGTATTCAAGAGTTAATGAACTAACGCCTTGATTGATATAAAGGATCATCATCAATGCGATTAAGAATAGAGTATTGGCACGCAAATGGTGGATCAAAGAGGACAGTGTTCTCCATCAGATTATTTACTTGACACAATTGGACAACAGTGACCAAAAACAACAACAACAACAACAACAACAACGACAGGAGATCCTCCATCAGGTGCTCAACAAGGGTAGAGACCTAACGAATATCATTTTCCAATACTTCAAACAACATTTTCACCCGATTGAACGATATTGTAATGTGCTCTTTCCTCAACTCTACTTAGACAATCTTATCACGATGGTGAGGCTCATGGGCCCATCACTTCCATATGTAAGTCAATCCTCGCTTGCCACTCTCACCCAATAACCACTGACTCGCATCACTTCAATCTTCGTCCAATTCTAGCACTTTGGAACCCATGGGGCCTATCTCCTTTCAAAGATTGGCAATTCATCAAGCTTTAAGTGGTACAATTCATCAATACTTCTCACCGATGCCATTGTGTCATCGTTCATTGCAGCTGGCCAACCACCTCCACAAATCCTATTACAATTCTTGAACACATTGCCGATCAATCCAAAAATTGATCGAAACAAACCAACCATTGAATGGATAGAGCCACTCATTCACATTTTCGACTTGACCAAGCGAGTGGACTTCTTTCAATTGGCGATGCAGTTGCTGTTCAAAACAAAATCATCATCAACTCAATCGATCATGGAGAATCTCTTCCAGTCGCATCCAACCGCAATCAAGGAGTTCTTCACCAAGCAGTCCAATGTTGACCGGATGGACAATGTAACCAACCTCAGCCTGGTGATCAATTGCATCGTTCAATCATTGGTCCCTGCTAACTTTATTAAAGTTATCATGGACAAGTCATCTCCATCTCGCTACAACAACAGTGATAACAAGGTCATATTCACATCATCGTGCACCGACCTCTCGAAAGCATCGATCATGTTCATCGACATCATGTTTGAAGGTCTTTATGGAACCAGGAGATGGACCAACATCGGTACAGACACATCCCATTAATCAAAGGGATGTGACCAATTTAGTTGTGGAGCATGTTCAAACAATTGGTCTGTGTGGCCCAGCATTCCATCTGCTCAAATATCTCTACTGTCTCCAACTCAATGATAACTACTACACCAGTATCAAAAAGAAGTTGAGATCAATCACACACAATGACACCGCTGAAGAATGTGTCAAACACCAACAGCAATACATATTCGACCGAGCATATATCAAGAACATGAAGGAAGGCAATACAACCGTCGCACCAGTTGATACCCGCCTTGGAATGGCATTGCCAACTATTCCAAAATTGGTGATAAATCACATTGTGAGTATGGCCATTCGCTTTGGATTCAACAACAACAAGGACAAGGACAAAGGAGAAGAGACGTTGAGTCAGAGTTGGCTTTTATCATTGGCACTGGTCAACACCCATTTCCTCAAGGAGTGCATGGTGACATTGACCAACTATGCGATCCCATCACTGATCATTCATTCAACAATCTGGATTGAATCAGAGTACTGTCTGTTCCAGCAGCCACCACTCCATCTCAGAAGCAATGAGATCAAGTTCATTCCAAAGGAGAACTTACAATTGTGTGATGATCGACTGGAGAGCTTGACTGTACCATTCTCCAAACGCACCTGTTTGGCAGTCAAAGGCGCGCTGCCATGTCTCAAGACAATCAACTTTGTTCTGGTCGGCAATGATGAATTGCCCAAACTGCAGAATACACGTAATAACTTTGGTGTGTTCCGCTATGATATTCACAAAAGTACTTCACTGTACAGTGTACACATTGATCAAATATCATGTCAACACACCTAGACATGGATTCAAATCAATCACTTGTACGACCAATTCTCTCATCAACCCATATCAGGACATACTCCCTGGACAAGCTTCAGCGATCCACATGATATGCAAAGTCGACCGTTTGAAATGTGGTCCCACAACAACCAAGAAAACATTGTCACACATCACATCGTTCAAGGATGTATTCGAATCCATAGCATTGTTGCACATGATGACCAACCTTACCACTTTGCATCTTCAACCGTCAAAGTCTAGCAGATTGAACATTGGTATGATTCGCCAACTTCGACAGTTCTACGCTGGAACACTCACACTCAACACGCTAGTGCTCCACGTAACAACAGTGAATGTGATTCACTTGATGCCTCATTGTCGTACGACACCAATCAAATCACTCACACTGGCATTCACTGACATTGATCAATTGACCTTTCTCTTTGCCCTGGGCAAGTTGGATGATCTGTTTGGGGCGATGGCCACACATCTCCAACAGACCATGATCAAACAGTTGGAATACCTCACCATCTACATCATCAAAGAGTCCAACTCCGCCATCATTCCTTTCAATATCCAATGTCTGTCAGCATTGATCACATCGCTCCAACTTCATTGCATCAATGATCGTTATCCAATAAATTACTACAGACTCGTGTCGTAGTTGTGTGTATCTGTGATTGATTGAAGCACAAAGTGTGTGATTGATTGAATGGTGTGGGGGGGTGTTGGTGATCGTTTCGTTTACCCCCAAAAGCCTCACTCAGATTTTATTTCGAAATGATGTTCCGGTCTTATTGTAGTTGTTGTGACATTAGTTTTGTTTGTTGTATTTGTAGAGATAACAAGAGATAGAGATAGATATAATATGGCATTTGGAAAGAAGTCTGGCAAATATAAGAAGGTGGTCAAGGGCATCTTCCCTGCTCAGCCAGGTGGTGAGATGCAACTGCAGAACACTAGCAAGCTTGTATACTTCTGTGAGATGAACCCTGAGCTACTGCCCAAGGTCGGTCAATACATCAAGCTCAAAGCAGAGAAGAGTCTAAGCAAGAAGAGAATAGAGTAAATATCATCATCATCAATCATTCAATCATTCAATCATACATCATCATATTGACATTAAATCATTCAATCAATCATCATTCATATGTGTATGTAGTATTGTAAAGACATGTGTTATTATCATTAGAGAGTTGATCATTGGATGTAGGAAGAATATGGTGTTCTTCTCATCTGATGCTACCAAGTTGATGGAGTTGCTATTGCAGCAAGAGACACATCCCGACCTTCAGATTGAAGCAACAGAGACTGTATGTGTCACTCACTCGAATGCAATGAATGAATGAATGAATGAGTGACACCAACAACTTACACTACCCTCGATACAGTTCATTAGATTCTCACAGGTACAGGACGATGCATCACAGTTCCCCGAGGTGGAGAAGTTCATCAAGTACTTTATAACGATGTGTCGTAACAATACTCAGGATGATATGTTGCGCAGACGTATTCGTGGCGAGGGTATGAGAGGCATGAGTGCCTACATCTCCATCTTGGACCTCGTCGACGAGCTCGATACATTCATCACCAAGCACAGAGAGATCCTCTCCACCATCCTCGACAACATGCAGTACAGGGATCAGGTACCAACACCGTATGTACAATGTTTGATCGATCGATTGATTGATTGATTGATTGAATGAGTGATTGACTAATATGTATGATTACACAGGGCATTGATTAGAAGGGCGTCACAGGAGGATGATCAGGGAGTCAACTCACCGCTGCCCACCAATGTAAAGTCACTGGCTGTCGAGTGTCTGAGGAACTTGTCTCGTCGTGTGGACAACATCACAGTGACATCACTCGTACAGACTATATTAAAGTATGGTACAAAGACTACTACTTCTTTGATCGCGCCCGACATCATACCTAACATCCACGCCACGCTAATCAATCAATCAATCATACTTCAAGCTACCTTGACACTCAACAACTATGGATCGATGGAGCTGGCAATAACTTCCCAAGGGAGTGCATGTTGGCTGTGGCCAAGTCAGTCAAGTCACAACACTTTATTATTATGTTGACGAGCTTCTTGCGTCATCTAGAGATATCACATCCACCTCCAATCACAAAGGCCATCGTTCACACTGCAGTCTCGATCGTGGAGGACGCACCTCCAGGCGCCATCAACATGGTCGTGTCGCATCTGCTCAAGGTACTGGTGCAGACCAACGAGCTGTCGAACCGCAAGCCTCCACCCGCCGACCTCGACGAGCTGCTCGGTCTTTCATCGGCCATCGTCGACGCTATAGGCGTTGTGGCCAAGAACTACCGTCTGACGCACGACAAGATCGAGACGATGAACAACATCATGAACCACCTCCGCAGCAGCATTCGCACCGGCGCTGCCGCCGATCGCTACAGCCTCATCCAGCTCAACCTGACACAGTGCATTCTTCAAGTGTCGCAGACACTGACCGACGTTCGTCCACACACCGTGCTCAACGACCTTACACAGAAGCTGCTGGACCTCTCGGACGTCGCGTCGCCCGAGGTTCGCGTCTACATCCAGCGCATCCTTCACACGATCCTCCTGCCCAACAAGTCATACGACCAAATGATCACATCCCAGGGTCTTGGCGGCGAGGAAGACGGCGTCGAGGAGTACATGCAGGAGAACGCCTCATTCATTAGGGACTCGCTGCTCAAGGGCTTTGGCGAGACGAACAACCAGCCCAACAACTACATCGCCATGTTCAAGACCTTGGTGATCCTGCTGTATCGTGGCAAGAACAAGGAGATCCAGAACGCGATACCAATGATCTTCCGCATCCAGAAGAAGCAGCGCATTCTCCCATTCAGACTGTCGCGCTCCGTCCATCTGGTAATCGCCAGCTACCTGCTGATGGTGGCTCGCCTGTACAACAAGCCCGAGCTGGACGCCTACGTGCAGAGCGTGCAGAAGATTCGTCGCGACAAGGACCAGAACTGCCGCTACCTCACCTTCACCAACTCGGCCCTGACCAACAAGAGTCAACAAAAGATAAATTATCGCGAGCGCGAGAAGAACAAGCCTTCAGAGTGCGAGCTCATCGACCAGGACCGCGTGGCCGATTTCATATGCTCGATCGCCACGCTCAAGGAGGTGAACAACCTGCGCACTCAGCTTACAAAGAAGTACAACACGATTACTCGTCGCGACCTCGAGTTGCCCACGGACGAGGTGCACCACTCGCCTCCCGTCAACACCATCCCGCTATTTGAGTCGTCCAACGACATGCCCCACGTGGACCTCGACGACCACTTCAAGAAGCTCACGTACGACTCGTTCAAGCAGTACACCAAATTCAACACCGACGTCGATGGCGGATCACAGCACTCGGCCAGCAGTCAGCGACACTCGATATCAAACACTATATTGCTGGCCAAGGACCTGACGTTCAAACACGTCATCACCAACTGCCAGGAGAGCAGCATCAAGATCCAGACAGAGAGCGAGCTGCTCATGAGGTTGGTACTGCAGTCGGCGCAATCATTGATGGAGCAGGACAATGGCAAGGATGAGCTGTCCTCCACATGCACACTCAAGATGAACATACAGAATGTCTTGGAGAAGGTTATATAAGTCGATTACCACGCGCAGTCATTGCCATGGACCACATGTACTTCATACATTCATTCGTCAACTTCAAATAACAGGTAGATCGATTCACAATTCGCGAGACAATACGTAATATTGATTGATTGGATTGGATTTGATTGGATTGGACTGGACTGATTGATTGATTCCAGGATCGAGTGACACGCGCGTTATTCACTTGCGTCAAGTTTGATGTTACATTGCTCACATCCACTCGAGGGTTGTTGGGCCTGCACACATTCGATCAACTCACTGAGTGATGAACACAAGGACCTTTTGTTTATATTCGTGATAGTCACAAACAACATCAACAACAACAGGTGAAGCAAGCAAATCAAAGTAAGATTGCAATCTTCACCAGACTTAACAAAAGTTGCTTTATAAGTCAAGTCACACGAATAATTATGGGACCTACCCACTACAACTAATGCCCTTTGCCTTGGATCGAGTGATGTCCTTTGGTATCGACACCAACACCCAAGATGTAGATGTATATATATATTACTCACACATACAATTTGTTTGATACCAAGGTGCAAAGATGGCCTGTATTATTGATAAGTCCTTCAATCAAACACTAAAACACATCTATTTCCATCTGTGATGGATCATCGATCAAAACTACATTTCCCACACACCCGTTCAATCACTTTCGTGAACCACACACCCCCACCACATCAAACACATATTCGATCACTCACACAACACCAAGTAATGCATTGTATGTTTGTTTAGCTAGTTGATTGTGTGTGCCATTTGGCCACACACTTTATACAGCTTAATTAAAATGAGGCATTCGTTTGATTGCTGCCGCCAAGGGCTCAATGACACTCATTGGCCATGATAAAATACTCCCCTACTGCCTCCATCTCCAACTCCAACTCAAATACACACTCACACATTCGATCAATCACCAATCAATCAATACACACTCTATCATTCTTCACTGCACTTTAAAATGTCTTTTCATATTCGATGAAGGTATGTATACAACTCATTCATTAACACGCTCATCATCAATGGGGCGAAGGGGTTTCGGGGTGATCCCCCGGGACTCTGAAGCTGGCAACTACTGGTGGCACTCAAACAAAATGTCAACACTCTTGTCATTCATTGGCTATCTTAGGGTCGATACTTTATCCCTCCAATCATACTCGTGCCAGTTTTTGTGTTTAAGTGTTTGGTGCTCGGATGTGTGTGTTTGTTTGATTGATTGATTGATTGATAGAGTGGAGTGAAGGGAGTTGAGGGGTATGGTTAAGGAGTTGGGAGTATGAGTCCGTCGCCTCTCCAACCCAAACCTACTTAAGGAATAACTTATTGATCATTCAATTTCATCAATCCAGACTTATCAAGTCAAGGTATAATTATATATATATTTTCCAATTGTACATCTAAATATTATCCAACCGAATAGTGTATATATATCCATATCAATCAAATTATAAATATATTTATACATTTATATATCTCAAAGATGAGATCCATACAAATATTATTATTAATATTATCTTTATCGGTTTTATTAACTCAAGGTATGTGATACATCAACATCTTTCCATCATCCATCACTTTCCATGTTTCCAGTTGACCTGGAAATTTTGAAAATGTGACCCCCTCCCTTCATTTTCTTATTTGGACGCGATCACTAACTCAATCAAATACATCACATCTAGCTGCCAAATGTCCAAACGGATGTAATGACTTCAACGCATGTACTACTGATACATGTGACAACAAGGGCAACTGCCAACATGCTCCAATAACTTGTAATGACAACAACGCCTGTACTGATGATAGCTGTAGTGTCTTGTCTGGCTGCCAGTACACACCAAAGTGCTGTGACGACAAGAACCCATGCACCTTTGACAGCTGTAGCAACTCGACCGGCTGTGTCTTCACGCCCATCGCCTGCCCACCCGCTGACAAGTGCCACATCGGAACTTGCTGTCCCGACAATGGCAAGTGCCAGCAGATCCCAATCCTGTGTGACGACCACAACAGCTGCACTGAGGACTCGTGTTGTGCCGACACTGGCTGCGAGCACAAGCCAATCAGCTGTGATGATTCCAACCCATGCACTGTAGACTCGTGCTCCAACTCTACTGGCTGTGTCCACACTCCTGTCTCCTGCCCACCCTCTGACAAGTGCCACACTGCCTCGTGTAATGGCAAGACTGGCAACTGTGACCAGACCCCAATCAACTGTGACGACGGCAACTCATGCACTGTAGACTCGTGTAACCCTGAGGGCGGCTGCACTCACACCCCAGTCACATGCAATGACAACAATGCCTGCACCACCGACTCGTGCAACTGTGAGACCGGCTGCGTCAACACTCCAATCGGCTGCGATGACCGCAACCCTTGCACCATCGACTCTTGCGACGTCACCTCGGGCTGCCAGCACTCCAACAAGACTTGCCAACCAAAGGACTCCTGTCACATCGCGTCCTGCTGCCCAGACACTGGTGACTGCACCCAGACACCCATCTCCTGTGACGACGGCAACTCGTGTACCACCGACTCTTGCGACTGCGAGACTGGCTGCAAGCACGTGGCAGTACAATGCAACGACTACAATGCCTGCACCATCGACGCCTGCAACAACTCTACTGGCTGCTCCAACACATACATCGACTGCAATGACTACAACGCCTGCACCACCGACTCTTGCAACCCAGAGTCTGGATGTAACTACCAGAGTATCAAGTGTGACGACTACAATGCCTGTACATCCGACTGGTGTGATGCCGCCACTGGTTGTGGCTCAACGCCAATCTCCTGTGACGACAACAACCCCTGCACTGTTGACTCGTGTGACAACTCCACCGGCTGTGGCCACACTCCAAAGGCCTGCCCACCATGCGACAAGTGCCACACTTCTTCATGCAATGGCGAGACTGGTAGCTGTGACGAGACCCCAATCAGCTGTGACGACCATGATGCCTGTACCATTGACTCATGTAACAAGGAGACTGGTTGCACCCATACCCCAGTAACCTGTGACGACAGCAACGCATGTACTGCCGACTACTGTGACTCGAGCTCAGGCTGCAAGGCCGAGCCAGTGATCTGTAACGACTACAACCTATGCACTGTTGACTCGTGCTCCAACACTACCGGCTGTGTCTACACTCCAGTGTCGTGCTCGCCATCCGACGCCTGCCACACCGCCAGCTGCAACGCTCAGACCGGCAACTGCGACCAGACTGCCATCAGCTGTGACGACTACAACGCATGCACTGCTGACACCTGTGACAACCAGCTTGGTTGCATCAACACACCAATCGCCTGTGACGACTACAACGCATGCACCTACGATTCATGTGGCAACTCAACTGGCTGCACCTACTCCAACGTCAACTGTGACGACTACAACGCATGCACTTCAGACTGGTGCTCGCCAGCTCAGGGCTGCCAACACGAGTCCATCAAGTGTGACGACTACAACGCATGCACCAACGACTTCTGTGACTCATCTGTGGGCTGTGTCACCTCGCCAGTGAGCTGCGACGATAACAACCGCTGCACTGAGGACTCTTGCTCCGCTGAGACTGGTTGTGCACACACCCCCAAGGCTTGCCCACCATGCGACAAGTGCCACACCGCATCCTGCAATGCTGACACTGGCAACTGTGACGAGACACCAATCAGCTGTGATGACCACAACGCATGCACTGCCGATCAGTGTGACAAGGAGACTGGTTGCACTCACACCGACATCTCCTGTGACGACTACAATGCCTGCACCATCGACTCGTGCTCCCCAGACTCTGGCTGCATTCACATCCCAGTTACATGTGATGACTACAACCGTTGCACCGTTGACTCTTGCTCCAACACTTCTGGCTGTGTCTTCACCCCAACCTCTTGCCCACCAGTCGACGCCTGCCACACTGCCAGCTGCAACGCCGAGACTGGCAACTGTGACCAGACTCCAATCAACTGTGACGACAACAACGCATGCACTGAAGACTCTTGCGACTGCCACAAAGGATGCCAGCACACTCCAATCACCTGTAACGACTACACTGCATGCACCACCGATCAGTGTAACCCAGTAGTTGGATGCACCTTCACTCCAATCGGCTGTGATGACAACAACCCTTGCACTGTAGACTCATGCGACAACTCGACCGCCTGTATCCACACCCCCAAGGCATGCGAACCATCCGACGCCTGCCATACCGCCGCCTGCTGCGCAACCTCGGGCGACTGCACCCAAACTCCAATCTCCTGTGATGACCAAAATGCCTGCACTGACGACCAATGTGATGCCCAGCTCGGCTGCATCCACACACCACGCACCTGCTCAGGCGGCGACGCTTGTAACCTTGCTTCGTGTGCCAATGACACTGGCTGCCACGTCGAGCCAGTGAGCTGCGATGACCATGACCGCTGCACTGTCGACACCTGTGATGGAGTGACCGGCTGCAGCCACACACCATTCAACTGTGACGACCACAACGCCTGTACCCTGGACAAGTGCGACTGCGAGCGCGGCTGCACTCACACACCATTCAGCTGTGATGACAACAACTCTTGCACCACCGACTCGTGCGACTGCGAGAAGGGCTGCATCCACACACCAACAAGCTGCGACGACCACAACTCTTGCACAATCGACTCGTGCAGCAACTCTACCGGCAGCTGCTCGCACACACCAGTGAACTGTGACGATGGCAACGCATGCACCAAGGACAGATGTGACTGCGAGAAGGGCTGTGTCCACGAGCCAACACCATGTGACGACCACAACAAGTGCACCATCGACTCTTGCAACAACTCTACCGGCTCCTGCATTCACACACCAATGAGCTGCGATGATGGTAACGCCTGTACCAAGGACTCTTGCGACTGCGAGAAGGGCTGTATCCACGAGGAGTTGTGCTGCGACGACTTTGACAAGTGTACCACCGACTCTTGTGACGCTTCCAAGGGATGTGTCCACACCAACGTCACCTGTCCAGCACCAAAGGACAAGTGCAAGACCAGCTACTGTGACAAGGCCAAGGGCTGCACCACTCGCGACATCTCCTGTGACGATGGCAACCCCTGTACCGAGGACTCGTGCGACTGCGAGAAGGGCTGCATCCACAAGCCACGCGAATGCAAGCCAAAGGACTGCTGCCACACTGCCGTATGTGATGAGGCTGGTGGCTGCAAGCAGATCCCCAAGCCATGTGACGATGGTGATGCATGCACTGAGGACTTCTGCCAGGTAACCCTCTTTGGCGCCAAGTGTATGCACAAGCCCAAGGACTGCGGCGACTGCAGTGACAAGTGTATGAGCTCCAGCTGCAAGAACGGAACGTGCTCCAACCAGCCAGTGAACTGTGATGACAACAACCCCAGCACATGCGACACTTGTGACAAGAACTTTGGTTGCCGCCACCGCAACTGTGACGACAATGACAAGTGCACGATCGACCGCTGCAAGGACAATGGCAAGTGTCTCCACACCCCAGTCAACTGTAACGACAACGACCCCAAGACCTACGACTACTGCTGTCCCTTCACCGGTGTCTGCAAGCACAACATAATCGACTGCAAGGGCAAGTCATGCTCCAAGCCAGACACTCCAGGTGGTGGTAGTGGCAACGAGAGTGGAAATGATTCTCAGTCCGACGACTAAACCTCCAACATCCAACTTCCAACATCCAAACTTTTTGGATCAATCAATCAAACTCTCTAAACCAGCCAACCAGGTATATGTTTGGCAGGACAACATCCTTTATCGTACTTTTTAATTTAACTATTTAAACCAAATATTATATTCATTCGCTTCCCTGTTGTTGTTAGTGTACAGTCTTGATGGACTTGGTGATGGATGGCTCCCTCCACATCATCATAAATTGTCCTTGTGAAAGGGAGAATTATAATCAATTAAAATAATTTATATTGATTTGAAGAATCACTCAATCATTGGACTTCCAACTTCCATTATCCAACAACTCTGTATCAATAAATTAAACTCCCTCTACACCAGTGAACTATTCATTGGCAACTAAATACTATTTAATGATAATATATAAACTCCTACTTATATATAATAGTTTGATTGATCACTTTCTTGAAGAACAGAGGGTTTCCGACTTGGAAGTCCGACGATCTTTTTGATGCATGTTCTTCATCTTCATCAGTATCGGCAGGCTCATTGGTCCTTTTTCTCTTCTGGGTATTCTCTGTATATTGTTTAATTACCAATTGAGTTGTTGGATTGAGAGCTTGTTTCCTTGGCAATCCCTTTAGAGATATCTTTACACCAATGTCAATAAGATGTTGTAGCATTAGGGTCCTACCCATAATGATAAGGTCTTTGGAATATAATGGAAGCACCAATGATTTGATTCTCACAACCACATCTTTGTGGAGGGCATAGAGCAAACTGTTCAACTCTGGAATACTGTTGTCTTCAACAACAATGTCTCTGACCATACTAATGAATGTGTTGGACTTTATATACTGGTCTGCCTCTGACTTCATGCCTGTTATGATCAATCCATGTATTCCTCTTATATCATCCCAACAAATAGGGAGGGGAAATACTTTGAATAGTACTCTGACCAAATCTTGATTGTAATAACGAATAATCTCCGAGTGATTAATATTATCGTTTTGGTACTCTTTGAGCATGTGTTCATGTAAGGCTATCCATTGCAATACAGATATTGTAGGTCTCATCATCATTAAGTTTGGCATCAAATCTGTTAAGTATGGGAGTTGATAGTTTTTGGCAATGTGATCCATAATGTCAACCCGTCCGATATATGCAGCAATTCTAAAGCTCCAATTAATATTAATCAATTCTCGTTTTAACCTAACGATATAATCAATTTGTCCAATTTCAAAAACGACCAATGAACTTGGTCTTAATGGCATTGCAGTATCTGTGTCAGACAACATGAGTTCCAGCATCTCATTGCTCCCTCTGAACAAATAAATATTGCCATTATCAATAAAAGTCCATTTTCTCTCTATGTATCACTTGAGGATCTCTAATTTGTGGTTGCGGATGTTTGTGTTGTTTGCCAAAGTGATAAGATCACTCTCCATGAGTGGATAGTAATCTATGTATGGAGCGGAGAGAAGTGTACTTGAGTATTGAAAAAGACAGTGAACTGCTCCAAGTTACCATACTTCACAATGCTCTCTCGTTTATAATCTTTATCCAATAGAAAAGGGATAAGACTTGAGTCTCCAGAGGCTATATACTTCTCCACTAAACTAGCTCTACAAAAAATATCAATGTGATGGATATGGTAAAAAATGGTAATAAAGTCCAATCTGTCTTGATCACTGAGTAGTGAGTCATCATATCCATCACCGAGTATGTTTGTCGTTGACTTCTTGGACTTGATCATATCCAATTCCATTTGTTGTAGACGCCATTGTGAAACCAAGTTGTAAACATGTAACATTCTGTCTAGGGTGCTCCAACACTCGTGTGGGTATTGACCATTGTGGTCAGAGACTAATATATTAAATACGACAAACTTCTCCACCGGCACCAACTCATCAATGAGAGTTTGATCACCAGTTAGATAGATGTTGAGAGCTGAATATTGTGCGCATTCTTGAAGGCTCTGGACAAAGTCTACCGGTAGTCTGGAATGATGGAGAATGGAACGAATCATACTGCTGTTTTTCATTTTGAACAGTTGTGAGGCGATCAATTTGTTATTAAAGTTCGATATAGTTGGTGTACAGTATCCCTCCTCAATTAACCAAGTGATGAGATGGATGTTTTTTGAGTTGATTATATCAAGATACCAAGTATAGCTTGGTTCTAATTGGATGAGATTCGTATTGAAGACCAAATATTGGAGGATATGAAGATTACCACCTCTGATTGAACTATGAATTAGTTGAGGGTCTGAAAACTCGGATTGATAACGTTGGAAAACAATGTCGAATGTGTCCCTATCAATGTCACTCTCACAAAGTAGTCTGAGGGATCCATTATTGATATCAATTCTTAAGTTGAGTTTGATCCTATCTCGTAACAAACCATAGTGTCGATTTTTGATGATTAAGAAAAGGGATGTCCAATGACAGAATCTAAAGTGACAATTTTCTTTGATATTCTTCCAATATTGGCTTGAATTTCTGGAGAATTGATTTATAAAGTAATTTGAATGAATATGTTGATGTATATTTCTTATTGATTCCATTATAGACATTCTTAATAACTTGTTAGTTAATACTCTAACGATAAGTCTTTCTCTATGACTTTCATTTTGTTGTTGATCTTCGATTGTAGAAATAATAATTATTATAGTTATTATTGTATTAAAATTAAGTGGAAGAAAAATAAAGAATATGATGATGAAGGGATGAAAAAGTACTAATAATATATATTTTAAATAAAATAAATATTAATTGGAAATTAAATCCAAATCTCTCTCTCTCACACACACTCACTTTCACTTCACTTAACAATCCTATTAAATAACTATAAAGATAAATATATATATTATTCATACATGGACAATTTTTCTTCCATCTCAGAGATACCTTGTTCAAAAATGGTATGATCGAACCTAACTTTCACAAAACAAACTCCAACTTATTTGTACATCCTCATCATCTCACAATAATCCAGTTTCTAAATTGTTCCAAGAACAACAAACCTCTTCTTTTAGATTTATTAGTACTTATGGTGCATCATTTCCTTTGATGGATCGATGTAGTACATTTAAAGAGATATTCAAACATGTACAAATGTATTGGTCCAATACTTTAAAGAATGAAGTTCAGATTATACAACAACAACATTCATGTATGATAATCACTGGTCCCTTTGGTATAGGAAAGACAAGGATACTCCTTGAGTTTGGAAAACGAACTCATGAACACCTCTCAAAAATCAACTTCAACTATGAACAGATGTATCCAGTTGATATCTATACGTCATTTACATATTTCAATCAAATAGAAGAACCAGACATCATTCAAGCTTTATCAATTAGAATATTAACAAACTTTTTCAATACACATATTCAATATGAATTGAAAAGAAAAGGAATGCCTGGTCTGGACTTGTCAACAGCTTTTACATATTATTCATTATACACTAGTATGTCATAACAAGATCAAACCAGACCAGAAGATAGTTATCTACCTTGGCATTGATCATTCTCATTCATTGATCAATCATTATGGTGATCAATCAATCTTACACGAACTGATTTCAAAGATTGGAAACTATCTAGTCAATCAAACGTCTCAATCAAAGATATTCCTTGTTCCTTTGTTTGCAGGTAGACCATTCCAAGATGCATATCAATCATCTAAATATCCAATTACATCTATTCTACTACCCCTGCTCTCTCCAACATCATATCTAGACATTATCGATACGTTGCCTCGCATTAAATCATTCATTGATCAATTAGCTGATGATCATCATCAAAAGGCAAAGATGACAAACTCATTGCACCAAGTATGTCAATGGCCTCGTCCTTTGGAGATATTCCTCGACTACCTTGACAAAGCGATACAATCTCAAGAGTCTGTGAATACATCAGTCAACATTGATAGAGTTCTTGACAAGACGAGGGGTGACTTGTACAACAGATATGGATGTATCGATCAGAAGTTGATCGATGCACTGGTCTTGTACATGAATTCAAAGACACCTGTTCCAAAAGACAAGTGGACTACATCTTCCCCTCTCCAAAGTTCCTCAATGACATTCGAACATCTAGAGAGAAAGGGTTTCGTTGCAAAGAATGAAGATGATGGGCATCCTAATTCATTCTTGGTGTACACTCCACTTATCTTTGTCTACTGCAAAACAACTACTACTTGGTAATCAATGATCATTGATCTTAGACAACTTACATACAATATTAAGAAGTACTCTTTGTAGTACTATTGTATAATCTACTGATTGGAATGATTCCAAACTCAAACAAGTGATTACCCCTTTTATGGAATTTTTATCTAGATTTACAATAAAGGCGCGAAACATTCATCAATCAAACTTTCATTCAAACATTCTTTCACAGATAAAGGGTACAGATACACAGCAGATACAGATATATAAATTATTATTTATTACATTTGAGAAATGAACACTGATCATCAGCAAAATGTAGATACCAACAACAATGTTGCAACAACAAAGTTGATGAAGGACTTGATGATTGATCCAAACGACTATGAAAGAATTGGAAAGATGAAGGTTGAAGAATACTTGGACTATCAGTTTCAGATACAGGTCAACTCTCTAATGGATCATCTCGAGCGTAGAATACAAGATGTCAGAGACAATGCTGAGAAGACCAAACAACAGATACGTGCCAATCATCAACAACAACAAGGTCAATGAATGAATGAACAGCAACATAAATCAATCAATAATCAATCAATGTACATGGGAGTCCCACGTAATAGCTATGACTCTCCACCTCCCAACACATAAACATACAGCAACATCAACATCAACATCATGCATGATGGCAGGAATAAACAACTGTCAGACAAATGTACATATTATATATATAAGTCAATGAAAGAGAGAGTACTTTATTGGATCGCACCGAGAACAATACACATATCTACAAAAGAGGAGTCAACTATTGTCTATAGTCTACTGGATGTTGACCTTCCATGTCTGAGGCTGGGTCCTCTGGAAGGTGATCAACAACACACCATCCTGATGCTTGGCCGTGGCTGACTGTACATCGACATCATCACCAAGTCTAAACTGTCTGGAGAACTTGCCAAATGATATCTCAGAGTTGATGGTATCTGTCTTTGGTGTAGATGGTGTTGATGGTGTTGTTGAAGATGTCGAGGCACTCTTTGATTGCTCATCAATGCTCTCGTTGTTGTTGTCATTCTCACTTGGGATTGATGTGAACTCTCCGAGAACTTCAGACTGAGGCGATGATGGCTGTTGCTGTGACTCTGAGACTGGAACGTGGACTGGAACTTGGACTGGATTGACAAAGCGTGACTTCTCACCAGTGATGGTCAAGATGTGCTCCTTGATATCAATGTTGATTTGATCTTTCTTCAGACCAGGGAGCTCTGCATAGATTGTAACAGTTGATGGATCTGAATATACATCAATCTTTGGACTCCATGTTGGCTGTTGGCTCTGCTTCTGCTGCTGGCATCTATTATAATTTCCAGCACTGGCACACTTCTTCAAGAGCTCATGAGTGAGTGGATAGTAATATGAATATGATGATGGGTATGTCATTGTTATTATTAATTATATGTTTGATTGTTTGATTGTTTGGTTAATTGATTGTTAATTGTTTAATTGTTTGAATGAATTGAGATATTGACTCCGACTAGTCGGAGTATTTATATTTGTTTCTTCAACAGAAGAAACTCCCTCCTTGATAGATGGAGGAGAAGTGGAAGTCTAAAAAAAAAACCACGAAATCTACGCGAGATTCCAATGAAATTTCAATAAGTTTACAAATTTGATCAGATGACTATTCATTCCACGTCTTGATGTTCTTTTCAATACTCATTGACATGTCATCGAGAATACTCAAGATATACTACTAATACATTTGGAACTTGATTCCACCAATATTCCAAGTCTCGCCCAATCAAGAACATAGCCTTCGACCTCAACCCTCAGCCCTCAACAACTCTCATTCAATCATAATCAGTCAATCAATATTCAATCATATCCAATCATTTACAGATGTACAATCTTTGAAATGTGAACACACATATAAGTCCAACACCTCATATTGAGGGAATACAACACTGTTTGTTCAACAGATATAATGCAGCTGGGTTCGCCAAAGACCTCGATCTGAGTGTGTGAAAGAGAGAAACAAGTAGTAATATATGTATTAATTGAGTACAATACATGTGTTAAAGGTGTTAGGATGTGGATTCATCCATCTTGCCACAACTTACATCATCGTCGATCTAGAAGTTCAACATCTATTGGCCCCACTAATGTGAGGTTAAAGGCTACTACTCTGAACGAGGACAGGTCATCACATATTTGGACCTGCCTTGGATACATACACACTAACATACATTGATGTCAACAGATATACACACAAAGTCAGTTAAACTATCCAAACCTTCATTCATCGTCATTTGTTGTTTGTGTGTGTCAACCCGATTGATTGACACACACACTAACACACACATATAATTTGATCACATGATCAAGTGAACAGTGTGTGTTGTTTAAATTGAAGCGTCAGATGTAGGAGGTGTAGTGATAAATTTGTATGGGTAGGTATGTGTGAGGGGATGTCGGCTTGGGATGAGTGACGACAGACAGACAGCCACAAAGTCGTCCCCAACTTGATGAACAGGTAGTTATTGTGTGTGCTTGTTGGTAGGCGCCTCAGCTCAAGACGAGATTTCCAGGTTGTACATGTAGATGTGAACGACACCCGTTCACCTCCCCAACACCAGCCCCTCCTATCTCTCAATATCCTTTCCTCATTCGGTTACCACCTTGGTTTGTTTGGAGTCCCAAATCAATATTTTAATTAAGCCAAGATATATATTTAAGTAGGTTTAAATGATCATTCATTCAATCAACTCAACCCAATCAATCAATCAATTATTTAAGATCTCCTTTTGATCATTCATTATTAATAACCAAAACATAATTAATTAATTAATATATTATAACACAAACAAATAATTATTATATTTAAATATCTGTATTAATATTATTATAACAATGAAGTACCAAACCATATTGGTAATATTTATTATTATTGGATGCTCAATTGAGTTATCCAAAGGTATGTACCTCATCAATCTTGATCACCCCCACAACAACATCAGGAATCATTCCACTAACAATCAATTAATTAGGACAAGGTAGTGCATGTACATCCAATACTGATTGTGGTCCAGGAAGCAATGCTTGTACAAAGAATGTTTGTTGGAATGGTAGATGTGAGCCACGTGCAATTTCATGTTCCGACAACAATGCTTGTACAGCGGATTCCTGTGATCCTAATAGGGGATGTGTCTACACTCCAATCGAATGCAAAGCCCAGAGTGCCTGCTACTTTGCCTCATGTAGCAACACTACCGGCTGTGTCCAGACCCCCATCTCATGTAACGACGGCAACGCCTGCACCATCGACTCGTGTAGCAACTCCACTGGCTGCGTCAACACCAACGTCAACTGTGATGACTACAACGCCTGTACCGTCGACTCTTGCAACCCAACCACTGGATGTAACTACCAGAACATTGTATGTGACGACTACAATGCATGCACCTACGACTACTGTGACCCACAGGGCGGATGTCGCTTCGTGCCAATCCAATGCACTTCGCAAGATGCCTGCAGCACTGGAACTTGTGACCCAGTCAAGGGATGCTCCACCACCAAGATCGATTGTGACGACCATAACATGTGCACACAAGACAGTTGTAGCACCAGCACTGGCTGTGTCCATCAGGCCATCACTTGTAACGACTATGATGCATGCACCTATGACAGCTGTGGCAACTCGACTGGCTGCATATTCACCCCAATCTCATGCACCGTCTCTGATGCCTGCCACACCCCCTCTTGCAACCCATCCACTGGCTGCACTCAGAATCCAGTAGTGTGCAATGATTACAATGCATGTACTTCCGATGCCTGTGACTCTAATTTGGGATGTATCTACACTCCAATCAGCTGCACATCCGATGCCTGCCACTACTCATCATGTGACAACTCGACCGGATGCTCTACAACTCCCATCAGCTGTGACGACTTCAACTCCTGCACCGTTGATTCCTGTGACGCCAATTCTGGATGTGTCCACACTCCAATCAAATGTGCCGGAGAGGACAAGTGTAACTTTGCCACCTGTGACCCATCAACCGGATGCCAGCTCACCCCTCTGCGCTGCAATGACAATGACCCATGCACTCAAGATGGCTGTGACCCAGCAATCGGATGCACATTCGTCAACATTCCATGCAACCCATCCGATGCCTGCCACACTGCATCCTGCAGCAACCGTACTGGATGTGTTCAGACGCCAATCAACTGTGACGACATCAATGCCTGTACAATCGACTCTTGTAGCAACTCCACTGGATGCTCACATCAGCCAGTCGACTGCAATGACTACAACGCCTGCACTGATGACTACTGTGACGCCAAGAATGGATGCCAGTTCAGATCCGTCAGCTGCGATGACCACAATGCCTGCACCATTGACTCGTGTGACAAGATCTACGGATGTGTCTACCAAGCAGTCGCCTGTGATGACTACAATGCCTGCACAATCGACTCGTGTGACGCCAATAACGGATGTGTCTACAACAAGGTATCATGTGATGATAACAACCCCTGCACCCTGGACTCTTGTGATGTCAATAGGGGATGTATCCACACTCCAACATCATGCCCCAACCAAGATGCCTGCCACATTGGTTCGTGCAGCAACAGCTCAACTGGCTGCACTCAAACACCAATCTCTTGTGATGATGGCAACCCCTGCACCAAGGATAGTTGCAACCCAACTACCGGCTGTGTCCACGACCTTCTCTCATGCCCTCCCAAGGACAAGTGCAGCGTTGGTACATGCAGCAACTCGTCTAGCACCGGATGTATCCAGACTCCACTGAGCTGTGATGATGGCAACCCCTGCACAGCCGACTCATGTGACTGCGCCACAGGTTGCATCCACAAGCCAATTGCCTGTAACGATAACAACTGCTGCACCAACGACAAGTGTGACCCAATCAGCGGATGTGTCTTCACCAACGTTACCTGCACACCAAAGGACAAGTGTTCTGCCGCCTTCTGTGACCCCAAGATGGGCTGCTCCAACAAGCCAATAAGCTGTGATGATGGCAATGCCTGCACTACCGACTCTTGCGACTGCGCCACAGGTTGTGTCCACAAGCCAGTAACCTGCAAGCCATGTGATGCCTGTCACGTCGCCACCTGTGACCCAATCAAGGGATGTGTCCAGACCCCAATGTCATGTGATGATGGCAACCCTTGCACCGTCGACAGCTGTTCGCTGGGTCTCCTCGGCATTGGCGCCGGCTGTATCCACACTCCAGTCAAGTGCAGCACATGCAACACCTGTAACGCCGACAAGTGTCTCGTGCCAACTTGCAACAAATCGACTGGTCTGTGTGGCAACGTCACTCTCAACTGTGACGACGGCAACCCCAACACTTGCGACTCTTGTGACAGCAAGATTGGCTGCGTGAACAAGTGCTGTGATGACAACAACAAGTGCACGATCGACACGTGTGGCGCCAATGGCAAGTGTATCTTCACACCAAAGAACTGTGATGATGGAAATCCCAAGACCCAGGACTCCTGCAACCCATTCACTGGAAAGTGTGTCAACAAGTGCAACTGTGCTGATGACCTGATCAACATTGACCTTGACATTGGTATCAATCTCTAAATTAAGTCTTCTTCTCGATGATATTGTAATAAAATATAGTTATAACTTGTTCCAAACAAGTACAAATACACATTCCAAAAATTGTTTTGTATTATTGAAACTGATCAGGTGATTGAATAATGTCAGCTGACTTTGATCACGTGACTGGAATTGGTCAGCTGATATTTGATAAAATATTTTGAATTCCAAATCAAGTCCCCTGGATTAATTCCAAGCCCTCCCCACCCACCCATACTATTAATTAAGAGATAGAGATAAATTATACAAATAGTGATTGGCTTTTACTCATTCACTGCTTGTGCCATGTTGGCTTCCATCGGAATGATGAAGGGGACCACCTATGTTGATGTCGATTATAGTCGCCTGAAGATGTTGATGACATTGAATATTGACTGTTGGCTGTTCAGAACACTCTGACAGCTCTTGCAGTTGACATTGAGGTTTTTGTTCTTGTTGTTGTTGTTGACATTGTTGCTGTAGTTGTTGTTGCTGATGATGTAACTCTTGTAGACCTTCGCCACCACCGCCACACGTTGCAACGATGGATGGAGGAGGAGCTTCGACATCGGATGATTCACTCTTTGGAGAATTACTCAGTTCTTGCATCATGATTGAATTGCTTGATGTCGCCTCGCCCATTGACACTGAGATACAGGCCGGGTTATTAGAGTTGCCAACGCCACTCGTGTACTGGTCGTCGCCGCCAGACTTTGACATATTGCTACTGCTGTAGCTGGGATAGGAATCCTCATTCACTCGCTTGAAATGCAGGTAGTTGATTGGTGTGTCGCCGCTCAGCGCCTTCATGACGATGACCAGCTGAGAGATCTCAATGATGGAGATCAGCAACCTGGAGACGTAGATGTAGTCAGACCACTTGGGCACGTTGGCCACGGCAAAGCCAATCATAATCGAGAGCATGCAGATGACAATGACGATGAGTGTGGCGGCCAGACGAGATGTGTTGCGTATCGTGTGCTCCAGTTTGGGAATGCGCTTCTCCTGGCGCTTCATGAATCGTACCAGGGCCATGCCATTGAATGCGATTGACACGCCCACCAGGACAATCCAGGCGATCATGCCAAATGTCTCCCAGCTGGCCAACACCGATGGATTGACATAATAGAATATTGACGTGACGATCGTGTATATGAGCAGGGCTATTGCCAATGCGCATGAGCTATACCATACACGTTGTGAATTCTTCATAATCACAGAGTTGGATACAAAGAATGTGTACAACAATTGCATCCAGAAGCAACCAATGAATATCCATTCAGTGAATTCAAAGTAAGTTCCATAAGCTCCAAGGAATAGTGACACTGATCCATACCCAACCCTAGGGTATACCAATAAATATGTAAGTTGTTCCAGTCCTCTAACTATATTATCATTATGATCAAGAATGTTAGTGATTGATTGGGATGGTTCCAGAGTTGATTGATTGAATGATAGTTACACAGAGGAAATAGTGAAATCGACAGGAATGTCATTAGACGTGGATTGATTGATCGGTTGTGCTTTTTGAGGTAGCGCCATTCGAGTATGGTCTGCGTGCCATTGAGTATGAATAGTATAAACAGGATGGTGAATCTGATCGAGAGGAAAACTATCACCAGGTAATCTCCAGTGGTTGATGATGAGTATGTTGGCATTGTTTGTTGTATAGTGTGTTTGTTCGTTCGTTCGTTTCGTTTCGTTTGGATTGATGGTGAAGTGATTGTTGCAATGTTGAGTTGAGATTACATCAATATTGACAACATTTAGTTTGATTGATAGTTATTGTAGTATACAGTGCACTCTTATCATATATCTTTAAAACTAGATGAAGATTTAAAGATTAAGATGATGAGTGTTTGTGAATAAAGAAGAAGAAATGATGGAGAAGGAGAGGCTGGCGGACTGGACTGGAATAGACTGGACTGGCTGCTGGCTACCTGGCTAACTGGGACTCAGACTCGGTTGACAATGGTCTTCACCTACTACTCGTTGGTGATTGGTGGTGATTGGTTGGAGAGTGTGTGTATGTGTGCGTGGGGAAGGGGTGATGTGGTGTGGCGCTTGGGTGGTAGGTGTCGTGGCGTGGCGTGGCGTGGAGTGGAGTAGAGTAGAGCGGAGGGCGTAGCGTAGCAATGTTGATAGCAGGCGTTATCAATCAACAACCACTCTGATATAAGTTGTAGGTTGAATTGTTGGAGGGTACACAGATGTGTGCGTGTTTGTGTGTTTGTGAATCGATCGATCACCTCCTCTATCGTAATATTTATGTGTATGTATGAATGTATGTATGATGTATGTATTATGAATTATGAATTGAATGATCACTGTAACTGTCTCTCTCTCTTTATCTTTGAGTCTTAACGTCTGATGGTATGAATGAATGTATACAAATTTGGAAGTTCGTCGGATAAGTGTCAGTTGATTGATGGACCGACGTTAAGTAAGTAAGTATATATAATATATATATTATGTGTATGTGTAAGTGTATTATGTACTTGTATTGAATAGAATTGAAAAGAGAGAAGTAACAACACCAACAATAACAAAGAGACACACATAGAGTACAATACAAAACTAACAGACAAAGAGACAGACAAAGAGTCTGAAGACATATCGATTGTATGTACATTGAGGTTGGAAAACATCTCCTTGTGCAAGAATACACCACACTCATTCTCACCAACACCACCCACAACAGTTGTTGCTATTGTTGGGCATTGTTTTTTTTTGATCGTTGGGGAGGGGTGTGGCATGGGCCAGTCCACGGGTCACTGGATGCAGTTGATGAACGGATGGATCGTGCGTTTGACCCAAATGGGCGACCACCATGTGATTTGATGGGATGGGTGATAAAGTTGGTGTGTGGATGAATGTACATCCTTGAATGGTCCATGGTTTGGGGGTGATGGTGAGGTGTGCATGAATGATTGATTGATTGATTGATTGTTTGGATTGATTGATTGAAGAGGTGATCGTAGATCATGAATCTTCGTTTGTTGACCCACCACCAACAACAATACAACCCTGTCAACGAATTTTAGATATTTCAATCTGGTTATTTTAAGATCAGCGAGAGATCAATTCTTTACTTATAAAGTTATAAATTATTTAATAAATTTGGTCGATGTGTCTAGTCATCAAACCAAGAGACAATCAATCAAAGTAAGGTAACATGTTACAAAATTACCCAACTTGGGTCCAAGGTCCAAGACCATCCTTCACCAAACACTAACAAGGAGGTAGGTAGGTGATCGTCATTATAATCGTTGTTGGTGTCACTTGAACCAACCCGTCTCGTGTGGCCTTATAACTCTGCCTTTAAAGGGCATGCAAGTACACATCCTTTGGAAGGTTGCAACTTACACCGGGGCTGCTTGGACCAAAGGTGGCACAAAAGGTCAAGTCAATCAATTGAATGAGTGAATGGTTGATTGATTGATTGATTGATGTGCAGTGTATGATTGTGTTTTGTGTCATTTTATTATTATTCCTCCATGGTTGTAGTCGTAGTTGTTGTAGTCGTTGTGAATATCTGCGTCTTGACAATGGTTGGTGTCTTGGTAAGTCCTACACTAGTAGTAGCAGAGGCCAATGGCTTCATCACTTGCTGCTGCTTGTCCATGTTGTCTTTTGACTTGGCGGAAGCCCCAACCCCAACACCTTCACCGTAACCCGCCGCGTCACCACCATGGTTTCGCAAAGAAGGCGACTGTTGCTTGTTTTTGTGACCCTTGGAAACAACTCGGAACTCCTTGGCCAAGGCGTTGAGCGGCGTCTCTTGCATCAACTGTTGGTACTCCTTCTGTTGGTGGATGGTGGTTGCGGTGCGCGCGGGCGCGGGCACGGGCACGGTGCGGTCGTGATCGGCGATCAGACCTTGCTCCTCATCGCTATGCTCACACGTGTCGTGGTCGTCGTCATCTGGACAGACACCATCCATGATGGCATAGGTCGGTGAATACATATCCTCGATGGGGGTGCGATCGACCACCTCGGCGGTGCCCTCGACACGCATCTGATCCAGTTGATCGTTGAGGTTGTTGTAGCCGTCCTTCTGGATGAACTTCAGGCGCTCGAGCAGGTAGTTGCTCTTGGGCTCCCATGTCCTGTGACGGAAGAAGCCCACAACCACCAGACAGAGCGTGCCAATGGCCGACAGTGAGGGGAACAGTATCATCCAGGCCATCGTGTTGAGGTAGAGGTACATGATCAACGCTAAAAATGAGAAGGCAATAGTTGTAATAAAGTTGGCGAGGCCACCAGCCCACTTGACTTTGCTGGGCGAGAAAAGGAAGAAGGATCCAAACAGCCAGAACAGAGGTACGAAGAATCCAAACACAAACCTGATTGGAGGGTTAAGGTTTGGTCAGTATATCTGATCACGTGGACAAACTATCTGATCACATGATCGATCACATGACAGTGATATCTGACCACGTGACCGCGACCAAAATTCATCAATCAAACCAAGTCAACTTACAATGTCCAACAATGACCCATGCCCATCAGACTGCAATATACGACAGAGTTCCTGTTTTGATTGGCATCGCGGTCTTCCTCGGAGAGCACAAAGTTGACAACATCCTGGATCTTGTTGACCAGGGCATGCTGCTCGCGTCTTCCATCTGCAACAACACGTGATGATCACAATGGTTAGCTTCCTTGCCACGCTCAACATCCAACATCGCCACGACATTACCCATTGTCGCCTGGTCCACTTTCTTGTCCATCTGGATAATGTAGTCTTGCTCCTTCTTGAGTGTGCGTCCAATCTGTTGCGTGGCTCCAATGTTCTCCAAGAGTAGCACGCGATCGTTGACCACCAGCAGGTTGGGCACCACGGTGCCGTCCTGCAGCTTGACCTCGCCGGCCACGGTAACGGCTGCGGGGATGGCCTGTTGGACCTCCTGCGCCAAAAAGCCAACCTCTGGCACCGTGTTGCTTTGCTGCTGCGTCTGCTTGCCACCGGACGAGGGCGCGTCGTAGCCGACCATCTTCTTGCGGTCGTAGTCGTAGATGTTGAGCTTGTCGATCTTGGCCCAGTGGTCGGATTGGTTGTGCTGGATGTTGGACTTGATGCGCTTGTCCGATGGCTTGAGCAGATCACCCGTGATCAGCACGTTGCCATTGACCGACAACGCCTGTGTTGGGTTTGGCGTGTTGATGCCCACCTTGGAGTATGTATATATGACGTCGTTGACGTTGGGTGGCTTGGACCATGGCTCGGTCTTGAACAGTGGCTCGCCCATGACTGGAGCTGGTCTTGCCTGTTGCTGTTGTTGTTGTTGCTGTTGTGAAAGTCGAAGTTGGTGCTGCTGTTGTGATTGTCGTAATTGTTGTTGTTGCTGCTGCTGTTGCTGCTGCTGTGATTGTCTCAGCTGGGATTGGCGGAGTTGATGCTGCTGTTGCTGTTGCTGTTGCTGCTGTTGCTGCTGTTGCCTCAATTGGGATAGGTTATGTACATCTTGGGCGAGCTCGGAAGAGATGAGTGATATCGCGTCACAGTCAATGCTGATTGGTCCACGATACGTTTGAGTGGAGGAAGGAGGAGGAGGTGGAGGGAATGAGGATGTTGACTGGCTCTGTGATTGAACTTGAGCCTGTTGTTGAGTCTCTGCTACCTGAGGCTTTGGTTCAGACGCTTCGGCTGCGTTGGCAGTGTCGCTGGGTGGCGTCTGTGGACGCGCCAGTGACCGCTCGGCTGTTGCCGTTGCCTCAGCCACCGTGGTTGGTGGGGGCGAGAGAGGTGTTTTGTGGATGGAGTCAAAGCTGAAGCTCGAGTCCGAGGGCAGGGAGAGGGGGGGCGAGGACCTGGGCGACTGGGGAAGCCAGTCGTCAAACAGTTCGTCTTGTGGAAGCGAGGACTCTGAGGATCGCAGCAGCGCTGGCAGATCGTCATCTCCTTCGCCGCTCGTGTTGTTGCTGTCCATGTTCATGGGTTGCGCAAGATCATCATTGCTCAGCGACTCCTCCAGCAGGAGCATCTCCTCATCCAGGTCGAACGAGTCGTCGTCCAGGCCATCCAAATTGGCGTCCAGGTTGATATCTCCATTGGCATCGCTGTTTGTGTTGGTGTTGGCGTTTTGGTGTCCAATACTGCCTCCTGTGGCCGAGCCACCGCCGGTACCTGACTTGCCTGAGGATCCGGAGCTGCTCGATCCACCAACGCCGCCACTGCTGCTACCTGATCCGCTGCCGCCGCCACCGCTACTGTTGTTGTTATTCTTGCTCGCACCATCCTTCTTATTGGACTTGTCATGGCTGAGGAATCGGCCGGGGTTCTGGCCGCGAACAATCAGTGGCGGCGAGATCTTGGACTGAAGTGGATAGAACTGGGACGAGGGCGAGGGTGGCGCAGAGAACGAGGTCAGTGGGAACGCGGGATTTGGAGTATGAAGGGACGTGTCGATAACGGCGTTCAATGTGACAACGATGCGGAAGAACTGCTGGTTGGGGTTGGGGTGGTCGGGATGGACGCGCGCATTGTTGGCAGTGGCCGAGCCAAACTGCAGCTTGGCCCAGTTGGCCTTGCCCTTGATCACGGGACAGGGCTCGACGGGCAGACGGCCGTCCTTCTTGCCGCTCGAGTTGCCCAGCTGATGGATGGGCACGCGCTCGTTCGGGTCGTTGGGGTGCTGCGTCGACTGCGACGTGGAGAACTTGAGCACGTACAGCGTGAAGTACAGGCCCGACACCTCATTGAGCGTGTTGCTCTCGTTATTTACATATAATAGATTGGAGCGATCGGTGTTGCTCCACGACTCCAGGCAGCCAGTGAGGTCGCAGTCGACCTGGAAACGGTTCTGGCGATACAATATCCACGCCGAGTCCAAGTCCGAGTACTGCACGTTCTTGTCCAGTCGCTTAACCTTGAATCCATACGCGCCAGTCCTAAGTCGTTTGATCAAAGTTGGAAGTTAGTTGACTGATTGATTGTTTGATTGATTTGCGGTGTGCCAGGTGGCAGGCTACTTACAGGTCATTCTTCTGATCGTACAGAGAGTAGAGCTTGCCAGAGGGCGGGTAGTAGATCTCCCACTCGTCGCGTGGGATGATCTGGTCATAATCTCGCTTCAGTCGCTTGTTGGCCATGCTTGGACTGCTGGAATTGATGGCCACTGACACGGGCATGCTGAGGTTGGGGTTGGACAGGTAGTGATGGTGGTGTGGATGCAGCGGATGGTGTGACGCCGAGCTCAGTGGAGACAGAGGCGAGTGGTGGTGGCTGTGATGGTGATGCAGTGGATGATGGTGTACTGAGGAGCTCGATGCCGATGGATGCGACGGCGATGTGAGCGGCGAGAATTGCTGCAGCGGTGAGGAGTGATGTGACGCCGAGGACGTGGGTGGCGACGGCGAGGAGATGTCGCTCGAGGGCGTCACCTGTGAGAGGAATGGACTCACAAACATGTGGCCGCCATGCGACGCGCTGGTAGTGTGTGGAGTCGACGTGGTCGAGGACGACGAGCCGCCCGACGTGGTCGAGGTGGACGACGTTGAAGTCGTTGATGTGGATGTCGGTCCGTCCGCGCCATGATGCTGCTGTTGCTGCTGATGGTGCTGCTGCGCGCTCGCGCCAGAGCCACCAAATGGTTGGAACACCTCGTAGTGTGACGCGGTCGGTTGCGTCGGGATGGGCTGATCATCGTAGTAATGTGTCGAGCTTGCGTTGATGATTTGCTGGATGTTCATTGTCTGCGAGTGGCTCAACAGGCTGCTCAGCTGGCCATACGACGAGTTGAGGCCGCCGAACTGCTGTGGCTGTTGCTGATTTGACGAAGTGGCGGAGGAGTTGCCGCTGCCACTGCTGCCGCCACTGCCGCTGGATGATGAGCCGCCCGAGGGCGTTGGTGTGGAGCCAGAATGTATTGGGATTGGACCCATCGCGCTATTCGTCGTCGTCGTTATATCAAAGTCGTTTATAATCGATGGATGTTGTTGTTGTTGTTGTGAAAGATGATGATGTTTGGCCTGTTGCAAATGATGCTGTTGCTGTTGCTGCTGCTGATGTATTTGCTGCTGCTGCTGTTGATGATGGAGATGGAGATGGGGAAGAGGCTGCTGGTGCAGCTGGTGGTAGAGTGGCGCGGGAGAGGAGCGTCCAGCCGGCTTGGGTACTGCGAAAAAGTGTTGTTGGCTCAGTGGTGGCGCCTGGACGGATGTCTGGTGCGGCGACTGATGGAAAATATAGTTGTAGTTTTGGTGATTGACCTGTTGTTGCTGTTGCTGTTGCTGATGATGCTGTTGTTGTTGCTGCTGTTGATGCTGATAGTATTGTGATGCAGCGGCCTGATCTGGCGAGAGGCTTGGAGGTCGACTGCTGCTCTCAAAATGGTGAGCGGCGGCGGAGGAGGGGGAGGATGATGAGGAGGATTTATTGGTGGCGGCTGCTGCTGCTGCAGTGGCGTCGATGGCCGAGTGAGTATGTGTTGGTGAAGTAGTTGGTGATCCTAAGGTGGAAGTAGCGTTGCCAATGCTGCCGCTATTGACATGTGGCAATGACGAAGAAGAAGACTGTTGCTGGATGTTGGGATACTGTCTACTACTAATGCTACTACTACTACTTTCGTTGTTTGTTGTATTATTGTTATTTGTTGTTGCTGTTGTTGAGGTTGTTGTTGTTGTGATGGTGATTTTTCATTTTATTAACAAGGGTCGTATGGAGAGCCTTGTTGGTCCCGCCTGTGATTGATTAGTTTGAGTTAGAGTGATATTGGGGGGGATAGATTGATGGATGGGTGTAGTTGTTGTAGAGTGTGTGATGTGTGGGGTGATGCGTCGTTCTTGGGGGTTTGATTGTCCTCGTGAGGTCCAAGGTCAAATATGGCAAACCGTTCGATAAGGCTAGGTGGGGGTGTTGGATGGATTGGTCGCGTCTTGTCGTGTTATTGTATGTATGAGATGAATAGATGGATGGGTGGATGATGGTGAGTGTGATTTGCGGGGCGAAGCAAGGTCTGCGTGTCGTGTGAGCTCTATTCGATTGCACGTAACCCCTTCCAAATATGTGTGTGTTTTATGTTATTGTCCGCTACTCTGATGTAACCCTTTGTTGTTTAGACAACTAACAACACGTAATATATAATATATATTATAAATAATAAATAATAATAAATAATAATGTGTGTTGATGTATATATATAAATGGGTTTGAAGATGTTGATAAATAGATAGACTAGGTGGTTGTTGTTTAGATGTGGGGCTGGCTGAATGAATGAAGGATGGATGTCAGATGTGATTGAGTTGAGTTTAGAAGAAAGGTGTAGAGTTGGTGAGAATGAGAATGAGAGAATGAATGTAGAGATGTTAGTTCTAAATTGTCAATGAGTTGGATTATGTACAGAGGTGACAATGAATTATGATTGTTTGAATAAATGAATGAATGAGTTTTGATATACTGCAATGAATGAATGATGATGATGTATGATTGAGAAGTGATGTGAGTTGATTGAAAGGATGAGGTGGATGGGAGGAAGTAGGTAGACAAGGCAGGCTTCAATACTGACGAGAAGAAAGCAAGCAAGCAAGCGGCTACTTTATCTTATGTTGGTAACTTCCTTGATAAACTATTAACAAAAACAAACATCAACATATATGTGTGTGTACGTCGGGCGGGCGCATTGATATACCAGACCAGACCAGACTAGACCAGGCCAGTCAGCCAGTCAGCCAGTCAGCCAATCAATCAATGTAACTGCTGCTCTGCTCTACTCCCTTCTCCAGGTCTTGGCGGGCGGGTGGGTGGGTGGTGCATTCCAATCACAAGCCAATCACACAAGTGCACCCGACGCGATGCGACACGACACTACACGACACTACACGCCAAAGGGTCCTTCCCACCGTTCCTTCATTCCTTCCTTCCTATCACCAGCAGCGATCGTTTCACTTGATCACTCTGATTTATTATTTCCCGAACAAGCGCCGCTATATATTATATATTATAATATATGATTGATTGATTGTATTTGAGGGCATCGTCGTGGCATGGCATGGCATGGACCACCAATCCAATCGATGTATCATCAACCCCCCACTCACACTCACACTAACACATGACATGAATGATTGATTGATTGACACTTGGGTGATTGATTGATTGAATGAATTGCCACTTGTGGTGGGTCGAGTGGTGTGATTCGCGTCACTTAATGGACAGACTGATGCCATTAATTAATATATAATTATAATTTGAATGCAGTAGCCTGACCAATGAATGATTGAATGAATGTGGTGTGGCGTGGCGTGGCATGGCAGGTGGATGGATATATTTAACCGGATGGTGGTGGATAATGTGTGTTGTTATAACTAGTACCATTGGACCAATTACAACAAACATGTAGAGATAAAGATAGATGATGTGATTGCTGTTGTAGTGTCTCATCGATATAATATGGAGTTTCATTGGTTGTCTTTAGTAATAAAGCATTATAAATGATATAAATATGCGGGATATGGGGCGGACGATGTATCATGTGTGTGGACATGGATGTGGAGGTATGTGGATGTGGATGTGGATGTCGGGTAATCAATCCAATCCATTGCCAATACAGTGTGAGTGGAGTAATGTGAGTGTGTGAGTGTGAATGAGTGAGTTGGTTGGTAGACCGTAAGATGTGATGGTGGGTGAGTGGTGGTGAGTGAGTGCGCGGGAGTGTAGTTGACAAATAGCCAGTCGTTATGAAATGATCATTGACATGTTGGATGATGGATGGATGATGTGGTATTTTGGTTATAATTGATGTCGTGGCAAGGACAAGATCATTGATTGATTAATCGATACATTAATGTGATCGATCGATCGATTGATTGAACATCCATTGCCAAAGGACAAATGGACAAATGGACTATGAATGATGATGAGGATAGGACAGATATATGACCTCCTAAGTTGTACAACAATGAACTGTATGTCTGTATGTCTGATGTCAAGTGTGATTGATGGTGATTGGTAGGGATAATCATACCTCTTGTGTGTGTCCAGTGGTTTGGAAATGGAGAAATGAGGTCAGGACCTTTGTCTTTCGGAAATCACTACCTGTTTGGTCAAATGGAACCGCGGTTTAATGTTCGATTAGTTAGAGTTAGTTAGTCAAGTTGAGTGTTGGAGAGGTCATGTGATGTGATGGTGTGATGTGAGGGTGGTGAATGTATGACTGAATGAATGAATGAGTGAGTGAGTGAGTGATAATGAATGAGTGAACGCTTTCGTGAGTGAGTGGAAGAGTTGATTGATTGATTGATTCATTCAAAGTCAACTAGTCAATCAAAGGTCCACAATAAAGGGGGAGGGGGCAGGTGAATGGACGGATGGTTGGATGGATGGATGGACAGGTGGACCTGACTGACTGACTGACTGACTGTCAGACTGGGAGTGGGGGTGGTCGTGAACAGGACTGCGCCGTACTCTCTCTATTGATGTCTAGCAAGCTAAAGGCTTGGCACCTGATTTTTCCTGGTTACAACTAACTTCAATAACACATCAATCATTGGTCGAGACAGTTGAATGAAGTGAATAAAGTGAATGAATGATTGTGATCGTAAATAAATGGTACCTGATGTGCGTGTGAGATGAGTTGGATTCCAACAACTCTTGCTTTGTGTTGTGTGTTGGTGCTGTTTGATCAAACAAGCTAGACAACAAACAAACAACAATAAATGCTGTTTGATGTTGCGCTTACTACTATATCGTACATCGCACCCGTGTCCATCTGACAGACTTGGTGACTGATTGATCAGGTGGATGGATGTGTGTGTGTGTGAGTGTGTGAGTGTATGATAGTATAGTGTGATTGGGGGGTGGGGGATGGTGATCGGTGGGGCCAGGGCTTTGTTGTGGATCAAGGCCCAATCTTGATAGGACTTGGGAGTCTTGGACCATCCGGCAAGCCACGATGGGGTGAGCCCCCACAACAGGACACCAAATTAAAGAAAAATCCAAAGTTGCAAGTCCAGAAGCTTGTTTAGGCTTGGCCTCATGTCATCAGGGGCACTTCTGGTTCCAAATTTGTTGTAGTACCTCTTTGCAGGGTTATGTCAAGCAATGCTTACCAAACTTAAACTTTACTCTATATTCCCTCTTATTGGATACTTGTTTGATCAAACAAACAAAGATGTATGAATGTGTTTGAGTGTGTATGGTTGCGGTTGTGGTTGTTTGATGTGTTTTGTGATTGGATTGGAATGATTGATGGATGGATGGGCCAAAGTTGGAACACACAATACTTACTTACTTTACTTTTGGGCCCAAAGATGTCGACTGAGAGGTTGGAGGTCGGTTCCTCTGAATCACAGACGACACACACTTAAATTACGATCAAAAAGACGATGCGATGTGATGTGTGTTGGTAAGTAGGTTGTCGTGAACGTTCTAGTTGTCCTTGTTTGTTGGGTAAGGTTTGGCCGGATGGCTGGTTGGGTGTATCCGTGACGGGTCAACGAGTCTCGGAGCAGTCCTGTGCTTTGGAGGGTAACAATCAATCAGTAAGTCACACACCCTATTCAATCATTAGATTATGATCTAGGTATATTGTGGCGCGTACTCTTTGCAAATATGGTCTTGTCTTGGGTAATTCGTATAATGATAAATATAATATTGTGACCTGTGTGATCTACTTTGAGGAGGTCTGGAAACGATGTTTGGTCGACCCTGCTTCTGATTGGTCAGTGGTGGAAAATTCAGCAATTCAATCTCCGCCGCACAAGTCCAAGGTCTAGTCGCGCTATAGTCCTTTGTTTGTTAGATTGATGGGCTTTGGTATTAATTATTGAATAAATAAATAAATATGAATAAATATAATAATAATAATAATAAATGCGAGGTGAAGTGATCGTTCGTCTAAATTTATCGAGTGATTGATTAAGTGATTGAATGATTGGGTGAGTGTGTGTCTGAAATGATGAAGATTAAAGAATCCTTTTTGTCTATGATTGATGGGATGGAGGAGGGAAGGACTTGGGAATGAATGGATGTATTCAGGGAGATACTTTGGTTTAGTTAGGGGTATGTTTGAGACTCTTGTTGGGGACAAATTCCAACAAGTGAGTTATTGAGTTAGTCAGTCTGAAAGAAATCGTCTTTTCAAAGTAGGTAGTGAAGGAAGGGGAGGAGGAGTAGCAATAATGAGAGTGATTATGATGATGCTGTTACTTCTTATGGATTGGAGAGACGGCACGGTAACACATCAGGTTATATGAACGAAATTGTAGCTGATAATTCTCCAAACTTTATACACACCATTACTTATCTATGAACCTATGATTCATTCATTCCTTCATTCATTCCGATTGGGATGGATGGATGGACCAAAAATAGCAGTGGACCTCAAACATACTATCAAAAACCCCCACATCGTCCACAAACCACGCCGACGATCAGTTATTTTTGACACAACTAAAGTGTCAGTTTTGTCCTTGCCCTTTTGCAAAGGTCAATACGAAAGAAATGGGGCATCGTCCACAGTCTATGGACTACCAAACATACAAACAAATACTAAAGACCTAGACCGCCAATAGTCATAATTTAGACGGTGATGCCTCATTCGTCAGTCTTGATTGAACACACACATCATCAAACTTGATGGATGATTGTGCACTTGGGGTGGATTCATTCATCACCAAGGTTAAGATGGTGACAACTGTTCGACAGGTACTCTTCCGTATTGGATACCACTTATATTCCAAGTTATGGACCTACATGTTTATCATAACTATTAATTAATGAACGAATGAATGAATGAATGAATGAACGGATTGATTGATTGTGTCACCCCATTAAGTGTGTTGACGTGATTGATTGAATGAATGAGTTACTAATTTGGTCCGATGACCAATGGACACATTAATGTGTCTTTGACTTGCTTCTTGACTCTGATGATGATGGGTATCTGACAAAGACGTAGGTGAGTGCCACGGCCAAGTCATATGAACAACAGAATAGTGGATACCAGAGTGGAGTGGCAGCGGCCATATGGATGCTCGAGCTATGGTGGTGAAGATAATCCCAACCTCCATGAAGAATATATCCCAAGATCAATGGTGTCCTATTGATTGAATGGGTGAGTTAGTGATTGATTGAGTGTGTGAATGGTCATAGTGTGGAAACATACTTTGCATTGTTGTAGAGCGCAATGAGTGTGATGATGAGGAGCAATGAGGCAAATCCAGAGTCATACAACTGCTCTTGTGTCATGTCTGCAAAGGTATTGGAGACTCCTCCGAATGTAAATCCTTGAGTCAATCCAGCACACACTAAACATATTTGATTGATTGATTGATTGATTGATATAGTTAGTGTATGACCCACGTGATCATTGAATAGGTCTGTATACATACCAGCAAGGATTAGACATGAGAATTGGAAGGCAAGTCTTGGCTTGAGAAAGTGAGTGATGAGGAAGACTACGTATGCCAGTCCTGAGATCTGGAGTCCCAACAAATCTTGTGATGTAAGATTAAGTTGACTAATAATTGCATCCATTTTGAAAGTATTATGTGTATCTATGTTTAATATATATTTGTAAATTTACAAATGAGTGAGATAGATACTCAAATTGAATTGAAGTTGACACTCTTGAGATTGATTGCACTGATGTTCAAAAAAGGGCAAAGTGATCATCAGTCATGCCTCATTTTTATTCTAGAAGTGTGTGGTTTGATGATCTGGACACATATTACATATTGTTTACTTGTCATTGTCCATCTATTGGATTGTAATGGGAAGACATCACGTGATATATGATCACGTGACTTGTGATCACGTGACATGCGATCTAGTGATATTTGATTCCAAAAATATTGGGTTGTCCAGGAACATCAAGATTGAAGGAGGATCAGATCATGAGGTTACTATTGAGTCTTTCCCTTGTTTCTTGATGAATCAGATGGGTATTTGGTGAAGATGTAGGTCATAGCCACTGCAATATCATATGAACAACATAATAGTGGATACCATAGTGGAGTGGCAGCTTCCATATGCACAGACGATGAGTGATGATGTAGATAATCCCAACATCCATGTAGAATGTAGCCCAAGATCAATGGTGTCCTTGTGATAGAGTTGAAGCATGTGAGTGAATTGGTCTATTCAATCAAACCTGAGGCGTTTGCATACTTTGCATTGTTGTATAGTGCGACGAGAGAGAGGATAAGGAGCAATGAGGCAAATCCAGAATCAATCAGTTGTTCCTGTGTCATGTCTGCAAATGAATTGGAGACACCTCCAAATGTGAAGCCCATAGTCATTCCAGCACAGGCTGAGGCATTCATTGGGAATGAGTAAGTAGGCTGGTGGGATGATTGATGTGCAACTAACCTTGAACTTAACTTACAAGCTTGAATAATACAAGAGAATTGGAAAGCCAGACTTGGTTTGACAAAGTGAGTGACCAGGAAGACTAGGAAAACAAGTCCAGAGATCAGGAGTCCCAACTTATCCTGTGATGTAAGATTAAGTTGACTGATGATGGTATCCATTTCAAGATAGTAATAAGTCGTGATATTCAAAAATGGAAAGTGATCATCACCAGTGTCGTTTTTTATTCAGGTGAAGGAAGGGTACATCCTGGTGACGTCTGTTGGACGTCTATGCGGGTTATGATATTACATATATGGTTATTACATGGCAATGATGAGATGTCGATATCAATGAACTAGTTCACTTAGAAGCTATCAGAGTTATCACCTTGTTTGACAACTCTTAGTTCGTAGATATCCTTATACATGTTCCTGATCAATGTGTATGGAAGGTACTGCTCGAGCATATCCTTGTTGAGCAATGGACAGTACTCAGTGAACTGAATGGATTGATGGATTATATGATAAGTTAGTTTTTGTATATGGTAAGTATTCACATGATATCAGATATGTCACGTGATCAGATGTCACGTGATCAGATTCCATATAAATATTACCTTGTCCAGGAATACCAATACTGATGCTGGGTCGTTGGGCAAATGTTTTTGATGCGAGGAGAACATGCGCAAGAGGTGAACGGACGAGATCTCTAGGAAGCGATGCAAGCTGTTGACTATGTCAGCCTCGTTGGCGCTGGCATTGTTGATGGCACCAAATGCGATGAGCAGATCACTGATGGTGACGGCCAGCACGTGAATGTTGTTGTTGTAGCCCTCGATCGATGGACGGAATATGGCCTCCTTCCACTGAGTGCTGTTGAATGCCACGGCAAACATCACGGGCAGCATGTCCCACAGCTTCCTGTCGTTGTCAGTGCCCGCGCATATCTTCTTCAGGAACACCTTGAGATACTGATCGGCCACGCCCACGTTGAGGCCGGCGTCGAGCGCCAGAGCGTCCACGCCCAGGAACTCGGGGAACATGAATGTGTTGCGGTTGTACTCTTCGTAGCCCGTCTCGACGGTCTTTTGGATGTAGGGCACGGCCTCACGGTTGTTCTGATCGACTGAGCGACGCATCATCGACCTCAGACTGAGCGCATTACCAATGATCATCGCACGAGTGACAAAGTTATCAATGTCGGCCTGCTTGAATCGCTTGATGTGGTCGACACCCTTGGGCTTGTGGAAGCATGTGGCGTACTCCTCCAACAGCGGCAGATTGGCCGTAAGGATATCCTTGATGCTTGAGGCGCTGGCCAGCACGGTGCGAAGTAGCTCACGCTCGATCAGCTTGACTCCATATGCGCCAATCGTGTTGGTGAGTGCCATTATCTCTGTGTAGTCGTTGTGATCCTCTGCCTTGTTCTGCATACCTGGACGCGAGAGGAAGCCCTGACGTCCTGGTGAATACACGTGGCCCAACTGCGTGGACTTCTTGACAAAGTCGACGTAGTAGTTGGTGTAGTAGTGGATGGCCGAGTCGCCATACTCAATCTCTCCGTCGGGGAACCAGTCGATGCGGCCCACCTTGCCCATCACCTTGGCGTAGAACTCGCCGAGCAGGGTCTCGCGGATCAGATCACCAATGTCAATGTCGACAAAGTTCTCGACTATCACCATCACACCCAGGAACACCTGAAGCTGGCTCTCAAATGTGGCCGGCCTGATAGTTGTGGACAGGTCGGTGGGCACGGTGGGAGCCAGCGTCTGGCGCATGTACTGCTTGAGCATGGCACCAAGACGGTCGCGCAGGAACTCGCGCGGCACGATGATGCGGTCGTAGATCGTGATGTCCAGGAACTCGTTGAGAGAGTTGCATAGCTGGAAGATGTTCTTCTCGTGCAGACGCAGCTGCTCGATAGTTGCGCGTGAGCGATACTGCGACTCTGAGCCTGGCTCGACTGGCGTGATAAAGTCCTTGGGCGGCTTCCAATCCTTGCGCTTCTGCAGCAATGGGAATGCGGCGTTGACGTCTCTGAGCTGCTGCTCGTTGCTCTGGTACTGAGCGTTCATGGTCGAGTACAGCACCGACACAATACGCGATGACAGCTTGTTGAGGAAGTTGGTGGCCATGTCCACACACTCCTTGCCAATGGCCTCCTTCTCCTCGGGGTAAAAGGGCGTCGCAACGCCCGATGGGAACTGTGCCAGGAGCTTCAAGAATACCATGGCCTGTGCTGGCTGGTCGGTGGCATCATTGATCACCTGTTCAAACACCTGGGCCACCTGCTCCTTGTAGGGCCACAGGCTGACCAGTGATGAGTATTCCTCGAGCATCGCGTCCAGCTGATCGACATTCTTTGAGTGGATATAGATGAGGTTGAGACGGCTGCTGATCTGTGTTGACTCGGACTCGGGCAGAAGGCACGAGCTGGAGAAGAGGAGGTACTCAGTGCGGCACCAATTGTCACGCAGCGAGTTGAAGTTATACTCTGCGCCACTGCCAACCGAGATGTTTTGCAACTCATAAGTGATGTTTGATAATAGATTGGAGATCTGTGGACCAGCTGACTGCATCATCATTGGTGTGAGCACCCTTGTCAGTCCCAGTGAGTCTGCGCCAGCCATGTATTCTACATAATAGTTCTGGATTGCTGTTGATGTACACGGTGTCAGGTCATGTCAAGTGATCGCCTGTACATGGAAACACGTCCAACTAACTTACTGCTCTTGTGTATCCTAACGAGGTCTACGAGGTGTGTCATCACACTGACGAGAGATGGGATGCGTCTGTCAATGATGTCGTTCTGTTTGTTGTAGTACTTCTTGACTTTCTCGGGTGGAACAGCGTCAAGATGACGGAAGTACCACAGTACCTCTTCCTTGGCCATGGAGAGTGCAGCCAGCAACACATTGATCTTGGGCGCTAGCAGACATGGCTTGTCTCTGAACAGGTTCCACATAGCATCCAACTCCTGTCTAAGATAGATACGCTTCTCATAATGTCTTCTTGGTGCGTCCTGTGTTGAGGCCTGTGCTGCATCCTTTATAATCTTCTTTTGTTTCTGCAGTTGCACTGTCTTGCTCTTATAGTTCTTGAACAATGCGCTGAACTCATTATGAATAGCATAGCTCTGTAGTTGTTGTTGGGGCAGGGGCAGAGAGGGATGGGAGGGTTAGCATGTCACGTGGTTGATTGCCTGTCCCAGGGGCACTTACTATCTCTCTGTAGACGGGTAGGTTGAAGCCTTCGGAAAGGGCTGCCTTGAGGAGTTCGATGGTGTTGGGGGTGGTGAGTGCGCCAGGCGCGATGAGGTATCCAAAGATGACCCATTGGTAGACGCGTGAGGCAAAGGTCAGGTCGGTGCGGTATTGATCCTGGATGGGACGAGCAATGTCCTCTGGCTTGAGAATGAGGTTGAGTGCGCCATCGCGACGCAACTGAGTGATTAGTCTGCGCTTGGAGTATGTGGCCTCGACTGAGAGTAGTGTGTGTCCAATGGCGTCGTTTAGACCCTTGAGATCGTCCTGGATGCGCTTGACGGGCAGGTCCGACTCGATGATCCAGCGTGATAGTCGCGAGTAGTTGGGCTCCACCTGTGATCGCGTGTGCTGGAAGAGACGCGCGTAGACGGCGAGGACAGTGCGGCGGTCGGCCAGATGCGCCAGCAGCATGTGCAGCTTGGCAAAGAGCACGACCAACTCCATGAACCTGGACGACAGTTGGATGGACGCGGTGAACTTGAGCGCCAGGGTGTTGTTGGCGATCTCGTGGAGGAGCGCGCATGTGGCCTCCTTCCAATCACAAGCGTCGACCAGTGTCTCGTAGTGCTGCTCCAAGTCCTCCATGTACTGTTTAGCGCGCGATGTGATCAGGTCCGCGCCCTGGACCCTGTCGAGCTCCGGGAAGTCTGGGAACTTGGACATCAAGTTCTTGATGGCACGGCCCACCTTCTCATCGGAGAGAAACAGTGGGCGAGTCTTTGCGCCGCCCAACAGACCCCTGCTAACATAAAGTCGACTCAACAACTGTTCACCATTCTCCAATAAAACATGTAGTCTATCAGGTAGTTTGTTGACGTTATTGCTATTATTGGACATTGTTATAATAGTAATAATAATAATAATAATAAGTAATTAAGTACAATGATGAGCAAGAGTGTAGTGAGAGTGATCAAATGAGAGAGAGGGGTGGGATCAGAAATGGGATCAGATGCAGCCCATGTGTGATCGGTCATCAAAAAAATAATATCTTCGTTTTTTTTGGTGTCTGATCACAAAGTTGTCCCAATAGCAATAATCTGGAAGTTATACAAAAGTGATACTAATCACTTTATTTATTTAATATATATGATTGATTGAATTAATGAAAGAGTGAGGACGAAGGAATGACGGGTTGATTAATGTCCATACTTGGTCATCATGGCAAGGAACTCTGGGAGCTCAATGCTTCCATTCTTATCAGCGTCAAACTCTCCAATCATTGATGAGATTTGAGCATCAGATGGGTTCTGGCCAAGTGATCTCAAGAATGGTGCCAACTCATCAGCGGTAACACTTCCATTTCCATCCTTATCTGCCTGCTTGAAGGCCTCAGTGTATCTTGCGATTTGTGCGTCAGACTATATAAAGTTGGAATCATTCCAAATGTTAATATAATACTCTTGTTCCAAAGAATATGTGTTGTTGGATACATACCATTATTTGTATATTTGTAGATTGTAAGTTGATTGATTATTTGTTTGATTGGATAATTTAATGATTGTTTTAGTCGACTTGGTATAAATAATGATCAGTTTGGATTAGTGGACGATACACAATCAAGTATTGGAGCTGGAATAGTTTACTAACATTTGTACATGTATACACATCCTCGTGTCCTTTCAAAGATATTATAATTTAACTTGGTATCTAATAATATTATTGTGATTCGCTTCACATCACTTCATCACTTCAATACGCAGGTGACCCCAAATGTTTCCAAAGTACCAAAGATGGGCAATATTTACACCAAAGACCTTAATTCAATCATTCATTCTAATATTCATTATGTTCAATCACTCTTTTACTTCATGTCATTCAGTCCATTCATTCAGCTTAGTACTATGTTTAGAACCCATTAAGGGATGTTTGCCACTCACTACACTACACTATTGGTGCTTGTGCCGTTTGACACGACTTTGTACCAAGTCAACACACCACTTACCACTTCGATATTATCAATAATATTGTTGACATCAATCAATTGATTGATTGACATGTGTGGAGGTTGTCGGACAGACCCAGGAGGACCAAGTTGACAGCACCAGGTGCAGTGTAGTGAGTGGCACTCGGGCCATCCACTCTTTGACACTGGCGTAAATCGTGTCATTTATGACATCCTGGTGCGGGGGAGATAGTTTGTGCTTTACACAATCCCGTGATCGATCACCATGTCCTTGCAAACAAACACAAGGAATCTTTCCTTGAGAAATCAATCAGTGACCTTGTATCAGTGATGAGCGAGTGATTGAGTGCACTGATTGTTGTTGATTGCTAAATAGTAGTACTGCTGTTTTGTTATTTGATCGATCATTGCTTTGTAAAGACGACCATCAGACGATCCATGAATCCCCACTTCTTCTTCTTCATTCTGTCTTGTGATGTACTCGATAGCAGTATCTTTGATTTCTGTACAACCTCTGGTATGATTCTAATTGAGCATGGATACTGAATGATCAACAAAGTGAATAAATGAGTGAGTATGAATGAATGAGCGAATATGAATGAATGAGTGAGCGTATATGTATATACCTTTGTAATACTTTGATTCTCGATCAATGACTTCATATGTGAGAACTCCTCGATAGCCTTTTGATAGTGTATCTTCTTCATTGTGTTGTCCACTACATTCTTGTTGTCTCTGAATCGTTGACGAATCGATCGTCCTGCGAATGTAGACAGTGATCTATCTGCTCTCGATGCATCAAACATAAGTAATCTTGCAGCTCTGATCATATCACGATATAATTGTAAACATCCTTTGCTTGAGTATACTGTTGTTGCTGCTGTTGATGCCATATTATCTCTTTATCTATCTCTATCTCTTTGACATTAACTTGTAAATGTCATTCATTCGTGTTTCGTCTTGTTTTGAAAACAAACCCTTGCCCTCGCATTCTTTCAAATCAATTGGACATGTATTATTTATTCATTCCAAGGATGTTGTGAACAGTTGATTGAGCTTGGATGAGTCAATGAAGCCTCCTCCAAGTAACTGCTCATTTAGGACGATGAAGCTGTCGTTGCCATGTCGGATATAGGTGGACTGGTTATGTTGTCGCTCATTCTTTACACTTGTAATGTGTGTAAGTGTTGTTGGAAGTTGATTGAATTGTATGGACTGGTTGTACTTGCGACCTAACTTGACTCTCTTTAGACTTGTACACGATGCCAACCAATTGGTATCGAGTGTCTGAGAGAAGTTGTCGCCAAACTCAATGCTGGTGACTGATGCTGGGATGGAGCCGGCCTCAATCGGTTGATTGAATCGTTGGCCAAAGATGATGGTTCGCAGGCCACTGGGCAGGGCACCGACTGGTATCGGTTGGTTGTAGTTGGCGCCAAGAGACAGGGTCTCAAGGCTGGCGGGCAGACTGCCAGGGGTCAGTGCGCCATCAAAAAGGAAGCCAAGTTCGAGGTTGGTCACTGAGTCGGGGATTGGCGAAGTGATTGATAATGCTTCGGTGAGTACCAAATGTTTGAGATTTGGAGGTAGACGATGATTGGCAGCATCGGAAGACAGTTGACTCATTCTAAGGTATCTCACGCCAGACAATGGAGACATGTCAAACAGATTGGCGCAATCCATCACGATGTGCTCCACAGACGATGGTACCTCCAACTCATTGAATGGGACCATGTTTCCAAGCGCAAGACGCGTGAGTCCCGTCGGCAGGACACCGCTTGGTAGTGGTTGGCTAAACATCTCGCCCAGTCTTAGACGCCTTAGTGACTTTGGTAACAAGCCCGCCACGAGTGGCTGGTTGAACTCGCCGCTGAAGCTGAGATGAGTGACGCTCGCTGGGATGGATCCAGGCAGCAATGGTTGATTAAACATGTCGCCAAACTTAAGTCGTGTGATTGAGGCGGGCAGGACGTGTGGCGGGAGGGGCTGGTTGAACTCGAGGCCAAACTCCAGACATGTGACCGAGTTGGGGATGGATCCAGGGATGATTGGCTGGTTGTACGATGAGTAGTGCGATCGATGGCCCAGCAACAGATGTGTGACGGTGTTGGGGATGGCACCGACCTGCAACTGTTGATTAAAGTTGTTCTTGAACTGGATCTGGCGCACTGAGCTGGGGATGGTATTGAGCGCGATGGGCTGATTGAAGCAATCGCCAAACTCAAGATGTGATACCGTGTTTGGTATGTCACCTTTGAGTATTCTCTGATTGAACAGTTCGCCAAAGAATAGATGTGTTAATGTACGTGGAAACAATGATTGAATCCTTGGTATGGCCAATGATTGATCGAATGTATCACTAAACACCACGTATGTTGCAGTTGGTAGGTCTGGGACAGCTGCTTCATCAGGTGGGCAGTCCATCATATCCTGTTCATCATCTTCCTCATCATCATCTGTTGGATGTGGATTAGTATGTGATTGATTGATTGGAATAGTTCCAGCGATTGAGTGATGGATTAGACACATACCAATGTTTACCACGTGATCAAAGTAGAGATGGCTGTGTTGGATTGGGTCACTTTTTGTTGTGATACATTGGATGATGGGCACTTTGCGCATCATTGACTTGTGGATGGATGATCGGAATGATTGAAAGTTGATGTTGTTTGGCTGTCTATAAGTCAATAGACTTGGCAAATGTGTATTGTTTAACTGTAGTATACTATCTGCATTACGGAACCATTCCTTACATGTCAACAACATGCATACTCTATCAATATTTGAGGGTAAGAATGAAAGTATATGTTTAATTATAATATGAGGAAGTGACATATTATGTTGTTGTTGTTGTAGTTGTAGTTCAGGCATGATTATATGTTTGATTGATGGATTGTATAACTATGTGATTGATTGATTGAGTCAACCTTTGGGTTTCAGGGACAGACCTACAACACTATGATGTTGTTGTTGTTGATCCTTCCTTGGAACAAGTATTGTGTCGCATAGCAAAGAAGATGGGAAGTGATGTTTTAATGTGTGGATTGATTACTTTCACCTAGCTCGATTTCTTTTAGTGTTGGGGTGTGTGGGTAAGCGTGGTTTGATACCCCCACTGTGTGCACTGAATCATGATCACGCACTCACACAATCATAAAAAAAAGAAATCGGTACGTACGTATTGGAACTACGTAATATATGATCGATTAAATGATTATAAGTTGTAATTGATTGATGATTGATTGATCAACATATTGTGATGATTTATTAAATTAAATATTTGAAGGATGGATGATGTATACATGAATTGGAGAGGGTCTAGAACTCGACGATCACTTTACCAAAGAGGTCGGCAGAGTCAAGGATCATGTGTCCAGCTGGAATCGATTCAATTCCTTTTAGGACCTGTCCAACAATGGATGGTACCTTGTGGGTGGCGATGAACTTGGTGATGAATTGTTGAGCACGTTCAACTGCTTGTGGGTTCTGATAGAATGATAAAACACTATATCCTTTGATGGTCAAGTGATTGCCAATGGTGGCGCCAACAGGCAGTACAGCTGGCTCGCGGGACAATGTACCATAGATGATGAATGATGCTTCATAGGCTGCGGCAAAGACCAACTTCTCGAGCTGAGCGCCGCCCACGGGGTCCAAGAACAAGTTAGCACCAGCACCCTTGGTCAACTCTCTAATACGTTTGACCAGGTCCTCCTCGCCAGTCGCGATGAAGTGATCGGCACCCTGGGCAATGATCTGATCTTTCTTTGCATTTGTTCGGCTCGTGGCAATGACAGTCGCTCCAAATGATTTGACATAGTGGATAAATGCCAGGGCAACTGAGCTGCTGGCCGCGGTGATGACCACAGTGTCGGTGCTCTTGATCGTGATGCCATACTCATAGATGGCAAAATATGCTGTGAGGTATGCAGTCCAGGTGGCAGCGGCGTCAGCGAATGATTGATTGGCGGGGATTGGCGCGAGTAGGTTCTCAGGGAAGACGATGTGTTCCGAGTTGGTCGTCGAGGATGGTGATATTCTGGCAGTTGGTATTACAACGACACGATCACCAACCTTGAACTTTGTAACACCCTTGCCAATTGCCTCGACTGTGCCTGCTCCTTCATATCCAATTCCACTTGGCAATGTTGGCTTCTCAAAGAATATACCAGCTCTAATCAATGCCTCTGCTCTGTTCAGACCAACTGCTGCGACCTTGACTCTAACCTGACCATCACCAACACTTGGAACAGGTACCTCCTTAACCTTTAGTACATCTGATTGTCCAAATTGTTCAAAGATAATTGTTTTTGATGTTGAAGTTGACATTATTATTATTGTATTTGATTGAATGATTGATTGAATAATTGTTTGTTTAGATATTTGATTGAATTATTAATTGTTTGTTTGTTTGATGATTTAAGGATATGATGTTGAATGAATATAAATAATGAATGGTCACTGGATTGATTGGATAGGCTGGAAGTCGATGGAATTCGTGTTGGACAATGGTGGGGGTTGAAGATCGTTTGGGTGAGTGGGGTGGGTGATTCATGAACAACTTGCAAAAGCATTCTACAAACTTTAGAATGATTTTGAGAATGACACGCATTGTGTGGTGCGCGTGGTGGGGTTGAAGACTGTTGGACTTCATAATGGAGACGTTCCAGGCTATTGCCTCTTTTGGAATTGGCATGAAGAAGGTATCTGGCCCAAGTCAAGACATAATATTGCCACATAGCGAGGATGTGTCGGAATGGAACTGACATGATGAACAAAGTTCCAATGTGTTTTACTGTTTGATGATTGATTGATCACGATCACGCTCACGATCATTTGATTGATGTTGATGTTGATGTTGATTATGTGAAGTGTTTGGGTTGGATAGGGTATAGGGATGGATTGGATTGGTTGTGAGATAGGCTTTGGTTGGGTCGTGCAGGAGGAAGGAGAGCGAGGAGTGATTGTCGTGACTGATTGATGAGGTGTAGGTCGATCGATTGGATAATGGAGCACAGTCATAGACCGCTCCGGCAAAGCTAGGGAACTTCAACAATGATATACACTCATTGGCACGTGATATCACCTGTGCATCAAAGTATTGATGATAGCTCAGTATCTTGAGCAGGCAGAGTATCACACGACTGGTGGCCTCGTGCCATCGCGACGCGATCTTGGTCAGCGCGCTAGTTAGGATGAGCATGATGTTGGCCGACTCCATGGACATGGCCGACGACGTGCCTGTCAGCACGGACGCATCGCGTGTCATCTGTAGCTGGTTGGCCATGCCTGGCGTGAGCGACGAGCTGGTTGCGCCCGACAGCGACTCCATCTTGATCAGATTGATCTTCTCGTATGCGATCAATTCCAGCGCCTCGTGATAGTCGTTGAAGATCACCGAGTTGATCTCGGGGCAGATCGATGTGGACGCGTACTCGCCAATGATCCAGCAGAGCACGGTGACAACGTCGGCGTTAGCGCGGCCCTCTGTGACCATCGAGATCAACAGGTCACGCTCGCTGACCACCAGTGACGGGTGTCGATTGAAAACCGACTGCAGCTCGCCAATCAATGTCTCCTTGATCGCCGTTTGATAGGGCTCGAATGGGAATGTTTGATCGATGCGCTCCAGCAGCACTGGCAGCAGCGCGACAAACACCGATCGGTCGCCATAGCCAAGCAGCACGTCAAAGTAGATGTGTAGCAGCGAGGGCACGAGCTCGCATGCGCCAATGGTGCGTGGTGTGGTCGGTGTCTTCTTGCTGAACTGGTAAAGCAGGGGCAGGGTGGTGGACGACCAAAAGTTGATGTTGACGCCACTCTCATTTCGCAACAGATAATTGTACAGTACACGGTATTCGCTCCAGGCCGTGTCATTCACATCGCCAACGTCCACGCCACCCATCGACGCGTACTTCCTCTGCTCGACCAACACCGACTCCATCGACGAAGTCAACAGAGGCAAGTCCAGCAACAGATGGAACACCTCAATATAAGTTGATGGTGATATCAATGATGGTAATAACTCTGAGAACTCACTATGTTTGATTGATTGATTAGTACATGGACTTGTGGGTTGGGTTGATCAGTGAGTACTTACGCAATGTGGCTGTGAGGGAACCATGCCAGACACTTGAAGATGGGAGGGAAGTACAATCCAAACACATTGGTGTCTTTAAGTAAGTTGTCCTTGTTCTTGATACAGAAGTTGAGTGTCTCGAATGCCACGAATGAGTTCATATCTTGATTGATCGATGGTGTGGGGCAAAGTGTTAATTTATGGGAAGGAATAATTCCAATCCAACACTCAATCAATAACTACTTACATGTTCTTGGAAGGTAGGTCTGGAAGTATGCACGGAACAATGGCTCTGGATCATAGATTAGGGTGTGACTATGATTGACAAAGAATTGGAGGAGTGCGAGAAGGACGTGACCAGAGTTGGCGTTGGTTGTGCGACTTGATGGTAGATGGAGTTGGTATGCCTTCTGTACAGTGGGGAAGATCTTTGGAACGAGGTTGATGTCCAGACAGCATAGAAAGTCAAGTATGCGCACAGACTCCAACAGTGCAATCACTGACAAGTTGTCTGTCTCGCCAACTACCGGCTTGCCACCTTCGCCCACGGGCTTCAGCTTGGACTGATCAATGATCCTCAGACAATATGATACTATTGTCGATTGGAAGTTGGCACTTAGTTGGCGTGTTGTGGCAACTCCTGCATCTGAGTCCAAAGAAGTTGAAGTCGACTGTGAAGTGATGACGGGTGATGACGATGATGGAGAATCTGTGAACTTGAGTGTCTGCTCTGTCGCTGGCTGCTTGTAAAGACTTGTGAGCCATGAATATAACAAACTGAATGAATATATGTTGAATGATTGGTCCTCGGTGTAGACCTGTGCATTATTCAATACTGTGAAGAACTCAATCGATACTGATCCATCCAGCTCAGTGACTGGTGCGGCTGTTGAGCTGCTTCCAATCTTAAAGACTGTGAGTGTGTTAGGTTAGTTATGATTGATTGGATTGATTGAGTGAATGAGTGAGTCTTACATCCTGCAGATTGCTTCTGATCAGAGACTAGGGAGGCATGTGATAGACATTGACCAAGTTGTGACTCGATCGATTTGAWTTTGGCTGGCAGTGATCGAGTCTGAGAAGTGTCGAGCACATAATAGAAGTGATGGCATGGAAGAAGGTCTCAAAACAGGGTCCTGCATTGATATTGATTGTACAATCAATGGAATGTTTCCAACAAACAAAGATGATTGTCCACCTGTGTTATTAGCAGTCGATATCAATAGTGACAGTAACAATGACAACACCTTGCTTTCGAATGTCTTGAGGCTACATGTGTGTGTGTGGGGAGAGGTTGGGATCATTCCAGTGGGGGAGGGGGAGGGTGAGGGGTCATCAGTATGGGATCATTCCATCCATTTCCGAATCAATCAAACACTTACTTCTTATAAAGTAGTTGTGGCTCACTCTCTGATATCTTGGCAATGATGGACAATGAGAGTATCTTGACCTTGTATGGTGTGTTTGGATCAATGATCAATGTAGTCCTGGTCATGTGCCAATGATTGAATGAATGTCAGTATGACCATGCTTGGTTTGGTTCGAGTCCACTCACCCGTGCCATCATTGCACTTTGAGCAACAACTTACAACTTCTCAACAAAGCTTGGATTGACCTTGAGTGCCTTTTGTTCATTGGTATGATAGTCAGCCATTAGGGAGTTGTAGTTGATGGCAATGCGATAGAGTTGTTTGAGTAGGTCTAGACATTCTCGCACCTTTGTATTCTTCAATGCTATTGTTTCAATCTTGTATAACAACTCTTTCAAAGTGTCCTCTGTTGCCAACTGTTGCTGCTGTTGTTGTTGCTGTTGTTGATGTAACTGTTGTCCAACAGCCATCGCTGAAGGAGGAATATGCATAGACATGTCTTATCTATCTATCTTTCTATGTTTGTTATAACTTTATCAATGTACTATTAGTTTTAATGAATGATTGAACATTGGACCTGAGATGTGACTGATCAAAAATGGAAATGAACTTTCCAAATAGATTTTAATAAACGCAACTCCAATTGATCACACATTAGCCTCTTGACCTCATCACAATATAATATGATGGTTTGTAATTTAATCTTATTTACTTCCCTTGTTATTATTTGTTTGAAAAGCAAATATAAATATATATGATGGCGAGAACAAAGGCAACTGCAAGACCATCATATAAACAACTTCCAAAACATGTCAAGGCTGCACTAGATGTGAAGATAGTAGATGCAGTAAAAGTCGATGAACTTCATTCTACAGTATGTTAATCATTACATCACATCACATCACATCACATCACTTGGTACTTGATTGAGTGAGTGACTAACTCACACCATGGAACTATCCCACCACCACTCAATCACTCAATCAATCAATCTATCAATTACCCCATGCTCACTCATTTAGGGACAATACATCATGTTGAAACTATATACAAATATAATGTTTGTAGTTGACAAGGCTGCACTGGATATGCGAGCCGTGAATGATATTGCAAATGACACATTCTCTTCAAAGTTGTTTGTTGATATCACAAGTGGCCGCGCTCCAACAATGTGTTGCCACTCTTCGGAACATGTTAGGGAACTCAAGTTCATGGCATCATTGATTCGTCAAATATTGAGAACCTCACCTGGTGAAGTGATTGAGAAGTTGGCGTTGGATGATGTCGAGGGTGCTGATCCAGACATACACCCAACCAAAGTCTATCCAGTGATGTTCAGCGGGTACATCAATGGCTACCCAATACTATTCTGCAATCATGGTGATTGGTCAACAAGTTGTCTCGATGGCGCAAAGGTAGTGTCGGTGACGGCCAACGTCACGTACAACATCACCAATCCCACGTCTTCTGATGAGGAAGACGAGTCACCAACTCTGGAAAAAGAGGCAGCAAAACTTTTCCAATTCATGTATCCAGCTTCATTGGCGCAGTTTATCGAGCCCACTGTCGTCCAATGGCGCGAAATATTCATGGACAACTGGAACAAAGTTTCGAAGGCAAGCGATGCCCAGGCCCCAAAGTCAAAGAAGACGCCAAAGTCCAACCCCATTTATATCGAGACATTATCTATTGACTCAAGGACCATCACATTGGGCAAGGGACCCATGTATATCAGGAGGCCTGATATGAATTCCAAGTGGAAGGCTCAGGATGTCAACTATAATGGAGTGTTTGGTACTTTCGTATCCAGTGCTGAGCTGCCACCGCCATTGGCACACCAATGTTCGCCACTGCCTGACACAATCATGTTTGGTATCATCGTTGGCATGCTGTGTCGGGCGTGTTCCCGAAGCAATTACCTGTGGCGGTGGCGTCTGTCACTCTCGCTCGTCTCCAAGAAGTGGCACCAATACATCAGCACAAGATTCAATGATCATCTCGTCATCAAGTCGGCCAAATCACTTGTTGACTTTTTGGACCACCACTTTGATCGGAGTGATGATGGAAGGGTGGAACCATTCCGTCATCATTTCCAATATCATCGATCAAAGATTACATCCTTGGCAGTTAGAGGTGTCGATTATACGATGATACTGAAGCTACATAAGCACGAGTTGTCATCTGGACTGCTTGGCAGCTCGTTGCAAACACTGATGGCATGTGCATCATTCATCGAGTACATCACCAGGTTCTGCACACAGCTGGACTCGTTGACATCACTCACCATCACTTTGGACTCTGACACTGACTTGCCGGCAATGGAGAAGATCGCCACACGTCTTGATGCAGCAATGTCCAACCAAAACAATCAGACGCGAATCAAGAAGCTGAGACTGTGCATGGAGTCTGCGGAAACGGATGTGTTTGTAAGATTGCGACCGTTCATCTTCCACCCGATCTTTAGTGATCTCCAATCGCTTGGTATCTTCATCCAGTATGGAGAGAAGATAGAGTTTAATGACCTGTTCACTGAGCTTCCCAAGCTCACCAAGTTGGAGTCACTGGTGTTCAACTTTGACCGGGAGGAACAAGTACTGTTCTCTGAGCCCTGTCTGGCCTATCTCAAGCAGGCCAGTACACTCAAGAAGTTCAAAATAGACACAGAAGTGAGCGTTGAACTGAGGCAATACCTACTTCAGGCGCCACCATCGACATGCTCAATCAAACATCTAAGTCTTGGGTTTGAAGTGTTTGACATTCCCATCACTCGACCTCTGGACTCACTCATCATGCACGTGATGAGTCTAAAATCAAGCACTCCACAGGTCATTCAATCACTCAATCAAGTGAGCAACATTGTTGTTAGTGAATGGATGCCAAGTATCATTGCATTGAACGTACATACAAGATGTTCATTGACATTGTACATTGATCACTACCACTCTTCATCAAAAGTTAAACAAATTATTGAAGGGATACAATCAAATACCAGTCTACAATATCTCTACATCATTGGATTGGACAAAGAACATCCAAAGTACGATGACATTGCTCTGGCCATTAACAAGCATCCAACAATCATCAACAAGTCTATATGGTCACTACATCGTAGTCCGTCTCCAAAACCAAAGTGGGTAGAATGGCATATGGATATTGATAGGTATAATTAAATAAAGATAATGGATATGAAAGGGCTCGTCTTTTTTGGGATATTTTTGTTGATCAAAAAGGACTCAATGATCACATTTTAATCTAATCTTAATAACTTCCCTTGTTATAATAATATGAATAAATATAGGAATGGTGAGAATAAAAGTAAGGCCAATAAGACAACCTCTAAAACATGTCAAGGCTGCACTTGATCTGAAGATAGTTGATGCTGTAAAAGTGGATGGACCTCATTTGTCAGTATGTATGATCACATCACATCACATCATATCACTTGGTACTTGATTGAGTGACTCACCCACCCCTTTGGAACTATTCCACCACTCACTCACACACTCACTCAATAAATCAATCAAGAGTGATTACTTTGTTCTCAATCTTTATTCAAAGATAATATTTGTAGTGGATAAGGTAGCACGCAAATGACACATTCTCTTCAAAGTTGTTTGTTGATATCACAAGTGGCCGCGCTCCAACAATGTGTTGCCACTCTTCGGAACATGTTAGGGAACTCAAGTTCATGGCATCATTGGTTCGTCAGATATTGAGACACTCACCAGCAGGTTCAGCGATTGAGAAGTTGGCGTTGGATGATGTCGAGGGTGCTGATCCAGACATACACCCAACCAAAGTCTATCCAGTGATGTTCAGCGGATACATCAGCGGCTTCCCAATACTATTCTGCAATCATGGTGATTGGTCAACAAGTTGTCTCGATGGCGCAGAGGTAGTGTCGGTGACGGCCAACGTCACGTACAGCATCACCTCATCAGGACCTTTGAGCAATTTGTCAGCCCCACTGTTCCAATTCATGTATCCAGCTTCATTGGCGCAGTTTATCGAGCCCACTGTCGTCCAATGGCGCGAAACATTCATGGACAAGTGGAACAAGGTGTCGACGGCGAGCGATGCACAGGCCCAGACACAGTCGCCTAATGCCAGATATCTCAATACATTGACGATTGACACGAAAACAACCATATTGTACAGTGGACCCACGTACGTTAGGCCTGATGTGAAGGCCATGTTGAAGACTTCAGGTAGGAGTTATAGTCGCGCTCTTGGTACTTTCGCATCGAGCGCTGAGCTGCCAACGCCATTGGCACACCTATGCTCGCCACTGCCTGACACCATCATGCTAGGCATCATCATTGGCATTCTGTGTGGGGCTTGCTCCCGTAGCGAGTACCTGTGGCGATGGTGTCAGTCATTGTCGCTGGTCTCCAAGAAGTGGCACCAATACATCAGCAAGAGATTCAACGATCGTCTCGTCATCAAGTCGGCCATATCACTAGTTGACTTTATCCACCACCATAAACATATCGATAGGAGTGATGATCAAAGTATGGAATCATTCCAATACTTCCAATATCATCGATCAAAGATAACATCCTTGACGATTAGTGGTGTCGCTCATACAATGATGCTGAAGCTATACAAGCACGAGTTGTCATCTGGACTGTTTGGCAGCTCACTGCATACACTGATGGCCCCTGCACCGTTCATCGAGTACATCACCAGGTTCTGCACACAGCTGGACTCGTTGACATCACTCACCATCATCTTGGAACCTGACACTGACATACCAGCAATGGAGAAGATCGTCACACGTATGGCCATGGCCATGTCATGCCCCAAACAAGATCAGCTAGGCATCAAGAAGTTGAGATTATGCATGAAATATGCGGAACAGGATGTGTTTGATAAACTGCGACCATTCATCTTCCACCCGATCTTTAGTGATCTCCAATCGCTTGGCATCTGTATTAGCAAAGGAGACGAGGAGATACAGTTCAGTGCCCTATTCACTGAGCTTCCCAAGCTCACAGAGTTGGAGTCACTGGTGTTCAACTTTGACCGGGAGGAACAAGTACTGTTCTCTGAGCCCTGTCTGGCCTATCTCAAGCAGGCCAGTATCATCAAGAAGTTCAAAGTGGATATACCAGTGAGCCTTGAACTGAGGAAATACCTACTTCAGGCGCCATCAACTTGCTCAATCAAACATCTAAGTCTTGGGTTTGAAGTGTTTGACATTCCCATCACTCGACCTCTGGACTCACTCATCATGCACGTGATCAACCTGCAATCAAGCACTCAGCAAGCCATTCAATCACTCAATCAAGTGAACAACATAGTTGTTGGTGGATGGATATCAAGTATCATCGAATTGAACATACATACACGATGTTCATTGACATTGTACATTGATTTCTACACGCCATCATCAATGGTTGAACAATTTATTGAAGAGATACAATCAAATACCAGTCTACAATATCTTTACATCATTGGATTGGACAAAGAATATCCAAAGTATGATGACATTGCCAAAGCGATTAACAAGCATCCAACAATAATCAACAAGTCAATATGGTCATTACATCGAGTTGGTCGGTATCCAATACCAAAGTGGGTAGAATGGTATAAGGATGTTGGCAGATATTAATAACATTAATAAATTATCTCAATCTCTATCTCAATCTCTTTCTCGAAATTGAATGACTTAGAGATTGCGTGTGTTGTCTTCAAAGTTTTCGAGTTCCTTTGGATTCAATCCATTTCACAAAGATTCAATGTTTACAACAACATAGACATAATTAACATATATCATCATATTATTGTATCACTATAACAATAACAACAGCGTTAAATGCTTTGAACATAGAAACAGAAGAATGTCAACACAGAAGAACGACTTTCAACCAATTCAGGACACTGTCAAGATCAAGCCTCCAAGAAAGCTCAACTATGAGTATCTACAGCCACTTGCTGCTGCTCCCATCATTGGTCTGAGTATGTGTACATTGTCATCACAACATTCATTCGTCATTCATACTTACCCTCGTTTCATCTTTTAGTCAAGTTTGTCGGTAGAGACAGATATCCAAGAGTAAACGCTGCCCTCTATGGATTAACTGTTGGCGCTGCATTCATTCATGGTGCATACATGCTGTAAGTGATGAAACGTGGACTGACGTTGACTTGTGTCATATTCATACTCATACTCATACTCAACAAACCATCACAACGAACGATATCTAGCAACAAGAGTTATGGCAACTTGGATGAGCGCTAAGTCATTCAAGACTCGCTTCTCTCTCTTTACCAGTGTGCTCGCTCCTCTTTTGACCGACCAGACAGTGTCATTGAGGAATCGGCTATCGACACCATCAAGTTTAAATACAATACTATTGTCATTGTGCACTCGACGACATAGCCATAATACCTCGTTCTACATGTTCTTTTATATAATATTTATTTACTTCCTATTCTTTGTAGGATAGCCCATTGGATTGTTGGTGCAATGATGTTGGAGTAGCTTCATGACATCGGTGTTGAGCTCGTCTGGAACGTCCTCTTTGCTAAGTGCCCAATTGTAAATGTCGGGGTCTGGCTGCTGAATGAGTATGTCGTAATCGCGCAACTGTTGTTCGGTCAATGTAGCAATGTTCTTTGTGGCGAATGTTCCAAGCAGTAGATCGTTCTCAAGCATTCCTCTCTCCTTGCTCTGCCACAGCAGTCTCTTTCTCATCTTCTCCACGTCGGTCAGTGGTGCGTCGGGATCAGTCAATGACGAATATCCAGCCTGAGGCATATACCTCAGTGTCAGTGTACTCGACTGTGTTAACAATGTTCGCGTCGTTGTGCTAATCACTCTTCCTAACATCTTGTTTGTTTGTTGTTATCTCTATGTTTGAGTGGCAAGTCGAATGTCTTGTGCAATGACTGTCGACGCGACTTTGAAATCGAATCTGAATGTTTGTGAAGTTGAAGTCTCTTCGCCACGCATTCATTCAATCATTCATTCACTCTTCATTCATACATATACAATATACAGATACAGATACATATATATACGATGGACTTGTTTAGTCATTTGAATTGGTATAGAGGAACAAGGGATGATGGCGCACCCCTCAAGTGTATACCGCCAGGCAAGCTTATTGCGGTGACAGATACATTGGAGGCCGAAGGCTCATTCATTATACATGATGTATTGCAATCGATTAGTAAGCGTGATGATATGGCAACTTGCTTGCTCGGTCTACATCAGAGTCTGTTTCACTATCATAGTGTTGGCAGGAAGCTCGGCTACAACCTGACGAACGAGCATCAGAAGGGCCGCTTCTCATTCATCAATGCACTGCACAACTCATACTCGTGGATCGATCGCTTGCAGGCTGAGGCGTTGGAGGAGGCCGGCATCGACGAGGCCGGTCCACTCGACAACATATCCAAGGGCTTTCAGCCATTCCCCACGAGCACCATATCGAAGCATCAAGGCTCAGTCAGTCAGTTCCTCAACGATGTGTTCAACGCCTTTGTCAATGATCATCAGGCAAGAGTGGCAAAGATGGCATCAACTGGCAGTGGCGGTAACATGCAGACATTGTTCATCATTGACAACTTGAACCTTTTGAGCAGCTTTGGTGGCTGTCGCGATCTGGACTTGTTGCACTTCTTGCAGACCCTGCACACATATGTCGGCGAACAGGGTGATTGCAGTGTACTGTTGCTCTTCCATTCAGACTGCAACGTTGACGACACATTCTTCAAGTTGCTTCAATACGAGGCTGACCTTACGATAAACATTGGTGGTCTCAAGTCTGGTTACTCAAAGGATATAGATGGACAGGTAATGTTCTGATTCGTATGACAGGAAGTGTAGTGCTAGTGACTGACTCAACCATCACATTATATAGATTGAGTTCCTTCAAAAGATGGATGATAATACATTGCATAGATTGAGTCCTATACTCTATCAGGTGTTGGACAACAATATTAGGTACTTTGCCATGGGTTCTAGGATATAGATATATACAATTGGAGCAGCGATCAAGAATCAACCGAACAGTCAAGATACCATCCATTGGGTACCATCCAAATCAACACAAACATAAATGTAAATAGACATACAATCATTCAATCATTCAATCAATGGACCCATTGAATGGCCTGGCCCTCAAAACACAATCAATCAATCATTCAATTATTCAATCATTCAATATGTCGTGATCAATCATGTGAGTAAGTGTGTGTGATGGTGTCGACAAGTGTTATTGCGAATCCTCCAATAGCGTGGATCATTGTCCTATTGGTTGTGTGACCACCCAATGTGATCGATCATTTATGTATTCCAGGGTGATCAGTGTGTGTTGATGTGGTAGTGGACCACTGATCTCAATAATGAATCCTATTACATTGGGTCTAATTGTCATTATCCATTCATTCTATCTTTGTATTAATAATAATTGGAAAGATATAGATAGAGCAAATGACAATAATTAGTATGTACTTCCCCCAATAGAGTTATAATAAAGACTTACTAATATAACTTATGAATGTACATTCATTCAGAGGTTTTATCATCTCTTGGTAACATTACTACTTCAGCAGTTGGTATTACAACAAACAAGAATACCAAGATAATATCTTCTACGACAAGTTCTCAGACTCTGATCAATTTAGGACAAACTGGAAATAATGTTGCCATGACCCAGAATGATTGGGATAACATGTTTGGAGGTGATGAAGATCCATTCACATCATGGTGCTACTACTATTAAACATTAACTATCAATCAGCAGTGCCACGTAGTGACATGCTTTTGATGATTTAATGATCCATCCATGTTCAAATATTCTGATAACCTCCATCACCATGGTTCTCATTCAATGTGAAGGTCAATGAGCAACAGAAACAGCATAGGTAGACAAGGTTGCAGGCAAGTAGTAGGGTGGAGACTACGATTGGAGCAATGTAAATGTCAAGGCCAAGGGAGTACTGGTAGAGGGATACATCATTGGGAGTATCGGAATGGTAGTAACACTTGACTGTCCTTGTGGTGGAGCAGTAGTTCTGAGCATAGGACATATTGTTGGTACCAATATAAGAGTCCAAATTGTAGTATTGTTCAATGTAGAGTAGTGCGGCTTGGACATGGATCAAATGGCATACCAATCCAGGTTTGTTGGTACTTGGATTCTCGAGATCTTCTTGGCATTCAGTTGTAGTTGTAGTAGTATTGGCTATTGTACAACTTGTCACTAGACAATCATCACTCCTCTGATTCTCAACAGCATGTTTATATTGGAGTACACTCAATATCATTGTACCCAAGAATATCAGAGTAAGTATTAATGTAATATAATAACCTCTTCCAACTTTAGGCATTATTAATCTCCTCTTCTATTATTTGTTTGTTTTTTTGTTATATTAATGTATGAATGGATGGATGGATGAATGAATTAATGATAAGGAGTGTACACTTACATTACAGGCTCTACTCTTTAAAGAGACAGCGGGATCTGTATTACCATTTTAGGTCAACATCCATCAACTTGTCTTTCTTTGGGGTGAATGTGTGTCGACACACAAACACAGCAACAACGATAACCCAATCATCATTGTTACTTAGGCTTGCTTGCGTTCAAGTGCATAAGTGTGGGAGTATCCATCAACTCGTTAATGATGGATAAAAGTAACAATGTTGTTGTTGTTGTCACAACGTTTGGAGCCATGAGAATGAACTTGAGCTCGCCAAACTTTATACATTTAGAACATATTGTTCCAATTGTATATATCTAGTATTGTATATCTTTCTATCTGTATGTTGTTAATGCAAAAGCATCATAAACTAACTACTAGTTAGTTACTAGTAGTCAATACATCTTTTTATAGAGTCTGCAGAATGAATCAGAATTAATGTGTTGGTGAAAAACAATTCGCTGAACCTGTTTCAAAGAGTTTGATTTGAGGTCTGATCCAGTGTGAGTAATGGTGGGTGAACTTGAGAAAGTGGAAAACAAGTAGAGAGCTCCAGATGATATATTTAGATCATCAAACAAATATATATTGATTGATGATTGACAATGAATCAATCATCAAATCAAACTATCAATCAATTAAATATATATAGATATATATAATATAATCATATCAATCAAACAAATTAAATTAAAAATGCAACACATTAAGATCGTAGTTATTGGAGATGGAGCCGTTGGAAAGACATCAATGTTAATCAGTTATACTACAAATGGACTTCCAAGTGATTATCAACCAACAGTATTCGATAATTATTCAGCATTGGTCATGTACGACAAGAAGCCATATAATCTTGGATTATGGGATACTGCTGGTCAAGAGGACTTTGATCGTCTGCGACCATTGAGTTATCCACAGACCGATGTATTCATCCTTTGCTACAGTGTTATCAATCCAAACTCATACACCAATGTCTGGGACAAGTGGTACAAGGAGATCACCACCTACTGCCCAAACACACCAGTGATTCTCGTTGGCGCCCAGAGTGACCTGAGGACCAACACAGTTATTCTAAATAGATTGGCCGAGAGGAAGCAGCAGGCTGTTACAACAGAGATGGGCGAGCAAATGGCCAAGAAGATTGGTGCTGCCTTCTTTTGTGAATGCTCAGCTTATACACAGAAAGGTCTACATAGTGTATTCGAACGTGTAATTGACTCATATTATGGAAAGACATCTTATGCACCACTTTCAAAGAAGGACAAGAAGAAGTTGGTTCAAAAGAAGTCATCATCACTATCATCAAACATGGGTCCAACTGCAAAATTAGAGAAAGAGAAGTCTAAATGCTCGATAATGTAAATAATATATATAATAAATAAATATTTATGTAAATAATAATAATTAATCAACCAGACTTGAGTTCCTGAACTTCAAATTAAGATTCAAAAATATCTTCAAAATGGGAAAAACGAGGTTCTTCGTCTTTTTTGGAGTTTTGGGGTCACTTCACTTGAGTCCAATCACTTGGCCTGTTCTCAACATTACTGTCTATCTATCTCTTTATTCATTCATTCATTCATATACGTGTAGAGTGTGTTCCAACAACAATATTTATTCCATTATACCATCACAATCGGTTCGGGTAAATACATCAATTCATTGTTCGGGCCAATCAATCATTCCATTCAATCGTTCAACCAATCATTCAAACATACACCATCAACTTCAATCAACATCAACATCAACATTATATTACATCATAAACATATTATACATAATACTATGGTAGACTTTAAAAAGTTGGCAACAAGCAAATCAGCATGGGCGCTGGCACTTGGAGGTGGCGCAACATACTTCCTTTATCAATTCTTCACGATGCCCAATGTGTCAAATGCTGAAGGTGGTAGTATTGCATTCAAGGCTGCACCACAGGGTCAACAAGGACAACAACAACAGCCAGCAAAGAAGAAGGAGAGATACGTGGCGCCGACCGATCCCTCGCGCCCCGTGCTGATCCTGGTCGGCACCGAGTACGGTCTGTCACACGAGGTTGCACAGAAGCTCGAGCAGGAGATTGGTCAGCTGACTGGCATCTTTGCACGCATCGTCGATATGGAGGAGTACGAGATGGTCAACTTTGCCAAGGAGCAGCTGGTCCTGGTCATCACCTCGACATATGGTGACGGTGTGCCTCCCACGACCGCCCGTCCCTTCTTTGACTACCTCGAGGCCAACTCACTGGACCTCGCTCACTGCCAGTTCTGTGTATTGGCGCTGGGAGATCGCTCATACCCCCTGTTCTGCCAGGCGGGCAAGACCATGGACGCGCTGTTTGAGAAGTCTGGCGCCAAGCGTCTGCAAAACAGAGTCGAGGTCGACCAGGAGGACTGGAATGTGTTTGATCGCTGGATCGACTCGGTCGTCAAGATGCTGCCCTCACTCAATCTGGAGGAGAAGGAGGACTACCTGTACGAGGTGGCCAAGTCCTTTGCTCTTGCCGCTGGCAAGCACAACAAGAAGGTGCCATACTCATCAAAGCTGTTGGTCAAGCGTCTGCTCACCTCGGGCACTGGCGACAAGGAAGCCTTCCACTTTGAGTTTGTCCTGGGCGAGTCTGAGCTCAAGTGGCGTCCAGGTGACTCGCTAGCCATCCTCCCACACAACAAGCAGACCGAGGTAGACGCCATCATTGCCCTGCTCAAGGTGTCCGCTTCGACCAAGATCAACACACCATCGTCGCACTATCAAGAGAAGCTTGGCTCTGCCAACCCTGCTCAGATCACCCTATCCCACGCTCTAACCAAGTGCTACGATCTCCACAACCTGAAGCCTGAGCTTCTGACCCTGCTCCGCGACCATTCCAAGAACGACTCTGAGAAGCAACGTCTGGTTCAGTTGCTCAAGGAAGGTGTAAGTGTAGCCCAGACACGTGCTGTGAGCAAGGACTTAATTAAGTATTAACATGCTGGCCACATCATCATAGACGAGCAAGACCAATGTAGCACTTCACAAGTATCTTGAGGAGCATCACCTAGTGGATGTGCTCAAGCAGTTCTCATCAGCTCGTCCACCAATCAATGATGTTATGGGTGCACTCGGAAAGTTGTTGCCACGTTACTACTCCATTGCCTCGTCTCAATCACATGTATGTCCATCTCTCACACACTCGCTCGCTCATTCAATCAATCAATCAATCACTAACACTCACTTACTTGATAGAATGACAAGACAGTCTCATTATGTGTGGCAGTTGTAAGATATCAACTGCATGGCAGCGATAGGATTGGTGTGGCCAGCACACATATGGCCGATCGTTTGGCTATTGGCGATGAATGCTCGATCTATGTCAACAACAACCCAGACTTCCGTCTGCCAGAGGACCCCAACACACCCATACTGATGATTGGACCAGGCACTGGTCTCGCACCATTCATTGCCTTTATTCAGGAGCGAGTCAAGCAGCAGGCGACGGGCGACATGCACCTCTACTTTGGCAGTCGCTCCAGCCAGATCGACTTCCTCTACGGCAATGAACTGCAGCAGTACGCGCAAGCCGGCACCATCAAGCTCAACACGGCATTCTCTCGCGAGGGTCCCGCCAAGGTCTACGTGCAGGATCGTCTGATGGAGAACTCGGAGCAGGTGGCCGAGCTCATCAAGGCTGGCGGACACATCTACGTCTGTGGTGATGCCAAGAACATGGCGCCAGACGTCCACAACACACTCAAATCAATCCTAGTCAAGCATCAACACTGTGCCGACGAGCAAGAGGCCGAGGTCCATCTCCATCACATGGAGAAGTCAAAGAGATACCAGAAGGATACTTGGTTCTAAGAATGTCGTCCATACATTATTAAACTACTTTGATTGGTTGATCAAGTCCTGGATATGACCAATCCAATTGATGCGCGCCAAACACACATTCAGTCTAGTTTAGTCCATTCCAGTCCAGTACTTTATTGTTGTTGCTTCCAGATCTTGACATACTCGACGATGTTCTTCTGAGGGAATACTGAATTCTTGTCGGGATCACCTGGCCATCCTCCACCGATGGCAGTGTTGAGTATCATGTAGAATGTTACATCATTGGGGAATCTAGTTGTTGGATTATTCTTCAAATCAAGGATATTGTATGGAATATTATCAACCATGCTACAAGTCATCCGATGGTACATGTTAGTATACATACATACTCATCACTCATTCAATCAATCAATTACTTACAATACAATCAGATCAACATCCCAAATTACACTGTAAAGATGGAACTCAGTGTTGAGTGTGGACACATCAGTAGTGTTATAGACACTACCCATGTTTGAACAGTTGTTGGTCTCATGGTATGTTCCCCAAATGATCTTATCATCTCCAGTGTTCTCCATGATATCAATCTCGCCTAAAGTGTGTGATTGAGCGTGTGAGTGAGTTGTGGGCGAGTGATTGGAATCATTCCATCTCATTGATTGAACATACGATAGAAATCACATGTAGACTCCAATGAGTATAACCAGAATGCTGGCCAATAACCCTTTCCAAGGGGAAGTTGCATCAAAGCTTCGAAACGACCATAGACCACATTGAGACTGCCAGATGTATCCATGCGGCATGACGTGTAGTTGAATCCCTAGAGTCGACAATCAATCAGTATGAGTGATGACGATGTACACATACATAGAGTGACTACTTACATATAACTTGCTATAGTTACTTAATAGAACAAGTTTACCATCTTCGATGAAACAGTTCTCTGGTGTGTAGAATTGAAGTTGGGCATCACCAGGGGTGTAGTTGGTGAGTGTCCATACATTGGTATCAATGTGAGTGGCATTGAACTCATCCTCCCAGTATAGATTCCAACCGTCATAGTCAACTGGCACACCGATAGCATATGGATGTGCACATGTCAACCAAACATTATTGCTAACAGTCAACAATGTTATCAACAATGTCAACAACAATGTTGATGATACCATTGTCCTCATTATTATTACTATTATATATATGTAAGTTGGTAAATAGAATAAATGATTGAATGAAGTGATCGAAATTTATAATGACGCAAAGATATTTGTTTACAAAAAACTAAAGGTAGTATCGGGCTTGGGTTCGGCCAGGTTCCGATCTGCGGAAGTGATCGGGCACGAATTTCCTTTTTTTGAAGTCCAGATATTTCCGGTATTGACAGGTCAGCCAGCCACCTCGCTACCATTATTATATTACGAAGGTGAAGGTCACTCAGGGTAACCAAGGACACTGGGGGGTCAACCCATCATAAAGAGTATTGGAACTGTGAAGGGCGTCACTTAGATCTTGAAGAGGTGATCGTGGACCGCCCAAATGTATCTCAGTAGTCTGTACTAGTTCGTCTGATCTTCTTCGGGTTTGACTTGAGTAGTGCCCAACAATTCGATACCAGGGATCGACAGGCAGACAGAGAGTGTTGATCAAACTTGTAGATTATAACCGAGTGTAATACAGGAGGTACTCCAGACTTGTTGTTGTTGTTGTCCCATGTCTTTGAAGAAGGGGTAGGCACCAACAGATTTCTGACCAGTGAGGAACTCTTCGAGTCGGATGAAGGTCATCTTTGAGCGCGCTTGCATTAAAGGCGATATTCAACTGATGCAACATATGATCACATCATCAAGCAGTGTGACAAACATATTATCGCCACTGGAAAACGCTTTGCACTATAGTACTTTGGACACTGTCACTTGGCTGCGGACAACAATGACATTAATGTTGAGGACAACGAAGGGTTTGTCGAATGGATACCTCCGTCGATTCAATCGTTGGCGCTCATCCAAAGACTCTTGTCCTTTTCAAACATCAAGTTCAAACAAAGGTCGTTCGAGAGTCTGGCAGTCGCTCACAACTACTTCCTACTTGAGTACCTCGATGTACACTTGGAGCAATCACGTCGGGAATACCTATTAGTATTCCAGAAGCAATCTCATCACATCACTCTCAACTATACTGAAATACTCCTTGAATGTCTCAAGGCCAACTTGCCCAACTCCTCAATCACTCCATCATTTGTTGCTGGATATCTGGCACGACATCCAGATGTGGTTATTGATTATGAAATGCTCCGTCTCGCCTTCACAGCCAGTGTCCAAGTTGGTCAACTGGTGCTCAATCATATTCCGCAACCGCTCGATCTCACCGACCTGTCCCTCATATCGTACGGTATGGCCAACCATCTTGATCTCCTCAAACAGTGGATTGTCAGCGACACCTACGTCTTCAAGCCAGTATACAAGCAGGGACCACGTCAGCCAACCAATCAGTCCACCTATCCACCTCTTGACTACGTAATCGAGAAGAACTTCGACCTGGCCATGCTGATTATTTCCAAGTATCCAACTGCTTGGTTGTTCTCCGCCTCTGCCATGATCGGTTCAGAACAGGAGGGAAACGTCGAGGCTCTATCATTCCTTCTTCAGAACAACACTGGCAACTACTCTACCGACCTCCTGATGTACAGTGGAAGGGGACCTGTCCATTGTCCAGCATCTCCACTTTACCAACACTCGATCTGATATCGTCAAAACTATGGAAGCTGCCGCCAAAGAAGGTCTGTTTGACACGATCAGATTTCTGTCATCTCATCGAACGGAGCCGTTTGGAGTCAAGCCCTTGGAGGCGGCAGCAAAAGGAGGACACATCGAAGTGGTGCACTGTCTCTGCCACAATCCAACTGTATTGCAGTGCAGCGATTGGGCCTTTGCAGGCTCTGTCAAGCATCCCCAAGTATTCCAATTCCTGGTCTCGCATTTCCCGAGCGACTTTGAACGCATGGACATTCAACGCTTGATGTATCTGACCAATGCATGCGATCGTGATCCGCAGACCCTCGTTCAGGTTCTGGATATACTTGTTCAGATGAAGGTTCAGCGCCTACAGATCAACGAACAACTAGCCATCAATATGAAAGATTTCTTGGCCATAGTCATTCGCCACAACTATCACATATGCCTCATTCGAACATTTGAAACATTCGATCTGACCAACTTGTTGTTGCCAGCATTGCATCTTTCCATCCAATATGGACAACTCCATCTCGTCCGGTATTTCCTCAACGCGTTTCGCAAAGATCAATAAACCAATCAATGGCCACGGTGGACAGTTGTGATTTGTTCACCTTGCCATCTCTGCACTTCGTCCCATACCTCTTGGCCTTTGCTGTTGAATCTTGGCAGGTGGTTTGGTCATGAACGTTGTGATTGAGCAAGGAATTACTCCAATTTGGAGAGGCTGAATCCATGGACCCAAGTAATGCAACCGCATTCTATAACCTTGGACTGACACTGTCGGCCAAGGGCGACATTGTCACACTTCCTGACCTTCCGTATGCTTCTCTTGAGGGTGATCCAGCTCGACCCAAGCCCAACTCGATACCCTTCAGAGAGCACTGTCTCTGTGTGATTGACTCGCCAGTGGCAGGTTGAAGAAGACGCCAAACATCAGAACAGTGAGAGTCGGGAAGTGCACCTGGCATGATGGGCGGGTTTAGGTTAAAGTCATTGTCGCAGTCGAGGATGAGTTCGAGGAGTGAGCGAGGCAATGCGCCGGGCGAGATCGGTGCGCTGCACGTCTCCAACCTCGTGAGCGACGAGGGAGTGCGCACAGGGCGGCGGGCGCCATGTTGCAGGGTTTGTCACGCTCCACCCAGGTGCAGCGCGTGTTTGGTGTTAGTAGTGGGTCGGCGGCGGGGCTCTAGTGACTGGCCTCTATATAGACCACCCATCGCGACCATTCATAGAGGTGTTGGTAGAATGCCTTGCATGTCAACGCGAATGAAAGCACATCGATCACTGCGCAGTCATTGTCCAGGCACTGCACTATCGACCGCAGCAGTAGAGGTGATAGCCTGTCCATCTGTTGTGTTCGAATACATCTTGGATAAAATTATGTGTTGGTTTTGAACTCATAACAGGGCAAGGGTTGATGAAACTCAATGATCAAAAAAAAAAACTAAGAAAACAATAAAAAACAAAACAAATCAAATGTTTTGAATGAACGAACGACAAAACAAACTTAACTTTTGCAATAATACACACAATCATCAACAATATATTAACTAAGAGATAACATATATATATATAAATATACATACACATAGAATACTATGACAACAACAACTACTTCGACAACTGTTGTCAATGCCTCTGATATATTGGATAACAACAAGTTTGGTTCAGGACATTTGGTTGAGAAGGACGATACACTCATCTACGATCTTAAGAATCTATGTGCATTCGATCACTCCAGTATAAATAGAGCAGAGTTTAAGTATGTTCATTCAATCGCGATCATTCACTCAATCAATCGTGATCACTCACTGACATCAATCAATCAATCAATCAAACATATTAAACAGAGAGGATGAAGAGGAGTATTTAAAGAAGTTGTCAAGAGATAATGTACAGTTGTTGATCACTAGATTGTTCCAATTGCCAATCAAGGTCATCGAAGAGGGTGCCATGGCTCTGTTGCCAAGTGACCTAAAGATAACTACACCAATTCCAAGAGAGAAGCCTGTATGTCTACATTTGATGACTTTTAGCATCATCATTCACATACTAACTATTATATGTTCATTTAATTAGTTGCCAGTCAATCAACAACAGACCAAGTGGGAGGCATTTGCCGCTCTCAAGGGTATCCAGAAGAAAGGAAAGAAGTCAAGAATGGAGTGGGACGAACATTATCAAGAGTACAGACAATCCTACGGTGCCAACCGTGCCAATAAGGATGAGGACTATATCATTGAAGCTAAAGCAGGTGATAGTATGTTATTGACATTGATATTGACATTGAATGTATGAATGAATGATGTATACTGACTCGAACTTATTCAAACTTATAACAGAGGTTGGAGATGATCCATTCGATAGAAGAGACGATGATAAGAAACAACGTGTGGAGAAGCAGAAGAAGAGAGAGTTGAGAAACTTGGAGACTACATCGATGCGTTCGAACGCAGGCATTGGCAAGGTGAAGGACTTTAGCAAGGATAATAGAATCCAGATGAAGACTGATATCAACAACACATTCAATGTGGCCAAGATCAGCACGGCCAGTTTGGGCAAGTTTGACAAGCAGTTGGACGGCGAGCGTTCTGCACCATCGCGTAACGTCAAGAAGCTGACTGGTCTGGGCGAGGACGGCAACGTCGAGGCCGAGAGCAAGTCCAACATGAAGCTGTTGGACCGTATGCTCAACAAGGAGCCACAGATCAACGTCGACAAGGCCACCAGCCAGTTCATCCAAAAGGAGCAAAAGGAATCCTACAAGAAGAAGTTCGATGGTAGACCAAACAAGAAGCAGAGGAAATAAACAATTTACCATAATATCTTCTTCCTTCGAATTACGAAATACTAACTAAGTCGATCAATCAATCAATCAATCAATATCAAGTCAACAAGTGACATCATTGTCTTCTATCTATCTATATATATCTCATTATGAATGATATACATGTATAAGTATAACAAAGAGATAGATAGAGATAGAGATAGAGATAGATAGTGCGAATAAGCAACAACAACAACAACCCGAGATCCAAATTGAAAAGGATACGAGAATTGTTGGTAAAAATCTAATTATCATAAAGTTTGTTGTTGTCGACAAACAAACAAACACACACAACACCAACAATCACCCCATTGCATCACAACCAAAGAAAGAGTGCTTTGACAAGTGGCTTCCTTCTGGGTGGGAACTTAATTAATTGAACTAACTATTGTTGGATGGTTTGTTTGAGGTGGCTGGCTTTAATGCTTGATTGATTGATTGAATGAAAGAATGAATGTTTGAATGAATGAATGAATGAGTTAGTGCGCTCCTACTGACTGAATGAATGATGTACTGCTCTCTCTCTCTCTAATACTCACTCCAACTTACACCTGTTCAAGTACCCTACGAGTTTGATGGGACATACCGTCGTTTTGTTTGTACATCCTCCTCTTGTATATTGATGGTTCTGAACCATTAACAACTATCACTCCACATACTACGTGCGCCATCTCTATCCATCCATCTATCCATCCAACAATCCATCCATCCGTCCCCATCATCAAACACCATCAATTAAATCAACTCTATCAATTATCAACAATAATATAGAGATTGATTGTTCATATCATATCATTTATATACATATATATATTATATATTTATTTATTTATTATACATACTTCACTCCAGACGAGTGGACGACTTGACTGACTGGTTGGACAAACACACACAGGTAGACACACAGTGACAGTCAATCAATCAATCAATCAATCAATCACACTTGGAAAAGACCTTGACACCAACCACTCAATAAGAGAGACCAATTGTTGGGAACAACAAAGGTCATGTCGATACTTCCTCGCAAGACAACCTCAACCTCAAACAGTGTAGTAACAACAACAGGATAATAATAATAATAACAACAAGGCAACAACCAGAAATATATTAATAATGGAAGGACAAGGAAGTGACTCTGACACTGGCAACAATAATAACAACAACATTGGGGAGTATAATTGTGATGACAATAATAACAATGCCAATACCATCAACAACAATACCAACAACAATAATATCAAGAATGTACACCACCAACAACAACAACAACACCAACAACATCAACAACAATATCATTATCAACAACAAGTCAGGTCAATTACTACATCAACATCATCATTGAGCATGTCAACAGACTCGGTGGAATCAGCAGGTAGCACTAGTTCAACGGGTACACGCTCGGGATCACCAGACCATTTGGAAAAGGACAGAACAAATGTCTTTGTAAAGTACTTGCCAAATGAGTATGGAGACTATGAACTATTCAATCTATTCTCACAGTTTGGCAAGGTAATGAGTGCCAAAGTGATGGTGGACGCCAAGGGCAACTCCTACGGCTATGGATTCGTACGTTTCTCCTCGCCCGAGGAGTCACGCGTGGCCATCGAACACATGGATGGCTATCCTCTACTACACAAGAAGTTACTCTGTCGTCTGTCCTACCTTTATTCCAATGGCAACAACAGATTCCCATCAAACAACCTATTTGTAAAGCTACTTCCAGCCGCAATGACTGATGGTAAGTTTATGGATTTATTGATTGGAATCATTCCAACACTCACTCATACAATCTGTCCAGATCAATTGAAGGAATTGTTCCAACCATTTGGAGAGGTAGTGGAATGCAAGGTTATGGTGGACAAGATGGGCCAGAGTAAGTTGGCTGGCTTTGTCCGATTTAGTCACGAGTTGGATGCAACCAGAGCCATCCAAGCACTCAATGGAACCAAACAAGGTGATTCACCAGCACTTGTTGGTAAGTCATTATTCATTCATCCATCCATCAATCAAAGATATTGACCTCACCAATATCCATCCATCAGTAAAATATGCAGAGAACGAACATCAGAAGACTCTAAGGAAACAGAGGAAATACTCTCTTAACTATCAACATCAAGTTCAAGTAATTATTCAACTCTGGAAGGTTCATATTGGGCCAAAACCTTGCTAACTCCATCACCTCCATGTCATGTCATTGTAGCAGAGTCAATATTATAACTATGTTGACCCGTATATATTTATTCCTTACCAACAGTTTTATGGATATCCATCGCCTCAGGATCCAAACTCAACTCCCCCTCACGCTCCAGTACAGGTAAATATTACCAACAATCCAGTTTCCATTATGAGTTTGCCATCAGCCAAACACTAACCCCACCCATGACGCAATCTCAAACATAGATATACCAACAGAATGCTCCTCCACCTCCTATTTATAATTATTACAACATTCCACCTCCGCAACACCAACAACATCATCAACAACATCACCAACATCAACATCAGCAACACCATCCCTCTGCGGCAGGTCCACCGCAAGGATACTATGTGGCAGCGCCTACCAACTTGGAGGAGGCATCGATGCATACGCAGCACATGTACAACCCATCCAATGTAAACGTAGCCACATCAACTCACCTCCCACCCTTATTTATTAGCCACCAACAGCATCCACATCATCACCAACAACATCATCAACACCCGCCGCCCCAACAATCATCTAGCGCTTCATCCGGCTTGAGTTCAAGCGGTCACATGAGACGAACAACCGGGAAGAAATACAAACAACCTCCCGCTTCCTCAGCCCCAGCCTCGGCCCAGTCATCGGCCCCACAATCACACCAACAACATGCTCACTCAACTGCGCCCCAAGTACAAGTACAAGCACAGACCCCAACTACTACACCAAACACTACACAACCATTGCCCACACCCTCACCGGCGGCAGCGGCATCAGCATCGACGAAGGACACAAGCATTGCTTCGTCAGCATCGAATGCCTCACCGCCATACTCACCGACTCTATCAACTTGGTCGTCGAGTTCATCTTCTTCGACGCCATCTACACACTCGGCCACGCCACGACGTAACACCATCTCACCGACCAATGTCAATCCATCACCAGTAACATTGTCCCCGGCACCCTCGCCCTCAAGAGGCTCCACCACCAGCCAACCGACCAGCTCCCGAGGAGTGTCTCCACATCGATCTGCCAATCCTGTGGCGGCACCCTCTCAATCGACTCCCAACACGGCCGCGTCAGTAGACAACACCTCTGCGCCACCACCATCAACCTCGACCACCTCCACTACCACTTCATCATCTACCTCATCAACCTCTACGACGCCAGCCATTGTGGCGGCAACAGATTCAACAACAACCACAACAGTAGCAGCCTCCAGCAACGTGCTGAGTAGCAGCAGCAACTCTGTCTCCTCGACGTCGTCCGTGTCGTCCACTTCGAGCTCGACATCGCAGACACCGTCCAGCGACACCAACCTCTTTGTCTTCCACCTGCCGGCGTTCGTTGACGACAACTACCTCTATCGGCTGTTCTCACGGTTTGGTCCGTTGCAGAGCGTGCGCGTGATCACCGACAAGGACACCGGCGAGAACAAGGGCTACGGTTTTGTCAACTTCCGTGAGAAGAAGGATGCCGTCGCCTCACTGAACGAAATGAATGGCATGCAGATCGGGTCCAAGTTCCTCAAGGTCAAGTTCAAAGAGAGCCAGGGTCATCCCACCACCACCGGTGGCAGCAGCAATACCAAGAGCAACAGCAGCAATGCTAGTCAGCCAACAACATCTACTTGATCAAGTCCATGAATAAACATCTTGGTGTGATTAGTTAGAAGATAGAACATAACAACAAACTAGAAGTAGTGTTCATTCTATCGATCAATGAATGATTGATTAGTGATCTGATATGATTGAGGGATGAGTTGTTGATGCTGTTGTTGTCAAGGTTTATTGTCTATATATTGACGAAGCTACTCAAACTAGAGTAACTTGGTCGTGACCATCCCACCCCGTTCTGAGTTAGGTTGCTTGAGGAAGGATGTTCTTAACTTCATTGAGGCTGAGTGAGCGGAGAGGAGTGTAATAAAAAAGGGAGATGCAGACAGAGAGTAGCGCTGTTTGTTAAGTATGTTGTTGTTGTTGTTGTTGATGTTGTTGTTGATAGACTGGATGAATGTTTATAATACAAGTATTCGCGAGTTTCTTGTTGTTGGTATAGTAGTATGTGTATCTATCGACAACAGAGAAGGGGGAAAGAGGAGTAGTTGCGCGTCGTATTGTTTCTTTACAGCACTGAGCATCCAGTGTTCTTGAGTGGCTTGGTCCACTCGTTCTCTCCTTGCCAACCCGGCACGAAGGGATCGGCTGTCTTCAAACAGAAGTCCTGGAGACTATACATAGAATGAATGTTATATTAGTACTTGCAACCTAATGGTGAATGAATGAATGAATGAGATGAAAGAGACGTACGTGGTGCAGGCGTCTGAAACCTTGAGGATTTGAGTTGATCTCTCCAACTGGCTCTTCAGAACCTCATTCTCCTTCAAGACCTTTTTCAACTGTGACTCTGACATTCTGTTTGTTTAAAATATATTATATATTATATGTATGTATATGATTAATTGTGTGAATGAATGAGTGGACGGATAAAAGAAGGTAGAGGTGTGTGTGAGAGTGAGTGATCGCAACCCTCCAATCTCAGATACAAATCCTTTGTTTTTTCATTTCATTTTTTTTATTATTATTTAAATTAATAAGTTTTTATTCACCCATTGTTTGTGCATTATCCTTCTTGATCATGGTTTCTGATTAGATGGACAAGGTGAGCTCGAATAAGGTGATCACCAAGCGAATAGAAATGACATTGTGATGTTATTGGTACTTTATGTGATTGATACATTATCGAACAACAACAACAACCATTGAGTTGTTGCTTGCTTATGGCAGAATTGACGAGATGAGATCAACTTCCATCTGTCTGGCTTGGACAAGTCCAGGGGGATCGGTGGGCAGAGCTGGATAGAGGTCGGCACAGTGAGCAGTGCCAGTGATGAGGATGGTCTGGATCTCGGAGCTGGTGGCGTTGAGCACACCCAGTGCGTGCCAGGGGTCAACCAGGCCGTTGGGGAAGATAGTCTGCGATGTCTGGATGTTGCGGCCACCATAGTCGCTCTCGATGTACTTGGTCTGGGGCAGGTAGGGCAGGCCGTCGTCTCTTGGTCCAAAGATGTCGAGACACTGCTGCAGGAACCAGTCCAGGGTGATGGTTGGCGAGAATGGCTGGTTGGGCGACTGAGCCGTCTGGAAGTATCCGTACTCAATGCATGTCTGCCATGTCCATGTTCGGCTGGAGGCAAACTCTCCGTTTGGATCAACATCCTGCAGCTGGTTGACCAACGACTTGTAGCTTGACTGTGTGCAGTTGTTGCCACTGAACGTGTTGAACTCATTGTTAAAGTTGACGAATGATGTCAAGTCATCTCCTGCCTCAAGCATGGAGCACATCTTGGTTTGATTGATTGATTGATTGATTGGAGGAGTGAGTGTGAGTGGGGATGGGATCATTCCAAGGTCCGATCGATAACTTACCTTTGATATGTTGAACATAGTGTAACGATTGTTGTCATTGTTGTATTGAACGATCTCGGCAACAGAGTCGGCGAGGTTCTCAAAGAAGGTGGCAACATCATCGTCGCTGTGGATCTCATCACAGGTGTTGAAGAGTTTCTCAACCTTTCTGCGATCAGTGTTTAGCATTGCAGTTACAACGTTGGTGACGTTGGCGATACGTGCCGAGCACTGTGGTCCAATCGAAGCGGACACGACCTCAAGGTACTCCTTAAAGTCAAGCTGTGGCTGTACTGGTGCCGATGTAGCAATGGCAGCATCAATCAGCTGAGGGTACTTAAGTCTGAACCAAGCAGACAATGATCCAGAGTATGATCCACCGAATGATACCCATTTGCTAGACTGATTGATTGAGGGGTGGGGGTCAGTCTGGGATCATACCATTCGATCAATCAAACATACTCCTGTGTTGTACTTCTGAGCAATGAAGTTCCTGAACTGGGCATAGTCGGCGAGGGCCTGTTGAGTGGTGAGGTACTTGAGATGCTTGGTGTCGAGGGTTGGCTTGGGCATCGACTTGCCGTAGAATCTGTGCTCGACACTGACGATCAACGCGTCAAACATCTGTGCGTAGGTGTTGATGATGAAGTGACCGGTGACGCCGGTGTAGCTGGCGGGACCCTCACCACCCAGCAGCAGGAACACTGGTCCGCCAGGCTTCCAATAAGTGGCATTGACAAAGTATTGCTGTTGGAACGTGTCGGTGTTTAGCGGGTCGTAGTGGTCGACCTTTTGCGTGTACCACATTGGCTGGGGCAAGTGTCTGTTTGTCATCTTGTTTGAACGATGTTGTTGCAGTTGCTCTCGTCTAGTATCGATACCATGTGACAGACGCAATCCTCTATTCAAAGAGGACTCTCTTCTCAATATGAAGGCACCAGTATGTTCGGCATACAATGTGATCAGTAATATCACAGCCACAAGTGAGCTTATTATTACTTTGTTATACATTATTATAAAGTATATATACTTAAGATTGATTATAACAATTATAAGATGAGATTGAATGAACTTATTAATGCAATTGCATTGTGTGTCATGTGACATCCATCAGTTCGTCACGTTGGTCACAATTCATAATTTTTCTTGCCTGGGACTTTGATGTTTCCAGCCATCCTGGAATTAAGAAGTCTGGAAGGTCTAAGGGTGGGTTGTCATTGTCCAATGGCAACGAGTTGAGTGGTGATGTGTGGTTGGAGGGAATGAATGTGAGTTGACAATCATACTCTAACACTTATCCACTCACACAGCGTCACACACACACTCACACAATGATGATGGATGTTGATGTGTCTTGAAAAGGTATTGATTATTCTATCTATTTCCAATTACACTTTAATATCCATATCCAATGTTATAACATTTTGTTATTATTATACCTAAGTATAGTAATGATTACTTAATAAAGTATTGTTTACCATTATTGGTAGTGATTACCTAAATTGATTGATTGATTGTTTAGTATTATGTACCAAGTTTGTCAATGATTGTCAATCCATGATTGTTATAAATTACCCTCTGTTGAGCGACTCCAATCAATCAATCACTTTGTTAATAATATACATATAAACTAACCTAAACTAAACAATACTTAATATTATTATGAAAATGTTGTCCAACAGACTTATATTATTATCACTCTCCATGATCATTATTGGATTAATCTCCAATACTTATGGTATGTATCATATTGATGGAAACCAATCAATCAATCAATCACTCACTAACACACAATCAAACAATGTAGCACTTGAGGATACAATCATTGACAATGACTTTGATGAATGGGATGTCAATGTGTGTGTTCGTTTGCCTGGTGGCTGCCGTCCACGTCTGGTTACATGTACCAAGGGTTGTGATGATGGTAACCTGTGTACGGTGGACACCTGTGTGAATGGTGCTTGTGTCCATGCTCCCATCACCTGTAACGACAACAACCCCTGTACCGTGGACTCTTGTGGACCGACTGGATGCATCTACACTCCCGTGTCATGTAATGACAACAATGCCTGTACCGTGGACTCGTGTGGACCTGCAGGTGGATGCATCAACATGCCCCTGTCATGTGGCGACTCCAACGCCTGTACCGTGGACTCGTGTGACAACAGCACGGGATGTGTCCACGTGCCCATCCAGTGTGATGACGCCAACCCTTGCACGACCGACTCGTGTGGCTCCAATGGCTGTGAGCATGTGGCTGTATCCTGTGATGATGGCAATGCCTGCACGCTGGACTCGTGTGATGACAGTACCGGATGTGTCCACAAGCCTGTATCCTGTGACGATGGCAACAGCTGTACGAACGACGCCTGCCACACCACACTGGGTTGCCAACACATCAACATAGCCTGTGACGACTCCAACGCATGTACCTCGGACACTTGTGATGTAGTCAATGGTTGCCAACACCATCCTCTGTCGTGCGATGACAACAACGCCTGTACCTATGACTCGTGTGACAACTCGACGGGCTGCTCCAACACGCCAATCTCGTGCGATGACAATGACCCTTGTACTGAGGAGTTCTGTGACCCTGCGACCGGCTGCCAGAGCTCGCCAACACCATGTGATGACGCCAACGCCTGCACAACAGACAGCTGTGACCAGACCAAGGGCTGCCAGCACGTGGCCATCGCATGTGATGACTCCAACGCCTGTACCTTTGACAGCTGTGACAACAGCACTGGTTGTCTACATACTGCTCTGGCCTGTGATGATACCAACGCATGCACTGTGGACAGCTGCCACCAGGTCCATGGATGTCTACACGTGCCCTTGTCTTGCGACGACACCAACTCATGTACTGAGGATAGTTGCGACCAGAACACGGGCTGCCAGAACAAGGAGATAGCCTGTGACGATTCCAATGCTTGTACCTTCGACAGCTGTGACCAGGCCACGGGCTGCCACCACACACCAGTGATCTGTGATGACCAGAACGCCTGTACGGTTGAGAGCTGTGACAATGCTACGGGCTGTGTCTACTCGCCAGTGAGCTGTGATGACGCAGATCCATGTACACTTGACTCGTGTGACCGCGCCACTGGATGCCAACACTCCCCAATGTCCTGTGACGATGGCAACGCATGCACTCTCGACTCTTGTCAGTATGTTGGCTGCCAACACGTGCCAGTGGGTTGCCCTGACTCTGACGCCTGCCATGTTGGCTACTGTGACAACTCGACTGGCTGTGAACAAGCGCCCGTGTCCTGTGACGATGGTGACCAGTGCACAACAGACAGCTGTGACCCTGTCAACGGCTGCCAGACCACGCCAGTGTCATGTGATGACAACAACGCCTGTACGACCGATGCCTGCAGCAGTACACAGGGCTGCACTCACCGACCAGTGGCCTGTGACGACCACAACGCGTGCACAGTGGAGAGATGTGACCCTGTCCGTGGATGCCAGAGCTCTCCGGTCAACTGTGACGATGGAGACCAATGTACGGTGGACAGTTGCGATCGCTCGAGTGGCTGTGTGCATACGCCGGTTAGCTGCAACGGAAACGGCCATTCAAAGTGCGTGTCGAATGAGTGTGACCGCGTGCGTGGCTGTCTGAACAGGACCATCAGCTGTGACGATGGTAACGCGTGCACTACCGACAGCTGTGATCCGGCCCAAGGTTGCCAGCACCAATCAATCAACTGTGACGATGGAGACAAGTGTACTATCGACAGTTGTGATCGCGTCAAAGGATGTCTTCACGTCAACGATCCCAGTTGCAACAAGGTCACTGTTACCCGACCACCAGTCACCTTACCTCCAGTCATCGTGACCGTTCCGCCAGTCATCGTGACCACTCCACCAGTTGTTGTCACAACACCAACATGTTCATGTGATGAATGTTGTGGCGATCAATGTTGTTGGGATGTTGTAGTATTGGTTGATTGAGTCTAAATCACTCAGTATCTGTATCTGTATCCATTTATCTGTTCATATTTATCACAACAATGTTGTTGGAATTCAACGAAATGTCAATTAAAGTTCAACAAAAGTGAAAAGGGTACGCTTTGACAAACTTTGCATTTTGTATCAACTTCACTTTCAAACTATCACACTTAGAGATAACAAATAGAGATATTATAGGATGGATGAATTGAACAAGGGCAACTCATTCTTTGTTGATGAGAACTTTGAACAGGCACTGATACATTATAATAAGGCATGCGAGCAGATGACCAACAACTTTGAGGCATTCTTCAAGAGAGCACAATGCCATCAGAAGTTGGAGTGCTTGAACGATGCTCTTCACGACATCAACACCTGTATAAAGTTAGAACCAAACAATCCAAAGAGCTATCTGAAGAAAGGGTAACGATCATCAACATACAAGTCACTCAATCATTCATGCACTCACTCACTCGCTCATACTTTGATTGATTAGACAATTCTGCTTCGAGCTTGAGGAATATGACACTGCACTGTCTGTGTTTGAGAAGGGATTGTCACTCGAGCCAGAGTCCACACAGTTCAGAACATGGATAAGGAAGGCAAAGGCAGAGTTGGGCACTGATAACCTGACGGCAACTCCAGCAGCAGCACCAGCAGCAGCCCCAATATCGACAACCACACCAGTGGTCACTCAGACCACAACACCTGCCGCTACAACTGCCCCAGCAGCACCAGTTGCAGCTGCCAAGCCACCAGCAGCTACAACTACACCAACACCAACTCCAGCTCCTACTTCATTGCCCATTCCTTCATCTGGAACCAAGGTCAAGCATGAGTGGTACCAAACAGCAACTCATGTTACCCTAACAGTTTATGCCAAGTTTGTCACTGCCGCCAACTCAACGATTGACCTCCAAGACAAATCAGTAAGGACAACAAATTATTGACCAACATGAACACAACAAAGATGAACTTGAACTTACACCACGACAAACCAAACAGATTAGCATATCATTCATGATGGCCACTGGAAGCGAATATAGCTTGGACATTGAATTCTTTGATCCGATTGTGCCAGCCGATAGCACAACAAAGTACTACTCGACAAAGGTCGAGATCGTACTCAAGAAGTCACGAGCCATTCGTTGGGAGAACCTCGAGTACACTGGTGTCGATCGCCCCGTTGGTACTGTAGACACGCCACAACCAAAGCCAGCTGGCGTGCCCTCGCCATACTCGTCCAACAAGAACTGGGATGCGATCGACGCTGGCGACGATAAGGAGGGCGACCCACTCAATCGCGTCTTCCAGGACATCTTTTCAAGAGGCAGTGAGGAGCAGAGACGTGCCATGCAAAAGTCCTTCCTTGAGTCTGGAGGCACGGTCCTCTCTACAAACTGGCAGGATGTTGGCAAGAAGACAGTCAAGGGTGCGCCACCAAAGGGCATGGAGATGCACAGCTGGAACAATGGCGAGAAGGTTGAGGTCAAGGAGAAGGAATCATGGGAGAAGGATGACTAGATGACACTTTATTAAAGAAATAATAACAATAAATAAATTGTAAGTTGATGACCATCATCTCTTGAGCAGGAAAACAGCAGTATGGATAACCGCAAGAGTGGCCTGTCAGGGCGGACATGACAATGAAATTGCTGTCAGGTTCGGAGATATGATGGGCAGACTTGCTGGGGAAGCCAATGTTGAGTCTAAGACTTTCCATCTGATATCCAAACTTGGTTCTGTTTGTGATTCCGATTTGTCTGACCCTGTGGACCTCTCTGACCATGCGCCTGATAATGTTGCGACCTGGAATCTGAGGAGATATTCATTTGGTTGCTCAATTAAGTCAGCAAAGTCCTCATCAACTATCATGGCCATGGCTAGTTCCGGGTTGTACTCTATGTCTGAGCAGTCTGCAAATATCTCCGACATGTAGGCCTTCACTATGGTCTCGATCTCTGGATAGAGATCAGAATTGAGAATTTGTTGGTTCTCAGCCACTCTATCCTTGAGATAGATAATAAGTTTGTTAGAGGATATTTTAAGAGTGGACATTCTATTGTATAGTATTGTAATATTCTGTTGATAGGAATTTTATTAATATATGTCTGTTTATCTGTATGTTATAACACATTGAACAATACATTATCGTTTAGAACAATGAATAGCAAGGTAGTGAGAGAGGAGAGTGAGTGATTGGAGAGAGAGTGTGAGATTGAGAGATAGAGAGATAGAGATACCATTTTAGTATAAATAGGTGAATGTTAACCATAATAGGACTAATAGATGATCTATCACCCTTCCATCTATATATTATAAGTGTGTGTTCCACCATCCATCCAATTAAGAAAACAGGATACCACTTGGTGAACCTGGATCAACTCTGCGAACTTGATAATGATGTGTTTGAAGTAGCTGGGATACTTGGTCGTGGACTGATACGTGACAATGTACACATACACTGCCACCAAGACCTGCGGCTGCTACTCTAAGTGCTGCCAAACCCTTGAACTGTTGATAGATGGAGTCAGCCAACTGATCAATCTCTGGCAATGATCTTTGGAATCCACCTGGCACATGGGCAAGATTACAATCTTTGTGTGCGCTATCGATGTTGTTTGTGAGGAATTGGATGTACTTGTCGAGTTGTTGATCACTGCATGAGTGTTGCTCGAGCACTCCCCATGGAGTAGTCTCAAAGTTGTTCCTATAGTCAACTGTTTGTTTGTCACCATCATGAGCTGCCTTTACAATCCTCATCAACTCTCTTGTCGTCTCCTCATTAGCCTTCTCTTCATATGTCACCCATCTACCAATTATCCTTTTATACTCTATACCTCTTTCAATCTGTATGTTGTGTTAGGGCATTGTTCAATGCTCAATCATGATTGATAACAGTATGTACTTACCTCTGACAATGCATAGAGTACAGACTTCCTGAGCCAAAGGGTCACACCACCAACATCGGACTGCTCTGGAAGTGCTTTGAGTAGTCGGTAGGTGAGTATGTATCGATTGTATATGTTGTCTTTGAGTTCGGGGAGCTCAGTCTCGATAAGTCCACCGGCAGCCAGCTCACGAAGTAGGGGAGGGGTGTTGTTGTCCAGGTTAGGACTCAAACACTTGGTGATGGCATTGATCTGTCGTTGATCCAATCCAGTGACACGCATGGTCTCCTCTTTGGCAAAGAATATCCTTTGGTTCAACATTGCTATTGCCTCGACGAATGATGTGGCACAGAATGACTTCATGATTGAATGTGCCCATTGAGTGACCTGATCTGCAGTGGTTGTGCTGCCCTTGATGTAGCCATCAGCGATGCGATCGATAATCCATGATCTGGCACTCTGTGTTGAGAGACGAGGAATTGGACTCTCAGCCATCATCACAACGATCTCCTTTGGGAAATGAAGTGTCTTGATGAATCTCTCAGGGAATGATCCCACCACAGAGATCTGACCCTTTTTGGCAAAGAGCTGGGCAGTCTTGTCCGAGGCACCGGCTGCCTTTCCAAGGTAGTACTCGCCAAAGTCCATTTCGGCCAGCTGCTCCAATGACAACTTCCAATTGAACATTTTGTCCAATGACAATGCGAATGCACCTGTGAGTGCGGAGCTTGAGCTAACACCACCACTGTGAGGCAGACCCAGCTCACCATTTGCAGAGAATATTGCCACGATTGACTTGCGTTGATCCTTCAATCCTTGTAGGTCCTGGACAACATAGCTTGGATACTTGTCCACGTTGTTGGTTGAAAGTATGTATGCTAGAGTACTCTTGATGTAGCTGTCCCACTGTTTTGTTGACCAAAGTGTTGGAATGGGCTGGCCTTGACCCTGTCCCTGGCCTTGGACATTTCCGCTAAGTTGTTGAATGATGTGATCTATTGTGAATGATGCATTGGGGAATGTTTGAGCGTTCACATTGTAGAGTATGACGCTGCCAGATGTCGAGACATCAGAGATGAGCTGAGCAACACATAATATCTCACTCTGTGTTGTTGCATTGATTGTGAATCCTCCAAGCCCTTTGAGATCACTATGACCCATGAACACACGATCTCTTCCATTGGAAGCAGCAACTACACATGGATTCTCTTTGACAAATCCATTGGCCATTGCATGTTGAAGTAGCTCCACCATTGTATGTTGGCGATCCATCAATACACGATCTTCCAAAGAATATCTAGACTGGAATAATTGTGAAACAAACAACTTGTTTGTCAACAAATGTGATAGATTGCTGATACTCAATGAAGAGTTGCGACACACATTGTACCAGAATCCCTTGCTCACTGGTGTGGCCATTGTTGAACCAGTTAGTTGGCCATTCTGATCAAACTGTAGCTCCTCGGAAAATATGAGACTGCCTGGACGTGCATTCACTTCCACAATGAATGGAGTGAGATCGCAGGTGAGTATCATGTCAATTCCAACGATGGGCAGTCCAGTCTCTTCAAGGATGTCTTGAGCAATTGAACTCCATTGTCTCCAGTGCGAAGTGGTGATAGGCTTGGGGAGGTCTTGTAGGATGCTTGACACTCGGACGAATCTTGACTTGCGGATACCAGGTGATATGATCGTTTCATTTGGACTGCCAGCTTTGACAATAGCAATAGTTGTCAAACCTCCAATTGATGCATTCAATCTTACAATGAATGATACTCCATCACTCTTGGTCTTGATCGACTTGACAAATGGGGTGAGCATGACATGATCATATCCAATGTCAAACAACTCTATTGCCTGTTGAAAGCATTGATCCAGCTGATCGGTGGTGAAGTATGTCACATGTTCAGACTCTGTTGTGTTGGATTGAGGCTGAACTATGATGCCACAGGAGTGATCGCTCTGTTGTATGATTGACTGAGCATGTAATCTGATGTCCTCCTTGGTGACACATAGATCCGCAGGGAGAGAGACTGTAGGGAGCACCATGACGCCTGATAAGCTGCACAGTCCAGAGTTGGTCATCTTTGATCTCAACCAATACTTGTCATCACATCGCTCATTGCTTCCAAGGTAATCGTTGAGGACATGTATACCATCTTGTCGCAGTTCAGAGTCGAGCTTATGATGGAACTCCGTCTCTTGGTTCATTTCCTGATTGGGGAGCTCGAGGAGATAGCATGTCGCGATGTTGACATGTCTGTCACTCTGCTCGGGGGTCAGAGGGAACTCAATGAATACTGTGCCATCACTACCACGAGTGTCTCGGGACATGGCCACACATCTATTGAGTCGGAGTCTGTTGTCACTCTTATCGATCCAACTGTAGTGTAGTCCAATCAGATTGATTGGTACGTTGGAGGTGGACTGTAGGGAGTGGAAGAATGGATAGAGGTGATTGAACATCAACGTGGTCTTGCCAACAATGATCGCACACGTCACATGTTGATGATCAGTCGAGAATATCTTTGAGAGTGCATCATCATCGATTGAATCCAATATCTCCAGGTCTGGCGTCATCTGATTACTCAACTGTCGATCCAATGAATGTTCGACCAATCTCTTCAATGTCTCTTTGCTGTTCGATTTGCTTGAATCCTTGGCACTCAATACCCGTAGACCCTCTTCCAAGTACTTTGGCGGTGTGTCTAGAAACATGCATGAATATATGGATGGATGCGACAACATATGAGCAACATGGTCAGCCTTGACTGAGTCAGTCATGAGTTTATTTACCTTTCAGGCCAGAGAGGTTAGGATCTGCGATCAATGAGTCGGTAATGTCCTTTGTTGACGTGTTGTGATGGACATGTTGCTGATGTTGTTGTTGATGGGATTGGGCTGGGATGGGTGGATGCGACGTGTCATCCTTGCCACCACCATGATGCAGGATGGTCCATGAGTCCTTGGGCAGGGTATCCAGGAACAGTTGTCCAACATTTAGGAAGTTACCCATTACGATACGATCACTAACACCAACCTGTGACCAATCAATTGATGACGTGTTGTTGTTCTTGGCTACCTGTACCTGGTTCTCCATCTCTCTCTTCCAATAGTTTGGCCACAATCCAATACCAACGTTTGGTTCCAATTGCCAGAACTGCATGTCTACGATCTCTGCCTCAAACTCCTGACCATCAACATCGTCCTTGAATGTGAACACCGCCTGTTTGGTACTTTGATGGTATGGCACGATGTCTAGCAGTCTTGCCGTGGGCTTCAGTCGCTCATTGGTGCCCTTCCTGACCCAGATGGGCTCGGGGATGAAGTCCAACATCAGATATCTTGGCCACCAGATGGGTGTGCCCGTGGCATCCTTCTCCTTGATATGAGGGAATCGCTCATGGTATGAGTTCATCGTGTGTCCATAGAGCTCGACCTTCTCGCTCCAATACTTTGGTCCAAATTGTGCGATGGCCGACATCACACGACGACCTGCATCCTCCAACTTGCTGATGAATATGGACTGGAGATGTGGACTGATCATCTGGGGCGTGAGGATCTCTAGAGAGCCCTGGCGACCTACATTGGTGGCGATCTGTAGACTGTTCAATGCGATTGGATGTGATGCGCTCCAGTTCTCATGATTGGTGAGGTCGCCTGACTTGGGCACACTAGTAGACATGATCACACGTAGTGTACCATAGACAGTGTCCTTTGGATGTCTGTTGAGCTCAACGGCAACACCATGATCAGCAATCTGTCGCTCAACCATACGATCAATAGCACTTGGACTCATCCAGTACAATGGTGAACAAATGATTGCACGTTGTATCACAACATTCTGTGCCTTTGACACATGATAGATGAACTGTGATGCCTTGTCCAGTGCTGTCTCGTCAAGATCTGTGCCGGTGCTTGCGCCTGAGCTCGAGAGGAGGTCGAAACGAGAGAGGTTCCTGGCGCCAGACTCAGCCGCACCCTTAACAATGATGATTGGATGCTCCTTGACAAAGGGTATCAAACGTGCTCTGATCTTGTCCAATGTTTGCTGCTTGGCTTGCTCGCTGTCTTGGGTTTGATTGATGATCTGGGTGGTCTCGATTTGCAGCCAATCAATCTCCTGTGGCAGCAACACTTGTGTCTTGTCGCTTGGATTGAATATAAGCGGGTACAATGATTTGTTGTAGGTCATCTCGTAGAGGAATGGTGACTTGTCTGTCGAGGGGTAGCCTGCATTCGACAGCGCAGACTCGAGATGATGGTGATGCAATGTGACCACACTGCCAACTATGATTGGCGAGGTGAAACGTGCAGCCACCAGCACACCCTTGGCGTGAAGTTGTTTGTTGGCAGCCAGCTCAGCAATGAATGATTGAACCTTGTCAGCGGACAGTCCTTTGGCCGCGGCCAAGTAATGTCTGAGCTGTGGCTCACTGCACCAGAACACTGCATTGTCGATCGTGAGGAATGATCGATCGTTGTGCGTTTGCATCAGTCCATCACGTGTAATGAATAGGTTGTCACCAAGTGTCGGTCCCTCCATCATTGCACGAGAGTAATGTGTTCGACCGATTGGACTGAGGAAAGCATGGTTGACGCGCGATTTGACGTCGAGGCCCTTGTTGTCATTGGCGTCAAGACGATCAAATACCACGGGTGTCTGGAAGCCATCATTCTTGATGAAGGCCACCTCACGGAGTTGATTGTACACACGCCACAGTTGTTCGAACGATCTTTGATTGTTGCCATTGCCAGCGCCAATTGGTTGGACGATGACAGAGTCCATGTCCACACCAGATGAGGCTATTTTCACATCGCCAACAAATAGGTCAAAGAGGGTCTTGTCGTTGCCAAGCTGCTTCTGGATACTGTTGGTCTTGGTAGTGATGAGCGCGCGGATGAAGCGGTAGAGCGCGCGATGTGACTGCCAGTAGAGTTGATATTGTTGCTCACGTGAATCAGCACGCATTATTCCAATGTCATCAAAGTATCGACCAAAGAGTGGATAGCGCTTGGGATCAAGACACCATGGTGTGTACTCAGAGTAGTGATCGTCGATGGTCTTGGCAAAGAACTCAGCCAAACTACGCCACACGCTGGCTTCGGCAATGTCTTCAGTGGACGTCGACAGGTATGGTGCGGCCTTCTCCAACAACAACAACACGGCCATGATCTCTGTTGTGATTGATGTCACTCTGATCCAGTTTGCTGGGTCGACCTTGTGTGCGCATTCATAAAGTTGATTGAGTGCACCAAACTCCTCGTATGAGCCCACGAGCTCGTCCCAACTGCGAAGGTCTATTTCGCGACCTGCCGCCTGGCCGGCCATCTGGGCGATCAATGTCCTCAGCCTGTCGACGTTGGGAGGGTTGTAACGATTGACTAGAAGTAGCAATGCCTTGGCGCACAGGTTGTACGTGGAGCCAAGGGTTAGGTTGGAACGCTCAATTGTAGACATGTTGAATGTCTCCTCGAGCAGACTGCTGGCCAACTTGTTGAGATTGTCATGGATCGGTGTGAGCAATGTAGTGTACATATAGTCGATTGTTACATCGCGCATCTGTGTTGACTTGAGCTGATCATGCAGGGCTCCCAGTGAGCTGAATCCATTCTCGCGGAACTTGAGTACGGCATTGCGCTTTGACTGTGTCTCCAACTCTTTGCGACGTGTCACAGCGGTCTCGACATGCTCCTCGCTTGCCTTGACACTGAACATCTTGCCCTTGCGATCCTTGAGCTGTAGCTTGGCAGTGGCGAGCTGTGGAGTGAGCATGCTAGTGAAGCGCTCGTTGGACTCAAACTGGATAATATCAATGTGTGCCACACCATTGATGCGATTGAAGGCACGTTGGATAGTGGTCAATGAACGATTGATGGAACGTGACGGTGATCCATTGAGTATAAGGTATCCACCAATGGCAAGGAACGCCAGTGGGGACAAGGATCCGGCATGAGGTGCGTCTCTGAGTGATTCGAGTGACTCGCGAATGACTACATCGCGTCGTCTATATCTGTTGGCCAACAATACACGCTGTTCGTATTGTACAAGTATGTCGATCTCGTTCTGCAACTGTGATGAGTGGAGACTGGGTGGCGCAGACTTTGACACGGCGACAAGGCCAACGCCAAACAGACGTGTGTTGATCTCGTGCACCAGCTTTGCCAACTCGGTCTTGTCGTCCAGCTGCTGTTGTGTGAGGTTGGCAATCTTCTCCAGGTACTCGTAGGCTTGGATGGCGCGAGACTCTTGGCGTGCCACCTCCTCTCTGAGGTCTGTGCCTAGAATTGGCTGGTACTGGTCAGTGCCCCAGCCGAATGCCTTGTAGACTGAGCGACGACCTCTTGTGCTGCGATCCTTCCAATTGGTGATGCGATTGCCCTGCTCATCGATGCCACGACAGGCAGCATACCAGAGCATGACATCCCGCTCAAACCAACATCGATGGCGACCCTGTGACACATGGTCATGCGCAACAAGTGAGCTGTTTGGTCGACCAATGAGCATCAGGTCGCGTAGAGTTGCCGGGTTCATGGCTAGGAGTTGTGGATGAGTTATTGAGAACACGACAATGTCCTGACCTTGGAGGTCGCGCAGGAAGTTGTCTCCTGGGCCACGCAGACGCAAGGACAGTGGGTGTATCCTGCCACCAATCTCGCGCTTCAATGCCAGCTGTTCATTCTTTGGCAGGTTGGACAGGGGTATCCACTCATCGATGAATCGTCTGTGCAGCTGTGCGTTGGCCTTCATTTGATCCACAGAGATACCGCGACTGCGCAACAACTCTTGTGCGTAACTGGCCTCGTCTCCAAGAAGTGTGAGTGTCTCTGCGCTAAAGCCCAACAGATCCTCGCTATCAACACCAGGCACGGCAGTGATGGTGATGTCTCCTACTGTTGTATGAGGTGGGAACAATTGTTGTAGCCTGGTGATCATGTCTGAGTGCTGTTGGTTGTTGTTGTCAAAGTCATCGAGCGAGAGGAAGTGTGTGGCCAGATAGCGACGGATCTTGATGTCCTCGGGCTCGGATGAGTGAGGCAAGAAGCCGACCCAACTCAAACGAGCAATCAGCTGGCCCTCCTCGTCCAGGGACAGCGCGACCTCGCGGTAGTGTCCAGAGAGGATGAGGAATGCACGCATCACCCAGGCGAATCGGACGTCGGGTGGGGGCTTCTGATCGTCATCGCCCTTGTACACACCAAAGAGGTGGACACGCAAAGACTCCTCCTCGGGGAGGGCAGCCTTTGGATTGAGTTTGATGGCAAGCTTTCCAGACTCTGGGATCTCGCGAGTCATTGGGAAGACGACTGATCGATTGACTTGTTCACCGCCCAGTGTGATCTTCTTCTCGGCCCATGCGCTCCATAGTGCCGCGTGCAGGTCACGGCCCCATGATACGAGTGGCGAAGGTACACCAACGGATCCAAGGATCTGAGCCAGCTTGGCGATATGCAACAGGATAACCCCTCCACTGAGCTCAATGTATTGGGAGAAGTACTCGCGTACATTGCTCATTGATTGTTGAGAGTGGAATCGTTTCTGGAGTGCCTGTTCACTGAGGAACTGGTCGGCAGCCCAGCGTTCCCACTCGCCAGCACTGGCGAATCCTGGTTGTGGCTGCAACAACCTCAACCATCATTGAGATGATYCTGTTGGTGGAGATGTGCGGGAAGGCCCACCTGGGACAGCTTACGAGAGTCTTGATGAGTGACCACGAACAGTTTGAATAGCAAGTCCTTGGGTATGCAGTAGCCTGCTGTCGGGCCACTCATGTAGCCTTCGGCCTCTTTGTGTGCGGCAACTGCTAGGCCACCACGTTGATTGAATTGGTATGCCAAGTCCTCAATATCGCCAACACCCAGCCTCTCGACAAACAATGCCTGAACGTTGCGAATGGAGCGCACCAGGGCTGTCCACTGGTTCTCGCTGACCTTGAGATTCTCGGCAGCGGTGGTCGTGCGAACGATCGGGTTGTAGTTCATCAGTTGGTAGAATGCACGGGCATGTCTGGCGCACAGGGGATCGGTCACACCAACAAACTGTGGCCATATCTCCACAGACTTGCGCTCATCCTTGCCCAGATTGACACGACTTGGTCCGTAGACAAAGTGATAACGCTTACGTGAGCCAGATGGACGTATCTCGCCAGTGGCGCTCGATGGCGAAGGGAACATCACACCACAGCTGTAAGCGAACCTTGGGTTGGACATCTGGTCATGCAGGTGGTGCTTGGCAACGACCTCGCGACGCGCAGTCGTCGAAGCCATTGCAGTGCGGCTGCGATGATATTTGTTGGCGCGTTGTTGCAGCGCCAGATCGGGACGCTCACAATCCAGTTGTTCAAGGGCGATGCGTCTCGACTCGCACTTGACGTAGTTCTCAAACTCCTGTCTATATACACTGGACTGCTTGATGATGCTCTCTATCTGTGCGCGATCGCGAGCAAAGTCCAACCTCTGGAACTCTGCATCATTCCTGTTCTGTACAAAGATGAACTCGTATGCTGCTCCGGACAAATGTGTTGAGTCGTTGGCCGCCATCACACCGAGCACCTGGTTTGGCTCCTTCTTGACAGCTTCCTCCAGAGACCATGATGATGAGGCACTAAGTCTGTCGCACTCATAGAGCACAGACAACAATGCCACCTGTCTTTGAATTACAACATGATCACCAAGTACACGTAGGATTGCTCTGTTCTCATCCAATGACATTTGAGTCTGGTACTGATCCAGTATAGGTTGATAACTGAACTCCTCAATCACCTTGCGACCAATGATTGCAAACTCCCTATTATACTGATTGATCCTCTCTCGCACCTCTGACACCAACTTATAATACTCTACAATGTTCTTGAGTGTCTGTTCGAGTTGATTGATCGATTTAGTGAGTTAGTGAGTGAGTGCATCTAGATCAACCGATCAATCAAACTTACCATCTCCTCCTCTAGAACAGCTTGGATGAATCCTTCGACGAGACCAGGCGCCTCGGTGGTTAGAAGATGGAAGGCTGGCATCTGTCGTTGCTTCTTGAGCGCCATGAATGAGATGCGATCGTGATGTTTCTTGTCAACTGGTTCACATGACATTGCCTGTGTGACAATGCGCTTGCTCTCTTCAACAACCTTGTCAGTGTTGGTCAACATGTCTCCAAGCAGCAACATCTTGAGTGCTTCTATCCTAGTGATGAAGTTTGATTGCTTCCAGTTCATCTCCACAGTGTCCTCGACCTTCTCTGCCATCTTGTCATACACAGCCTCGATGTGAGCAGTGACTCGAACGATCTGATCGACATGTGGTGCCAGTGTTAGACAGATAGCAGTGTGGCGTGTGACATGATCCGACTTCATAAGCTTGTCGACATTCTGTTGCAACTTGGAATCGGAACACACGAGCAGGTCGCGAGCCAATGCCACGTGCTCCGACAGGATGGTGAGCTGGATGTTCTTGCTCCACTGCTCGGCCAGAGCGCGGATTGTCTGCTCCAAACCCTCCTGGTCGACCTCGAACACTGTCGTGTGTTTGCCATCCTCCTCGATCGTGCGCTCATAGATGAACAGTGGGATGGCCTCGATGATATCGGTAGCCTGTTCGACCCAATCGTTCGATGGTGACATATACAAGTTGGAGCCACCGATGCGAACCAACTTCTGCAGCACCTCTTCTTGCTCCAGCTTGGGCTCGAGCTCATTCGTTCTGAATCGCTCACTGCCACTTACACTTGGTCGTTGAAGCAGGATGGAGAAGGAGCTGGGGACGGCGGGCATTGAGTGCAGGCGCTCCTCCAAGTCGTAGAGGTTCGTCCAGATGGAAGATCGCGCACGGCCATACAGATCATCGACAACGGCATGGAGGTCGCGGAACACCTTGTGCATTGAACTTGATGTGTCGACCATGCGATGCACGCCCTCTGCGCGCCTGGACAGGTTCACCTTTTGTGTGTCCTCAATCACAGCCACACTCTTGGTGCTGACAATAGTCAACACTTCGCGTAGATGCTGTAGGGCACCTTGGAACTGTGTGGCCGAGGTCAAATTGTCGTTGACCGATGAGACCAACGCACGGAATCGTCCAATCACAGGTTGCAGATGCTCGGTGAGCTTGAGGAGCTTGTCACAAACCTGCTGGATCTCAGTTGTCGCCCATTGAGGTGGCTTCAATTTCGCGAAACACTGTCTAACATGCTCGTCCGACGAACACTTGATGAGCGCCACGATTAGCTCTCGAATCGAGTCGTCGATCCTAATGTAGTTGGAGCTGGCAAAAAGTGTTGCTTGGTTGGAGAACGCGCGACTCTCACGTCCCACAACTATCGTTGGCGAGAACGAGTCGGTGTCCGATAGCCAGGTCTCGCGAACCTGGTTCGACACACGCACGGCGTTGGCAGACTCTACACGTTGATCAAACTTCCTGATCACCTGGTAGCAAGCTTCGCGACGGTACTTTGTGTCGTCAATGGCCAATGCCTGGCGCAGGTCTTGGCGGTTGTAAGGCAGGTCGAACAAACATTGCGACAAGTAGCATGAGACTCGTGAGTCTCGTCGGTTGATCAGCTGGACGAGCTGTTCACGGGTCGCCGCGCTGCTACCCTCGGCGCCAGCGCCTTGCTCAAATAGAGCGTTCTCCAACTGTTGACTCGTGACATACGACGCCAGACCAGCCTGCTTCAGCTCGTCGTTGAACTCGGCATTCAACTCGATCGTGTCCATGACCAGAGTGGCAAACAGTTGATTGGCATCGATTGGGTTGGACTCGCTCTTTAGGTGGTCGATCAGATTGTTGAATGATGTGTTGTCATCGTGGTGTAATCGTTGTAGGTAGGAGAGTGTGGAGTGCAGGGCTTCGCGATGTGGCTGGCTATTCTTGGCCAACACACAATGTATAATGAAGGTAAGCAACAATGATGTGAGGACTGGTGAACCGCCAGAGACATCGACAATTGATTGATCAATCACTCCATGACCATTGAAGTATGATGCCATATAACAATGTCCTTCAAAGAACTCCACGTTGATGTTGAGTACACCAGCAGCATTGATGTGTTCCAAGCCATTCTTGGCCATCAAGTACTTGAACGCTTGATTGATTGGATCATGATATATTTGGCATACATCCGATGATGGCGACTCCTTACTCCAACCAATAGTCTTATTCTTTATATCGATAGATAGTGTTGCCGATGCTTTATATTGTCCAAGTGTTCTCTTTGCAATCTGTACATGTTGTTGTTGTTGCTTTGAATCCAATCTTGATACTATTCCATACAGCATCAAACATGTCTCATCAATCTAAAGTTGGTAGGGCATGGAAGGATAGTTTGAATGTCAACATCAACAACATAATTAAGGAATATTCAAAACATACGACATTGTTGAAGGCAGTGGATGTTGTTGGTAATGACATCTTTGACATACACCAAAGTCTGTCTGTCTGTCTGTCCTGTTTGAGATAGATAAGATAATAGATTATATGTGAATGATGAGATATAGTTATAACTAGATTTTAATAATTGATTGATTACAAATTGAGTGAGCTTCACATCTCACCATTCAATTCCAAAATGATTGGTGGATCACACACCACACTAACTCTCCCCACCACACCTCATGATGATCAGTGTCAGCAGAAAAAGCATGGAGAAGCCCATTAATGTTGTTGATTTGATTGGCATGCATGCCATTCTTCGTTATTGATGTCTAAACCTGGTAAGACCCTGGTGAATAACACATTTAGGATTACTACTACAATAGTAGAGCAGGGTGGAACAAGTCTGTGATAAGGATATAAATATCAATCTTTGTGACACTCGCACTGTGCACTCTGGGATGGATGGTATCTATCTCCTTCATTAAATGATGATGATGATTCTAACCAATTCATCATTGTAGGTAGATGGAATTCATACATTACTATTGGTCTATCATTGAAATTGTGACTATCTATCTACCTTGAGGCCAACTACCCTCTCTAAGACTACCTTGAGGCCAATTACTAATTACTCTACAATCTATCAATCATTAACAACAACAACAACAACAATAATAATCAATCACCAATGAGAACACACCACACCCACACTTGAAGGATCAATCACCAATATATATGTGTCTCAACACCTTACTGTTGTTGCCTGTAGCACCTCTTTTAGGTGTGGTGTGGTTGATGATTGTTTGTTTGATTGATTGAGTGAGTGAGTGTTTGAGTGAATGAGTGATTGAGTGGTGCTAGTGGCTATTGCTACTATTACTACTACAACACACCAGTGGGTGTTGTTGTTGTTGTTGTTGTTGCATATGTGAGAGTGAGTGAGTGAGTGATAAGAGAATGATTGTTGTTGTTTGATGCTATCTATGTAGGTATGTATGATGGATGAAACAACAATATGGTATAAATTATTTTAACTATGTGTTAAAACCTTTAACTCTTACATGTTCCACCTGAGGGGAACACCATCCCTCAACCAACAAACAATTAATTAAATAAACATCCATTCATTTCTTATCTCCACTCTTCTTACTCTCTCTCTCTCTTCCAAATACAGCACATACAGTCTCAAGACATTCAATCAATCAATCAAATAGTCAAACAAACTTGATCATATTATTATTATTTATATACTAATACTCCAAATCAATATCAAACTATCTGTTTGGTCATCATCACAGCGAATTGGAAATCAGATCAATAGAATAGAATGTAATATTTATATCCAATATCCAACAACAACCTTACAACAACAATCAGATAATATTATCTGTTTTGTGATTGTGTGTGTGTGTGTGTGTGAATGTCAGATAATGCACGACTTGATTTATAATTATTATTTATAAAACTATGAATCTAGAAATTAGGAGATTGATGAGTGTGATTGATCATCAAACACACACACACACACACCAATCAATCCCAAGCAAGACTGTTCCTCTTTACGTGAACTTTTGTTTAACAAACCCACCACCCTTCTGGGTTAGGTTATGATCATTCATATTCATTCATTCATTCATTCCTCGCATCAAACCCCTTCACTTCCATCACTTCCATCACTTTCTTCCTTCCTTCATTCATTCATTCATTAACTTCCAACCAACCAATCAACCAACCAACCATCACACCTCACTTTCACTACCCATGTATTAACATCATCATTCCAACAAATAATAACAACAACATCACTAGTGAGAGTGGCGACAGGAAACACCGCAACAACCAACAAACATATAGACAGACAGACAGACCATCGATAGACCGACAGAAGATAGAGATATTATAACATGTCAAATGGAAGTGCACCTAAAGACACGGCTATGAGCGGCGGTGGTGCGACCGGAGGCGCCACCAGCGACAAGGTGATGCTGGTTTGCACGACGTGCCACAACAAGGTGATGCAGGACGTGCGCGAGCTGTCCGAGAAGGTGATACCGGGATTCCACGACAACAAGTATTCATTCGCCTGTCGCCAGTGCAGCTCGTCCAAGACGCCAATGTTGTTCCACTTGGGCAAATCGTGGAAGTGTGTCATTCACACGGCGCTGTTCAACCTGGAGCGCATGACGGGCAATCGCTTCTTCCATCACTCGGACGTCACCTCCTACGTCATGAAGTACCCGCACGTCTTTTTGCACGACAAGTCGTTGGCCGACATCTCCAAGGCCGTCTCAATGGCCTTCTTCAACAACAAGGGCTACTTTGTCTCGGGCGGACCCTACACGGGCAAGTGGGCCAACCCCAAGCCATCCGAGGTGGACTCGCTCGAGGGCGACAGCGTGGGCGCCGACTCACCAATGGACGCCATATCGACCTACCCGTCCAGCAGCGAGCACGACAAACATGACTCCAAGCTTGAGCGCGACCACGCCTCCTCCTCCAACTCGCACCATCACTCACGCGACCGTGAGCGCACCTACATCGATGTGAAGGAGCGTGACAAGGAGAGAGTGATGTCTCGAAGCAACAGTCGTGGCCGCTCGCCAAGCCGCACCAAGCACCAGAGTGGTGGCAGCAGCAGGAGCAACAGTCGCAGTCGCTCAAGAAGCCGCAGCTCATCATCCAACTCTGACTCTGGCCACAACTACCGTCGCTCCTCATCCTCACGCTCCTCCTCACGTTCCAACTCTGACTCTGAGTCCGACTCTGACGAGGCAGACTACAAGTCCACCGTCACCTGTACAGGATGCAAGAATGATGCTGTCCTAGGTATGTATTTGCCATCAATCGATGATCCTGTTCCAGTCCACTCACTCAATCACTTACTAACACTGGAACTATTCCAATCAATCAATCAGAGTTCAATGCCAATCGAGTACTTCCAGGTCCATTTGACAAGAACTATGAGTATACTTGCAAGTATTGTACAGCCAATGGAGCCGAGCCTATACTGAAGCATATGCCAAAGTCGTGGACAAAGATCATTCATACGGCATTGCACAATTTGGAGCTGGAGAAGGGCATTCGCTTCCACTCACGCAAGGACATCTTCCAGTACGTGGCCTCGCATCAGAAGGACCTAGTGTCGGAGCCCAAGCAAGACGTCAGTCTGGCCATCATCAACTACATCCTCTCGTCTGGCCGCAGCTTGTTTATCAACTCGTGCATCAACTCGCGTCTGTGGTGCAACCGAAAGAAGCGTGACAAGGTTGAGTTTGACGGTCGCGGCGTGCTGGTGCTCAGCAAGGAGCTGGACAAGAAACAGCAGCTGGGCATCACTGGCGACCAGCAGTACAGCGACGATGGCGGCGTGGGACCATCCACACACAGCCACGGCGGCAGCTCCAGTGTCTCCTCTACGCACCACAGCAGTAGCTCGGGTGCCAGCAGTGGCGGCCACTATGGTCAGGGCAGCATGGCGCCTGGCAACGGCGGCGCGTCACAAGGTCCGGCCAAGCTGACACCACTCTATTGTAACGCATGCAAGCTGGTGTTTGTCAATGGTGCGGCCGAGCTCCTGGAGAACAAGAAGTCGATCATACCATCGCACATTGACACGCGATACATATACACGTGTGCCAAGTGCAATGACAAGAAGGTGGCCACACTCATACATCTGCCCAAGTCATGGAAGGTGATCGTGCACACCACACTCTACAATCTTGAGCTTGGCAGTGGCAGCAAGTTCTCATCCAACAAAGCACTCTACTCCTTCATCTCGGAGAATGCATCCACATTGCTACTGGGCGGCAAGACAATTGACTACTTGAACAAGAACTTGAGTGGAGTGCTGTCGTCGTACAAGAACCTGTTCTGCTCCTCTGGTAGGAATATGTGGGGCAACGTGTCCCAGGACGACAAGAAGCAAGTTGGCGGACAGAGTGGCGCTCATCATCACAGCAGCTCAAGCAGCAGCAGCAGCGGCAGCGGCAACAACACATCAATAGTGATCAGTAGCGCAAACTCAAGCAGCAACAACAACAACAACTATGATGACGATCATAGTGATGAGGAATCATCAAAGACTACAAAGAGACTCAAGCTTACCATTCCAAATGTGTCGCATAGGGAAAGCTCCACCTCCTCGTCCAGCGTCAGCACGGCCGCTTCCAACGAAAGCCACAGCCACCACCATAGTAGCAGCAGCGGCAGCCACCATGGCGGCGCCGACGACGACCTACCCACAGCGTCGTTGGGCAAGAGGAAGCACAGTGATGCCCCATCTTCCTCAAGTGGCACCTCCACATCGTCCACCTTCACCTCCTCAACGTCACACACAAAGAAGGCCTCGTCCACCAGCTCACCCTCGTCCAAGGCGCCAAAGGTCTCGGCCGTCCTGGACGAGGACCTTCTGGAGGACAACATGGATGTCAACATCTACGACGAGCGCATCCAGAACACCGTGGGCTTCCTCACCGGCCTGGGCCTGACCACCGAGCTTGGACAGCTGCGTCGCGAGATCGAGGAATTGGAGATTCCCGAGCTTAAGGGTCTAGAGTTCCGCTTCCTGCTACGTCGCTCGCCAATCGCTCTCAAGCAGGAGGCCCAGTATACAGTGCGCGACTGTCTACTGAACGTCTCGCACACAGTGTCGGTTGGCATTCGTTCGGTGATCCCCAACGCTTCAGCGGCATCGTCCACCAACATTGACGTGACCTCGTTGTCGACCAATCCATTCTATATCGTCTTCTCACAGCTGCTGAACCAATCGCTGCACTCCCCAACCATGATGTCACCGACAACTCTTGGTCAGAAGCTACTGATTGAGCACAACAACAACCACAGCAGCAGTGGCAGTATCAATCACAGTCAAAGCGCATCATCAAGTATCAATAAGCAAACTCGGCAACAGTATTGGCGGCTCCGACACACCCCTGAAACAACCTCCAGTGCCACCCAGCGTGTCAATCTCAGGAGGCAACGGCAACAACAGTAAGGCAGAGATGTCGCCTACCACATTCAAGGCACCACTCTCACTGCCCGACCTGGCCACCGCCAACACCGAGCTACTACCGCTGCCCCAAAAGGATGGCCAATTCCTCGAGAAGGTGATCAACACCCCAGAGATGACGGGCGCCGACCAAGTGCCAACGATGGCCACCTCCTCACATGAATGAGACTACCTCCCTCCCCCACCGAGCTCGAGCACTGCGTTGTGTATGTGCCTGCCTCGCTGACATTGTGTACAAACCAAACAAGTCCCGGCTGGGACTATATGTAGAGAGGACATGGACAGTGTTGTTGGTTGTTGGAGGGCCGCGAGGAGATATATACTTGGCGTTCCAACCCTTTAACTGTCCTCAATCCTCATCACAACCCTCCTCCTCCTCCTCCACTAATAAACTATTACCAAGTCTTGATAAAGACCTTACCCTTGCCCTCACATAAACAACCAAGATCAAGTTAATGGGTATTAGACGAAGGAACATTTATTGATGTCGACAAGCATTATAGGGGATGCTTAGATGGCAGCCTTGAGCAACTTTCCATAGTCCTTGAGGTGACCGTGGTTGGTGATCAACTTTACATTGGCACCGTCGTTGATGACACGACCAGCAGCCTTGAGCTGCTTGTACTCCTCACGGTCGTAGGTGGTGAAACCCCACTTCTTGGAGATGACGATCTTCTGACGGCCTGGGAACTTGTAGGACGAACGACGGAGGGCCTCAATGACGTGGGCCGACATGTTGTCCTTGCAACGGATCGAGAAGATGACCTGTCCAATGTTGACACGGGCGACAGTACCGACGGGCTTTCCGTAGGCACCTCTCATTCCGGTCTGGAGACGATCAGCACCGGCACACGACAACATCTTGTTGATACGGAGCACGTGCCATGGGTGAACGCGGACACGCATGTGGAACGAGTCCTTGCCTCCGACCTTGGAGATGTACTTGTTGCAGGAGATACGTCCGGCCTCCAAAGCCTCAGAGGACAGCTGCTCGTACTCCAACGAGATCAAGTGAGCGCAGAATGGGAACTCATCTGGGGATGCCTTCTTACGACCCAAATCGTAAATTCTGATCTTGGCGTCTGGGACACCACGACAGTATCTAGACTTGATGAACGGCTTGTTCTTGCAATATCTGTAACTGTTTGTTTGTTGTTGTTATGTTGAGTCATACGTATTAATCAATCTGTTCCTGTTCTGTTGTACCTCGCAATCAATCATCTCTGTGTGTGTGCCATCAATCAATCAATCCCAATGTAATCAATCATTCGTCAATCCATATTCAATCAATGATCGCTATGATTCATTCAATCTTATGTGATAATTACCATCTAGCTGGACCTGTTGATTATGAACAATAATGAAGATTGAAGGATGATGATTGTTAGTAATCTGTGAGTTGGGATGTTGGATACACCTGGATATCGATGGATTGATCTAGGATATACATACGTCTACCCATTTTGTGTGATTGATTGTATGTGAAGGAATCCTTTGTGTCACAAAGAAGATGGATACGCTTATTGAAGAGGTTGTTGCTGCAGGGGAGTGACTCGCTGTGGGTGTGCAGTGTCGTCTCCTGAAAAAATATTTCGTTTAAAATTAATAAAGTTTGATTTGCAAGAAAAACAAAAAAACACTACTTTTGGTGTGTGTTTCTTTGTTTGTTTGTGGGTTTGTTGAACAAAATGAAGAATGAAGTGAGTTTCACAACACAACCTCAAGTTGATGATTAAATACACACGCACTTTGAAGATTCGCGAAGGAATGACGTTCTTATTCTCCCAACGAATACACCTCTTCTCAACTTAATAACAAATATTCATTGTTATTATCACCCCATATTGGTTGGTCAATCAAGCAAGAGAACAACAACATTGATCTACTTTCATTCAAAGAAGATAAAAGAAAAGTCGTTGGACCGATCGAGCGAGCAGGAGAACAAGCATTTAGATGTTGGACCGTGAATGATTGAATATTTGTGATTACAACAGCTTGTCTTGGATAGCATATAGGTCGTGTCTCTTTTGATCATAGACTGGGATGCTTGAACGCATCTCTTGTACCTTGCCAAGATCAATGTCAGCATATACAATGGTCTCTTCATGCTCTGTAGTTGTTACAATGTCTCCCCTAAATGATTCAATTGAATGATTGAATGAATGAGTGAGTGATTGTGATCATCATTGGAATGATTGGTTGAATACACGTACCATGGAGCAACGACTGTTGAATGTCCCCATGCAATGTACTTGGAGTTTGGATTGCGTGCTGGGGATACGGCAGCGACGTAGAGTTGGTTGTCGACGGCACGTGCACGTTGGAGGAGTTCCCAATGTGCTGGACCGGTGGTCATGTTGAATGCACCTGGGTAGATGAGCATCTTACATCCACGTTTAGCATAGATCATTGCCAACTCTGGGAAACGGATATCATAACAGATTCCAACACCAATCTTAAAGTCATTGCCCAAGTCTATAACGGTTGGTGTGTTGCCCGATGACAGTGTCTCGGACTCTTTGAATGTGATCTTGCCTGGCACGTTGATGTCGAATAGATGTACCTTGCGATGCTTGCCCACCAGTTCTCCATTTGGTGAGAAGATGAAGCTACTATTGTATATCTTTCCATCGTCTCCACGCTCTGGAATAGAACCACCAATCAACCATATCTTCAGACGAGCTGCAGCGTCCCTAAGCATAGTCGTCGTTGGTCCACCATACTGTTCAGCATACTCTTTGAATACTGCTGTGCTATATGGACAATTGAAGCATTCCTGTTCATTGATTGATTGAATGAGTGAGTGATTGATTGATAGATCGTGATCACGAGCAATTCAGACTCATACAGGTAGACAAACAATGTTGGCACCATTGCCAGCAGCCTCCTCGATTGACTTTAGTGCAGCTTTGATGTTGGATTCTTTGTTCTCTCCAACCATCAATTGAATACCTGCAAACTTGTATGATGATGATGATGATGTATTGGACATTGTTGATAATGTATAGAATCTAAGTGAAAGATGTTGATATTGATATTGTTGTTGTCTCAATAACTTTGTAATTGTACGACTTAACATCTTCTTTGGTAATATGGATACATGAATGTCAGGTGAATGAACACTTCAACTAAAGTCGGGAGGACCACATGTCCAAGCAATCTGTGAGACCTAGGGGTCATTGAAGTTCAAATATTTGGTCTCTTTCCATGATTGACAAGTTTGTGAATCATGATAGGATCATTCATTCATTTGCCATTCTTTCGTTCGCTCATTGATTCATTCATTATGATCGTATTTGTAAGTTTACTGGTTTGTAACAGGGTATGTCGTTGAGTTGAGGGAAGAGACACTTGAAAAACAAAGTTTGATTCAAACAGGTGGCACATGAATTCTTGTTTCTTTCATTTGCACCAATCACTCTATCAATCAATCAACAATTCTTACACACATTCATTCATTCATACATACACAAGAGATATATACATAGAGATGGATCCTAATAATAATAATAATAAGAATGGAATATGTTTAAAACATGGTAGATCAATAGAGTTATATTGCTCGGATTGTAAGCAATCAATGTGTGTAAAGTGTGTACCTGGACCATTACATAAGGATCATGATATATTTGATAATGAATCATTGTTGATCAGTATGTTGGATAGACAGGACGAGTATGACCATGACTTTAATGAACGATTGGGGTCGTTATGGGCGACGGCCAAGCCACTCGTTCAATCATTGCCATCATTCATCCAGGATGAAGCCACTGTCACCGAGTACTTTAGAGGCCTGCACAACCAGCTCATGCTGCAGGAGCACAAGATATTGGCACAGTTCAAGCAGCAGAAAGAGGCCACAGAGAGCACGCTCAGATGCATTATCGAGGAGGTCAAGATGACTATTCAGGTGTTGGCCGAGACGCGCAGCAAGACCCATCGATATCTGCCCAACGACCAGCAGCATTGTGTCGGTGATGACGAGGCGTACGACAGTGATGAGGCAATGGCCAACCTACTGCCGATCGTCAATTCACTGCAGACGGCTCACTCACTCGACGACTTTGTCAGCATCATTACATCCAAATGTCTGGTCCCAGTGTCGCCGGCACAGGAGGAGGTTAACCTGGTGCTGCTGCTCGACGGCATTGACACAATGAAGAAGAAGTCACTGGTACCACCCACCAAGCTCGCCATCAGGACTGACGAGAACATGGTGTCTATGCTCAAGTTGAGGTTGCAGGACTGCTTCCAGTTGGTGGACATGAGTCGCGAGGATCAGGCCAAGTCGCGCACCACCATCGTGTCATACACGTCCAATGGCCGATGCCACCTCTTTGACACAATGAACAACACATGGAGCGACTTGGGCACAGACGACAAGGGTCGTCCATTCACGTATCACTCGATTGTTGCCGTCCGCGACATGGTCTATGTGATGGGTGGTGACACTGACTCCAAGACCTTCTCGCGTTTCTGCATGACCACCAGGAAGTTTGACAACATCGGCCAGCTCAACAATCACTGCGGCTTCTACGTCTCGGCTTGCTACGATGGAGACCAGTACATATATCTGGTGGGAGGCATCTTCAAAAGCGACTACTCCACAAAGGTGTCGCGCATGAGCATCCGATCATTCATCATCGAGGATGTCTGCAGCATGGTGTACAGCTGCGCGGGCACACTGACATTCATCAAGGACGGCCTGCTCTACATCGTGGGCGGCTACTTGGGCACCAACCACAGACGTTCATTGCGAACAATCAATCTCAAGACACATGAGGAGAAGACCGTAATGGAGGATCTCACATTCAACAAGTCAATCATCTCATCGTGCTACGACGGCAACGATATGGTGTACATATTGGACAGCACTGGACACTTCTTTAGAGTGTGCGTATCGATGCGCGAGAAGACGGTGCTGGCCGGCCCGCCCTTCCCCGCAACCCAGCATCACTCATTCGTATACATGCCCTCGCCCGAGAAGGACAACAATGACTTGGTCTACTTCTTTGGCGGCAACAAGATTGGCACGAGATGCTACTCAGTGCGCGAAAATCATTGGACTGACCTGGGCAAGGACAATGCCGACAGGATATACTGTGGCGCAGTGCTCGTAGAGACTACCAGAGCAGGAACTACAACAAACAGTGGTTCTAAGTAATGTATATGATGATGAAGCTAGAAGTTCTCTTTATAAAAATGTAGATTACAACCTTCCATTCCATTGAAGCGATGGCAATTGCTTCGGATCTCCTTGGCCATGGGTCGTGGCCCACAGAAGAACACACCTATCGAGCTCTCTTTGTGCAGTCTGACCACCTCCTGGAAGATACCGCTCCAGTTTGGTCGGCCAAACATCGTCTGTGACTTGAGTCCAGTGATAAAGTCCGTGTGCGACTCAGAGTCGATCGTGGCCAGACCCTCAACGATGGCGTTCCAATCAGACACCTCGATGGCGCCCGTCAGATAGGTGTGTATCTCGACCAGGTCGTTGAGCTCCGTCTCCACATCATGCAATATAAATGTGAACCACTCGAATGAGTTCTTCTCGCGTGATATCCAAAAGAAGTACACCTTTTGAATGGGCAGGTACGTGTTGTTGCCCTTCTGTCTCTGTTCGTCCAATGATTGCACCAGTCTGTACTTGATATGCTTTAGGATGGAGGCGAATGGTGTTGCGCCAATACCAGCACCGACCAACATCACAACCTTGTACTTGAACACGTCCTCCGATGCCGCTCCAAAAGGTCCTTGTATTTTGAGTATCGGTGAGTTATCCGGACCAGTCATAACTTCATTCTGAACAATGCCAAGCTTCTCATTCGGGTTGAGTAGCTTATAAAGTCGACCTGTCCAATTGCCAACAATCTAAATGTTTTGGGATAGTTAGTGATTGAATGAGTGAGATGGATGTATGATGAGGCTTACATTGATGTGAACAGAGATGAAAGATTCATCTGGACTTGAGGTGATTGTGAATGGATGCCATTCGTTACGGGTCAAGCTTGGACAATTTAGATAGATGAATTGACCTGGTTTGAATTTGAAGTTGTCCTTCTTCATTCTAAGTTCGAGTACTTTTGAAGGATGTTGTTTGGCCAAGTGTAATATTACAGATCTACTACCTCTAACAATCCTATAAGCTCTCTCAACAATGTATATTACAAATGGTGCAGTGACCCATAAATATGTTGTAGGTTCACTCTTTAGTTGTCTCGTGTATCCTATAAATATGCAGATGTTAGAATATGTTTGATTGAGTAAATTATGGGATGATTTGACATACCATGGAATATTAATAATATGAATAGGATTATAAATAGATGATGAGTGTAGTAGAATAGTTCGAAATGAGGTCTACGTATTGATTCAATTGATGTGATCACAATTACAATCATAATCAGAGTCATCAAAAATCCAGTGATAGCTGGAAATGAGGTAAAAAGTGTTGAAGGAGTGTAATCTGGGAATCCATGTTCGGCCAAATGTTCTCCAGGTGTACTCGACAATGTATAATAGTTATAGAAATGTGCTCCACTAATACAGTATTAGTTTGTTAGAATTGATCAATCAATGAGAGGGAGGATTGTTACATACCAATGTGCCAGTGAACCAATTATCAAACCTGATGCACATAGTTTGTGAAGTGATATATATCGATCAATTGGGATGTAGTTGTTTATCCATGTTCCACGAAGCCATGTCATTACATTGCTCAGAACAGGTAGTAGGATCAACATTGCATTGAGGTTGATTACTGCTGCACCACCCTTTGCAACCAATAATCCCATTCCTAACAATTCGCATTGTTGTGTATATACATTCTTGAGTACACTATGTATAACTACACCTATATTGGCCAGAAGGAATAGTACAACTATTACAAGACCAAGACCTTTGTTCCACCACCAATACTTTATCTTTATCCATTTCGAATATGAACCAGATTCCTCTATTACAGTTGTCAACTCATGATCTGATATTGCTGACATATGATCAACACCACTACACTTGTCCTTTGAGTTATCTGTTGGATGAGTAGTAGATGGTGAATCACCAATTGACTTTCCATCCTCTAATGAGAATGTTGTAATATTATTTGAACTACTATTACTACTATTATTACTTTCATTTCCAGTACTATTTCCTGTTGTTGAACGATGTCGATGTTGATGATGTTGTTGATTATTTTGATTATGTCCTCCACTTATCGAGTTTAATTCTACACTCTCAAACTCTCTCTCTGGATCCATTATAGTTATTTAATCTATATATATATATATGATAATAATGATGAGTAGTAATAAATATTGGGAAGATGAATGAGCACCATCTTCACCATGGGGGAAAGGATTACACCTTTTTGTGAGCAACGACGACAACAACACACCTCCAAAGAACCCCCTTTGTCATCTTAAGATTAATAAAGGTTGGAAGGTTGAGAGTTGTCTCTTCACACCTTCATTTATCTCTAAAAATTGACACTTTTTGTTTTTCCCATCGATTACTACTAATCTCAAAAGTACACTTTAGTATTTTGGGTTTATGACCATTTATGGAGCATTATTTTAACGACTATTGGTCGAATCATTCAAGTTTGTAATTTTTGTAATATTGTATACAATATTACAACTCTGGACGGATTTGTGATAATATAAATGTTTCCGGAATAACTCGTTAATAATTGTCCATAAAAGATAGAATAAAAGAAAATGGATTATTAATAGATCAACCAATAAGGTGGGGTTATGTGACCATAGCAAACTTACATTCCACAAAGCAATGAATATATAATTAATGTATTTGTTTATATGTTGATTGTAAGTTTATTGTGATCACCAGGGCAGGCCTGGGATAGAGCAACATAACTACCGTTTCAGTTGCTGTTGCTGTTGCTGTTGCTGTTGCTGTTGCTGTTGCTGTTGCTGTTGCTGTTGCTGTTGCTGTTGCTGTTACTGTTGCTCTCTCTTGACGTAGATGGCCTCCTCATCCACTTCGTCATCCTCGTCGCAGTTGATTGCATCTTCGACTAGATTGGATGGCTCCCTTTTGATCGGTCTGTAGGGTCTGTCTTGAGCTCTGGGTTCCCTGTACTCCAATAGATAGTCCGAGATACGTGGACCCGTTGGCTCCTCCTGAACGCGGTAACCATCGATGTAGAGTTCGTTGGTCTTCTTGTCCCTCTGGGTCTTCGATCGATCAATGATGAGCGAATACAGGATCAAATTGACATCTACATTATTGGGGATGGGTGAGACAATGTAGTGCAACTGTTTGGACAACGTAAGCATCCGGTTGAGGTCATCGTTGTTGGCGGTACTACTCTCCAACAGTTCTTGAATCGACTTCGGTGTTAGGCACATCGGTGAGGTGGAAGTCGTGGACGTCGTGGAGGAGCTCGAGGTGGACGTTGTGGAGGTGATGGGCGGGTTGATTGGTGACTCGCCTTGGGCCATTCTCCTCCTCATGTCTTCAATCGATGACCTGATCTGGGCATCCAGATTTCCAACATCGAGCATGTTGCTTAAGGCCTGGTTGACTCCAGGCGATATAGGTGAAGCCCTTATGCTATGAGCGAAATTGGTGATGTTCGCTATCGAATTGTATGAAACAAGAGTCAATAAGTGTCAAATTCAGTCGACTGGTGACAATTGAGATTACTTACCGACTCTCTGGTTCTGGCGAGCAAGATTAATCTCTTTGGAGCTTTGTTGGTTCAACGAGGTCAACTTCTTGAGTTGAGCAGTGAGCTCATCTGCAACCTTGGTGAGAGCAATCTCGAATACCACCTTTTTTCTGGATTTTAGTCTTAAAGTTATTACTTAAAGATCGATGTGGAAAAGGGAAGATATTAGATAGAGATAGGCAATCCTTGATCATCGTCGAAATGTCTGTTAGTCTCAGTCCACAATGCTGGTCATTGATTCAATTCATTTGGCATCAGAGTGCTTATTGCGAGATAGATAGTCGATGGCGACAGACGCTCTCATTGGTCTCTTGGGTCCATCGTACAGTGAACCGTCTGAACGACAATCTGTCGTTCAAGTCTCTCGACTGATATGCCAGCAATCACCAAAGGCAACTTCAAGACGAACTGCTCTTCAACGAGACCATAAGTTGATCCAGTACAAAGGATCTAAAGGCGACCGATCACGCAGAAGACCTGACTTTGTTGCATAACTTGGCGATACAAAGAAATTTCTGAATTAGAATCTGGTATCGTGATGAGATACCGACCTTTGGTCTCATCATGTTCCAATCATAGTTTATTGACATTCTTACAACAAAATAAGTATATAAATATATATATATAATAGTTTAATATTATGATTACAGTTACACAGGAGGAGTTGTGGTTTCCAATACTTAATCACCAACAGGCGACGTCCGGTGTAGGATCAGCGGAGTCGGCATCTTTAAGGAAACCAACAACAAAGATGTTATCATCATCATCATCTGCTACTTTAATATCTGCAACACAAAGAAGATTGATCAATAGTTACCTACCATGTTACACGAGACAATGTAATGATACATCATGTCAAACTGATAGACATTCATTGGCCATCTACACAGTGTTGAGACAACGATCACTTGTAAAGTTGATCATTCAATCATTCAATGTCGACAAGTACGTAGAGTTGTTTGATATTCGATCCAATAGGCCGTATCACAAGGAGTCGCCATCACCCTATCCCCTGCGCCTCACCTTCTCCCAGTGCTTTGACGTGGCATGGATGCTTGGAAACAATCACTTTGGAATACTCAAAGAGAAGTTGAAGTTGAGGTTGCAGCAACCGCTGGCCCCCAACCTCTACTACCATTCATCAACAATCACACGCTTTACTCTGGTCACGGATACTGAGTTGTTCGATCTGATCTACGACGATTGTCCATCAATGTTTGTGATTGTCAACATGTTGGAGTGGTCATCAACTACCAATGCATCATTGTTCAGACATGTACTACATAGATTCAGACTGGCCTACGACTGTGGCAATGACTACTCTCTGCTCACATCAAAGGTCATCGAGATGAATGATCCTCAGCTACTGAGAGCCATCTTGGAGGACCGTCCACAGGCCAAGTTCAAAGGTGGAAACTCAACGTCCACTACAATCAGATCACCAGAGATATTCAAAGTACTTAAGGAGTTTGATAGGCATGATATCATGCATCACTATCTTTCAACCAACACTTTGGGACGATTGTTTGAAACCAACAGCGTGGAGATATATCAATATTACACGTCGCATCATCCATTAGATGTCAATGGCACGTCTAGATCATGGTCGAGCTCACTTGAACAACTGTTGAGTGAGCCTCAGAAGATGACTCGTGACCGAGCTGACCTCGTGGAGTATTTCATCATTCAACAGTACCCTGGTTTGGATTCATTAGCTAAGATCAATGAACAGGTGGATCATGTATGTGAGGGATTGCCATCAGAGATAAACGCATACATCAGATTGTATCAATACGCCAGATATAATCGATCATCATTGAACAAAGATCTTGGTGCCTACTCTGTCATGCTCAATAATGGACTTAGTCAAGTGATCTCCATTGCCAACTACTTCAACGGCCATCATGGATTGATTAAATTCCTAATGGACATTGGATATTTAAATCAAGTACTCACTGAAGGCTCATTGGAGAGTGTAAAGACAGCATGGTCAATTGATCCAACTCCAGTGGCAATCATTGGAAACATCTATCATGTGGAGTTGGAGGTGGCAAAGTTCATACTTGAGCATCACTCTATGGAGGACAACGAGTGGAAGCTCTCATCTGTCAAAGATCCTATCGACCCCGACACCGTTATGTATCTGTATGATCAAGGATTGATCCCTCGCACCAAGTACCACATGGGACACTTTGCCTACTGTTTGGCCAAGAATGGACACTTCCGCCAGGCACACAAGCTGGCGCCGCACCTCAAACTGACCTTCCTCCCGCCAGACTTTATTGCATTCATCCAGCATCCACTGCCTGAAATGGAGGTGCTCACATTGGTTCACTCAATCAATCCCAAGTTCGACTCGTTGAACTTCTACCTCACGGCCAACGTTGACTTGGAGGGCTTTGATCACTTCCTCTCAATAATTGGCAGCCATTTGGCCAAGTCCTATATCCAAGCATTCGAATACCACAACACACATCAATATAGGATACTCGATCACATTGCCAACAAGTACGCACAGCACATGAGCTTCAGCCTCAAGGAGAAGTACTTCCTCGGTCTCTACTACCTGGGACATCACGACAAGATGATGCAGTTTGCCAAGACATGGTTGTTGGACCCAGCAGTCGACTCTCTACTCTGGGGATTGGTTGGCGAGATTGGTCAATACAAATACTTTGAGCAGGCAATCCAATATCATCAAGATGCTGCCAAGGCTACATTGGATCAAGAGTGGGCTGCCAGCTCTGCACTCAGACAAGCTGTCAAGTTCTCACGTATGGACTTTGTCAAGCAAGTACTACAGACCTACAAGATGGACACCAAGCCAGATTGGAAGGAGGTCAACATGCGTCTTTGTCTTAGTTTGGATCAGTTGTCCATGTTTCAATACATCCTCTCTCTTCCGGATGCCGTGAAGAAGGACAACACCTATTCTAAGTTGTTCCAGACAGCCCTGGACCTCGGTGCTGGTCGATGCGCCAAGTATCTTCTCGAGAACCATTCAATTGTCAAGCTACCAGTGGTCACTCAACAAAACATGTTGACGGCCATACCATTGATTGACATGATGATTGCAAAGGGTGTCTACTCGCTCCAACTTCTTCCAGAGTCAGGTCCCATCAAGCTTAACTACCAGAGTTGGAAGAGTATCCAAACAATGATCACTAAATAAACTGTGTAATATTACTATTGGACCATGTTAATCGGGGGGTTATTGTGTAATTGTATTATGTAATTGTTGTCGTTATTGATCAAGTCAGTTGGACTTGACTGTGATTGATTGGAGGCCAGTCGGTAGATAGGTGGGTTGGTGGACTGGATGGTGCCAGGTGATCGTATGGATTCTATTTGCGTTGTTTGAATATAGAGTTAAAGACAGGTTTGTCCTTTGATGGCTCTGGTTCTTTCTTCTTGCTACTCTCCCCGCGATGAATGTTAGAAGAATTGACTTGGGCATGGACATGTCCTTGTATACATACACTTGAGTTGGCGCTGATGAGATAACTGCTCCAACTTTAACACTATTTGAAACGACTACTTGTTTGGATGGAGCTGATTGCTGAGTATATTTGTTCCAAGCTTTCTCTAAAGATGATGTAGATATTCAGTCAGTCAGTCAGTCAGCCAGTCAATCAGTATAGCACTTTGGTAGAGACACATACTCTTTGATGTTTGTGAATGTGGCGCAGTTGTGGTTGTTGTTGATGTCTTTGGTTGTGAAGCAATGCTGGCGGCCAGGTCGACTTGCCTCTGCCGCTCTCTTTCCTTTCGCTCCTCCATCTCTCTTTGTTTGATCTCCAGCTGATCGTAATATTCCTCTGGTTTGTAAGCGTTGGGATTATAATAGGTCAATGGTAGATTTGAACCATTCTCCTTGATCTCGCAAAAGCTTATCAACTTCTCCAATATCGATGGATTGTTGAATGCTGATGAGTTCCTCAATGTCTCATTGAAGCTAATACCTTCAAGTTTCATCTTATGATACTTCATTATCTTCTCCTGTTCATGTGACCATCATTTGATTGATTGAATGAGTGAGTGAGTGATACGAATGAATATGATTGATGTAGGATAGTTGTAACATACTTTCATTCGCTCATCCAACTCACCTTCCGGCTCGGGCAGGAATGGTGATGATACGTTTGGATAGAGGCCAGAGAAACTGGGATTGGTGGACTGAGGTAGGTTGCTGACGTAGGGTGGAGAGTAGAGGATGGGCGTTGGTGGTGTGCGAGTGTTGGCAACAGAGGGAGGTGGTGTAGCGTTCTCTAATGTTGTGTTGATGTAGTTATTCTTCATTGAATATGTTGGTTCCAAGTATCTCTTCTTCTTTCGTTGTCTTTCATCATTATCATCTTCGTCTGCAGCGTTGTCCTTGTTGCGACCGTTGTCATCATTTTGTTTGTTGTTATAACCATTATTTCTGTAGACACTGTTGCTGTTGTTGTTACTTGTATTGCCATCTCTGTTTTGTTTGTTCTCTTCATCTTCATCATCATTGTCCATATCAACCGATTGACTATTCTCTTCAACCTTTAGACCATAAGGTTTATCAGATACCTTTGCAATTGGCAATTTACGATCGACATCATACTCTTAACGATGGATGGTAGGTTAGTGAGTTTAGTTGAATGAGGTGAGTATAGCAAACAGACATACCTGAATACTCTAATGAGTTTTGATCTACAGCAGATGTTGTTGTAGTTGTTGTCGATGTGTTTGTTGTCGATTGTTGAGGCTGTGGATCGTGTTCAACGTCATCTTCATCATCTGATTCATACTGTGCAAACAGACTCATAGTGTTGTTGCTCGCTCACTAACTCATACAATCAATGTGATGTGATATTGGCTACTGTTCTCTATTGTTTACTCTTTGTTGCCTCTTCCTCCTCCTCACGGTCATTCAGAGTTTGTTGTTGTTGTGAACTTATTTGTTTTATTTTTTAATTTAATTTAACTTGATGTTGTGTGAATAATGAAGAAATGAAGTGGGTGAGATGATCAAAGTGCCTTGTGTGATGTTCACCATCAATCAATCACAATCAAACATTTACAAATTACTTACATATACACTTACACATATAACATTTATATATATAATTATAATACAGAATGTCAACATTCCCAACAAGTGTATGATTCAACGACAATGTGGACACAGGCAGGAATACAGATTGACAGGTAGTTTTGTCGACTCCAATGACCAACATACTAATAATATAATGATGTGAACATATAATTTATAGACTGTAGTCCATCCAACTGTTCTACTCAGTGTAGTCGATCATTATAATCGTGTGGCAAAGGATACAAACAAGCGTGTCGTTGGTGCATTGCTAGGAGCAAACAACAAAGGTGTAGTCGATGTATCAAACTGCTATGGTGTGCCCTTTGAGGAGGACGATGACAACTCAAACATTTGGTTCCTCGATCACAACTTCCATGAGAACATGTATTCAATGTTGAAGAAGATCAATGGTACGTTTGAATGATGCAGATTGGATACACCAGTGTGATAGCTAACATTGATTCAAACACCTTTTTAGCTAGAGAGAATGTAGTTGGATGGTATAGCACTGGACCAAAGATCAGAACATCTGATCAGGACATCAATGAGTTGTTTAGAAGATACACACCAAACCCTGTGATGATTATCATCGAGGTAGCTCCAAAGGAGTTGGGCATCCCTACAAAGTCATACGTCACTGTTGAGGAGGTCAACAAAGTATGTTATATCTCTCTCCAACTCATCGATCGTCTCACTCATACTGACTCAACATCTTCAACAAACAAACAGGAAACATCAGAGTCAACAATGCGTTTCCAACACATTCCTTCGATGATTGATGCAGTGGAGGCAGAGGAGATTTGCATTGAGCATCTCCTCCGTGATGTGAAGGACAGCTCTATATCATCATTGACCACTCAAGTGCTGGACAAGAAGATATCATTGCGACACCTGTTGACCAACCTTCAAGAGATGACCACTTATTTAGACTATGTAGTTCAAGAGTATGTTGCCATTGATCGATCAATCAATCAAGTTACTAATATGTTATGTATAAATAGACGTATCCCAGCCAATCAACAGATCATTGGATTCATCCAGGACATTATCAATCTTTCACCAAACTTGAACGTCAAGGAGCTGGCAAAGGCATTCTCTGTCGAGATGAATGATACTGCTTCAGTGATCTATTTGTCATCGTTGATTCGCTCAGTCATTGCTCTTCACAACCTCATCTTGAACAAGTTTGAGAACCGCGATGCAGAGAAGAAGGCCGACGCACCAGCCACCCCAAGCAAGGACAAGGATACCGCTGCTGCCGCCACCGCAACCAAAGACACTACAGCGCCATCGAGCAAAGACAAGGACAGCTCTGCTTCCGGAAGCGGCAAGCCAAACACAAAGTAAATCACCAGTTCTGCTGTTGCTGATGCCACTGCTGCTGCTGGATGGACAACCGATGTGATCAAACTCCTGTAATCAATCATATAATCAATCACACTCAAACCAACATATTATTGCCAATAAACATATCCATCATCATTCGATACTCCTAGGATATCCAGTCTGTCTGTATGACAGTCAAGTATGACTGATTGATTGATTGATTCCAAACGTTTATCTCTAAATCTTACTTGGTCTTCTTTGCACTCCTTGACATATCCTCTGCCTCTGCCAATGCTTGTTGTTGCTTCTTTTTGCGCAGACTAAACATGTACAGGTATTGCTTGGGGAAGAGCAGGAAGGTCAGAGTGATCCAGATCAATGCAAAGTAGTAGTAGTTGAACGAGAAGTTGAACCAGTTGGGCATGTCCAAGAAGTGAATCCTATCCTCCAACATGATTGGCAACATCTCATACCACAGGATATCTTTAGAGGTAGGTAGAGAGTACAATTGTCAGTGTTCCATTCATGATTGATTATGACAGTGTGATCGAATACTACTTACTCTCTGCGGCAAATCCGATTGGGTAAAGGACAATGAATGCGTTGTATCTATATCGTTTGATTGTATGAATGAGTGATTGATCATCTGACTCTGATGACGATGATGATATCCTACCTTAACCAAGTCAAGAATGGAGGACACTCATTGTAGGCCTGAGCAATGTAGTATGGGAAGCGGATCAACTCTGAAATGCCCCAGAAGAAGACCATGAGAGGTACACCCCAATGGAACTGTACAGTTGGGCAGTAGAGAAGACCAACAAGCAGCACGTGATTACGACCCAATACTTGAGCCAACGTTGGTGCCAGACTGCTCTTGACAATGCCAAGAACGACGTGGAGAATCTCCAAGAAGGCAAACACCTGAAGAGTGCCTATGATGATGGTTTGAGTGAGCAATGATGGTTGAAGGCGGACAGGCAGGAAGATAGGACACTTACAAATAATTGAACCTAGTGATGCGAATGTAGAGTAGAGAGATGATGGACCTTGAAGAAGATCCTCATGAACATTGAGATGATGACGTAGTACCAACCAAGAGCCTGGAAGACGTTGTAGATCATGATGTAACGCTTACCAAGGATCGGCTTCCTCTTTGGCGTTGCATTATACTTCAATGTAGGTGGTGATGTTATTGGTGCCTCCATTGTTTTATATATAATGTATAATGTATATATCTGTATGAATGTTTGAACAAGATCAAGATATGATATTTGAAAGGAAGTTGACCAATGGTGCTTGCTTGCATGCATTGGGTTCAAAGTTTTATTCAATGATCTGGGTCACGTGTGAGGTTCATCCAACAACAATCATCATTCTTGGCGAGGGTCAACAGACATCAGATTCTTGATTTGGTATCATATAACTCGTTGTTGAGAGATTCATAGTTTGCAACAATACATCAAATACTCGAGCATCAACAAACAAACTTAAACGCAATTACATTACACAATGGAAGTAAGTAAGTAAGGAAGGAAGGAATAGTACCACCTGGTGGCCTCATCTCATAAATGATTCGCGAGAAAAGAACTTGGTATCTCCATTTAAATAGTCGGGAGAGGTATCTACCCAAACAGTCGCATATATAAATGTAAATGGCTTCCATCTCTCTTGGATGAGTGGCCATATGGGTAGAGGGTAGTAGAGAGAGAGATGTCGCAAAATTAATGGCTTCCCATCATCGATGGGCGGCAGATAAGATAGTAGGAGAGAGACTGGCAATGTCTGACTGACTGATTGATCATCAAATACATATATATAATAATTGGCCTCCACCTTAATCGTCCATACTCTGCGAGTATCTTAGCTTAGCTTGTTACATGATCATGTTGGATTGGATGGCATGGTGTGTGTGATGGATGTACTAGATTCCATCGATGGAGTTGATTGATTGATTGATTGATGTTGGTGTATTTATTTCGATAGTATGGCACTGAACGATGATGGTATATATGTTGGTGAAGGACAAGTTATGGTTTGTGGAAACATATCCAGTGAATGATTACTATCACTGTGTATGTATGGACGATAATGGTTGATTGTTGTATAACTGGCAACAACATTATTCACACAATKGTCAATGTCGACACTCCACTGGAGGTTGTTTGTGCAATAGATCGCTGATGTATATGTATGAACAATATGAATGTATATGTTTGATTGATTGGAATGATTGTTGGATGATTGATTGTTTGTTATGGACAATAGGTGGTGGAAGCTAAGCATTCTGGATAGTAGTAGGTAGGTAGAGTGGGAGTGATATGGAGGAAGAGGAGAGAGAGGCCAGCAACTACGCTAGTGCCTTGTCCTCTTGCCATCGTGAGGGTGATGTGCATTGGGATGTTGTTGTACATGTGGATGGAATGGTTGATTATAATTGACTGCTTGTGTGTGATCATATGTTCGCTTTTGTCCAACTTGCTCTGTTTGTTGTTGCTGCTGCTGTTGTGCAGCATACGACGCATAGTACTGTGAAAGGTCTTGAGGTGAATATCCTGGATATGCCTGTACGTTGTTGTTGTTGTCGTTGTGTAAATGATTGATTGATCGATTGATCGTTTGATCGATTGATTGATGATTGATTGATCGGTTGAGGGTGATTGATTGATTGGTGTTTGGGTACTTACCTGATTGTTCTGGGCATAGTATGCAGCCCATTGATCATAGTATTGTTGGTAGTAGTTCTGTTGGGCATTGGCGGCGTTTGGCATGGCGGGATTGACTTGGGGTTGGGGCACGGCCGGTGTTGGTTGGGGAGTTGGATACTGCTGCTTCTGCATCTGTTGCATGTAGGTCTGTTGTTGTTGCTGTTGCTGTTGTTGTTGCTTGAGGTAGGCCTCCTGCTGCTTGCGCTGTTTCTCTTGCATCTGCTGCTTCATGAGCAGTGCCTCCTTCTGTGTCTTCTCCAGTTGCACTTGGGCCGCGGCAGCTGCCTGTGCTTGTTGCGATCGTTGCAACATCTCTGACTGAGCCTTCAGCTGCTCCTGCATCCTTTGGATCTGGACGTTGGCCTGTGCCAGCTGGTCTTGTTGTGCCTTCATGTTGTTGATGACCACGGCCTGTTGAGGGGGAGGTGGTTGAGGCGGGAAGTTGTTGTTCATGTTGGGGTTGTTCATGTTGGGATTGACGTTCATGTTGTTCATGTGAGGAGGGAAGCCATATGGTGCACCATGTCCAACCATGCCTGGATACTGATGGCCTTGGTTGGGATAGGGATGAGGACCACCAGGATGGTTCATTCTGGGTGGGGGTGGTCCTCCACGGTAGGGTGGAGGGAATTGCTGTGGCGACTGATTGATTGGCATTGGTGGATGGTTAGGATATGGGGCGTTGTAGTGAGGGGGAGGAGGTCCTCCGGGATGACCACCTCTGCCACCACCGCCGCCACCTCCACCGCGACCACCACCTCCAAATCCACCTCTGGCACCTCCTCCACCTCGAGGAGGAGGTCCTCCGGGATGGCCACCTCTACCGCCCATTGGAGAGGCGGGAGGGTGAGGGGGACCGCCCTGGGCAGGTCTTTGAGGACGTGCACCCAAGGTATAGCCAGGCTTTGAAGGATTGCCAAAGCTCACTCTGATCTTGTAGCCTTGGAGGTCCTTCTCATTCATCGTCCTCTGTGCCTTCTCTGCGTCCTCCATCAACTCATAGTCGATAAAGGCAAAGCCTCTTGGTTGACCAGTTGCTGGGTTTGGCACTACACTACAGTCCTTAATCTTGCCAAATGGAGAGAACAACTTCTTGAGAATGCCAGGGTCCTATTGTTGTCGTTGTTATCATAAGGTTAGTGATCATGTGTGTTGATGGTGGATTACGAGGGATTGGGTACATTACCACAAAGTTCCTAGGTAGACGATCAACAAAGATTGTACGGGAGTGCATTGACTCGAGTGTTGTACATTGGTCTGCCCAATCCACTCTGAGTGTTCTTCCATTGTAAGTGGTTGAGCCCAGTGATGACTTGGCAGCATTGGCCTGTAGCTTAGTTCTAAAGTCAATGAATCCATATCCCTTAGAGTCTCCATTCTTCTTATTCTTCATGATCTATTTGTTTGAGCGAGCGAGTGAGTATAAGTGATCGATCAATCAATCAATCAAACGAATGAATACATACAATGATACGGTCTACCTCACCATACTTCTCAAACATCTTCCTTAGTTGATCCTTGCCAGCCTCTGGACCTAGGTTGCCAACGAATAGTAGTGTGTCGGCTAGTGGCATGTCGACAATGTTGAGTGTGCAGTTCTTTAGCTTGCTGTTGTTCAACTTCTCCTTGACATCATCATGCGCCTGTTGGTTCTCCATGGACACAACGGCAATGTCACGCTTGGGACCGTCATATGTAATGCTGAGCACCTTGCCATGCACGCTGAGATACTCCTTGAGGTCCTTCTCGATGACGGTCTCTGTCAGTCCGGTGATCTTGAGCGTGGGTGGCTTCTTGAATGCCTCGTCCATCTCTGCCAGGACCTGTGCAACCTTGGCCTTGTCCTCACCCTTCCTGTCCTTGTCGGCCTTGATCTTCTCAGCAATTGATTGTTCTGCCTCCTTTATAGCCTTCTCTACTAGTTGCTCATCAACATCATCAGCAGCTGATTTATGTTGTTGTTTATGTTGTTGGGTCTGTTGTTGCTTGGGTTGTTGCTGTTGCTGTTGCTGTTGCTGTCGTTGACCATCCTTGTCATCATCAGCCTCGTTGTCTTTGTCATCATCATCTTCATCATTGCCACTACCGCTGTTCTTAATGACATCTTCATAGTTTGCTTCATTGTCAGAGTAGTCAAGCTCTTCATTATTAACGAGCTCATCCATAAACTCAGCTGTCTCCTCTTCTACTGTTTCTTCTTCTTGCTCTTCCTCTGCTGCGACCTCCTCCTCATCCTTAGCTTGATCAGCCTCTTGCAGCTCGATGTTCTTTGTCTCTACAGGTGGCTCGGCATCCTTCTCAGACTTGTGAGTGCTTGTAGCACTATCCTGAGTATCTCCATTCAACTCCTCCATCTGTTCCTCCTGTTCTTGATTCTTTGGTTGTTGCACTTCCTCAACCTTGGTCATTGTCTCTTGCTCAGGAGCAGATTCATTCTTTACGGTACCCTCAGAGGAGTCACCATTCAATGTTGGTGAAGTTGTAGTTGTTTCAACTTTTGTTTGTTGTTGCTGTTGTTGTTTCTTCCTCTGCTGTGCAGCGGGTGATTGTTTTGCTTGTTTCTTTGAGGAGGGAGGTGGAGTTGTTGACGAAGGTGGAGGTGTTGTTGAAGATGCAACTGTACTGTTTGTCTCTGATACTACTGTTGTTGGCGTAGTTGGTGATGCTGATGTTGTTGTTGGTGATGATGTTGTTGTAACAGATTGTTGCTTATATTCATTTATCCTCAATACTAGAGCAGGTTTATTGCCAGTAGTAGATAGATTCTTTGCAGAGAGTATAGCCTTTAGTTGAGTCACTGTCAACGATGACAGATCTGCAGGTATATCATCTGTTATTGTTGTTGTTGTTATTGTAGTGTTTTTATTTTCGCTCATCCCTACTAATACTAAATACTACTAATATATATATATATGTATGTTTATGTTGTAACAAGGATTGATAATGAAGCAATTAATTGTTTGTTTTTCCAAAGACAAGTTTGTTGGTGGTTCGTTTGCGAGCTGAAATTTTAATTAATCGTTCGAACTTCAAATTTCAATACAATAATCCAGGAACAAAGACAATAATAATGAATCAAATAAACTTGGTTTGAATCAACCGAATAACATAGGGTAATAAGATGAATGTTGTTATTGTATCTTCAACTTCAATTTGAAAAGTGAATGTGACGAACATGTTTCCCTAAGTATGTCTTTGGTGTGCTGGTCTGAGTTCCTCGAGGAACTCAACAATCTTTGATTCAAACCAAACATCATCTTGGAATGTTCATTATTGTCAATGTCATGTTGTGACTCATCCGAATGTCCAATCGCATGCATTACTCCAATTGCTAAACCAGGAGGTTGGATTCTAATGTATAGATGAAGATATGATTTGCCAGAAAGTGGATCACATTTGTGAGAAACATGATAGGTCTCTGCATTGAGACAATACCTTGAGAGCATTCGGTATCCTGTCATTGTCTGGCGTTCCACTTGTTCGAAGGGTATCTCTCGAAGATGTCTTCCAGACATCATAAGATGTACGTACTTTAGTCGACGGGTGATTGGTCGGTGGTCTACATGTGTTGTTGGGATACATGGTGAATCCATTACCATGTTAGCTAGACCTTCATATATTGTCAAGGAACTTAATGTCTCGGGAAGTAATCGATCATTTAGGTCTTGTCGATATTCAATGCCAAGTATTAATCGTGTGAGACTACTAGGCAGTACACCTCCATCTGGTTGTGGTGTAAGTGGCTTGTTGAATGCTGTGCCAAATGATAGGTTTGTGATGGAAGATGGCAACACTCCAATGCCAAGTGTAGAGTTGAACATATAACCAAATGACAACTTGGTTAGGGAGCGAGGCAACACACGACTATCAACTATAGGTTGATTGAAACTATGTCCAAATGTTAAAGATCTAAGTGATATTGGTAATGATCCACACTCCAATGTATTATTGAACATTGTTCCAAATGATAGTGATTGTAGTGATGTTGGTAAGGTATCAATTGTGATTGGTTGATTATAACGTATACCCATTGATAGTTTGATTAGTGATTGGGGCAGTGATCCAATTTGCAATGGTTGGTCAAAATCACATCCAAGGCAAAGCCTTGTTAAACTATTTGGTAGGGTACCAGGTGTGATTGGATGATCAAAGTATGAGCCAACATTCAATGATTGGAGTCCTGATGGCAAGAGATCACTTGACAAAGGTTGGTCGAATTTAACTGGCAGTGTCAATGATCTCAATGTCACTGGCAACAATCCAGGTACCAATTTAATATTGTACACATTTGAAAAGTCCATTGATGTAATTGATGTAGTGTTGGTGTTGGTGTTGGTAGTAGTAGTCTTTGATCCATGTTGTTGTTGTTTGATGTTTAGTAATAGTTGATCAAATATACTAGTGTTGAGACTATTGATCAAGTTGTTATCATGTATATTGATCAATGTTGAATATAATCTTTTACATGTTAATGAAAGACATATAATATCAATAACATTATCAATTGTATTACTATATAAAAGTTCATAAATATGTTTGATTATTATCGTTGGTAAACAATCCATCCTTAATTATTGTTATCTGATCATTATGATTGGTGTTGAAGTGTTTGTGTGTGTGTGTGTGTGTGTACGAGAGTAGACTGCCTCTGATTAGTTAGTGTAGATCAGGAGGGGGGTGATACTTAGACCTAAAAAAGCAACAACAGAACCCACCTTTATGAGTGGAAAGCTCGCAAGAAAAAACATTGACCCAGGTCCTGAGTGCTCAGGAGGATTGTTTCATTAATTCATTCATCTCATTGTTATTACTCAAACATAAGACAGATATATACGGTCCAACAGATATCTGTTGGTCATTATCATAACATATATAAAAATATATATTATTTAAATAATACACATAACTTAACAGTTGTGTGGATGTTGTAATAATGTCACAATTTGTAAACAATACCAATAAGAAGTTACAACGTACACCAGTCATTGAGGGCTTGGTCAATGCCTTGCTATACTCTGCCAATGACAGTGATGAATCAGTACGCAACAGTGTCATTGCCTCAACCTATGAGATTGGTTTCAGACAACCAAACACTGTCCTATCACTTGCCAGTGAATATCTTACAAAGTTCCCAAAGGTAAGTTTACTTTGTTCATAACTCCACCATTCAGGCACCAATCACTAACTCACTAAATCAATCAAACAAATCCAGATCGATCAAACACATAGAGTCACTATATTAAAGTCAATACATCAGATTATTGGAGAGAAACGTGATGAGATTGTTGACTCTTTGGCGTTGGAATTGGTAAAGTTGGGAATAAGTGAAATGACACGTGATAAAGAAGTCAATCCTGATTGGCAACAGGCTGCATCATCAATATTAGTATCCTTGTGTCTTAGATATCCAGGTTTGATCATGGATGAACTCATAAAGCGTTTCGAGACTGGTTCCATCCCTCACTTCTTCATCATGAAGACTTTGGGTGATGTCATTGGATCAAATCGTAAGTCATATGATACCATCTGGAACCATCCCACTCATTGATCACTCAATCATTCCAATCATTCCAATGACATAATCATCACTCACTAACAATGATCATATTTGCCAAATATAGCAATCCCAACTGTACCAAGAATACGTGAGGTATTGTCTAGAGTACTACCTATACTTGGATCAATCAAACATGATAATATCAAATGGGTGTTTGCATCAGCGCTTGGACAATTCGCAGACGCCATCGTTGTATACGTGTCAAACATTGACTCTGGATCGGACAAGTCACTCAACCTCTACAGCTTCAGCTCAGAGTTCTATCCAGCGTTGGAGCTCATGTATGGCAAGTGGCTCAGCAACAACCAGGACAAGGTGCGACTGGTCACCATCCAGGCGATCGGATCCATCTGCGCCATCCTGTCGGTGGAGCAGCTGGACGCCCAGGCCAACCGTCTCATCTCAGGCCTGATGCCCATGTTCAAGAAGGAGAAGGACCTGCTTCCCGTCTGTCAGGCGCTCACCAACATCCTGGACGTCTGCGTCAAGCACGAGCTCAAGACACAGGTCGAGCCCACGCTGCCACTTATCACCCTCACACTGCACCCACTGGTGTGCACCACGCCCGACTACAACAACCCGTCGTCGTTCAAGATCTTCAACGAGGTGCTGCGCGCCTTCGAGATCATTGGACGTGGCTTCCCAGATCAGCTGGTGCACTTCCTCTCACAGCGTCTTGAGATCAAGGACCCCAGGTCGCGTGCCGGCTGTCTCTCGATCACCAAGCACGTGGTCACGCGTCTCGACGCCGAGCTGGGTGAGGAAAAGAAGATGATGATACTCTCTGCGATCAAGCCACTGATCCTCACCGAGACATCGATGTTTGTCAAGAAGTATCTGGCACAGGTCGTCATTGCCATGGCCTCGCACGGCTACCTCCATCTCGAGGGTGGCCAGAGCATGATCGAGTTCATTGTGAAGGGCGCCAGCTACTTTGTCGACTCGGACATTGGCAAGCCAATGCCACCTGCAGAGAAGAAGAAGGAGCCCGTCAACGAGATGACCGTCACCGATCTCGAGTTCCGCAAGATATGCGATGATGTGCTCAACCTCATCACCACCACCATCCCCGACATGGATGCCGTGCTGTGGCCCTACCTCTTTGAGTCAATCACACCGATCGAGTACACGGGCGCCGCCGCTATCGTGGCCAAGTGCATCGGACACATTGCCAGCAACAAACGCGAGCAGGAGGCCGAAGATTATTACATTGACTTTGACAAGGAGGTCAACTTGCCCAAACCCACACAGATCATTGCTCGCTACTTTGTGTTGTTGACGGCACCACATCGTCGCAATGAGTTGGGCACACGTGTGCTCGAGGCCATGCGCTCTATCGGACCCATTCTCCATCCGTCCATTTGTGACATGTGGGACATCACATTGCCCAAGCTCGGACAGTACCTCGCCGACCATCCCGATGGTGATCAGTTCAACAAGAATCAATGGGAGGAGCTGGTGCTCCGTCTTTTGTCCGAGACGATCAAGAACGCCGCCGACGACGAGTGGACTGTGTCGCTGGGCTCGGCGCTGGCCGATCAGACTGATCATTACAAGCGCGACCCAATCCTCAAGAGATCACTGTTCAAACAACTTGGACTGATCATGCAGAAGTGTTCACACAAGGAGTTTGTCAAGACAAAGATCGAGTACATGTTCAACTCTGTCGACTACACCAACCACCTCGAGAACGAAGGTTGCGCCATCGGACTCGGATACTGCTCAGCCTCTCACTTTGACATTGTTCTTGAGAAGATTGGATCGTTTATCAAGAGTAAGTAATCATCAATCATGGAACTGTCCCAATCACTCACACTCACACATCAAACAAACATTAGACAACATGGCCAAGAAGTCTGGATTCTTCAAGAAGACAGGTATCAAGGGTATTAAGAACTGTATCTTGCTGAGCTTGGCATACTGCGCCACATACTCGCAAGCTACATTGTTGTCGACTAGAGTGGAGGTACATATACTCAGCCCAATTAGACCTTGCATCAACACACTGAAGAAGCCACCAAAGAAGTTGTCGGCCATCAAGATGATTGATCACTTGGGCAAGGCATTGCATGAGGACAAGGTGCCAAACTTTGTGTTCAAACAGCGCGATGAACTATTCAAAATCATCATTGGATACATGTCTGTGGGTGCGGTCACGCCACAGGTCAAGATAGACGGCATCAACGCGTGTGCCACATTAATCAACCTCAGCCCGGCCCTACCACTCGAGCTGGAGACCCAGATCGTCACACTGCTACTGCAGTTCTACAACACACCAGAGGACTCTGAGCAGTCCGCCCAACTCGTGGAGACAATCAACAGTCTGTTCTCCACATTGCTCTTCAATCAGACCAGCATCGTGTGTCTCAACAGACTCATCGCGTATCTGGACCCCCTGACGCGCTCCAAGGAGACTCATCTACGCGAGCGATCACTCAACTGCATGCTGCACATTGTAAAGAAGTTCATCGAGTACACCACCGATGCCGAGCAACTCCCCACTGAGAAGAAGTTTGAGCGCGTCGGTCATGCAGTCTCCATTATCGTTCCAAGGATCTGTGATCCAGAGTCATCGATCAGGAAGAACGCCGTAGAGTCCATGCAATTGGTACTTTGTAAGTCATATCCTGGAATCATTCACTTGATCATTCACTTACATGCTGGAATCATTCCAAACAGACATTGACCACATGCTCAAGAATGTATCACATGAGAACAGGAGAGTGAAGCCAGTTGACACGATTCAACCATTCACACAGATGAAGGAGACGATCATGACGGAGGAGGTCAACGAACAGTTCACTCTGGCATTGGAGATCTCGAATATTATCGCCAAGATGTTGACACTTGATGAGATACCAGTGTTCTTGGAGGGCACACTCAAGGGTCTGCAAGACCACCAGACCCTCAGTACCAACGGTACCTGTATCATATTGAATGGAGTGATCAAAGCACGTGGTGGAGAACTCGGTGACTACGTCACACCTTTGGTCAAGGGACTGGTGTCAGCCATGGAGACCATCACCTCTGATACCACAATGAATGGAACGTTGGCATCCATCAGGAGTTTGTCCAATCACCACCTCATTCCAGTCCTTGGAGTCCTGCTTGAGTATCCAATGCCACACTCTGTGTAAGTATCTAGTTCTTGAACGATTAATTAATGATTGATGGATTAGTCGCTAACCCTATCTTGCAGACATGTTATCAAATCACTTCAAACGCTTGCCAAGGACAAGAACTTGGTAGTGCCAACCATTACATTCTTGATGGACCTGCTCAATAACAAGCCAATCTATGATGATAAGCCTGATCCAAAGGACAAGAAGAGGACAGTGCCATCACCCTACCCAATTGCATTGGCTGCCACCTGTTCAATCGGTGAGATACTCCAAGTTGAGGAGCTTAGTGAGATTGCCAACACATACTACTGTCAGTTCTTCTCAACTCTTGCACTCCGAGCTGGAACAACAAACAACTCACTTCCAGGTGTCATTGAGCCACCTGCAGGCTCAAAGGCCAAGCCAGTCCACATCATCCCATCACAGTATGTAATTTGGAACTCATTCTCTCACTCAATCACTCACTAATAACACCACTCACCCAATCATACAGACAACTTGTTACATCATTCAGACAGTTCTTTAAGTGCACCAAGGAGGATGATGTGTTGGAGTTGATTGAGAACAAGGGAAGCATGGCAGGACTGGAAGGACCAACATACCACATCGCAATTCAGGAGATAACGGCACAGTTTGCTCATAGCCACCCAGAGTTGATAAAGGGTGTGTTTGAGTTCCTATTGCCATACCAACGCGCCAACTACGTTCCACAACGAGTGATCACCCTGTCCATCTACTCTGAGCTCATCAATCACTGCAAGGACAAGGATCTGCTGCAGAAGCTCATTAACACGCTGCTCAATTCGCTGGTTGAGCCCGCCCTCAAGTTGATCTCACTCAAAGGACTGAGCAACATTGTCAGCGCCGGAGAGGAGTCCACCAACCGTTACGCGCCAACCGTCATCGACGCCATATCATCATCGATCGACGATTCCGACGAGGTGATGGCTATGGAATCCATGTTAGGCTTATCCAAGATTTTCACGATCGTAGACGAGGCTCGTGTGGCGCCTATCCTAGTCAACATTTGCAACCGAATCAAGCCAGCCTTTGAGAAGCCCAACAACGAGATTCGCGCTGCCTCGTTCACACTCTTTGGCTCACTGTGGCGCTTTGGCTCTGGCATGGCATGCGATCCATTCTACGAGCAGATACACTACAATTTGCCGTCGATCATCATGCATCTCAACGACGAATCACCATTGGTGCGAACGGCCTGCAAGACCACGCTCAGACAACTGAGCAAACTGCTGCGAACTGAAGAGGCCAAGGCACTGTTCCATCGAAAGAACTTTGACGTGGACGCCACACTGGACTACGACGCATTCCTTGAGGATTTCTCAAAGGTGATGATCACACTCTACACCGATCGCATCAACTACTTCATCATGACCAGCATCGAGTATTACAAGAGTCCTTGGGTGCAGCTACGTGGAAACGCCGCCACTCTCACTGGATTCATACTTGGATACCTTCCATTCGAGAAGAGACAGAGAGAGACCTCCCTGAACCCTTCGATCATCACCAAGGCTCTCGCGCAACTACTGGGAGAGAAGAGTCCAGTGGTCAGGAAGAAGGCTGCAGACGCCATCTCCTTCCTCCACGCTTACTAAACAAACAAGTACCACCATATATATGTATATGTAGGATAATAAATAATTAATGTATCCATCCAATACCCACTGTTGCCAGCCTTAAAGGTTTAGGACGCTTGGTCGAGAGTGTATTTATTTCGACTTTGATGAAGAAGTGGAGGAAGCAGCAGAGGCAAAGAGAGTCTGCAGTGATTCGAGACACGATTTGAACTGTTTGGCCCTGTCTGACTGCTCAAAAGCTGGAGTGTGAGCAAGTTCCTTGTTGAATGCTTCGAGCATCTCACAAACAGCGGTTAGGTGTTTAGAGTTTGTCGAAGTGGCTGATCGTCCATTGCCCAACAACTCCAATGACTTGAGTGTGTTTGTGAGGTCTGCCAAGTGCTGGTCGACTTCGGAGGCGGCATTGTCGTTGGATAGTGAATTGATTGAGGCGATCGACGTCTGCACTTGGTCATACAGAAGTTGGCACCAGAGAGAGTATGTCGGGTTGGAGTCCTTGGACACCAGTCCGTCCGTGTCGATCACGAATCGTTTGTTGATATCAAAGAACTCTTGGTTGCTTAGCGTACTGGTGTGTTTGATGGCAAAGGTGATGATGGCGATCTTCTCCTCGTCCTTGATCTGAGCGGAATACTTTCCAACGGCTGTAGCCAATACCTTGTAGCCATTCTCCAGACCAACTGCAATCATCTCCTTAATGATCTTGAAAATGAGTATGATGGACTTTTGCTGGACGGGCGAGTTGGCATTGCTGTGACCACCACAAAGGTTGAGAACATCCAACAACATTATGTAGAATCGCTCGCTCCTCTGTGTTTGGTTGGCGGCCAAGTTGTCGAGGTCTGCACTCTTCTTGTTGAATATCTCAGTGACCACCACGATGAAGCCCTCTGGACATTCAATGGCAATCTGATTGATTAACTTGTTGATGTGAGGCAGAAGATGTATGTTTTGCTCGGCGGCAGAGATCAGTGAGTTGACAACTGTCCTGAAGGATTGGCTTGAGGCATCCCACAACTGGGGTGGAGACTGTGGCATGGACTCGCCCACAACATTCGATGCCGCTGGAGAGGTATTGTCTTTGCGAAGAAGATTCAGTACCTTGGACAGCACCTCGAGGAGCTTTGGTGCGATGTTGAGGTCGGTGGTGTGTGCCTTGTTCTTGAGTATCTTGCACAGTACTTCAATGGGTACCCATCTTTCGTTGGACTGGTGCCCACCGTATGTGTTGAGATAGGCCTGGGCATCCTTGCGCTTGGTTGTCAGGATGCTAAGCAATGGCAACATATGAGGTGGATAGTGATGGAAGTTGATGAATCCCATGCAGTTGGTGAGGATCTTGTAGGTGGCGGCTGGTATCCTCTGTGCTACCAACTCCAATATTTGGATCAGCACTTTGCCCACTTCGGCGTACTCACCACACTCTAGATAGAGGAAGTTGATCGCCCAGTAGAAGTTGTTATGTGTGCCAACCATGTTTAGGAACTCCATCTTCTCCTGTGCCAGGTAGAGAATGATCTGGTAGAAGCCTGGCAGTGACTTTTTGTTGTACAGTTTGAGTTCTTCGTTTGGCGAAATGCTGATAAAGTAGTCCATGAGCTTGCCCTTGACGGGGTCATCCAGCATGAGACGCACATTGTCAGGGTACTCATTGAGCATGTTGGCAATGAATCGCACACACTCCTGACGGTTCCTATCGGTGGCCACCTGACAGGAAATGAATTGCTCCAACATCTTGAACATTGGTTGCTTGTACTCTCCGAGCAGCCTCTTCTCCTCGTCCGAGATGGTGCACAGTGTAAGCAGTTTGAAGTAGTACTCAAACCTGCCGCTCTGAACGTCCTTCTCCTCACGAGCCATCACCTTGACATCCTTGGACTGCTCCATTAGGTATTGGAAGAGTTCGTTGACACGGTCTGCGTTGGATTGTGCATCGTCCAGACTGTAGAGTGCGATGAGCAGTTTGTAGGCTTCGTAGCGCACATCGATCGAATCGTGCTCCACCAGCCACCGGATGAGCCATTCGTCCTTGTTGAGCATGAACCATTGGCCAATGATCGGGGTCTCGGCAGCCTGTTGCAAGAGATACTTGATGTGCGGCGCAAATGCGCTTTGCTTGACCTCCTCCATAAACTCAATGAACGCCTTGATGGCACTGTGGGCACGGTCCCTCTGCCAGTGGTCCTCGAGGGTGATCAATGTGATCAGTGCGTCTGGAGTGCTCCTGCTGTCTGTCTGGCGCAGCTGGCTTATCAGATTCTTGCTGAGCTTGATATCTCCAAAGCACATATGGCGCATGATGTCATTGGATGCCTTTAGGTTGATCGAGTCAATGACGGTCTTGATGTAGAAGTGTGGGTTGGTGAGCATGTACAAGTCATCCTCGTTGATAGCGATTGGCTCATCGGTGTGTGTCGGCAGGCGAGTGTCGTCCTGTGTTGAGTATCGAGTGTGTGCAGCCTGTACGAGAATGGCGATTGTCTCGAGCATCGTTTGGAGCTGTGGAGAGTTGTACTTGTCGCCCATCTTGACCTTCTTTTGTGGTGGGTTGGTCTTGGCCATTGGAGAGTCGTCGCCCATGTAGAAGTGGATCAGACGCGAGATGACGCAACGATTGAGCAGGAACCTCCTCTCCTCTATGCCAATGTTGGCAAAGTCACGTATCAGTGTGAAGTACTGATGGAAGTGCTTCCAGTACAGTGAGACCTCCTTGATAAAGTCTAGGTACGTGTCCATAAAGCGAGCAATGTATGACTTGGGACGGCCAATGAGATGAGATGAAGAGGACAACTCCTGGTCCATCACGTTTTGGTTCAGTGCCTTTTGCTTGCCACTGGCAGACCTGTCACTGTCAATGTCAATGATGTCCATTGGCGAGTCATTGTCACCGTTGCTGTCGGGCGACACGCTCTCCATGTCAAAGTAGTACTGACGGTCCTCAGGCAGCAGTGTGGCAAACACCTGCAGAATGATCTTGGACAGTGCCTCGCGGGGCTCGGTGGTGATGCAGACAAGCATGTTCTGCTTGATCCACGTTGGGTCAGTGGTGACCGTGTCCAGGAACCATCTGCATGCTCCTTGGTGGCTCTCGTACATTGCGTTGAGGAATAGGACAAAGTCGCCGAGTTGTTTGCGCTCCTTGGAGTGGGACAGAGTCTCAATGACGAACCTGGTGCCAAGCTCGATTGACATCATTCTCTGATCAAAGTCTGGATCATCAGACATGTGAACAACATCGTTGTTGTTGTTGTTGTGGTCGATCGCAATGTTGTGTAGACCGTCTACATTGTTCTTGGTGATTTGATTCAAATGAATGATGTTCGATATGAATTCAAAGTAGCCAAGGTCAAAGATGTTCTTGTCTGTGAGGAACTTCATGTTGTTCTTCCACACGGTACTGAACATTTCACGAGGCACCAACTTGGACTGCTGTGCCTGTGATAGACTCTTGAACATCGAGGGGCCGACAGGAGTGGTCGTAGTGTTGTTGACAACGTGTGAACGTTCGTAGAACAACATGTAGGCATTGTTGTTGCGCTGCGAAGTGCGAATGTTGGTCTTGCCCTGATCGAGAGAGATCGAGTCGTAGCCACCAAAGCATGCCCTGGAGATGTCCTCTGGATTGAACACCTCGGTGAGCTGATCGTTGAATTGAATCCAGTGGCGTGGCCGGCCGGGGATCAGTGGCTCACGCTCCTTGATGAACGAGTAGTAGTGACCAGAGTCTGCCGTTCCAGAGTGCACCAGGATGCCACTAAGATCGTATTGGTAGTAGGAGGCTGGTTGCATTGCGGGCAGATCCTTTGGGATGGGCAGGTTGTTGGCTTTGGCCTTCTCGACGGCCTCCTTGCCCTCGAGATACTCCTTGGTGTAGGGGGTCATGTCCAGGGTCATTGGGAACTTGAGGGCGTCGTTGAGCTTGGTCCTCTTCATCGTGTCAAGATCAAACTCAAAGCGCTTGTTGTGGATGATCAGTGTGTTTGGAAGACTCTTGATACATCTTCGCATGAGACACTTGACCTTTTGTGAGCATTGGCTGCAGAAGTACTTGTTGTCGCCATCCAATGTCTCAGACTCGACAAACAGTTGTAGAGACTCTGTGATGTCCTTTTTGTTCTTAACCTCAACGCTGATCGTGTAGAATGGCTCCTCCCTCTCAGAGACGTGAGCACACTCTTGGGAGATAAACTGATTGACAGAGGCACCGCCAAAGAACTGGTTCAGCAGCTTCTCCTCCTTGGTGCCCTTGAGTTGGTTCTCCAAGCGATCAAACAACATGTTGAAGAACTCATCCACATCCATTTGAACGTAGGTGTTGATTGGCTGGCCCTCGTACTTGTAGGCCAGACAGAAGTCCTTGGGATCGTGTGACTTCTTCTCACTCTCCTGCAGGTTGGCAAAGATGATCTTGAGCTGGTAGAGCAGGGAGTCTGGGTTGGCGTTGGTGGCCGAGTCCTCTGCCTGAAGTATACTGTAGCGGAAGCCTGGAATCATAAACAGTTGCTGCATCAATGAGTTGATGTAGCAGGTGGCGCCAAGATTCTTCAGACCAACGTAGCCACACGATGACTTCTCATTGCCCATGGGGAAGTAGTTCCAGACTGATCTCCTCTCGTCAGGCTTGTTCTGTTCGATGAGCTGCAGCACCAGCTCCTTGTAGTTCTCCTCGCAGTTGTTGGCCAACTCTAGCAACAGTGCAAAGCAAGCATCTCGCGAATCCTTTGACTTGGCCTTTGGTGGACACAGGGGTCCATGGTTGTCTGCCGTGGCAATGTTGAAGAGACACTCGTGGAACACTTCCTGGATCAGATGGTCGTTGCCTGCCTTGACCTTGAACTGGTGTGAGAAGCCGACAAGTGTGCGCAGCATATTGATAATGCCAATCAGTACGTAGTCTGACTGGAACATGTTGGGCGACTCCACTATTGGGTGAGACTTGAGCATGGCCGCCAGTTCCTGGAGGAGCTTGGCAAACTTGGGCGTGTCACCATTGCGACAGCTATCTTGCAACAGGTTGAGAAGTAGGAGGAAGAATTGGTTGCTACTGAAGGCATACTTGTCAGAGCCAACGATGAAAGGCAGCAGAGTCAGACATTGTGACTGGAAGAACTCATGTGCCACTGCGTTGTGCTGACAGAGCGTGTAGAATCTGTTGCTGGTGCACTCGCGGATGGATGGATCGCTGCTGTCCAACAAGAGCAACTGTATCCACTTGGTAATGTCCTTTCTCTTTGTACAGAACTGGTCCAGCAGATCGTTGTTGTGTTGAACCATGGCGAGAATCAGTGTCAAAAAGTTGCTAATGATGTCACCGTCATCAGTGACGTGAGGCAACATAAGGTCCTCCTTCTGAACGGTGGGGAGTGCTTGCTTCCAGGCCAGATCCATCAGACGGTTCAGGAAGGCGGTTGGTGTGAAGTTTGGCACGACAGCCGCCGAGACACCGGAAAGGTTGATGGTGAGGTTCGAATGGTCAATCACGAGCAGGACGATGGTGTTGATCATAGACGACAGACATCTCTTACGCTTGTTGGACGACTTGCAGGTCCACACCTGGTGGAAGTCATCGCGCATCAGTACCTTGAACAGGTGAGAGAGGCCACCCGTTGTGATGAATCTGTGTCTCCACTCATAGTTGTTGTCCTCACGCTGCACCAAGTTCTCGACGATCAACAGCGTGTACAATAGCTTATAGACTGACGATTGGTTGATCAAATCGCCCCAATTGAACTGTTGTGTTGTCTCTGTGAAGCTTGATGGGATGTTGGCCAGTGCCTGGAATATCTGATGACTGACGGGCAGCAGCATGAGTACGTCCCATACGGTGGGTGCAATCTCCTCGATAGCCAAAAGGGAGAACAACAGACTGAGTTTGCTCTGATCAAAGTGAATCTGGACCATCTGAGCGGGCTCCTGAATCTTTGGCTCTGGCCACTCGTTGAACATCAGATGGTCGTGGTTGTGCACCTGGTAGTCGCTAAAGGTCTCGTAGTCAAATTGCAACATCTTGGTCTTGTGCACGATGTAGATTGATCCTGGATGTGCGTGGATGATACTAGCAAGACGCTGCTTGATCTGTCCAACGGTTTCGCTGCACCTGACCTGCAAGGGGATCTTGTGCCTCTGACTGGCAAAGGTGACATTGATCGATGGATAGAAGTTCTTCTTGAACGAGTCCCTGTACTTTGAGCCAAAGCCCTCCAAGTATGTCTGGAGCAGGGCCAATGTACGATTGACAAGTATGTGATCCGAGTGGCTCAATGTCAATGTACCATCGATAGAGGTCGTCGCAATGTTTGATAAGTTCGATATACATGTTGGTAGGAATTCGCTTTCTCTTGTTGGCATCTATAAGTTATTGTTAGTGATATTGTGTCATGTACATGATTGAATGAGTAGACTACCTACACTCTTGTAAAGATCAATAATATAAGAGATAGCTTCCTTTCCAACCTCTTCATTCTCTGCCTCAAGTGCAATCTTCCAAAGTATATCAATACCAACATAGTTTGATCTATATGAGTGTGTCCAACATATGTTAGTTAACTTGTTATGTTGTTGTCATAACATGTAATAAAGTAATACATACGCAGGTCTACCTTGATTAAGTGTCTTCATACAGTGGACGTAGAGGGAGGCACCTGGTGGCTCAAGATTGACGAATGATATCTCTTCAAACTTTTGAAGTATGTATTCAAAGTTGGCCTCGGTGAAACAGGTCTGAGCCCACTTGAAAAAGATGTTGCGATCGTTCGAGGTGATGGGATCGACGGCAAACACCTGCCACAGTACATCGATATTGTCGTTGCTGGCAGAGAGCGTGGACTTCTCCCAGACAAAGCTGATAAAGGCCAAGAACTCATTGATCTGCTCATAGTGGCTGTGGCGACCATAGATTGGGGTGTCACCCAACGACTGCTCGTCACAGTTGGTGGACATCCTGTTGTCAATGATCGACTTGCACTGTTGCTTGTAGAAATACAGATGCTCGTAGAGCTTCTCCATCAGTCGCATCGAGTTGTTGATGTGGTCAATGACGGCTGAGGAATCAGCGATGGACGTGGACTTCTTCTGACGATCGGTGAATATTGTGATGCTGAATTGAATGATGCGCAGCGAGAACAGCACCGACTTGTGATTGGCAATGTTCTCGATACTCTTCCTGAGGTAGTCGTGTCGCTGGGGCTGATGGAAGTATAGCGTGTCCTGGAGCAAGGTGAGCACATTGTTTGAGAGCTCTGGTGCGATCAGTGCTTCGTTCTCATCCTGCAGCAATGTCCAAAAGATCTCGAGTCCATGGTGAACGATGTGCTCTCTTGACTCCTCCTGTGAGTAGACGGCCGATCCGCTGTTGGAGTAAGGGGCCTGTCGGTTCTGGATGAGACAGTAGATCAGTTGCAGAGTCTGTGGTGTGTAGTGCTCGAATGGGATGGCCTTAATCTTGCTCTCAAACAGGTACTCAATGTGTTGGATTGGCAACAACGGGGCGATGTTGCCGATGGTCTCGTAGATTGTGTTCTCGATGGTCTCGTGCTTGCCCTCGGCGGCGCTCCACATGAGATCGAGGTACTGTTGCTGGAAGGCCTTCTTTTCGGCCAGATACTTGAGAATATCGGAGCACTTTTGCAGCAGCTGAATGTGCATAGTCTCGCCGTAGAGCTGCTCGACGATCCTGTTGTCGCGCAGCCAGTTGACCACCTTGTCGGTGCTGTGCGTGTACGCCTTACTGTACATATATAGGGATTCGTGCTTGATGAAGCTGATAATATCGTTGAGGCCCGAGTTTCTCTTCTCGAGCGACACGGACTTGAAGCACTTGAGCGCCACCTCCATGAACTTGGAGTGGATCAGATCGGCAAACATGTTATCCGATACGTTTCTCACAATGGCTCGTAGGTACTTGTTCATACAGATGTCCAAATCCTTTCTACTCTCGTTCTTGAACTCTTCATCCGGTGTATCCAATATCCTCTTGAACACGACCTGTATAAATGCCTCAACATCTGGCTCTGAGAACTCTAACTTTGTTCTCTTGGTAACCTATAGGTGATATTTTGATGTTAGCATGAGATGGACTACAACAGCAATGGATTCCCATCAACGACTATCTTACCTTCTTCATTATATAGAGCATCTTCTTGAGAGAATCAAAGGAACCCTTCTTGAGTTGGATGTTGCTCATTAAGATTGACATACCTCCACGTTGAGCAAAGTAGTTGGCAAGTTGTGCAGGTAACTAGATGTAATTAATGAGTTGTAAGAGTCAGTACTAACCTTGATCAATCAATCAATCATTCAGTAAAACAACAATATAACATACCTGAAGGATTAACTCAAAGTCTTGATTGTAGCCTCCATTATCACCTCCCCTGTGGAATAGCTTTGGCGAGAGGATACAAGCCAACATCTTGATATACTCTGCTGGTAGGTCATTGGAACAAATCTTTCTCAAGGTGATATCGATACATATCTGAAAGAAATCTCTTGATTTGTTCAATATTGATGTTCCACTAATGATTGTATTGTTGTTGTTGTTAGTATGATGAAGTTGATTATGATGTTGATGTTTGATTATGATAATACTTACAGCTTCCACCATAGTGTCTCAACCAACTCTGATAGATTCTCAAGGTTGCTAAACTGTTCAAGAGGTATCTCTAACTCTTGTTGATGAAATTCGATAATATTGTTGTTGTCATTGTCATTGTTATTGTTGTTGTCATCAGTTGCTGTTGATATTGGTGTGGCATCATCTGATATTGGAGAGATGATGTTGTCACTGTCCAAAGGACTAGTTGGCTGTTGTTGTAGTAGCTGTTGTTGCACAACCGGTGTACCTTTCTCAATTAAGTAGTCCAAAGCACCTGCAATCTCACCATAGTCTGTGGCTGTTCAGATGGACATGACATGACATTCATTCAATCATTAATACTCTGTGTGCATGTGTGTGTGATGATCATGTTCAACATCGAGTGAATATGACACTTACTATTCTTTACCAAGGTTGTGAAGTAACGAATGTCAGATGTTGACATCTTTGCTGACTATATTATATTATTATTATTATTGTGATATATTGCAGTGAGAGAGTGAGAGATAGATTTAAGTGAGTGAGTGGGTAAGTGAGTGAATGACCCAGCAAACTACTACTTTTGTTTGAGTAAATGAATGAATGAATGAATGAATGAATGAATGTATATATATATATGTATATATATATATATGTATGTATGTATGTATGTAGTAGGCTCTTTACAAGTCTTCAAACTAGATGGTAGATAAATTGGCTGATGGTGAAGTGTTTTGTGAGAGACTCTTCAAACACACACACAAAGTGGACTTTGAATTTATTTATTTAATTTGTTTCAGTTTTTGAAGATCAGAGTTCATTTGAAAAAGGAACTTCCTCCATTACTAAATTAAGAAGTGATTCAAATCACTAAGTTATCTTGATCAATATTGATTATTCCTCTAACATATCACCAATGATAATGATATGATTGATATTGGATTCTCAAGTTGTCGATATTAATTTGACCAGGTTGGTGAAACTTGGGAATTCAAACTAACACACACAAACTAACACTACATACGTCAACACACCACATTCATCATTTCTCAACAACAACAATAACAACAATAGTATTGTCTAACTTTGTATTTGTATAGATAGATATATAGATCATTTGTAAATAATAGATACATACATACATACCTAATGAAGAATATATCAAAGCTTATTAGATTCAGGAGGAATGACGCTCAGTCAACCAATGATGGTGGAGCTTCTGAGGCTACATCATCTTCTTCTTCTCCGACCACTGTCACTCCAATCCCTACAACGACAACAACAACAACAACAGATAAAGGCCACAACAATAACAATTGTATATCAAAAGACACATCACTTGGAGAATCAGTGATCACATTGTTGATGTGGTGCTACAGTGAGCGCGACTTTAATAGTGAACCAGTCAATCAGTTCTTCTCAAAGGTCTATGATCACTACCATCTGTCAAACTTTCAGATCAATCAGTTTGTAGAGTCACACTCTCTATGTAACTACACTCTCTATGCCAATAGTAGACATCGTACTACAAACCAGTCATCATCGTCATCCGATCCCAACAATAACAACAACACTGGTGCTGATACAACAAACAAGGGTACAGCAGAGTTTTATAACAACTCAATGTTGCAGAGGTTGGAGAAAGAGCGTCCTGATGTGTTCAAAGAGATAAAGGTATACTCTGACAAACTACACAATGAACTGAATGGTACCAATGAGGAACAGTTTGAGGAGAAGGCACGAGAGTTCCAAGTGGACCTGTCACGCTTTGTCAATCAGATCTACATCAACTCAAACATGGACAACAGAGACAATAGGAATATAATCATCGAAGTGGTAGAGTCCACTATACTTGTAAATATGTTTGATACGTATGTATTACAATGTTCATGATGGGATTGCATTGGCATGTTAGGTCTAACCATCAATCAATCAATCAATGTCCATATACATAGTATATGCTCTATCAATGATGAGAAGGACAAAGAGATTCGAGATGCAATTGATTATCTCAAGAAGAATGGTATCAAACAACATTTGGACATGAATCAGACACAGTTTGTAGATTGGGAACTGGCAGAGGCATTGCTGTCACATATCAATCTCTATCAGACACCTCGTGATAAGATCATGACTATACTACGTTTCACACGAGCCATCTGTCAAGGTCTTCGAGAGACTGGCAAGACATTTGGTTCAGACGAGGTTATCAGCTGTGTCGTCTATGTCATTGTTCAAAAGAACCCTGACTTCCTTTATACAAACACCAAGTATGTATTCAATGTTGATGATGAGAATACCCGATCATTGACCTAACATGGCGGACACGACAAATAGGTACATAGAGCTATACAGATCAAATGAATTGTTGGTCAGTGAAGCATCATATTACTTTTGTACATTCCAAAATGCCATCACCTTTATCACCGACCTGTATCATCGTCTGAAAGAACCTACCGATTCAAACACACATGATCCACTGCCACAAGCTCCTGATCTACCACTGCCAGACATTGACCTAGTACCAATGGACCTTGAAGGTGATCAATCATCACTGTCATCTACTTTATCATCATCGACTACAACTACGACGACCACCACTACAACCACTTCTACTACTGCCACAACAACACCAACAAAGAACTTGAATCAATCAGATGATACTTCAATGGGCGATGTGAGTGTCATACTATTGGACACTCCAAACACACAGAACAATGATACAAAGAGCAGCATTGGAGATATTCTTGAGGAGAGTGATCCTGTTTGTCAAGAGATACTCTCCCAACGCATGGACATCTTGGCAATCTTGGTCTCATTGGCAATATCCGATGGCACATATGACTCTCGTGTACGTTCAGGTATACTCAAGCTGTCATACCTCTTAAACCCTGCAGAGTACCTTTCATTGGTGGTGACCGAGGTCGCCGTTGGACAGAGTCTGTTTGATGACAAATCAAAGAAGTCAATCAGCAATGGTATACGCAATGTCTTTGAAAGAACAACATCCAACTATCGTGGACTCAAGATTGCACTTGCTGCTGCAGTTGGTGGTACACTGCTGGCTGTCACAGGTGGACTTGTTGCTGCACCAATCTTGGGTGGTGTGCTTCACCTGGTGGGCGCGACCTATGTGCTGACGGCCCTGACCGCCGCTGGAATCAGTGGCACCGCACTTACATCACTGCTGTTTGGCGCAGCTGGTGCAACATTGTCAGCCGATATTGTCAAGAAGAACACTTCGGGCCTGGAGGAATTCTCCATCAACAAGGTCAACCAGACATTTGGACTGCACGTGAACATTGGCGCTCTTGGCTGGGTGGAGAGCGAGGACGGCAAGAAGGACATGATCGAGTGGGAGCAGAACCTGCTCACGGGTGTCCTGTGTCTGGGGGAGGTCGACATCATCGAATGGGAGAACAAGCTATTACTCCAACTGTTTGAATCACTCAAGAACTACAAAAAGTCTGTGGAGGACAGCTCAAAGTTTGCCAAGTTCACATCGAGAATGCTACACGATGCCATCCTTCCCTCGGCCAGCATATTGGAGGCATTCTCATTGATCAAGACGTGCTGGGGCACTGTCAAGGAGCGTGCACAAAAGGCAGGAGTGTTGCTTGCCGATGAGATCATGAACAAGCGATTCGGAAGGAGACCTCTCACGTTGTTTGGCATCTCAATGGGTGCAAGGTTGATGTACTACTGTCTACTGGAGCTCATCAAACACAAGCAGTATGGTATCATTGAGAACGTTGTCTTTATTGGTGCTCCCATCCCTGTGGACCTAAAGATATGGGGCAAGATAAGGGTATGTAGTAGTTTGATCAACCCTGTCCATCATCACCATCAACCATTCAATCTAACGAGTCAATCCAATCCAAACAAACAGAAACTGGTCAGTGGAAGAGTGGTCAATTGCTATTCATCCGATGATGTACTGTTGCAGTACTGCTACGAAGCCAACAGTTTGCCAGATGAGAGGAAGTATATTGCTGCTGGATTCTCACCGGTTCGCAAAGAGAACAATGAGATCTTCTCATTCTCATCGGTGTTTGGTGATGGCATCTTTGCATCTAGTCAACCAGCTGTGTCTGCAGCTGACCCAGCCAAGACAGACACTGACACTACAATGGATACCACAACAGTGGATACCACCAATGTTACTTCAACAACCAACAATATGGATCAGACAGTTGAACTAAAGACTTACAACGATATCAACAACAACAACAACATTCAAGAACAGGAACAAGAGCCTTTGTTACCAGAAGCTACCTCATCAACTACCAAGCAACCCTCATCATCAAAGAAGACCAACAAACAACAGAACGAGGCAGAGTTGAAAGAGAAGAGTATGTGTTAACATAACCAACATCTTATGAGCAATTGTGAACCAACCAAGCTAACATCCATTCCTTGCCTTACCAACAGGATTAGAGTTCTATTTGGACATGATTGAGAATGTGGACGTCAGAGCGATCATCTCATCACATCTGGACTACCAAAAGAGTGGCGTCCTCAAGAACATATTCAACCATGTCAACATCAACAAGAGTGAGCCTTGTAAGCCATACATCTTGGTGAAGAGATAAGTGTTGTTATTACTATCAAACATGACTTGTAAATACAGAAACCGATGACCTCCTCTTGTGTTTATTATCAATCCTCATGTACAGCTAGTTGTTGACTATTCACCTATTGTATTGGTAAAGTAAGAGATGTTAGTATCGAATGGATGACAATCATTTGAATGAGGAAGTAGCGCAATGTGAGACAGTTTGGTTGGTCAGAGAGAAGATTATTAATCAAAGTATTGGTATCGCATTCATTCAGTTGAAAGGTGTATCCTAATCATACTTGTTTAGAGTAATAAGGATTTCCTTTAGGAACGATTAATCTTATTATCATCAAGCCAAGTTAATTGTTGACTAGGTCCTAGTTGTACCTGTTCGAACGTACCTATGTGGGGACATTTACAATGCTTCAATCTCACAGCCCAATCACCCTATTAATTTCTCCCTTTTTTCGTCAACGACCCTTTGGACGTTGGTGACAGCTACTCACTCACTCGCCCACACTCTCTCAATCAAACACAACCTTTGATTATTTGTTTGAAACATACATACAAATACATAATACCTATTCTATATAACTATCGTATCACTACTCAGTAGTAAAACAGAACAGAATACATAATGCCTTCTGGAAACGGTGCCCGTGCTCAACAAAAGAGAGAGAGAAACATTAAGAAGGCTGCTGGTGAGGCAAAGGCTCACAGCCAGTTGAAGTCAAACGAGGCCGCCAAGAGCATCGTCTGCAACGTCTGCAGAACCAGCTTCATGTGCACCACCAAGGAGCCAGAGTTGAGACAGCACGCTGAGAACAAGCACGCTGGCAAATCATTCGCTGACTGCTTCCCACCTGCTTAAAGTGTACTTGAGATGCTTTAGCCACAGGGTATGTCAAAAGAGAGACATCAACATCAACAGGAGGATAGGATGGCAATCAAGGAGAGAGAGCTGAGAGGAGAGAGATAGAAGGACTGGAAGAGAAGGAGGGAATAAAGACAGAGAGAAAGGTTTGGTGCTAAATGGATTTGTTGATTAACCATTGTCCATCCATCCATGTAGTTTAATCAATTGAATGACAATGGCAACAGACATGTCTTGGTCATTCCTTGTTGACTCCTATGTACATCCTACCGACAACAGTAATCCTCACTTCCAAAAACAATAAAGTCTGCTGGTTGACAACCTGAATCAATCAAATACTACTTGTAGTTGTTATTATATCAATGTTATTGTTTATTGTAATGATCATTTCATATATGTATATATGATTAATGGGGGAGATGTTTGCTAATGTACTCTTGTTGCTGCTGCTATTGTCGTTGCCATTGCTGCTGCATGCTAATATTTGGTCTTTAGTAAGGATAGGGTAGGTAGGGATGAATGATTGGTGTGCCAGCCCAAGTGTACGCGTGGGTTGGGTGGGACGAAGGGGACGGATGCGCGCGACGATCGAAAGAAGAGTTTAGGCTCTGTTCTCAAAGTCCTTGACTTTGTAGACACGGACCAACCAATGCACAGAGGTGAAAGCCTCCTCCAAATAGTTGAGCTGGAAGTTCTTGTTGCCAATCTCTACGTTTCTGACACGATCGAAACCTGGGGGCTTACCATAGTCGGTGTGCACCTCTGAGAAACGGTAGTAGCATAGTTTGTACATGAGCGTCTGGAGCATCTTGGGCGAACCGCCGGCGTCGATACGGTAGTGTCCGTTGGCCAAGTAGTCCGACTCGATGATGGAGGGGTCTGTGCTACCACCGATTCTGACCATCCACAAGAACTTGTTGATGTCGTCCGACGAGTATCCTGTCAGTCCTCCAAAGATGACGAGAACGTAGTCGACGTCGAGGTCCTTCATGATCTTGTAGGCGTCCTCCTCTGGCGAGGCAAAGGCCTTTCCAACCTGGGCAATGTGCGAGTTGTTCCATGTGTTGTTGTCCACCAACACAGTGCGGTTGGCCATGGCAGAGAGCTGGTAGCCATAGTCCCACCATGACATGATGCGTGCGTCGTCGGCGGTGTTCTGGCCGATCCAACGGTAAGCCTCACGGAAGTCGTCGAAAATGATACGCGAGCCATCGTGTTGCTTGGCAGAGAGAACGATCGAGGGCGATGAGTAGGCCTCCGATGTGACCCAGGTGCAGTGGAAAGTGTAGAGGATCAGGAGCACGGTGAGCACACCAACAATCACTCCGCTTGACTCCTTGGAGTTGTTGTCGTTGTTGTTCGACTTGAACTTGCTGGCGTACGACTGGAGGGTGGAGGAGATGGCAATGGCACCCAGAACACAGGCCACTGGGGCAAGAACCAGCATCAAACGGACCATCACACCAGAGAAGTAGATCGAGGTAACTCCGTAGAGGATCAAGAAGATGTTGGCGTCAGTCAACTCGCGGAAACAGAAGTAGAGACCGGCGGGGAAGAGGAAGGTCAGGATGTGCAGATCAAAGAAGTAGGAGGCCCAGGTCGTTGGCTGATGCTCAGATACGGAGGCAATGATGGGGATGTTGTCACGAGCGTAGGTTGGGTCGAGCAGCGAGTAGAAACGGCCGGTCCATGGCGAGATGTAGCCGGTCAGGGTACCAATGACAAAGACAGAGGCGGCGACGGACAGGACGGTCATGATGGTGAGACGCTGTAGACGGACAAAGGCTTCGGCAGACAGATGCGACTTGACCCAGTTGAGGCCAGAGAAGAGCTGCAGGAGACCAAACACTCCGATGGCGGCCATGTGCTCGCTGGACTGCACTGGCTGGAAGCCAATAAAGTTGATCTGCATCGAGAGAATGGTGCCAATGACAAACAGTGTTGAGTATGCCACGTACAGACGGTGGGAGTAACGGCCTGTGAGCAACAAGGTGAGCACGTGCAGGGGGATCAAGTTGATGATGAACACGTAGCCTCCCCAGGCGCTTGCCATGTAGAAGTAGGCGAGGGCGGCGATGGCAGACCAGAACAAGCTGCCAGTGTTGACAGACTTGATCCAGCAGTAGTAGGTGAAGATGAGCGCAAAGATAGCGATACCTTCGTTATCGAATGATCCTGCCACTGAACGTGAGATGTAACCTGGCACGATGGCAATCATGGCGGCGGCCACCAAACCACTCTGAGTGTCCTTGATCTCCTTGGTGAACTTGTATGTGATCATGGCAGTGTTGCTTGCGAACCATGGTGACAACAACACACAGACATTTCTAATATTGACTGTCAAGTTCAAAGAGTTGAGGATGTTGTGAACTACTGCTGCTGTTGCCATCAATCCTATATTATGTGTATGTGTATTGTTTGATTGTGTTTGTTTGTGTTAGACGTGGACAAGATGTAGTAGTAGTTCAAACCATGTTTAACTTACCTGGATAGATGGTACCACCGACAATACGTCCAAGTGGATACCAACTTCTCTCATCGAACCAGTTCAAGAAGTTGTAGAATCCCTCACTGACCAAGTACTTGGTGGAGCGGAAGTTAAAGTATCTATATGTATGAATGAGTGTATGAATGTTAGTGACAATGAATGAATGACAACTTGAATGAACTAGTAACTATACATACGGATCAAACTCATGAATAACAGACTCATAACGGAGTACAGAGAATAGACGAGTGGAGAATGCCAAGATGTATATAATTGACAGGATGAGGATCTTGAGGAGGAACTCTTGATTCTCTTTTGATGCTGGTACCACTGGTAGGCCAGCCACTGAGGGCTGTAAAGAGCTCTTTGCAATTGCCATTATTGCCTTAGATTGAGTTGTTGTTGTTATTGTATATATACTACACACTTAACTACCTTCTCTCTCTTTCTATTGTTTGATTGATATTGCTATGCTGCTTAGATGATCTGATGAACGGGTGTGGTTGGCTGGTCAGTCACTTTGATCATGTTCATTCAGGTCCAAAAGTGAGGCATGACCCATACAACCAAAGCCTCCAAAGAGTCATCAGGTGAAGTGCACTTCATTAATAAAATAAAAATTGAAAAAATTAGCTCTAATTGTTTTGGTCAACTTGATAAGATTCAACATAGTTAGAACTTCAGAATTAGAGTGTTCCCTGTGTTTGTGACTCACCCAAGCCAAACAGAAGAGTGAATATATATTCATTAGCCTCGTCATCCACTCATTGTACTTATTGACAGAACCCGACTACAATCCAGATTGATCGAATAAGTAGTACATAATATTCCACAGATACATAGATAGATAGATTGATAGATATAAAGTGATGGCACAACCATTTGAAGACTGGTACCGTCATATACCAATTGTGACTAGAATGTACATGACTGGCTGTGTTGTGACATCGGTGTTTGTATACTTGGACGTGATCAATCCATTGGACCTCTATCTCAACTACCCACTGATAGCCAATCGTTGGGAAGTATGGAGATTGATAACAAACTTCCTCTTCTTTGAAGAGATTGGTCTAAACTTCTTATTCCATATGTTCTTTATGTAAGTCAGTTTATCAAGAGCCACAATAATACATGGCATGGTTGTTGTTCACACTGTTTGCTAACATCATCATCACATTACAGAGTAAGACACAGTAGAATGTTGGAGGAGGGATCATTTAGAGGTAGATCAGCAGACTATTTCTTTATGTGGCTATTTGGAGCAACCTTATTGTTGGTATGTTGTTAGATACAACAAAGAGTCAATGTCATTGGATTAGTTATACTAACATAACATGACATACATCCTTAGCTCATCAATGCAGTAATGTACTATAGCAAGATTTATACAAAGATGGTGTTCATGGCATCATCACTGTCGTTTATGGTTGTATATGTGTGGAGTGTCAGGAATCCAAACATGCACATCAGTTTCCTTGGCATATTCACATTCAAGGCACCAATGCTGCCTTGGGTGATATTGGGCTTCAGTTATCTCTTCAAACAGAGTCTGATCTTTGATGGCATGGGCATCCTAGTAGGTCACATCTACTACTACCTGGAAGACATCTATCCTGCCATCTCACATCGACGTCTCCTACAGACACCAGCTTTCATGTATGTATACAATGGAATGAATGAATGAATGAATGACGACATCATCTAACCATTCGTCTTCCCAATCAATCAATTAATCTAGTAAATACCTCTTTGAACATCCACCTGTTGCAGAACAACCTGGACTATATGCACAAGCACCTGATCCAGCAGCAGCAGCGGCAGCAGCAGTTGCAGCTCATTTTGTCCCACCCGAGGGCGCTGCAAATTAACTGTTTGTCAATAACAAATAATAATAACCATGTCTAAACTTGTCAATTACTATCGATTAGGATATTTCGGTGATTTGGATATTTCGATCAAGTTGTTTGATTGACAAAGTGTGGGTGGCATCAAGGACCCAATTGAGTTGGTGTCGCCCTTATTCAATTTGATTATCATACACATATATTAAAGATAGATATAAATATATACATATATGTGAGCAAGAACAGAAATGACAAGATCAACACAAGAACAAGAGTACTCACCGCTCTTGTCAAAGTACTCAAAGAGTACTCGTGATCTTATCATTATATATCTGTTGTCCTTTATGATTCTACTGACTCTAGTGGCAATAGGAATGACTACCTTTCTAAATCTTCTACCAAGTGTATGTAGTAGTAGTACAAATGGTATAATGATCTGTTGTCTGTCTATCTCTGACACTAACAATCTACACACATCAACAACAACAACAGATAAAACTTGGTAAAGAGTTCATAGAGACATCATGTTTGGTGAAGGAACATGAAATCAATATTACACAACATTACATGGGACAAGAGTGTATTAAGCTGAATCGTGAGATATGGTGGTATCCATTACTTGGTCAGAACTCATTCTATCACAATGTAGTACAACATGGAAACACATCAGACTCTGCTGATGATTGGGAAGGATACAACAATGATGGCATGGATGGCGAGGGCTCAGGCGTTGGAATCACATGCTATCAAGGACTGTTTGTAGTGGAGTATCAACTCGATGCTGCTTATAACAATGTGTTGGTTCATAGCAACATCAGTGGAACATGGAATTCACGTCTGCGATGGGTCGACGATTATTTAGTGGCTTTTAAGGTATGATATGATGGTGGATACCGATCAATCAATCAATCAATCGATCGATTAATGGATAACTAACATGTTGTTGATGATGATGATTATTAGGTAAACACAACATCCAGATGTTACTACCAATCAATGAATCCATATAATGTCAATTGGTTCGCCTCACCTAAATACACGGTGTCATCAGTGGTAGTGCTGTCTATATCGACAGCATTCCTCATTGGATCAGTGGTTCTGTTAATTTACTTTATTGGACGACGACGACAATTCCTTGCAGAGCAACAACAACGATTCCCAACCAAACGCAATAGTGACCTTTACACAAACAGATAGTTTACAAGGTCAATGTCACGCAATCAACTATATAGATAGATAGTCAACAATCACACAGGGCTTGAACCATCAAACATATCCCTCATTCATTATAATGGCCATCACTTTGTTTGAAACTCAACTCAACTCTTTGGCTCCCYCCCCCCCCCCCATTCCACTTCCTATTCTCCTCCTCTTCACCTCATCCTCCATCCATCATGATAATAATATTAAATGTATATACATTATTGAAGGGGAAACCCTACTTGATCGTAAGGTGTTGGTTGTCTTGAAGTTCACACAAATTTTCATTCACCAATCACATGATCAACAATGTTGTCATTCATTCATTCCGACTCAAACATCAAACACAACACATTTAGTATAGGATACAGGATAACAAGTAGCGAATAACCTATCATCGATGCAACGACTGCTCTCTTCCATCGGTGAGGTATTGGCTCCTACCTTTCACTCTCCACTTGATGATCTCAAGAACCATTGGAAGTCGATAAAGTTGTTCTATTTAGAGCGTAACGGTAGGTGTTGTGTGATAGACCTATCGATCAATCAATTGATCACTCATTAATCATCTATCAACAACCTCTCAGATGGTATAGAGAAGTTCCAAGAGTATCAGATACCAGGTCATATTATATCGATGGTTTCAATATTGATTGATGAGAACAAGTCGATAGGTGATGCTGGTCAGTGTCTCGAGTTCTTTCTAAAGAATAGGATATTGGAGACATTATGTCACATTGGTGAGCGTGATGTATGTACACACTGGCTGGTGAATGATGTTGTTTGGTGAATGATCAATGTCTGACTCATACTCTATAGACTCCACCAGGCGTTAGGAAACTCGTTCTCCAGACAACAGTCACACTTTTAGGTGATATATCACTGCCATTACTACCTCATATGAGTGTACACAGACCGATATGTAGATTGATACAATCGATACTCACTGCAAAGCAGCAACAACAGTTACAACAGCAACAACAGTTACAACAGCAACAGAAGAGTATGTCACCAGCACTGTCCTCTGCCATACAACGAGGCGCCACCCGAGTCAACAGTCCTGAGATCACTCGACTGGTGCCAGCACTACTACAACCGATCAATCACACACTGGAACAGACCAATGATGACAGCGAGTTTGTGACAATGCTTGACCTTCTCATCAAACAACTCAAGCTCTATCCAACACTGTTGGGCTTCTTCCACGAGGATGGCTACCAACATGGAGAGAACTTTGTCGTGTTTCAAGGACTGTTGTGTCATTTGTGGACGGCTGGTGCGATTGGCGAGCGTGCTCGCAAGGCTATGATCGAATGTCTGGAGCTTATGCCAGAGTCTAGTGCAACAAGCGACTTCCTCGTTGCCAACAACAACAGAGACAGCATTCGTCATGGAGTACTGATATCAAAGATGAATGGAACTCATACCTCTGGTGTGTCCCCAAGCAGCAGCAACAACAATGGCAACATCACGATGCCACCTTCACCATTGATGGCAGTACAATCACCATCACCTCTTAACAGCTCACAAGGAGATACGGCAAGTCAGGACTTTATAATTACCGACCCTTTGTCACTGCTGAATCACATCAACTTTATCAATCTACAGGTATGATATGATCGATCACAATGGGCATCCCGAATATACAATCTCGCTCACTCATTCAATCAATCACACAATCACAGATGACTGAACTATTGAAGATACACTCATTGTTACCTCCAACCGTAGCATCACCAAGCTACTGTGTCTCTGGACCACCAATTGCTCCAGAGGGAATATGCATTTTGGAGTGCTACAAAGCACGTGTGGCCTTTTGTTCCGAGCTCTCCTTAATCAAGCATAACGTAAGTTCAATTCTCAAATGGCTGGTGGAATGATTGCCTAACATGTTTAGCAGAGCATTGGTGAATATATTACCAAACTATGGGAAGACTTGTTCATCACAGATACATTGGGAGTGACTTTGTTACACAACGAGGACTATCGTGCAGCGACAGCGATGCTATACCTGAGAGAGATATTACCATTGTTGCAAGGACCAATTGGACAAAAGACGATTACATTCCTTGTTGGTGATAGTGTCACTCCAGAGAAAAGAAAGGAATCCACTGGCAATGATTATGATGAACTGATCATCAAGTCCACTCTGATAAAAAGGATATCACATCCAAACTATCATGTAAGTAGTTGATCGTCCAGATCGAACCATGCCACATATCACTTACAAACATATACATACATTAGGTATCGATATCAAGTCTTCGATTGTTCTCTACACTCCTTAGTCTTCAAAACTTTGCAGTGGTGTACAACTTGATATTGGTGAATCTTCCACCTCCAGTGGATGACACTGCGACAACGTTCTCATACCAGAACCTAGCGACATTGCAGACGGCACAAAAGTCAATCACGAGATATCTGACATTGATTGGCAGCAAGTACACAAATATTCACCATGGCGATGGTCACATGGCTGATATCTTTCAGAACAAGACATCTTCGCGAACCAATGGATACTCTGCCTATCTGGTGGATGCTCGCTATCAGATTGCCAACTTCACAACTGCCTGTTCATCATGGCCAAGCAAGTATCTCTTCATAACAAATGATGCATACAACTCACTCAATGTACAAAAGAACAACAACAACAACAACAACAACAACAATGTCATCGATGACAACAACAACAACAACAAGAGATATACATACATGGGATCATTCCTCGAGGAAGTGTTCAAAGTATTTTCGAAGATGCTTACACTTCCAATGGACATCAATATTGTGATCACTGGAATCATCTCAAAGCTGTGTTACTACCCATGTCCACAACTCTATCCCCACCTGGTTCACATCATTCAGAGCACGCTCTCAAACTCCACCTCTTCCTCCTCCTCTTCCTCCACAACGATTTCTCCTCCCTCCAATTCACCAATCCAGTCGATTTACTCCATTCTGCAAAGTGTAAGAGATGTGATTGTATTGATTGTCTAAATACACATACTGACATGATTAACAATACAATGATATAGCTATCAATTGAAATATCAGATAGATCCAAGACCTTTAGTTTCTTCAATGAGGTGTTGGACCAGTTTAGAATATACCTGACGGATGTTTCCACCATTGACAGCAATGAATACAATATGCCCAAGAACACACTTCTCAGTGCTCTCAAGAAGGAAGAGATTGACTTCCTACACGCAGTCATAATAGTAGAGGAGTTCTGCAAAGAGATAGCGTCCATCATCCAAGCTCGTGTGGTATTCTCCAATAAACACTGAGGTACGAGTAACCAATTCATTCCACGTGACAAACCATCTTGATGACCCGCACCCTCTCACGTCTGGACCGACCCACCCACACTCTTTCGCAAACTTCCAACCACAAAAAGCACCTCCCAAAGCCAACCCGCACGATGGGATGGTTTTGGTTCGTTTTCACACAAAACAGGCATTGGCAAGGCCACCTCACAAGTCAATGCCATCCAAACACAACAAATATCCTTCATTATTTTTAATTAGAATCAAGACTAGACACTTCCTTTCATTATTATTACATATTACCTTGCAAGCAGTATTAGTATTAGTTGTACTACTATCACCAAACGGTTCTTCACCACAAAAGCAATATCAGCAGTATACTCGATTAGCGAGCGCCATATATTATTACTTGTTGTATTACTATTATATCAACCTTTCACTCTCACATATATAAACAATGGCATCCGCAGCAGCAGCAGCTCCAAAGGTAAGTGAACTTATCCAGTCTAGTTGTTGTCCTATCCATCTACCACCACAACATTATACTACACTACCTACCACCGATCGAACATTGAGATCTCTGATCCTATTCTATTTATAACATATTCACTCTGTCAGCCACACACAACACAACACACACACATCACACAAAGATGTCTCTTTGTTTCGAAACACGAATAACCACAAGGTGATTATTATTCACCAACAACACTCAATCACTCATTCACTCATTCACTCATTCCAATCACCACATCTCTTGTGAGTGTCCTATCTTTACCAATGTTCAACTACTACTATGGTGTTGTCTTTGTTCGCACAAACACACAATAGACAAACACACAACTCAGATGATCCTCTGTAGAGAATGGAACAGTCACTTATTTTAAAGAGACTGTTCACCATGTGATGCTACCACACACGGTAATGCTGGAGTTGAGGGAGGAGTGTTGAGTTTGTTGTTGCTGTGCATATGTGTTACGTGAATCACTTCAATCGAAAGTCGACCTCCACATATCTGGCAGTCCAGTCCAATCCAATCCAGACCAGTCCAGTCAGTGCCCAACCTCATAACAATCGTTACCCAAAAGCTTTATTTAAATCCACCTTCTTCTTTCACAATCAATCCAACAACAAATCATTCCACAATCAATTCATTGTTGCTGTTATTGATTCTTCGTCCGTCTGACTTGTCATATCTCATCTCCACAATATTCCCAACGATCTAATAATTCGACCGATATCCACATCCTACCTACCTTCCCATTATATTTATAAACCGATATATCTAACTAACTAACAAACAAACTATCCAACAATGGTCATGGCAACAACCTCCAACTCCACCAACACAAACAACTCAACTCCAAAATTCAAGTCGTTTGGATCATCAGAGAAGTGTGCAGTGTGCACCAAGACAGTGTTTGCCACTGAGCGTTTGGCATCAGATGAGCGTGTGTTCCACAAGGCCTGTTTCAGATGCACAGTGTGCAACAATGTCTTGAAGCTCGGAAACTATGCCTCCATGCAATCAAAGTCCTACTGCAAGCCATGTTTCAAGAAGCTGTTCTTCACCAAGGGCAACTACAGCGAGGGTTTCGGTCAGTTGAAGCCACAGCACCAGCACGACATGAAGAAGGGAACTCCCACCGTCACAGTGGTCACTCCACCACCACCCCCAGTCAACGCCAGCGCACCAGTCGAGGTGCCAGTCGTTCGTCACACACCAGCTCCAGTTCGCGAGGTTGAGGAGCCAGTCAAGCCAGTCGTCGTGGTCGAGACTCCAAAGCCAGTAGAGCAACCAAAGCCAGTTGTTGCCTCGACTCCAGCACCAAAGCCAGTTGTCGCTTCAACCCCAGCACCAAAGCCAGTGGTCGCTTCCACTCCAGCACCAAAGCCAGTTGTTGCCTCAACCCCAGCACCAAAGCCAGTTGTTTCATCGACACCAGCACCAAAGCCAGTGGCCACAACCTCGCAACCACCAAAGTCATTCGCCAGACCAACCACAACCTCTGGAGTCTCACCAGACAGACCATCCACCACCACCACACCAAAGACACCAGTCAGCAGCTCTGCATCACCAGCCACCTCTTCACCAAAGATTGTCAACTTCCAAGCCTTCCGCGACTTCACCAAGCCATCAACCACCTCCAAGCCATTCGTTATCAGAACAGCAAAGGGAAATGTATTCGTACCAATCAACAACCCACCAGCTCCAGAGAAGAAGCCATTGGAGCCAATCTCTCTTGAGGAGCCAGTTGTTGTGAAGAAGGCTGCTCCAGCCCCCACTCCAGCCCCAACTCCAGCTCCAGCTCCAGTCGTTGTCGCTGAGCCAGAGCCAGTTGTCGTTGCAGAGCCAGAGCCAGTTGTTGTCGCTGAACCAGAGCCAGTGGTTGTCCCTGAGCCAGAGCCAGTCGTCGTTGCTGAGCCCGAGCCAGTTGTTGAGGCCACCCCAGAGCCAGTAGCCGTCGAGGAGCCAGCCGTTGTTGAGGAGCCAGCTGTCGTTGAGGAGGAGCCAATCTCTTTTGCCGTCGATTCCACCCCAGAGCCAGTCGCCACCGCCTAAACGATTCAGCAGCGATAATGTGACTAACTGATTGACCAGCCCCAGTCAACCAACCAGCCCACCAGCCTGCCTATCAGCCTTCCAAGGGCCATCCAGCAGGGTTAATAAAATATATATTTATATAAGTTTGTACTACTAAATCAAATAGAAAGACTCTATTGTCTATCTTATCTTCTGGAAACAATCAATGGATGGTTATAAATATTATATTATTAATTTTAATATTATTGTATCGAGCAACACCTTCTGTTTGCCTTCTTTGCTTGTTTCAGGAATAGTTTACTCTTTGCCGACAGTTCATTTGATTGATCCAGCAGATCCTCCATCTTGGCTGTGTTCTGCAGAGCAGCATCTATATTCTTGTGCTAAATCTGTTGAGTCAGTATAATGTGATGGAAACAACGAACTTGATAACTGCTAGAACATACCATAATAATAGTGATATCATTGATTTGATTCTGTACAGAGGCGATCTTATCATGACCTTCAGGATTGGCATACTTTGTCAACATTGGACCAATCTGAGGGAATGCAGCACCAATAATTCCTTTGGTCATTCTCATATATTCATTCATCATCTCTGATAGACATCTTGCTGCAATTCTTTCAGGATACTCCTGATCTGTGAATACTACACCTCTACATTGGACTTGTCAATAAGTGTGTCACACATCGATGATGAAGATAACAACAACAACAACAACATACCCAAAGTCTTCTCTAACATCTACAAACGCTATATAACCTTCATGGGGAACAGCACACTTTGAGTTGACTTTGAACTTGTCTACGAATATCTTGCTTGATGCCAGTAGCACCTCTTTGGCCCTATTACGATGATGATGATGTCAATATTCGTAACGATAGTAGTCTTCTACCTACCTACAACTACAACATACGTTGAACGCTCAAAGAAACCAAAATGACTCAGATCTGTCGCTTGATCAATGATGTTGCCTCCTCTTCTTGACAATACCAACGCTACTATCTTCATTCTCTTGTTTATATTTTAACCTGTAAATATATATATATCTCTATTTCTATCAATTATGATTATTGTTGTTTGGACTTATTCATGCTTGTCAAGTATTAATACACATAAACATCAACAACGAAAGGGTGGTTTACAAGTTCAACGAACAGTTGTGTGTGAAAGTGGTTACCAGGAGATCGATACTATTGGGTTCCGGAGACTATTCCCAATTTGATATTGAACTGGCACTTGTTATCTTTTGATCAATCTCAAAAACTATTAGACTTTTGATAACAGATTTATTTGTTTGTAGATACACAAATGATTTAAACTTAAGTTTATATGGATACCTCGTTCAGAGCAATCATCAACAACTTATATCTTCAAAGATTGATATTCACACATGTTCACCAGATTTTGCAACACGAGGTAGACCAACTGCCACATGTTCACATCACTTTCACAGGCAACATTCTGAAATGGAGCCAACTCCAATACAGCATTGGAACACTCCTTCATCACGGATACATCGAGCTCTTCATTCAGATGGTAGAACGCATTCATCTGGTCGCCAGCAACAACGATGTCGGTGTGAATGATCGTAATCATGCCAAAGACCGTCTGAAGAAGATCTCGGCCCAATCCGTGTCTGCCGCCATAGCCTATGGTCATTTGTCGTTGGTAAGGCTCCTCCACACTGGCCAGGACGAGAGGCTCAACAAACTTGTCTATGAGTGGAGGTCGCCTTTTGGATATGCCGCCTATCTAGGACATCTTGACATCGTCCGCTTCCTGCACGAGTGCCGCTCTGACAACGTATCATCATCAGCAATGGACTCTGCTGCTGGCAATGGACACTTGGAGGTCGTAGATTTCCTTCACAAGAATCGGACGGAGGGATGCACCACCAATGCTATGGACAAGGCCGCTGCGAATGGTCGGCTCAAGGTCGTGGAGTATCTGCATAGCAACCGAGAGGAGGGGTGCACTTCTCAGGCCATGACCAAGGCTGCCACGTCTGGACACCTGGAGATTGTCAGATTCCTGCACACACACACCGAACCGAGGGCTGCAGCGTCGGGGCCATGGACTCTGCTTGTATGGCAGGACATCTTGACGTGGTCCGCTTTCTTCATTACAATCGGAGTGAGGGCTGCACGACTAAAGCAATGGACAATGCCGCCAAGAATGGACACATGGAGATCGTGGTCTTTCTTCACACCAATCGCAGCGAAGGGTGTACAAGAGCTGCACTAAACTCGGCCGCAGCCAATGGAGACTTTGATATTGTCACTTTCCTGCATTTAAATCGCACAGAGGGCGGCAACTATCCAATCAACCTAGCCGCTTGCAACGGACATTTAAGGGTTGTCCAGTATCTCCATGAGAACATGACAACAGAGGCATGCAATACTTCGGCAATGGAAGGTGCAGCGGCCGCTGGACATATCGACATTGTCTGTTTTCTCTATGCAAACAGGACCGAAGGAATCCACTGTCTTGGCGCCCTCTTGGATCGGATTGAAAGAGATGAGACGATGATGCAATTCATCCAAAGCCATCAAGCTAAACTGCGTTGTGTATGTCGCATCATTGAATATCATGACGAGTGCGAAAATCTCGATCTGCCAAGCAGTCTTCTTCTTGTAGACACTAGTTGACTTGTTTAGGAGAGTGGACCTCCAACTGCAACTATTTAAAGCTCCGGCTCAATGATGTGACATAGAAAACTCGGAATGGGCTTGCCCTCTGGAATACAAGTCTCATTAAAATAACCATTGTATGTGTTATATAGCTCGGCGATGTATCGATGTGATATAAATGTTTAATCTTTATTTATTCGTTGTTGTGGCGGGTGTGCATTCGATAATGACGGTACATGGTTGTCGTTGTTGGTACAGCTGCGACGTGGATAGTCTCGGTAATCGCGGCTCAAGCCCTGCCTTCCCTTAAAACCTTGTCCAATTCTAGGTATTTGCTTGAGCACTTTGGCCACTTCAAAGATGGCCATGAAGCGCTTCATTGGTGGCCAAATAAATGCGTTTGGCTATCTTCCAGAACAAATCCAAGCTCTTTGGGTCGCAAGCTGGTAGTATCGACCACTCATGTAATGATGCTCCTTGATGTGAGTAGGCATTTGTTCCGGGTCCTGTGAGCCCTCCAATATATTGCAACCGCTATGATAATGTCATTCTTCCTGTGACAGCCGCCGCTGCTATTGACACCTCTGTTGCCACTCTGGTTGCCGTTGCTACTGCGGTTATCGTTGTTGCTGTTGCTACTGCTTCCAGGGAGCCAGATAGTGGGACGATCTGGTTGAGCTGTGAACAAGTTGACTGCACTAGACAGTTGAGTGGACTGCACAACAACATCATCATGGTCATCACAGGTGATAACTTCAGAAGCAACTTTGACCAGAGCTGCCACACACACAGTGTCGCTGGCCAATGGTTAGCGTTTTCAGAAAAGTATCAGCCTGACATATCCTGACAACCTTAAGTGGTTGGCTGCTCGTTCTTTTATCAGTCGCTGGTTTGAGGAGGGCACCGCGGAGGCTGTTTTGTCGAAAGCAACAATCAGACAACATCGATTGAATCAGTAAGAAAAGAGATTATGAATTGTATTTTAGTACAGGTATAAAAGAGTATTCATTGTTGATCTTCAACTCATACACGTTGTAGTGGTCCCCTTTATTTTTCAACATTGTCCCGATACAGGTGCCGAACACAGATTCATTTTCGGGAGAATTGATGAGATTATTTAATTTAAATTAATTTACATAAATAGAATCTTGTTTCTTGAATTGAAATTGTGGGGGGAAAGTTCGAACTAGAAGCAAATTTCCCCTTATTACACATACACACAAACAACCACTACACACACACGTACATACACATACATACAACAGAAAGAAAGAGAGGTGTCATTGCAATGCTCCACAACAACAACAACAACAACATCCCAGTGTAAATTGAACAATCTGCCTACACCTTTAATTCCTCAATTTCTTTGTAACAGAGTATAAATATACAAACAATATAACTTATTATTATGAGCAGCAGTTCAGCAACATCATCAATGAAAAAGAAGAATAGTAAACAACATTCAGAGCATAGTAGTAGTAGTAGTAAAGGAAACAAACATCGTAACAACAACAACAGTCATGATTATATATTCACTGATGTCGATGTAGACGAGAACTCTGTTGATTTGATGCAGACTACACCAACACTGCCCATTGTCAAGAGCTCTGATCAACTTCAAGTGTTGCCATCAGGTGATCTAACTGTTCCTGTCACTTCATCCACCAATTCAACTACTACAACAACATCTGGTGCCACCACACAACCTGATGTCGCTGATGAAGAAGATGATGATCATGATAGACCATCAATAACAGTGACAACTCCTTCTGGAAAGGGAGAATCCACAACATCAACAACCACCACTACTACAGGCGATGACAATCAGCACAAGGATGACTTGTCAAAGAACCAATCAAATATGCTCAGCAATGAAACAGAGGAGGTCATTGTCAGCCCTGTACAGACAGAGCGAAACCCATTCAACTTGGAGAATAGGGAGTCCCATCAGTTGTACACCACAAAGATATTGGAGCGACAAAAGTCTCTAGAGAATGTACCACCAACCTACTCTCCAGACAAACAACTCTATACAAAGAGTAAGTGATCATTGATCTAGATCAAGAGAGAGATACTAACATCCCACACTTTAGGACATGCATTCATCAAGAAGATTGTAAACAAAGTGTACTATACCTTAAAGTCAGCGGCCTCAGAGGATCTGCTGTCATCCCAGAAGAATCAGATACTCAAAGAGTTGTTTAGGAATGTCACAGCTGAGTTGGATGACTCTGTACTAGGTAATCATCATCGCTACATCCATATATGTCAAGTCTGATACACACACACAGATACTAACAATCTGATTTGAATAGAGTACCTACAGAACAGATCATCTGGAAAGACTGGAAGTAATCAGAAGGAACTCCCATTCTCACCACTTCATCTATCAGATGCTGATCATCATCCGTCAAACATGCCTGGATCACCACTGCCTCAAATGTCACTTGTGAATGAATTCTCCAACTCACCAATCAATGATGTCAAGCTGGCACAGATGCACAACATTGATCACCTGACACACTCTTATCCAATCCTTGACGACAAGGACAAACCAGTCAAGTACTATTATCAACTCATCAGTCAATACTTTTACAATGTTCCAGGCGAAGTGGAGAGGTTCAGACCATTGCTACACTGTCTTTGGAACAACCATTGGTGCATCCTAACATTTTCATCATTGTTCTATCTATGGGTATGTTGTAGTAGTAACATTTTGGAGCAACGACGTGATATACTAATCAACAATATACTACAGCTGATGGAGTATAGACTATCATTGATACCTCAAGTCAATGTATTCATAAAGTCAACCAACAAACTGTTCTGGCATGACTTGGACTTTAACACTCAAAAGTTCAAGGACATCTACTTCACATTGAAGCAGAAGCTATTGGACAACAGCATTTGGATTGGATTGAATGAGACAACAGACAGCAATGACCAAGGTCTGATGATTAGGAACAGACGACTCTGGATCGATTTCTATCACATTATCACAGTGTTCTATTTCCATTACGAGGATAACGTCGACAAGAGTGACTTGGATGCCTTTAGACAACAGATGGACGTACAGTACAAAAAGAACATTGCAAACAGATTCGACATTGCTCACGATGGCAGTGGCAACAACATCAGCAGCAGTAGCAGCAGTAGCAAAGGTGACGACCAAAATCAATTATCAATCGATGATATCTTTGTAAGAGGTATACTCAGACAACTCTGTTTGATTAAGACTGAGGATGTTTTAATCAAGTATATAGAGTGTTGTACATTATTTAAAGGTATGTAGTTTTGAACACATTGATGGATGTGTTGTATCACTCAAACTTCTTCCACTAACAACTCACAATCAACAATCATCAGACTGGAACTTGAATGCTGTATCCAAGATCAAACTACAGTCATGTTTGTATTCATTTTCAAAGCCAGGCTCACCATTGCACCTACCAAGAGGTGTAAGGGTGGCATCACGTCAAACATTGGACACATTGTTCCCTGAGGGCAAGGTATCTCGTTACACAGTCAATTTGTTCTTTAGGCTTCTACACCCATATTATTCAACCAGTTCCATTGTTCACTGGGTTGTGGAGACTGCCAAACAATACTTTCCTTCATTCCTTTTGAAGTAGTACTAGTAGCGATCAATAATAAATAGTAATATTTAAAATAACAGGGGTTCTTATTATTATTGCCGGTAAAGATATTGAGATACTAGATCACACAATAACTCTCCATGTTTCAATCAAAATCACCAAAGTGATTATACACTCTGGTAGTCACCTGATCATCAATGATTTCCAATCGAAGTAACCGTCTTGCAACGAAAAGTATTGCATATACTATTATTGTGATCGCACACACACACACACACATACACAAACACACTCATTCTCACAAACCACTTGATGAGTGGATAATGGGGAATACTCCCACATGTCATATGACATGACGTCGATACTCAGTATCATCATAGTACCACCCCCACTACTCAACACAAATGACTGACAGTCACTCGCTGTTTCGGATCTCAAACGACATGTCTTACAGGGAAATCCTTTTGTAACATTACTGGTTGTAGACTAGATTACTCTGGATGTGGATATCGGGGTATGGAACATTAATAATTGGTGACACTCTTTGCTTTGCCGAATATCATATTCAGAAGTTAATGGGTATTTGCCAATTCTATCAACTTGTTTACCATATTAATATGATGATACAATTTGATCCTATCGCCTACAATTCATTCACTATATAAGGACTGATTAATCATTCTTTTGTTCATCATTATCAATTACATTTATTCAATTATCAACGTAATATTACTACCAATCAATCCTAATCAATCTAAAATGTTGTACAGTAAGTACCACCATTGATCATTTTCACAGTGGGTATACATGGTCACTAATAATATCAATCAATCTGTGATTACAGAGTCTCTTGCCAAGTTGAACGTCGGAAGCCAGGTCACCAAGAATAACCAAACCATCCAAATGAATGGTGCCACGGGAGTTGGTCAGTCTGCCAATGAAACTGCTCTCTTGGACATTTGCATTCCCTATCTGAATGTTCTCAACCTCATTGTGATCACCAACCTCAGCATTCACATCTAAGAACACTATTGATCACATTCAAGTCCATCCTACCTGATTCTCCTCGTAACAATACTATCTCAATCACCTAAGCAATTACATCATACATTCCAACCTACCTAATAAATTCAAAGTGGAAAGGTTCATGATCGGTCCCTCCCTATTGATCATCACAAACTTCAAAATTGAATCGTCATTCTACCGTTACTGACAATCATACAATGACAACAACAGCACAACACCAACAATCACAAGCAAGCATTGTGGATGATGACTCGAATGCATTGACAGACTATGAAGCTGCATTATATGATCGAGGCATTAGAGTATGGGGTGTGGATGCCCAGAACAGACTGCGTCGCTCAAGAGTACTGGTGGTTGGCTTGGGCGGCTTGAACTCTGAACTAGTAAAGAACATCGCTTTGGCAGGTGTTGGTCAGATCAACATCATTGATCATCACATCGTTACCCAACATGACATTGGTCTGTTCATCACATCACAGTGCGTTGGTCAAACTGTAAGTGTTGTTGATTGTTCGCTCAGACCTACCTACATACATACTCACACACGATACCCATTACAACAGAGAGCAGAGGCATCATTAGCAGGTATTGCAGAACTCAATCCTCTCATTCATGTTAGAGCTGATACATTGTCACTGGATGCCATCGATAACGAATATGTTAAAGGCTTTACATTGGTCTGCGTTGATACATTGGACTCTGCACTACAGCTACGTCTCAATGTTCTATGTAGGATGAACAACATTCCCTTCATTCTCACTCATTCATTTGGAATGCAAGCTTACTTCTTCTCTGATCTCGGTCAGAAATTCCAATATTCAATCAAGTATGTTATTATGATACATTATAGGATGTTGGAGATCATTCACTGATAGAGCCTCTATATTACTACCAAAATAATAGGAAGAAGGTCAAGGTACCAATAGCCACGAACAATGGAAACAACAATGGCAACAACAGCAGCAGCAGCAGCAATGGACAACATAGTACAACTGCAGGTGAAACTGAAGAAAGAGAAGAGGTAGTTGAACAAGTGGCATCATTCGCAAGTCTCAATGATTCACTATCAATGCAATGGAATCAATTACCAAACAGAGTGTCGACTCTCTACTTTGCTTTGGCTTGTATGTGTCACAATCAAACCTAAACTCCAATGATGTTTTCTACTGACATCCAGACCTCTCTTTAGTACTCTATCAATTCCAACAGTCACACAACAGACTTCCAGTGGCAACGTCAGAGAGTGACATCAAGGAGCTGCTTAAGATGCTGGAGGATAACAACAAGAGATACAATATCACGCCAGTCAACAAGAATGCAGACATTGTCACGAGTGCAATGAGCCACTTGCACACTGAGATTGCACCTGTGTGTGCCATTGTTGGAGGAATCGTTGGTCAAGAGATAGTCAAGGTCATTTGTCGAGACAATGAGGTTCTAAACAACTTCTTCTTCTACGATGCCCTGAAGGGATCAGGACTTGTTGAGCCTGTAAACATCCGATCCAAATAAACCAAACTTAGGTTAGTGCCAGACGAACCTGATTCCAAAGAAGGTGTAGATGTGGGGGTGACTCCCGTTCCAAAACCCAAGTTGTCATGAGGACACCTTGTCTGACCCTTCATTCAATCTTCATAACACAACATACATACATATATAAGAAAGATACAGAAATGTTTAGATCATTACTTTCTGTGAGATGGAGACCTCCTCCTACTCCTTCTCTTATTCGTTCATATAGTAGGTGCACCTCAGCTTCAACTACCACAACCACCACAACCTCAAGCTCCAGCACAGAGACACCGACGACACCTACAATATCACCAGAGTCACTACTAGCACAGATACGAGCAATGAACAACACACCGAGCGATAGGATACTGACAGATACATTCGGAAGAAATCATACATACCTGAGGATATCATTGACTGAGCGATGCAACCTCAGATGCCAATATTGCATGCCTGAAGAAGGTGTGCCCCTTCAGCCATCACATATGATATTGAGCAACGATGAGATAGTACGTCTCTCTAGACTGTTTGTTCAGTCTGGTGTCAACAAGATAAGATTCACTGGTGGTGAACCTTTAGTAAGTGTTGTCAATCAATGAATCAGACTGATCATGATGGTGACTAACACTGTTTGGAAATAATAGGTTCGAAAGGATGTAGAGGCATTAATAGAGGAGATTGGCAAGTTGAAGGGATTAAAGACCATAGCAATGACAACCAATGGTATATTGTTGAATAGGAAGATTGATAGACTACATAAAGCTGGATTGAACCTTTTGAACATCAGTCTGGACACGTTGGACACGAACAAATTCACCATCATCACACGACGACTGGGCTGGGAGCGAGTGATGGAGTCAATAGAGAAGGCACTGGCCCTGAATCTAAATCCTGTCAAGATCAACTGTGTTGTCATGAAGGGTATCAATGACTATGAGGTATGATCATTCATCTTGGTCATGTCACAAGATCTTGTCAACTGACACATCGCTCCAATCAATCAATCAGATATGCGACTTTGTAGAGATGACTAGGAACAAACCGATCGAGGTTAGATTCATAGAGTATATGCCATTCGATGGCAATCGCTGGAGTGATCAAAAGTTTGTCTCTTACAAGGAGATGCTTCAGTTGATCAAGAATAAGTTTGGCACGATAGACAAGGTCGAGGAGGACCATCCCAACAACACATCAAAGACATATCAGGTACCTGGCTTCATGGGCAAAGTTGGATTCATCACTTCGATGAGTGAGCACTTTTGTAACTCTTGTAATAGACTACGAATCACTGCAGATGGCAATTTAAAGGTATGTTTAAATACTACCATCCATATGGATGTCAATCATCATTACATGATGACCAAGGTTCTAAATTCTTTCACCTACTCTCTTTTAGGTCTGCTTATTTGGGAATGCAGAGGTATCACTTAGAGACTTGATGCGCATTGGTGCCACCGATGAGGACTTGCTCAAGGTTATWAAACTCTGCCGTGCTAAAGAAGAAAGCATCTCATGCAGGTATGTATGAGATTGCCAAGAGTCAGAATAGGCCAATGATATTAATAGGAGGATAATGATGAATAACCATGCTCATGGCAATAAACTCGCCTTGCTGGTTTATTTATTATTATTATTATTATTCAAGGTTTGGTGCTCTGGTCAATTATTTCAATGTTGCTACATCGTGCTCCAGTCCAGCTCACCAGGGTCAATCATATCAAGAGAACATTGACCAACAATGATCAAAGGATCGTCACACAAAGATGGTGGACCACAACAGTCAACAAGACATCAACTAATATGATCAATGGTCTTGTTACAACTGCAGCTGCTGTCACATTCAATCAACATCAATGGCAGTCATCAAGATACTTCTCGACCACCAAGAAGGGAACTGAAGATCTATTTACTCATATTGATCCAGCCAGGAACATGCCAACAATGGTTGATGTCTCCAACAAGACGATCACCAAGAGGACAGCCACTGCCAGTGCTACCATCATCTTTCCAGAGAGTGTTTTGAGACAACTGACAGGACAGTCGTCATCAGAGGACATACAACAGGCAAAGGAGTTGGTGTCAAAGAAGGGACCAGTGTTTACCACGGCCATCGTGGCAGGTACAATGGCAGTGAAGAACACATCCAATCTAATACCATTCTGTCATCCACTGCCCATTGAGAATTGCAAGATTGTCATTGGCATTGTATCCAGCACACAGGTCAAGGTTGAGTGTACTGTGAGTGTGATGCACAAGACTGGTGTGGAGATGGAGGCATTGACAGGATGTAGCGTCGCCAGTCTCACTATATATGACATGTGCAAAGCGTTATCTCACGACATCATTATCAATGACATCAAACTACTCTCAAAGAAGGGTGGAAAGAGTGACTTTGAACTTGAATAAACAGTGTACGTGCGCTTTGCGCAACACGACCACCCAAGTTTGGAACAGGTTGTCAAGCAAACAACACACCAAAAAACACTTCCCACACCGACACCTACTCCTCGCTCTCCGTGTTAACAAACAGCCCATCATCACGAAAAACACATCACATTTATTTGAACCGGGCTGTGAAAGAGAGAAGGAAAGGTGATCACTGTTTCCCCTGTTATTGAGAAAGGTCATTGCTCTTTGCAGTTCCTCATCTATCTGTTCTATTACTATTACCTCTACACTACTACATGTTATAATTATATTTAACTCTTTGTTACAAGAGACAGAAAGAACGCGAGCTTCATTCACGATGCAAAACACTCTGGCTGATATAGGTTGGTTATTATCATCAAACCTGCAGTAACATTGATGTTGATCATATTTAGCTAACATCTTTCCAAAATAATAATTATAATAATAATAGTACCACTTGTACTGTTCCTCTTGTACGTGTTGGTACTTGTAACAGGAATCCTATCAGGTATAACAGAGCTTGTCAAGCATAGAGCATCGTTCAACTCGATCAAACTGTTCTTCTATGCACTCTACATCCTCAATGGACTATGTCGAGCTTTGATACTGGCATGGGGCATGAGCGAACAGTTGACAGGAGGTGAGTTCTATGCCAACTTCCCTGCCCTCTTATATATATCATATGCTGGTCTACTGGCATTACAAATGTTGGTATCATATACTACTCCTCAGTCACATCTCGACAACATAATACCTAACAATCAACATGTTGACAACAACAACAATAGGATACAGTTCTCACCTTCAGAAGGCTACACTCTACTTAATAGACAGAAGCAAAGGAATTGGTTTATGGTGAGATCTGGCACCAATTTATTGATTGGATGCAACTTGATCATGTACTTTACAGCATTCCTATTGTTTGGACTGGCAGAGCGAGAGATTGGTGACTCTACATCTATTGGCCACTTTACCTCTAGTGACTCAATGCCCTATGCCGAGAGTGTCATCTACTCTGTGCTCGACTACTTCTTTATTACAATCGACCTCATCCTATTCCTTTCACACGCTCTTGTCGCCTACAAGACATTTAGAACATTCAGAGAAATCTATGGTGTACAAGTAAGTCGAGTCCACCTGTCTACACCTAGGTTATCATATCATCCACTGACAATAACATTCTCTCACAAACATAGATTAACATTGCACATGCATCACTAATCCTGTTAATATTATGCAGGGCAATAATATTATTCCTAAGTCCAAACTCATCCAACAGCTCGTTGTCAATATCAACAGGCACCGATCAGTTTATAGTTTATACGTTGGTGTACTATATAATTGGAGAGATCATACCAGCCTTCTTGATAATCTATATCGAGTTCATATTACCATATCATAGTGCAGACAGTTATATAGACCTTGGAACAGTCGACGGTATGTCCTGATATCACTTGACACATCTAGTTCGTAATATCTAACAATCTATCAATCTATACACAGACCAAGAGTTGACGATACAGTTTGAACATGGTGAGATCATTGGACGAGGTGGAAGTGGAGCACAGATCAAACGATGTACGATGCGAAATGGAAAGGGTGGCGATCCAAGGATATGTGTCGTCAAGACGATTGATGAACACGAGTGCAACAGCATCGACTATATACATCTACAGGATGAGATACGTATCTATGAGTATATTCAAAAGAAGTCCAAGGGCACTGAGAATATACTCAACTACATATTGGCGTCCAAGTCCAAGTCTGAGCTGCGACTCTACCTAGAGTACATGCCACACACACTGGAGAACTATCTGGTGGCTCGTTCCAACTGTGGCGACAAGCCTAATCTACAAAAGTACTTCCTCAACATACACTTCTATGCAAGCAGCTTCCAGATGACTCCTCAACAGCCATACTTCTTTGAGAAGGATGCTGTGCTCACATGTCTTTTATCCATTGCTCAAGGTCTACATTTCCTACATTCAAATAATATCATTCATAATGACCTAAAGGTAAGTAGTTGGTTGACGACCCATACCACTGTTGATATTAACCAATCAACAATAGCCAAACAATGTATTTGTAGTATTAGAGTATGACACAGAGATCAAACAGTGTAAGATAGGTGACTTTGACAATAGTATACTGTTGAGAGGCAAAGGTGACATTATCAATGCCATTGACAGAGTGGATGATTACACTCCTTATTTCAAACACGATAGTATGTTGAACGATACAAAGACACAACCAACCAACCAACCAACCAATTATTAACATATACATCCCTCTAACTACTTTAGTCTTGCAATTTGGAATGATAATCTACTACCTGTTGACATTGAACCTATTGCCAAAGTGCATGGGCTACCATTCGTATCACGCACCAGCCCTACCGAAACTGGACCATCTGACAGACATCAAGTGGCTACCTATTGTGGACCTGTATCAACGATGTGTCAATGTTGATCGCTCCCAACGACCCAACACCCAAGAGATACTTAAGTTGTTGGAGTTGGAGAGAGAATACTCTGAACATCCCTTCTAAATAAATCATCATTTATTCCCTCGCACACAAACAACGATTTCGAAACGATCACGATTCGTTGTCATTGTCATCATTGAACTTACTCGTCTCTTGTACGAATAAGAAGTAGCGATAACAACATCAACGATGATGATGTTAAGAGTTGCGAGAAGGGCAGCTATTGGTGTCTCATCATCATCATCATCTGCAACTGCCTACTCTATCAGCAGCAGCAGCAGTGGACACCTTACAACAACAAAGATCAGTAATAGAACAGTTGGTTTGAATGTTGTAACATCATCCAGTTTGTTTACACGACCATCTATGCCCTACAGACGTTGTCTCTATTACTCAACGACAGATTCTAATCAACATGTAGGTGTCATCATCAAACTCCTACATCACTCTCATACAGACAATTATAACTTATCACTCAACATATTCTAGAAGAAGTACTACTCTCTATCACAGTTTCCATACCCATCAGGTAGTCTTCATATGGGTCATGTTAGAGTGTACACTATGAGTGACTGTGTGGCTAGACTCAAGCGTATGCAGGGCTATCAGGTGCTACATCCTATGGGCTGGGACGCTTTTGGACTGCCTGCAGAGAACGCTGCCATTGGAAAGGCTGTGTCGCCATCGGCTTGGACAAACTCCAACATCGACGAGATGCGCAATCAGTTTCAAAAGTTGAACCTACAGTTTGACTGGGATAGAGAGCTGTCAACATGCTCACCAGACTACTATCGTTGGACCCAGGAGATATTCCTGCGTCTTTACCAGGCTGGACTGGCCTATCGCAAGCACTCTGCCGTCAACTGGGATCCAATCGATCAGACTGTACTGGCCAATGAGCAGGTGGATGCTCAAGGACGATCGTGGCGCTCGAATGCAATCGTTGAGCGCAGAGAGATGAAGCAGTGGTACTTCAGGATCACAGACTATGCCGATCGTCTTCATGATGATCTAGAGAAGTTGCCCGGATGGCCCACTGAAGTCAAGGCAATGCAGAAAGAGTGGATAGGTAGATCTATTGGAGCATTGGTCACATTCCACTATGGGGATACACAGTTGGTGGCGTTCACTACACGTCCAGAGACATTGTTTGGTGTCACCTTTGTCTCTGTTCACTATAAGCATCCAGTGTTGGAGAGTATTCTCAATGGCAATGATGTGAACCTGGCCACAAAGCAGAAGCTCAGAGATACCATTCAAAAGATCAAACAGTTACTCGAGTCACCACTAGCAAACACCATCGATGCCCCTCCACAGCTGATCGCCCTCAACACCAAGGTCAAGATCACATCACCAACCGGAGCCATTGTCAATTTGGTTGTCTCTTCTCAGGTGTTGCCTGATTATGGAACAGGTGTCGTAATGGGAGTGCCAGGCCACAATGCAGTTGATCATCAGACGGCAAAGCTTTTGAATCTCCCAATCAAGCATGTATTGTCAAGGCCAGTGGACCAAACAGAGGTTGCGGATCTCTATGACAATCCAGATTCAACGCTAATCAACAGTGGACCATTCGACTCACTTAACATTGGTGAGGCAGTTGACAAGATGACAAAGGAAGGTATCATCGTACCCTCCAAGTCATATAGGATCAGAGATTGGCTCCTATCGCGACAGAGATACTGGGGTACGCCAATACCAATCATTCACTGTCCATCTTGTGATGAGGTTCCAGTCCCTCTCGACCAACTACCAGTTGTATTGCCCATCAATGTTGATTTCACAGGTAAAGGAAATCTGTTGAACAGTTTGGAGGATTGGAAGAATACTAAATGTCCAAAGTATGTAATGATCAGTGTTTGATGGTTTGAAAGATATAATACTAACTCTTAATATTACAGGTGTGGAGGCCCAGCACATAGAGAGACTGACACAATGGACACGTTTGTGGACTCTTCATGGTACTATTTGAGATTCTTGGACAACACGAACAAACAAGAGTAGGTCATTTTTCTGTTTGATAGTCTATTATCCAAGTTGGCTAACCTTAGTATCTCTCTGATCCAACAGGATATTCAAAAAGGCCATTGCTGACAAGATAATGCCCATTGATGTCTATGTTGGAGGAATTGAGCACGCAATCCTCCATTTGCTTTACTCTCGATTCATCACCAAGTTCCTGAAGGACCAAGGAATGTTGGACCATGATGAACCATTCAAGGTGCTATTGATCCAAGTATGTGTTGTAAATGATTTGATGAGAATGTTTGGTCAAGCACTAACCAATAGTATCTTTAGGGAATTGTCAAATCACCAACATACAGAGACTCGATAACGGGCAAACCACTTTGGCCCAAGGATGTTGACTTTGACACTAAACCAATCATCAACAAACTCACTGGAAACCCAGTGAACACAACCCTTGAGAAGATGTCCAAATCAAAGTTGAATGGCATTGATCCAAATGTATGTACATAATGTTTGAGTTCTATCGATGACAGAAACCATATTAACTAGTTGGGACAAACCACCAGGATATGATCAACAAATATGGATCCGACACATTGAAGCTATACGTTTTGTTCAAGGCACCACCAGAGAACTCATTGGAGGTATGTTAATGTTCAGCCCTTTCTCTCATTACCATTCACTAACATTAAACCAGTGGGACACTGAAGGAATAGAGGGCTGCAAGAAGTGGCTGATGAGAGTCAAATCACTGGTACAAACATATAATACCGATTATAAGAACAAGTCTATTGACCTCAAACTATCAAATGGCGATGATACAAAGCTATGGAATCCAAAGATGAATTCTCTACGCTACGAAACACACTATACCATCAGCAAAGTCACCGAGTCCATTGAACGATACACCTTCAACACTGCAATATCATTCCTGATGACTCTATCAAACACTATCGGCAAGGTTAACCCAGACAACAGGAACAGTTTAGAGTATTTGGAAGCGCTGAGGGCCCTCGTCATCTTGTTGGCACCATTTGCACCAAACTCATCACAATCATTTTGGCAAGAGTTGATGGAAGGACCTCGTTACAATGGTCAATCATGTGGATCGTCTGACATTGATCAGGTGAACAAACAGGCATGGCCAATTGCATCCCCCACTTGTCTTGGTCTACAACAAAAGACATTGGTCATCCAGTTCAATGGCAAAGTGAAGGCGGTCATTGACGTTTCAGTTGAGGACAAACAATCGATAGAGCTATTGGCTAAGCAACACATGAAGGATAAGCTGACGGGCTTCACCATTGGCAAGACCTTCTTCTCCCCAACCAAAGCTGGTTACTCTATCAACTTTGTAATAACAAAGAACAACTATTAGACCGTCAAAACTAGTTACAGGTTGTACTTTGATTTATTACACACATATATTGGTTGGATTGTTGTTTAGATATCAGTGAGATTGGATGGCTTTGGAAGGAGATAAGGCGTGGCAACGCTGCTGATGCTGCTGCTGCTACTGATTGACTTCCTTCTAAGGTCCCTAGATCTTGGTCCAAAATCAGCGGTGAGTGTAGTAATCTCACCCATTGAGAACCAGTAGAAGCTGTAGGGTTCGAATTCCACTGCTACCTTGCCCTCCATGTCGATCATGTACTGGTGATCAGTCAAGATGTCCACAAGGTAGTGAGACTGTCGGTCGGTTTGAATAGGGGGATGGAGCGTGGATCTCTTGTTGGCACCAGAAGTAGGTGCCACACTGTGCCTTCTACCATAGGTAACGAATCCCTCTCGAAGGTAGAGAAATGCCTTTTGTGGCTGGTCAGAGAGATTGTGAACACAGAGCATCTTGTCAATACCACATATCCTCAAGAAGGCAAATATGTGGCTATTGTTTGTCTGGACGTATGTAAAGGTACCATGTCCAAAGGCTAAATGTTTCCTACGACGATTGATCATTGTACGTATCTTACAGTTGGAAAGTGTGAGCAATGTAGAATGAATGATTCCAAATTAGTACATTACATACAATGTTGTACAGTGAACTTGGATCACGCTGGGCATCATTGACGTTCACTCTTTGATATCCATAGATTGGGTCGTCAAGCACCTTGGAGTAACAATAGTTCTTGGACTCTGAGAAGCCACCATTGGGTGGAGTGTCATTCCATTGCATTGGTGTTCGAACTCCATGACGATCTTCCAACCAGATGTTGTCTCCCATACATATCTCATCACCATAGTAGATGATAGGTGATCCTGGCAGAGTAAACAAGAGGGAGTAGGCCAACTCAATTTTCCTTTGGTCGTTACCAAGCTTGAAATAGATTGGTTTCAATTGATTAGGATTGTATCTACCATATATAACTTGAAATTGTACTTACCAACGGTGCAAGTCTCCTTCTTATACCAAGGTTAATCTTCATTCTTGGTTCTGGGGCATAGAAAGACCACATCTCCTTTCTCTCATCCAGAGTCACCATTTCTAATGTCAAAGTTAGTAACTACCATTAATCATTCATTGAAAGCCAACATTAACTTACCCAAAGTGAGTTCATCATGGTTCCTCAAAAAGGTGACCCATTGACAGGTGGCTGGTATCTCTGGAGTTTGGTCCATGATCTCTTTGAGGCAACTTCCTTCACCTCGTTTGATTGCCATGAATATCCTAGGCATAACCGGGAAATGAAATCCCATGTGGAACTCATCACCAACACCTTCACCAAAGTACTTCCTGACTTCGTTTGGCATTTGACATGCCTCCGCCAACATTATTCTTCCTGGGTAGTTATCATCGACAAACTTCCTCATTGTCTTGAGGAAGATGTGAGTCTCTGGGAGGTTCTCACATGATGTTCCGTCACGCTCAAAGAGGTAGGGAACTGCATCAACTCTGAATCCATCAATACCAATGTCCAACCAAAACTTCATGATGTTGAGCATCTCTTCTTGAACCTTGGGATTGTCAAAGTTCAAGTCTGGCTGTTCTTTAAAGAATCTGTGCCAATAGTATTGACCTGCCACTTCGTCATATGTCTTTGGGTAATCATTAATAAAGGTAATTTCTAATTCCGCGAAAAATGGATAAACATACCCAATTAGAAGGTTCGACATCGAGAAAGATGATTCTAGCCTCTTTGTAGAGAATAGGATCATCGGTCCACACAAAGTAGTCTCTGTAGGGTGAGTTTCTGTCCTTTCTTGCTGCTTGGAACCACTTATGTTGTTCAGAACAGTGGTTTGGAATAAAGTCGGCGATGATCTTCATGTTCCTCTCGTGAACAGCATTGACTAGGATCTTAAAGTCATTCAGTGTTCCATAGTCTGGATGTATATCACAGTAGTCTGCGACATCATATCCATCATCCTACAATTCCAATATAAGTTAGTGATACAACAAACGTAACAAAGAATAGAATCTACAACATATACCTTTAAGGGTGAAGGATATATTGGAAGTAACCAAATACAATCGACACCTAACGAATGTAGATAATCGAGTTTGGAAGTGATTCCAGAGATACCACCGTTACCAGTGCCTTCTACATCACTAAAGGCACGAACGTAGACTTCGTAGAATATGGCCTCCTTGTACCAGAGATTGTTCGACACCGAGTACTCTGACTGATCGTGCTCAGAGTAGTCGATCAGTTCATCAATGGATGACGGCAAGTCAATTGGTTGAGCATAAGGAGATCCAGAAAAACTGGAGTTCAAAATTGATTCTCCTGCTGTATTGTCTGTCATAATGTTTATATTCTTATTATAAATATATATCTTTTAATATAATTAATATATGTTCCTATTATAACAATAATATTTAGAGCAGAGGATAATGTGTGTGTGATTGACATTCAATAATATAAATTGGTTGGTGTTGTTGAACATCCACAAAAATAATAAACGAATAAACAAGCTTATTTATAATAATGGGGGTTGCAATCTTAACCAAAAAAGGAACAAAACCTTGAAAGCGCCAAAAGTATGAGTTATTGTTTGAATTGGTTATTATCTGATCAAATGCTAACATATACACAACAAAGAAAGGATAAAGAGGCACGACTCTACTTGGAGAAGAAGACAAAGGCATTAGAGTGGATTAAGGATTGCTTCGATCGCTCTGACCATCCTCTGACTGTCCAGCAACAGCACACTGATGACCTCATTGACTTGGTGTTTGATGGCACTGTACTCTGCAGACTGATCAACCTGTACTATCCAAACTCAATCAACAAGATCTTCACTCCAAAGGTATCTATCATTTTCATCACACAATGATGAATATTATCATTATTGACATGTACATATCATTCAGAGCAATCAACAATTTTACCAGAGAATAGAGAACATCAACCAATTCATAAAGGAATGCCACCACCTTCGTGTTCCTGTCATCTTTCAACCACTGGATCTCTTTGAGACCAAGAACCCTGCCAGAGTCGTCAACACAATTTATTGTTTGATACAGGTCAGTAGTTCATTGCATCATCAACTATCTATCTCATACTCACTCACTGTTGGACGACCAAATAGATACTGGATGATGGATTGGCAAATAGACGCATGAAGAGGAGGAAGGAGTTCACCATTGAGGAGTTGGCCAGAGCACATATAGAGTTGGAAGTGGAGAATGATTCCACCGGTATACAACTGTCGGAACACTTGGCTGAGAGTCTGCCAGAGAATATTGAATCAATGCCCACCATACAACTACAGGTGTCGTCATCCAACAGCTATGAAAGCAAAACACTGTCCATACAGGACTCGTATCATACAAGGACCACCGTCATCAACACTCCCAAACTCATGCGAACATCAATAACACCATCAACATACTCAACACCTGCTATTAACAACAACAATCATGTCGATAGTCTGCTGTCTAGTCCATTAACTCCCAACTCAACAGAACATGAAGAGATGGCAACCACCACTGCCATCAAGACAGCAGTTATCTCCACATCACCAATCAGCAGGAAATCAACTACACCCTATACCTATTCGCCTTCAATGCAGGCTGCTGACAGAGGCAACAATTATCAATGGTCAACAGACACAAAGGGATGGAATGCTACAACAACAACAACAACAAAGAGGCTTCAACCATCGACATTTAAGATAAACGACATTGCAATGGATGGTGATATCATCTACCATAACAACAACAGTGGCGACAACAACAAAAGTAATCATACACAACTACACAGGTACAATATAGACCAACCGACCAATGGTAGGACATGGCAATCCATAATAGTCTCTCTATTGTTCATTTCTGGAATCGTCACGTGGATGTTCCTTTTTGTTGACAACCATGACACTCTTGCATCTCCGATAGGTGTATAATAGAGAGAAGATTGGTGCCATATTCGCAGCAGCAGCGGTGTGTACAATTGACAAGTATTACTGTAGTAACAATAAAGACTGCTAGCTTAATCACTACACAATAACCTTGACCTCTACTTCCTATCCTCTACCAAGATAACATGATAGCTATTGTTGTTGATGTATGTATAGCGGTTAGTTGTGAATTTCATCAGAGGAATGATGACATGACTTTAAAGCAACCTACCCAAACTGTGTCCTGATTGGTTCGCATACGACTCCTATCGGCATACTAAAGGCTTTCTCAGAGAATGATCCTCTTTAGTAGGTTTGAATGTTAGTCTCTAATCAAAGCTATTCAATCAACATCCCAACAAGATAAAGGATCTACATACGCAAGATCACCTCTTTGCTTCCATCCTAAACTGCCTCCTTGTCTCGCCTTGTCCTCGCTAAACTGCATTGCAACATCAGCGAATGACTTGCCCTCCTGTGTGATAAGGTTGTAGGCCTCCAGTGCCTTTGATTGCTTCTCACATAGAATGTGTCTGACCTTGATTTGTACACAAGGTTTGAGCTCTCCGCCCTTGTCTCCTCCCTTCTTTCCCTTGCCACTCATTATCTGTTTGGTTTATCTGTTTGAAATTGTATAGTCGCAGAGTCAAATGAATAATTTCATTCATCAAAGTGTCAACAACAGAGATAATAGATAATTGTAATAAATATATTTGTTATTATTATTATAAGATTATATCAGTCAGTCACTCTTCCAGTGGATACCTCAATGGTCATTGTCTTTTGGATGGGTGGTGAGCTAATCATTATTGGTGATGTTGCCATGGACGATGGCGTAGTATTACTGGATGACAGTATAAGTGACTCGGAGGATACTGATTTGTTTGCCTTTGTCAACTTCATAGGTGTAGTCGATATTGATGTTGTTGATGTTGTTGTCGTTGTTGTGGATGTTGATGTCATTGTTCTAGGTGATGAACTACTGCTGCCAGTATCTGCTCCTCCACAGAAATTGGGCTTTGGTAGAGGTGATGGTGGACGAGGTATTGATTTGGTCATCTTGTGTACATCATGATATGGAGATGCCTGACTGGTTGGACGCCATTGGTTTCTGGCGGGTGGTGGTGTCTTTGTTCGTGACCATCCATTAGAGGCAAAGGTTGGCCTTAGATAGCTTGGGATGTTGGCATAGTCTTGTTCGGCCATTATAATGTTGCCCGACAAGACAGCATCGAAAGCCTTCTTATGTATCGCAATGCTGTTACGTGGTTTCCTGTTTGATGAGGCTGACGCTGGTCTCCTTGGGAGATCATGAGTATCTTCCTCGTTGTCCTGTGTGTGTTGTATTAGTACTTGAGTATGACAGTGACAAGAAGGAGCAAACTAAAAAACATACATTAGATGTTAGACACTCATTAATACTAGAGGCAGTGACCTTGACTGTATCAATAAGCCGTACAAGGTTGTCGTAGTCTTGATTCTGGAGGTTTGTGTGCTTGAGCAGATCGCTAAATAGTAGTACATATCGAGGTGTTTGTTGAATGGGCAGAATGAGGTAGCTTGGCAGGTAACCAAATGATTCGATCAATGAGGAGAAGTCTTCATTGTCCACCAGTGAAGAGTAGATCTTGAATGCGTTGTTGTAGTTCTTGACATATGGTAGGTAGGTTGTGAATTGTGGAATCTGTTTGCCGATGAGTTACGTGTCGGGAGTCAATGTCTAGTCTGACCATATAGTATATGTATACATACAAACTCCATATATATTGAACCGATCAAACAAGGTGGGGGCTTATCAAACATTGACACTAGCTTAATGTGCAACTGTAGAATGTCCTCGATGTTTGCAAACAGTTGATTGACCTTGTCCACTGTGATTATCTTGCGATAGTAATGCTTAAGCAGTGGTTTCTTGAGCTGTTCAATGAGGAGACTGAGTTTCTTGATGTATGTGTTTTCAAAGTTGATAATCTCTCTGATGATGTACTTTCGATACTTGATCTTCCTGACTGTGTGATGTTTGTGATAGTGAGTCTGTCAGTAAGTAATGGGTGGATAGCCAAGTCCAGCTAACCAGTGTTCATTTGCTTACAAAACTCTGTATGACTTCTCCTGACTAGCCATCCTCTTACAACTCTCTGTATTGTCACTGCAGCTACAACTTGTGATCCTGTATATGGATCCTTCATTCCCATCTAGATTAAAAGATCTATATATATGTATGTATATAAAGTGTAAATGTTAGACAGAGTGATTGTTTTTGTTTGATTCCAATCACACTCACTTGACTGTATCAGTCGCCTCAATCATTTTATTTGAATAATTCAATTTTCAACTGAATTTTAAGTGTGTGCGACACCAGTTTGTTTATTGCTGCTGTTGTTGAATGTTGATGATAGGGTTTAGATTACATAGGTCGAACCTCATCTTATTGAAGGAGATCATAAATTGTCGTTGGTTGTCCGCCGAGTTGCTGTAGTAGAACTCGGATGCAGCAATGTTGAACAACTTGTCATTCGGTTGGATCTTGGATGAGAGTTCCATGGCACTATTAATGAAAGAGTAGATTGTATTAGTTTTGAAGTATGCATAGAGGTGAAGTCGACTTACATTAGTTTGAATGGTGCCAATGGTGATGCGCATAAGAATAAATAGGTGAGTGCCCATTGACATTGCACTGGATTCTGTATCTGGAAAAAGTTCTCCAAACAAATAATGATCCAGTGATTAATCAGTGTCTGATTGGATGGATCTCTCTCCACCAACAATTCAAACACCTTGGAAATGATCTGACACATCAACTTTGGATTGGACTTTCCTTGTTTGAGGAACTCGCCAAGAATGAATGACAATATTTGATCCACAGATGGGTACAAGTCAACAATGACTGTTGGTATCACTCTGTCAAATATGATTATGATCATGTCAGTAAACAATGGAGTAATATTAAATTTGTTGTTGTTGTTACATACTCTGATAATACAAATGTCTCGTAGGAATAGTGTGATACTTGTTTGATCTTATCAAAAAGCATCTTGACCTTCTCCATATTGTTCACCTGAGAGTAGAGCTGTCGCTCCGTGCTATCAATATTGAACATGTCCTCTTGCTCGAGTATTGAGTCTGAGGAGAATGACATTGATTGGGACAGTTCAAATGGTGAACCACCGTTGAAGGCCAGTGCGTTGCTTGATGTGTTTGGTGAGGACATCAAGGGATTCTTTCCGCTGATTGATGGAGTCATCGATGACGAGCCTGTCTCATCACCAGTGTACATGCAAGTGACCATCAGTGCCAGGCCAAGCATCGATCGGATCGGGTTCTCGTGGGGCAGTGACTTCATAGCAAAGTGTGAGATGTACTCTCGTTGGGAATGTGACAGAGAGAATGAGACCAACAGACGATCGAGTCCACGGAATACTCCATACACGATGGGCAATGGTATTGATGGTTGTCCAAGAGTGGTGCAAATGACAACGGCTCTCTTGGTGAAGGAGCTCTCTTCTGACTCGCGACTGTACTGTTCGATCAAAAGGAACATTGTGGAAAGCACACGTAGGGTCAATGGGATGGGTGGGAAGGGCGATGTCGACAGACGTGACGGTATCCACCTGAACAAGAACTGCAAGAGAGAACCTTGGATGTATCTGTGGACCTTACCCTCCAACAGGTAGAGGATGCCATCGAGGGCGGCCTGTTGTAGTGAGATGTTGTGATGCTCCAATGCCTGCTTCAGCATTTCAAACACCTGTGCCTGGTGTGCTGGGGATTCAACAGTGTCTGGTTGATATGTAACTGTGATAGCCTTGCAGATGCCCAGTATGATGTGCTGCTTGATGAGGAAATCATCATTGTCCTCTGCGGCATAGATCGTACCAAACACTCTGTACATCCACATGTACTGATCTCTGTTGAAGATATCCGACAGAAGAATGACCGAGTTGAGTATCTCTTTGCGCAGTAGTGGTGGACACATAGTGTTGATGAGGAATGATTCGAATGTCTGCAGTGCCTTCTCGATGATTGGTGTAAAGTTGATACCAATGTGTACTGGTGGACGGAATTGCTTCAGGTCCGCCAATGATATCTGACCAGAGGTTATCTGTCCATTGGTAAAGGCTCGTTCAATATTGAAGTGGTAGCTTGACATGTCAGCCGATGAGTTGCCATCATTGACCGCAGAAAGGTTGCTGTACTCTGATGCTCCTCCCAGAGGCAGTTCTGATTGTGGCAATGCACCGTATATGATAGAGAGAAGTCGGTTGACCTTCTTTCCACTGTGGGTACGTAAGAAGACCAGGTCCTTCTCTCGAGGTACATGGTTGTAGAGAGGATGTGGTATACCAGATGTTTCCAGTAGGTTGGTTGATGCATTGATGTCACTGATCTCAAAGCAGGCCTTGAGTATCATCAGTGTGATGCCCTTGAGAGCCAAGCATTTGGACTCCTCAGTGATCTCGTCTGAGCCCATCTCTGCGTCTCCCAGTGGTGCAAAGAAGATGGGCTCCAATATTTGCCAGATCCTGTTGAACTGGAAGTCATCGGGCAGACCAACAAAGTTGATGTAGCGAACAAATCCTTCCAGGTTCTGCTCTGGGGATAGTGTACTGGCAAAGAGTGGACAGTTGGGGATGATGCCACCTCCGTACTCATCCTCTGTGATGGTGTTTGTCAGTGCTGGATAGATAAAGTCAAAGGCTTTGGAGCTAAGCGGCACGATGGAGCGAATGAATGAATCAAAGATCAGTTGACCAATGTGTGATCCCTCCATTGGCTTGCAACTGTTGCGATTGTAGAGCAGTGACACGAGGAACTTGACCATCTCGTTTGATTGAGTGAGCGATATCTGTGTAGGGTCCTGACTGTAGTTCTCTTCAAGTTCGCGCTGTCCAGATATGTAGCCAAAGTGAGGACGAATGACGAGACAGTAGAACTTATACAAGCAGAGCAGTAGGGAGCACCATGAAAAGTCGTCAGTGATCGTAAGAATAGATGCAGGACTCTTATGTATTATGGATCTCGACAGCTCCAGTACGAGTTTAAAGTCGTAGGGGTTGATGACTTCGGCACGCCACCTTCTAAAGCTCTCAACGAATGCCCATATCGATATCTTGAGTAGCTGTGCCTCGTTGAAGCCTGATGCACCATATTTGTTGATGTATGATGAGAGACATCTTGTTGTCTCACGCAACTCCTCCCACACACTGTCAGTGAGCAGTGGAGGACCACTGCGCAGAGGATCACTGCCCACCTCTCCCAACGAGGAGGACAGCAGTGACTCAATCTTTGCCTCTAGGTGTGACTGAATTGCATGCTCAAAGTTGATCGAGTAGGGTGATGCAATGAAGGTTGGAATCAACGAAGTGTCCAGCTTGGTTGATGATAAAAGCTCCAAGACAGCATCTCGGTCCACCTGAGACAGTATCCAGAGCTTGGTAAAGGACTGATGACTGGACGTATGGTACTGAGACTTGAGAAGGTCGATCAGGTCTGAGTAGGCAATGGTCTTGAGCTTTCTAAACTCGTCTGGTGTTGAAGTGCTCTGTGGTTCCAAGATTGGCTTTTGAAGCTTGGAGATATTGTCCACTGCTGGTGACACTGATGCAGTTGTTTGTTGCGGATTGCTCGTGGACAGGTTCTTGATCAACTTTAGAAAGGTTGATTGGATGGAGAGGTTCGTGGTTGACGTATAAAAGTTGGACATGAACAGTGAATAGAGGTGTTGGATGATGGACAGACCGTCGGCAGGGCTCTTGGTGTTGTCAATGAGTCTGTTGATTGAGAGATTGAGGATGCGCTCGCCTGCGATCTGTAAAGAGATGTCATCCGTTTGCAAAAAGTGAATGATCAACATCTGAACGGTCTCACGCGTGATGGGCAGGTAGGACAGTAGTCTCAACAACTTCTGTTTGCGACGCAGATCCAATGAGTGCGTCTTGGTGAAGATCTTCTTTAGATGCTCCGTCAGGATACTGGCCAAGGTTGGATCATCCTTGACAGTGTCGATCAGTTTCTTGACGATTGGTTCGTTGATGAGCAGCACCATCTTGTCCATGAAGGACTCGGTAAACACTTGGGGTGTCACAGAGTTGTTGATGATCAGTGACTGGCAGAACAACAGGAATATGACGTGGTGTGTCAAGAAGTGTTCACATCCAATGATTTGCCACTTGGTTGCGAGAGCATATCCACGGAAGTCCATGTGCTCACGGCCGAGCAGCATGAGGAATCGTACTGCGTGTATAGACACTGAGGTTCCACCGTAGGTCAATAGTGGATGCACGACTTCATGTACAATGGCAGGGTCAACGCATGTCTTGAAGCTCTGAAGGAAGAGACTGGGCTTGGGATTGCTAGGCAAAAGACTGCGATTGAAGAATAGACCAGTATAGTAGAGCATGTGATTGATCAGCTCTGAGAACAGTGGGTCTGTGGGCTTGAACGTGGAGAACAAGTTGACGGCATTCCTCAACAACTTGAATATAATCTGAGAGATGATGTTGGCTGCTGGCGAGGCGTTGTGTTTGTTGTCGTGGTAGCCCAGATAGAGTGACTGACGTGATGATGATATCCTAGTCTCCTCTTGTACCTTGAGTCCAGTTCGAAGTAATATCACAAGTGTAGGTAGCCATCGAAGGTCATACTCTTCAAGCAGACGTTCCTTGAGCAATAGAATACGTTTGCTCTTCAATGGATCATTCTTGGTGGACAGTGGGGAGTTGACAAACTCTGGTGAAACTGATAGGAGGGCGTCTGCCCAGCGGGATGCGGTCACTGAGCTTGGATGGAGACGGTCGATCAGAGAGTACAATCTGTAGACATCGCGTATCGATGAGATGACAAAGTATGGTGATTCGCTAAGTGCCAGACCATTGAATAGTTTGGGCACGATGAGATTGGAGTATTTGCTATACAGTGTGTTGTTGTTTCGAACAGTGTTGATGATGGTGATGGCAACCTCGACCGATTGAGTGTGGTGCAGGTTGGCGATCAAGAACTGCAGGAAGCCATCACGGAGCTCTTGGTCGGGGTACTTGTCCGTGGGATCGTAAAGGTACTTGACGAATGAGTGGCAACTGCCCAGTATTGTGGCAGTAGGGAACGAGAGTTGAGGCCTTGCTCCAGTGTTTGGATCGACTTCATAGAGCAGACGTTTGATCTCCTCAACTGGGAATACATCGGGATACATCCTGCGGGTCAGGAACATTGAGCCAACCAAGTCGTAGAGATGGGGAAGTTGCTGAGCAGGCATTGACAGGAGACATTGTGTCTCTTTCAGTTCATCCAAAAGGAAGAGTGGCAACTTCTGCTCTCGGTCGAATTGTGACAGATCCAATCCAAACTTTGACAACTTTGAGAACATTGATATGAGTGCTCTCTTCAACTCGAGATCGTGTGTGTTCTGGTACTCAATGATGCAACTCGTGATCAGTGGTTCGAATTGCTTAAAGATGGTCCTCTTCTCCTCGGATGACGTGATGCGGTTGACCTCTTGATTGCTGTAGCTGTAGTTGATAGACTGTGATGATGCTGGATCCATATACTCGTAGAACTGGTTGACAACAGGAGAGCCAAGTGTGAGGAACGACGAAAACACAGACTTGGTATTGGAGAACAATGCATCATGTGTGTTGTCAGATGCTGGTGTCATCTCTACAGAGCGTGGTTCATATGTTGGTGAGTTGTTGTTGTTGTTGTTGGTGCTTAGATTATCCTTTGACAATGATCGGTTTGGTTGAAGTGATAGATTGCTCATAGAGACAAGTGGTGTTGGCTTGAAGGTGACTAGGAACAACTCTGTCACACACTTTGTAACAGCCAGTGGTTCTTGTTCGAAATGAGAGGTAAGATATCCAAGGATCTCTTCTGTGTAGGGGAGTATTGACTTGCCAGAGCACTTGAGAATGACTGCTAGTGCGTCAAATGCCGATGATCGCACCTGGTTGAACTTGTCGGCACCAAATATCGTTATTGAATTCTGTCGAACGGCAAGTAGTTTGGCATACACCTTGATGTAGTGTATGCTGTGCGTAAAGGCTCCAAGGTGTGCAGGTGCCTTGACGAGGGGACTGTTGACCAGAGATCCACTGCTGCCCGCCGCTACCAATGGTTTGACCTCCTTGAGAGGTGGCGTAGGACGGAACTGAACAATGTTGGACATGATGTTTATCATTCTGCAGATGTGTCGCAGTACATTCTGGCAGTATGCTCCAAGGACGTTCTCAGCACCTCGGCTCAGGTAGGCCAGAATATCAATAATGTCAATGTGAAGGTCAAAGTCTGTGGCCATCCAAGTGATGATTCCCACTCTGTCCAGTGCCAACGGAAGGATGTCACCAACAAAGGAGAGCATCTGGTTGGGCAATGTGGACAACAGTGTTCGGCATGATTGTGGTGTGAAGAGAGGGAACGAGTACTGTTGGCAGATGAGTTTGAGTGCATGATAACATCCTCTGATCATATCGTCCGGATGTGGATTGGAGAGTCTACCACAGATCAATCCAATAACATGTGAGAGATTAGAAAGAATCTTGGATTTCTTGGTGACCTATATAATGTTTATGAATATTGTTAGTAAGTGTTTTAAAGGTCTCTATTGGTACAGGTACATACCATATTCTCATAACCTGGAACATCAAATGTCTCTCTGACCTTTGATGATATTCCTTTCATTGTTCTCTTGTCGAGTGGTGCAGTGAATACCAACTTTGGTATTATATTGACCAAGGCAATGCCAGCAGAGTTCCTCACTCTAAAGTCATTGTCTCCAAGCTGTTCAATGAGGAAGTCCAATACCTTTGGCTGGATGGCGATGGCGATTGATCCTCCAGACTCTGGCTCCTTGTCCGCAGGTGACGATGTGCAGAGTACATGTGCCTTCTGTTGAATGTTCTGCTCAAGATACTCGATGATCGTGTAGTCAATCTTTGATAGTGTATCTAGGATCTCGAGCTTCACCAGCCAATAGGTGGATGAACTGATACACAAGAGATGTCGAAGTGCCACCAGAGCCCAGTCACTGTGCTTACTCAACGACAGCGTGGGAAGACACTCTCCAACACCAGTACATGAGAGCTTTGCTGTGATTGAAGATGAGTCGAGAAGAGCGCGAAGTAGATGAGCCATGAGGTACGGGATACAAAGATGTGATTGCAGTAGTGTTGTGTTGATGGGGTGGTAGACGTTGTTGCTGGTGATGTGGTCGGCCTCTAGGAAGCCACGGATCAGACATCCGATGAGCAATGCTGAAGATCCACGCAGGAGGGGGTCGGGATCGCTAAGATGTTGAAGATATTCCTCCTTTGGAATCGAGTCCAATGTGAAGCTGCCCACTGATTGAGTTGAGGTGGACAGACCCAGTGAACGCTCACCCTTCTCTCCTGCTGCTGAAATGTCTGCAAACAACTTGAATGAAATCTCCGATACACTCAGGTTGTCAAAGAGCTGTTGGGCTAGGACTGGTTCCTCTTGGTCGGCAAAGAACTCAGAGTAGAAGGTGCGAGGGAAAAACTTGACAGATTGTGCCAAACAATTAATGACAACGGCCTTTAGACTGACACGAATGGTGGACTGTGGAGAGAAGGCCATCAAGCGAAGCTGGTGTACAGTCTGCTGTACAAGGGGCTTGGGCCACACATAGTCATACTTTCCAAATGTAACCAGCAGCTGTTGTAGCAACTCTAGACTGGCACCAACTACATTGTGATCGTACGACTCATTGTCGATGGACTTGAGAAGCTTCAGAATGAACTGTAGGAAGAACTGTAGTCTGTTGGAGAAGATATCAGTGATTGGCACTGTATTGTTTGGTGTTGTGGAACCTGATGATTGATGTCTTTCAACTGGATCTAAATGTAATAGTGGGTGTTAGTTATGGGTGTAGGAATGATGTATGATCAATCAGTTGTATGAACACACATACCATGACTAGTAGAAGACTCTTCAGATAGCTTTACCAACTGGAGATAGGTAAAGAGTACACCAAGCATCTTGTTGGAGGGATGGTCGGAAGCTACTGTGTTGCTCGGCGTGGTGAATGTGTGTAGTGTGTCGATCACCTGCTCAAAGATTGGACGTGGATAGTGGCGACAGATAGATACAATGCAGAATGACGAAGCTCTACGCACTGCAGCAGATCCGTGTGCTAGATTGCGCAAAAAGACTTCGATAACCTGTGTCATCTCGCTGTCCTTTAGGTAGGTGATCAATACACGGGCAATCGACTCCATGGACTGTGCTATCGACTCTTGCAGGGCCTCATCGTTGGTCATTGAGAGAAGGTGATTGATGGGTCCAATCAATGAGGTGATGTACTTCCTGCTCTTGGACGGACGGATAAAGCTGCACACCTCTCCAAACTTTGTAAGTGCGATACGTTGTGACTTTAAAGGGAATGGTTTGCTAAGGATGGCATATGCCGTTGACAGTACACTGCTACTTGATGTTGATGATGATGATGATGAGCTTGTTGTAGATGTATGCTGTTGTTTGTCTGTCGATGTAGTGGTAGTCATAGGATCACCACTTGAGCTCTCCTTTGATTTGCGATCCATTGGACGTCCCTTTAATACTCTAAACAACTCATACAATATCCTCTCATGGTATGTGTATATTAATATCTAGTGTTGAAGGAGTAGATGATGATGATGATTAGTACGTGAAGGTCGGTGTATACACTCACTCACTTGCTCATTGACTCGCTCACTAACCTTTATAGTTCTATTTAAACTCTCTTCAGCGACAGAGTAGACGTTGAGATCTTTATCACCATGTGCTCGTAGCAACAATGAGAGCGTTATCGATAGGAATCTAGGAAAGTCAGAGTTATTCCTGATGGTTGGTGAGCATATCTGCTCGGCAATCGTACGACATGCATCTATCTTCTCCTTTCGAAGGTTCTGATCGTCAGTGTCGATTGGTGATGTCGACAATACATCTAGAGCACGGAGAAGGTCCATCTTCTTCCTATCTCTATTTGTATTTCTGTTTAGATATGTATGTGGGTATTGATTGTTAATGAGTGATGATCATCACCTCTTCGTCATTCATATGATTGTTTTTTTTTTTGAATTTGACCCAGGTCCAAGTCATTTAGACCTAGTCATTCTGCTTAGTACCACAATCAACATGTATATTATAAGAACACTTATAAGACCATACAACAATGGTCACCAAACATGGTCCATGACAAAACGTCTATGCCGACAGTACTCCACCATCAGCAGTACAGTAACGGAAAACAGCGGCGACGCAACCCATCAACAACACTATGATGTGGTGATAGTAGGAGGTGGTCTGGTGGGCACAACAATGGCATGCTCTTTGGGTGCCACACCAACAACCCAACACCTAAAGGTGTGTCTCATAGAATCACAAGCAGTCAAGCCATTGCACCCACTACAGAGCACACCAGACTTGAGAACTCTGTCGTTCAACAATACATCGGTGGCACTGTTCGATGCGGTTGGTGCATGGTCGCTCATCAAGGACACCAAGAGAACCGCTGCCTTTGACCAGGTCAGAGTGTGGGATGCCAGTGGCGGTGGTGGCATTCACTTTGCAAACAATGGTGAGCCAATGGGTCACATCTTGGAGAACAACATCGTCACGGCTGCACTGTTTGAGACATCCAAACAGTATTCAAATGTAACACTGCGATCACCAGTCACTGTAAAGAACGTTGATATGTCTGGTGGAGAGGTGTCTGACAATCCAACAACGACCATCACACTCTCTGATGGTAGTCAAATTACAACCGATCTAATAGTATGTAATGTTCAAACAAACTTTGATAGTACCTATAACTAATAACTTATTTAGATTGCAGCAGATGGTGGCAATTCAATCATCAAGAAACAACTCAATATGTCCAGTGTTGGTAGGAACTACAATCAAAAGGCTGTTGTTTGCACACTAAAGATAGCATCAAACTATCAATCAAATACACTCTTCCAACGTTTCCTTCCAACTGGTCCAATCGCACTTTTACCCGTTAGTAGTGTTTATGATACAATATTGTATCTCGGAACTTGTTTTATTAATACCCTTCCTATCATAGCTTGCAGATGGTTATGCATCAATCATATGGTCAACCAACACTCTACATGCCAACTATTTGCTGGAGCTGGACGATGAAAGCTTCATGACACAACTCAAACATGCTTGGTTCTCTGCAGCGAGCACCAGCAATAACAGTGCAATTGAACTGTTGCACAATCTATTCAGCACCAATCCAAATCGAATGTCTGGCAATGAACTGTTGTTGCCTCCCATTGAGAGTGTTGCCTCGAAGCGAGCTGCCTTCCCCCTGCGACTGGACCACACTCAATCATATGTACAGCAGGGCCTCTGTCTAATTGGAGACGCTGCACACGTTGTTCATCCACTGGCGGGCCAAGGCGTAAACCTTGGACTGGCCGATGTGATTGCACTAACCAAATCCCTTGGAGAGGGTGTGGCATCAGGCTACTCTGTTGGAAATCGAGTGTTGTTGGACAGGTACCAGGAGGAACGACAGTTTGAGAACATCAAGATGATGGCCAGCATCGACACACTTTTCAACTTGTTCACTCATTCCTCACTGCCAATTATGGCCATCAGGAATGTTGGCATGTCCATCTTGGATACACTCACACCTCTAAAGGTATGTAGTAGGAGATGGTCAACAGACTATTTCACTCGAATAATCATTCACTAACTAGTGTCATCCCTCCATAGAATGCCATAATGTCAATTTCCAAAGGCAACAAGGAAGTTCTGAGAGGTGTTGGAAAGCAAAACTAGTGTGTTTGAATTTGGCGCCAAAATAAACAGTGTGATCAACAACCTACCCACGAACCAGAGTGACACAGCAATATAATCTAATACAATCATTGATAAACAAAGATAATAATATATATATAGTAATGATGAGTAGATCCAAGAAAACGCCAATCAGTGTAATAGCACTGCTTCCTGCCCCTTCACGGTCAACCATCCAGTATCATCCATTCAAAACATCATACGTGTTGGCAACATGTCTAGAATCAAATCAGATCATTCTCTACAACACTGCTGACAACAGTCAACAACAACAACAACATCAAAAGAAGGAGAATAATGGAAATAAGTTTTCACATCACAATGAACATATTACCTCTTGTTGCATATCTCCAAAGGGTGATTGTGTTGCCAGTGCATCACTTGACAAGACAGTGGTCCAGTTCTCTTTGAGATTCAACTCAACATCGACCTCCAGCAATAGTATCAAGAAGACTCTATTGACATACAACAGTGGAAATGCGTCAGCACTGGCCTTCAACTCTACTGGATCATCATTGGCTGCAGGATCAATGTAACTATCTATACATTGCCAAAGACAACAACATACACTAACCAACTAACTGTCACACACAAAAACATATTAGAGATGTCATTAAACAGGTGAATATGGTGGACAATGCTCAAGTGATCACATTCAAAGCACACGATGGTCAAGTACAGTCCATTGCGTACTCTCCCAATGGAAAGTACATGGCCACCATTGGTGCAGAGGATAATACACTAAAGTTGTGGTCTACCGACAAGCTATCATCTGATGAGGCCATCTTTGAAAGAGAGGTGACGTATGTATATCTCAGTGTGTGTGATATACAAGAGAGAGATGGTCACTAACATTAATGATACTGTTACCAATCAATCACCAAGTGCCAACTGTCAAATGAGCTGGAAGCCAGACAGCTCCCATCTGGCAATATCATCCACCAATAGTGTCATTTGTCTGTCAGCCACTGCCAATTGGGATCTCGTATCATCATTTGAGGATGATGGTCACACCAGGGAGGTGACCGCTCTGGCCTGGTGTCCAAACGGAATCTACTTGGTGTCTGTTGCTCAAGACAAGAACCTACTGGTTTGGAACACCAACACTCTTCAACAGGTCGCCCAGTATAGGCATGACTGTACCATCAGTAGCATTGCTTGGAAGCCAGATGGAAACTGTCTCTCATTCGTAACTATCAAACCTCTATGTATATGTTAACATTTGACTAGCATCACTGACCAATACACTCATCTTTTATCCAACAAACAGATTGATACTAAAGGACAGTTGGGTACCTATTGGAATGTTATCCCATCTACATTGGTATCACCTCTAGACCAAGCGGCAATAGATCGTTCAAAGGAACTCATGGAGCTTTTCGACGATGATGAAGACATCGACATGAAGGTACAATCCAACACACCAATGTCCAGACTTAGAAAACCCATAATGAATGACACTGTGATGTCACCCAAAGGCGACTCTGATGAGAATGATTATGAGGCGGTGGACGAGGACGAGGAGGATGAGGAGGAAGAGGAACATGATTATGAATCGGAACTGGAAGAGATCAAGTTTGTTGGTGGTAGTGGAAAGAAGACCTCAAGATCTATACAGTCAAACATCAATACCACCGCCATCACCACCACACTGTCATCATTCCAACCTGGATCAACGAGTCATCTGACAAAGAGACGATACTTTATGGCCTACAACATGATTGGAATGATTATCAAACGAGAAGAGGATGACACAAACAAGGCTGGCTCAATTGAAATTGAGTTCAGCGAGACTTCCTTCCACAGAAAGATCACGATGCCCGACAACAGTCACTTTGACCTAGCCTCCCTAGGTCGCAAGGGTGCTATATTTGCATCATCCACCGAGTCCACTTTATGTTTCAAACCATTCGACTCACTGGGCGGTATTGGCAACGAATGGACGCTACACAGTGAGGGTGATCCAATCGTGGGTGTAGCCATTGGCGAGCGATTCATCACGTCGTGCTCAAAGAGTAGAATACTACGAGTGTTCACACTTGGTGGCATCCAGTCTGCTATACTCTCTATCGATGGAGACCTTGTCACGATGGCAATCAATGGCAATGATCAACTGGCCATTGTATACTCCAGCAACAATGGACTGATTCTCAACTACATCGACTTGAACAATGGAAAGCAATTGTATCAAGGTTGTGTTCCAGTGTCGCCTCAGTCCGAGCTTAAATGGCTCGGCTTCTCTGACAGTTCAAATCAACTGACAACCTATGACTCCAACGGAATGATCAGGATATTGGCCCATGCCTGGCCAAATGCAGTGTGTGCATTACAGTGGATGCCACTTATGGTAATGAAATCGAAGCGATCATCCTCTCATTGGATCGTTGGATTGAACGATAGCCATGTATATTGTATCATTTGCCAGGTAATATTGAACATCTCACCTCCATTGCAACAGCACACACTAACCAAATCACCTACTTCCGATCACCTACTTTTAAAGGACTATCCCCTGACGATTCCAAGGCCTACTCTATCGACCATACCGATCAATCATCCATTGCTCCCCACTCCAGAGGTCACTAGCCACCTTGAGGAAACGTATGTATAAATACACAATGTTATGTTTTGTTCACTCACACATATGACTAAAATCATGATCCAAACACATATAGATTATACAAGAATAGACAGTCATACAATAGGTTTAGCCACAGTAATAGATCAACTGTGGAGGATCTTGTTCTGAAGGAGCAAGCGGCATATGATTCTGACGTCCTACGTCTCTTTGGTGTAAGTTTTATGGTGTTGTGAATGAATATCTGTCGGACTTGTCACCAACCAAACTTCTCCCCCCTCATATACTTAGGCCATTATCAAGTCTGGCAAGTCTGGTACACCACCACAGTCTCAGAGGTGCTTTGAGCTGTGCCAGATGCTCAAGCTTGAAAAATCACTCAACATTGCATTCAGGGTGGCCAATGATCACAAAGCCTCAGACATTGCCTCCAGGATCAACACTTTGGTTGACAAGTTCCAGGAAGAGCGAACATCACAATCCCAGCGTCACTCTCAAGCGACATTGGCAGTATCTCAGTCACCATCGCCAGACACTACTGTTAGGCAGGTCTTAGACTCGAGTAGTAAGGAGAACGAACATGTTGTCATTTCTCCAGCATCCAAGACAACAAAGAAGGACACACCAGTGTCAGCCTCCAAGAAGGAGACCAAAGAGACACGACCAACCGCCTCCACATTGGTTCAACAACAAATTTTGTTCAACAAGGCGTCCAGTCCATCAAAGACAACATCAGCCACGGTCAAGTCCTCTACCTTGCCATTCCCTAAACTGAATGTGACCGCCAAGAAGACAGAGAGTACCTTATTGTCTGGAAACAAGAAGCGCAAGGAGACACCAGAAGACAACAACAGCAATCCATTCAAATTAATGAAGAAGACCTAAGATGCTGACAGTATAATGAAGTTCCATCTTTTTTTCAAACCAGATATTTTGTTGATTGATTTAATAATTATTAAATTAAATAATTTTGATCATAACACCCCCACCAAAAAAGAAATCAAGACGACAAGTCCCCCTCAGCCCCAACGATTAAACTCACACTACCTCATCCCTCTCAGTAGACATTCGATCAGTTCTCTCTTTTACGTCTATCTATCTACCTACTACTAAAGCCGAATCAACCAACACTGTTGATTTCAATAGCAATTTGGATACATTATCTCTATCTATTCTAATATAAATATATAATTGTTCGACCAACACTAGCTTGATTGTTTAATATAGCAATTCATTGTATTTGGTTCATTTACACATAATATATTTAATTTTAATACACATTATCCATATACCTATTACCTTATAGAACTATTGCTACCTTCATTTTAATCATCACCCAACAACAAATTAACTACAAAAATGGTCCAAATTCAAACCAACTACCAATCCAAACCAGTCGAGATCAACGTGTCTGCCGAGAAGTTGATTCAGTTCCTTCTGGACGTGTCCTCATGCGCCAAGTGCTACCCATTCGTTGATGTCGTTGAGAAGGTCTCTGACAATACCTTTAGATGGACCATGCAGGAGCGTAAGGTCGGCAGCATCCAGATGAAGGCCACCCATGTCACAAAGTACACCCGTAATGCCAACACCATCACCTGGGAGAACATGCCCGGCGGAAACATGTCCTCTGTTGGAAAGTTCATCATTTCCTCTGTCAATGCCAACAAGTCCACACTGACCGTTGACTCGATCGTCGAGACCGACATTGAAATCCCCAAGCTTTTGGTCGGCTTTGCCAAGACCATGGGTCAGCGCGAGATGGCCCAGTCATGGGATGCCTACGTACTGAGCATCAAGAAGACAGTCGAGTCGGGCAAGGTCACCAAGGTTGCCCCAGTCGAGGACGTCGTCGTCAAGGACCAGAAGTTTGAGAAGGTCCGTCTCCAGGAGAACCTGAGAACCGAGAACTACAACACAATGGTCTCTGACTACTATGATATTGTGACCGAGACCTACCAAAGTGGCTGGGGCAACCATTTCCACTTTGCGCCATTCAAGACCAGCACCGAATCCCTCGAGACTGCCGTCACCCGTCTGGAGCACGAGGTCGCCGACTCTGCTCGCATCACCAAGGACAGCTTCGTGTTGGACGTTGGTTGTGGTGTAGGTGGACCCACTTTGGAGATCTGCAAGTACACTGGCTGTCGTATCCGTGGTCTCAACATCAACAAGAAGCAAGTCGGCATTGCCACTGAACGTGCCCGCCAAATGGGTCTCTCTGATCGTGCCGGTTTCGACCATGGTGACGCCATGAAGATGCCCTACGCTGACAACACCTTTGATGTGGTTACCTTCTTCGAGTCCACTTGTCACATGCCAGACAAGCAGGTCTTCCTCAAGGAGTGTTTCCGTGTGTTGAAGCCAGGCGGACGTCTTTCTGGTTCCGAGTGGCTGCAGTGTGAGAAGCCATCCGAGAAGGATATCATCCAGTTCATCGAGCCAATCTGTGCCCACCACTCTGTTCCACACATGGGCTCATTGAACTCCTACCGTTCAATGATGGAGAAGTCTGGCTTCTACGTCCACATCGCCATGGACCTGACCCAATCTGGTGACATCCTCCGTAACTGGGAGATTCTGGACAACAAGACAATCAACACCTTCAAGGCCTTGCCAAAGGGTTCCGTCGACCCTACCATCGAGATGATGATTTCTGGTGCCATTGCTCTCTCTGAGGGTGCACGCTTTGGTGCATTCGTCTTGGGTCGTTTCTTGGCTTCCAAGGACCTTCCAAGAGCCAAACTCTAAAGAGTGGTTTATCTGTTTAACTAATAAATAACCAAGTGGATGGTTGTTAGTACTGAATTGTCAGTTGTAGTGGACATTAACTTTGACCTGTGATCATTAACCTCCTCTTGACATTTATTTGATATACTCTTTGATAGTTTGTCTCAGTCCATTCAAAGAGCTGTGATCAGGTTCGCCAAGCTGAACTACTACCTCAAAGTGGGCACCAGTAAGATCTTCAAAGACGCGAACGTCTTGGCACTTCCAATGTTCGAGTAGACGCTTTGCAAAGTTATGTGATTGAATAGAGTTGACCCATTCATCAGTGGGGGCGTGCACAAGCATCCAAGCAGTAGAGGTAACAAGAGAGTTGTCTTGGTCGGTGCAAGCGATGATCTGCTGTGGTGACTCCCATTGTGTTCTGTCATCAGTGTTGTAGACAAACTGGATGTTCTCGAGATAGGATGGGAAGTCTTTCTCCAACTGAACATTGTCAAAGATACCTTGAATGCCAATGACACGAGTGATTTTGAATGGAGGCAAAGGGTCGTTGGTGTTCGCATGCAAGTAGTGTTGCTGTTGCAGCGTGATCATCGAGACCATATGAGCACCGCAGCTGTGACCCATGAGATTAATGTTGTTGATATCATATCTGTAGTCTTGGTGGTTGGTGATCAACCAGCGGATGGCAGCAGACAGGTCGTTGTTGTGCGATGGATAGTGGACTGGTGTCTTGTGAGCTTTCTTACTGAGACGATAGTTGACGATGGCCACCATAAGACCCTGTGACGCCCAGAAGCGGCCTAGTGATGTGTACTCAGACTTATCTCTGTCCATCCAAAATCCACCGTGAACAAAGACGAGAAGAGGGAATCTGTGCTTTGAGTCAACAGAATCGAGAGAGGGCTCGTACAGGTCCATCTTCAAGGAGCCAACACTCTTTGAGTAGTTGATGTCGTAGTATATAGCTGTTTTATCCATTTGATTGTAATATCTGTTGAGAAAGAATAAAATGAAAGTGGAGTGCGACGATCGTAGTTGATGCCACAATGTGAGTGTATCCTGGTTGTTGTTGAATGTGTTGCTAAAGAATAGTTTCAGCAGTGATGTACAATATATCTATCAAATTCACCTTGATCATGTGTTGCAAACCTATTTAATTTTTCTGTTGGATAACAGAGATTAGGGCGCAATGACGTTGACGATCGTGGAGACCCTGGTCCTTCAAGGGCTGGTGGAATCATCTCATCCTCGCCACCAGACGGCTTCAATGCATGAGACCTTTGCCGTACACAGAGAGAGGCTGAACAATCACAAAGTGCAATCGCTGATGCAGACAGAAATGACACACGCATCTACATTCTTCTGTTTGCTGCGAGAGCTATCGATGGTCTGCTGGCAATGGTTCCGCTTCGTCATTGTACAAATAATTGATACAAAGAGTAAGTTTGAACACACAATTTAATATTAAAACACATATTAAATTGTGTGTTCAAACTTGCAAGTTTTGTCTCATGTAGTTTAGAGTGAATGAAAAAGACAAGTTCGAACTCCGATTAGTCAACCACTTATATTTATATTTACATATAAACATACATGTACACGGAGTTTAGACGAGTGCAGGAAGTGGAAGAGGCGGCAGCCTCGGGCCAGATCAGCTTTATTGACCACACCTATCGAACGTCGCCACAGTATATAGAAGAGACTGCCTCCTTTTGGGCGGCTGGAGCTGGCCAGATGGAGGTAATCAAGTACCTCCACGGGATCGATCACATTGACGACACCCCGCTCTTTAGCGAAGGCACAATGTTTCACGCAGCACTCGGTGGCCATATGGAGGTGTTGCTCTTCCTGCACAATTGTCGAACGGAAGGATGCACCTCCAACACCATGGACCACGCAGCAAAGATGGGTCATCTGGACATCGTGCAGTTCCTTCACGCGAATCGCACAGAGGGGTGTACAGACGACGCCTTGGTCTTTGCGGCGCGGAGCTGCCATCTTGACATTGTCAAATTCCTCTATGACAATCGAAGCGAAGGTTGTGTTTGGCGAGCATATGCCTATGCGTGTGATAGCTCTGACAATCGTGATGTCTGCGAATATCTCTCTGAACTTCCATGTCGAGAGCATTGTCCTCATTGCCACAACAGCCATGACATGGAGCTCTTCTATCAGTTCGTAGATGAGATGCACCGACTAGATCATCTACCGGATTAAGTTAACTCTCTATTGTCATCATAAAGGGACGGACAACCAGATATTCCTATTCAAACTGGACATGAATGTTGGAGGCAGTCCAACAACAGTAACAGCAACAACAGCTGTCAGTCATCTAGTCAGCCAATAAACAGTCGACTGCCTGACAGGCATGAATGGCCATGCGTCAACATAGTCAACGTGTCATGTCTTGATTGTTGGTGGCAGTTGTAGTCAATGTTGTGGAGTTATTGATGCACGCTTCGTTGGGGATGTTTGGCGTTGACTGTCTCCGAAGCCATGGCACGTGCTATCACACACTCATATCCCTGCGCGACTGAAAGATGATGTTCAACTTTGCAAGTTTTGTCTCATGTAGTTTAGAGTGAATATAAAAAGTGATTTATTTGTTTGTTTGGCACACAGTTTTAATGTGTTTGTTGGAACAAGTGTGTGAGCCACTTCGTTACATGCATTGACAAAGAAGAGTCGACAACAACGACTACTACACAAACAAAGAAGAATCAGCTTGATAAACGTTTATCCGGATTTTATCAACTTGTTGCTCGGAGCTTTGATTATTAATTAATAATTATGTTTTTGGTTGACCAAATGAAGAACTTGTAGTGCTGGCCTTCATCTCCACATTGTTTATCTCGTGCCTTCTTAATCTGAAGAACCTGGATTTCTATTGTCGCCAACTTGTGCAGATAGAATGGCAAGGTGCATTCTGGGTGTCCAAACGGAGTGATTGCAAGTTTGAGAGTCATCGACTCGAGTCTTGTCCCATGGAAGATGCCATCGACAAAGGCCACTGCCCTTTCAAAATGATCTTGTCCATCAATCTTGAGCGTGTCAATCAGATGGCTGGCATTGATGAGTGCCACAATCTGGTCCACAGTCACATACGGGTTGACACAGATCCACTATCAATCGATGCAGTCTTGGCATCTCCAGACATAGATTGGTCGGTTTAATTGCGCCCATGGCCTCAGAGAGATAAAGACTGGTGACCAATTTAGAATGCATGCAAGCTAACGGATAATGATCGACCTTGTGATAGCTGATGTTTGGGTTAAGGCTCTCTTCAGTGTCATCTTGGATCCAGTTGTAGACAGATAGTTGGATGCCATCGGGGAGGTTTGTGACAGAGTCTCGAGCACATTGGTCAAATTGAAGCACATCTATGTGAAGACAAAAAAAAAAAAAAAATTTGAGACAAGAGCAAGAGATAGATTCCAAGCATAATTGTATGACTTGTCCTGACGCAGTAGAT